TAAATCTAACAAGACGTGGTCCAATCGAAGGCCAAAAGTTCACACTGACGTCACCTTTTCCATTGGAGCAAAACACGGTTTGTTTTTGATGAAGGAAGAGCGTTTCTGATAAAAGGAACAATACACTTTGGTTCAGTACAAAATGTTTTAATAAAAAATCACACACAAAACAAATGAAACAACTCGATTTACAATACGAACAAAACAACTGCGGGTTTACGTCTGTTTTGTGAAGTCACATTGAGACTAATCTTTTAATTCAACAAACAATTGAAAAGGTTAAGAAAGAGGGAAATAAAACTCATGGCATTGAACTCATCTGCGGACATTTCCAGCCCAATAAATAATCTTCATATTCAGAAATATGGATAAAAACAGGTGTATAATGGAAACATAATAAAGAGTTATGATTCTGATAATCCTCGAGAGTTCAGAAGCGGATGTGAAATGGTCAAAATAAATAGAAATAAATGTCACAATTTAAAACTCTCTCTCAAACTATTGACCCAAAAGCAGAATGCAGTCCTCAGTTTTCCTGGAAGTGGTCAAAAAATGATACTTTGAAAATGTTTAGACCAATAGAAAACCATTATAATGCACTTTTCCAGAATTAGAATTTTAAATGCTGGTGAATTTCACATTATTACAATTTCCATGCCAGAAATGTGCAGCACATGCTCAATTTTTAAAAGGAAAGACCAAAAAACACAAAAGTCAATCTTGTATGTTTTTCGTCCTTTTGAATTTTTGATAAATCATGACGCCAAAAATCTAATTAGAGAAAAAAAAAAAAAAAAAAAAATGGTAAAAACATTAGAAAATTGCAATCAAAATAAAAAACCGTTTAAAACATCTGAATTCAGAATATGCATTTTGTTACAGTAAATTGATTTCTATCACTTCTCGTCTTCATGAAAAGTAGCATAATCTGATTCCTCACCCAGAGACGAATAAAACCTTGTATTAAGTCAACATTTCAAACATGAACAGATAAACATGAAGTAAAACATCTACAGAAAGATTCAGACTTTAACTGTTTTTACACGAAGCAAAAACGGACAAAGGGCTGTGAAAGGAACACCAGAGATTCTGTGGACGTGGTATTAGCGGCGGCCATCTTGCGTTTACAAATAAGATTTCTCATATGACACAATGTCGACTCATAAACACCAGTGATGAAAGGGTTCAAGCATATTTGAGTAATCCTAGAAGCCCCTCCCCTTGCTCCCATGCCCCGCCCCTTCCACTGCTTTTACTAACATCATGCGGCAATTTTGTTTTCCGAAATTGTCATAATGTGGATGTTTTGCCAGCTTTGTGCAGCCATTTTAGCTTGAAAGGATGTGGCCATGCTTCACTGGTAGAGGCCGGAAGAAAAGGCATTCCACCGAACTGCACTGGACGTTTACTTTGAGCTCAATATTCAGATTTCATAAGAACTAAATATTAGAAATGAACCAACGGGGTCATATATTATCATGCACTGTAGAGACGAAAGCTTTACGATTCCTTAACAGCTCCAGAGCGAATAGGAGCAAAATTTTGTCCATGAGCACTTCTCTATTGGGCTTCATTGAGATTATGGGTTAGCATTGTCTATCTATATATAGTCTATAATCACAATTCAGACTCTACTCGACTCTTCTCCGATTGTATTTCCACCGGCCCAGTTTTAAAAAGGAACTTATCTAGAACCTGCTTGTCCCAGATTCTAACCTGGCCAAGCTGGTACTAAAGTGTTCCAACTGACAGTAATTGGCCAGAGCACTGCTGGAAGCCCTGGTTATACCAAGGAATACCAAGTCACCACGTTGCTAGGATACGGTGCCAGATACTAAAGCATAATGGAAACACAACCAGAGTAGAGTAGAGCCAAGTAGGGCTGGTGGAAATGAGGCTCATGGTTTTGTTTGAACATATAATAAATATATTTTTTTCAATGCTATTGAAACAAAAAGATATCAAAGAATTCAAGAGAAAAGAGAAGAAATTGACGTTATACTATATAGAGCGGGAAACATGTCGTCATGGCAACGCTATACATCACACCTTAGATAGCTCCATGACTGCGGAAATGGACGTTTACTTTACTTTTTTCCAAATACGGCATGTTTTTATTAGAACTCTTTTGTTGATTTTGTTTATGAGACGGATTAGATATCACAATGTAAAATATGGGAAAATTAAATTGCCGTCAAACTTGAATGAGCCGACCAGAAAAAATGAAAGAGGATTTGCAAAAACGGATCAGTGGCGTTCGAAAAATATAAACGTACAATCCAAAAATGACCAAATATTGTTTTCGAAGAACAGTTTTTTTGAAAATATTGGTTCTTTTCTTGTACAAACCCAGATCTTTTTCCCCAAATAGATATTTTAGGCAGTGCTTATGTCACACATCGTCACAACGTAAACATACACTTTATATTAACCTTGACGTGAAACTTTGATGGTTTCAGAATGATTAGTTATTTTTCTGGTTTAAAAAGTTGTCTGCCACTTTAAATACATTTTAAAAAGTTAAATAAAAGATTTAATTGTTGAAAATCCCATTCCCTGATTCTTAGTGTGCGTCAATTTGTCAATGCCCGTTTCAGGTTGTCAAAGAGATAATTTCCGGTGCTTTCAGTTTAAATAATGCCTGAGAAACTGAGAAAATGTTTTCGTATAAGGTCCTCGCCATTGTAAAAGCTGTATTTTAGGACTGGACTGACCGAGCACTGATGTCACTATAGTGTTCTCCGAATGCGGAAGAAGCCAATTTGAAAATAAGCCAGAGACAGTTTCCTTATATGGGCATTAGCTCTAACACTGTGAGTTTTGCGCCCTGGAGTTTCCCCTGACAAAGACAGCATCTGATTGGTCAATTTTTATGACTGACTATTTAAAATTACCAACGACAATATTAAACTAAAAACACAAGGAAAATAAACCCCCCAAAAGGAGCCAGAGCAAGTTGGGGAAAAACTTTGTCTGTGAGCACTTCACCATTTGGCTTCATTGAGTTAGAGGGTTAGCATTGTCCATTTATATACAGTCTGGTTGAAGCTAATGCTAATCTAAAACACAAAATGGAGCATAACTTTTTGTTTCTTTTCATAAATACAGCGTTTGTTGAGTGTTTCAGTCCGGAGAAGTTCAGATTGTATCAGATTGTATAATGGACAAAGTGAGTTTCTGTTAGCATTAGCTTAGCAACATTTAAGTTAGATTAGTAATGTTGGGCTGTAAATAACAGTTTGCAGCGTTAGTTAAAGTTGGGGTGATACCTTTTGCTTGACCATAGCAGAAAAAGCAGAATGTTGTGAACAAATAAACCAAATTCTAGCTATCTTTATCTTGTTAGAAAACCTTTTATCTTGTGTAAAATTGTAAAGGAGCCCAGTGAGCCATAATTTGAACTGTGGGCTGAAGGTGTGGTCCTTATCTGTCTGATAAAGAGGATTTAAAGATGTGACAGAGGCCAAAAATACATGCATGTGAAAACTGAATAAAACTGTTTTGGGAGCGAGAAACTAGTTCATTACAGACTCATGAAGATCGTTGTGGTTTGAAAGTGAAGTACCCCAGCTTTAATACATCTGGTAGATTGTGCTGAGTCAGCGATGCTATTGTTTAGATAAGACAAGGAAGTACTGTAGTCTACTTTTCTTTGACAGCTGGAACTTGTGCAGTGACAGAATGAAACGCAAACCGGTTCTAGTAGTAAAATTACTCATACATTTTTGTTTTGTTGAAAAAGCACAAGATTGGCCAAGTACTACTTCCGCTCAAAAAGTACAATTAAAAAGCAAATATAGCAACACATTTGCAATTCTAATTTTCCAAAAGACACTTAAGATAAAAATTTAAGTCATGTAATGTCTTTCAGAACATTATTCTTTCAGAAACCGCATAAGAAAAATGGTTTGGATTTATTACTTCCAGAAGTGTGCGCTGGGTGGCTCTCGTCGGCCCCATAGATAGCAGTAGATAGAACTTAAAACTTGGCCCTGATTCTAAGAAAGACATTCCATTCAGGTGAATATTCAGTTCATTTAACGCTCCTGATGCAGTGTGTGGAGGCGGGTAAATGTTTACAAAGAGGGCCTTCGAATGACAGCGCACCTCAGAGCCAAGTGGAGGGTAGAACTGGTTTGGTTTGGTCGGGTTTGGTCTGAACGGGTCCTGTTAGTCCAGTTCCAGAGCTAGGCGTGGCCTTCGGTCCTGTGATATCCAGTGTTACAGTAAAGATCCATACGAGGCAGTGGTTAGCCTCGCTCACAGACTCAGGTTAGCTTTGTGTTGTCCTTCAGCCGTACTTTACAGCAGTGGTGGAATGCATCAAAGTTAAAGAACAGTTTTTTTCTGATAGGGGTCAGCCTCGTTTTTGTTGCCATGGAGATGTTATTGCTTAATTACCAATACTTATTTACTGGTGTTTTTATGGCTCAAAACTCGCGTCTCTGCGAATATGACCAGTAGCAGTTCAGACTTTATGGCATTGTCTGGAATATTTGGGGAAGATCACAATAATCTCTAATTTTTTGATTGTTTTCTTTTATAAATCAACAATTTTGCAAAGCTTTTGAAGTGGATTCAACTTGGACTCTCTTTATACTGTCGGCTTTAAAGCAGTCATGTGTACTTCCTTCTCTGGTGTAATGCATTTTCTACTTAATATTACATCTGTACTTTTACTAAACATTTGAGTACTTCTTCCACCACTGCATAAAGTCTGCTTTTGAGAGTCGTCACGTCGCTGTGATGAACTCAAACCTCCTCAACCCCTCAGAGCACGACCATAGACAGAAGTTTGAGTGTGAGAGCTGCATAAATAGAAAAGCACCATGTCTCCCGGCTTTCACATTGACACATTTGACTGTGCTCGGTTATATGGCCCATGAGGCCTCAGGGATATACCATGTTTAGTATACCGTTGGTGGTCCGTGTGGAGAGGCCGTGGGCGTATACTACATGAAGTATATAGTTTATGGTCCTCTGGTCTGTGTGGAGAGGCATTAGTCCAATGAAATTATGTCCGATATACTGCTCTCGGCTGAGGCGGCGGAGGCTCCTTCTGACATCCGGCTCTCATGCACAGAACCAGACATGCGCCCGCTACTGCTGTCGTAGCGGCTGCTGGAGGCCAGGGGTCCGCTGGTGCTGGCCACAGTACTGCTCTGAAGGCTGCTGGGAAGACTGTCAAAAAACATGGGCGGCCGGTAGTGCTGAAGGGGGAAATGTTAGAGAAGATTTATATAAAGGGACAATTCAAGACGACTAGTACCAGCAAAACTCAGTCCACAGTATCAAAGTGCCAGTTGTCATCTGTGTTGGTGAATTCAACCGTTGTGTTAAGTCCTTCAAAATAACTACTGTTTGATGTAGGGCTATACAAGAGTAAATTACATTGAAATTTTGGATGATCTCTGAATGAATTGAATGAATATGAATTGTATAATTGAATGAAAGCCCAAAATCAGTCTTATTCTACTGCTGTGTACTTACTTGTTGGTCAGCCTGGATGAGAGAGAACAGGTCCAGGCCTAATAACGACAGAGAGAGGGCAGGTCAGTAATGGGACTTCACACTCCAGGCCCATGGTTTTACTGCACCACTCACTCTGCATGTCTGTGGGGATGGAGGCCAGAGTGGATGGATGGAAGGGCACTGCGTAATCTGTCAGGGTGGAGCTCAGCTGGTACGGGTCCAGAGCAGACACCTGCACCTGGGGCATGCGCACCGAGGGCGGCTGGTAGGCCAGGACACTACCACACACACACATGTATTCATTAGCGTTGACAGAAGTGACATTGAAGATCGCAAACACTGCCCTCTCCAGTGGTGGAAAATGTTCCATAAATGTAGGAGTTTTCTCTGGGTTTGGTTAAAAAAGATCGTAATCTATTGTTCCATGTACTGAGCAAAATGAGCTTTTCCACAGTGCAAATATGAACTTTAAAAGAAACTCTTGCAGTTGAATGTCACCTTTCTGCAGCCCGTAAGTTAGTGACTAAGGATCAGGGATTCTTAATTACTCTGATATAAGATTATGCATCTGAATGCTTCCTCACCTCAAGACATACTTCTATACTTCCTCCTGCAAATTAAAAACAGGTTTCCCCATTTTCAAAGGAATACAGCTCATCTGGAATGCATTGGATTCAAATGTCACTTATTCAAAGTTCAGAGCATTCATTTTCCAAATGTAATCTTTTTTTCAGACAAATACAAGGTCGAAGCATTTGCAGGGCTTGAAATCAGGCGTCTTTGCGATTGTGGCATCACAGTACAGTACAGACGTATCAAACATATATTTTTTTTATATGTCAAACCTTCAAAAATATATCAGGGTCATCCAGCCAACTTCAGCTCCACCATTACAGTCAAGTCAAGAGTGGTACCTCTTTGGGTGCAGCTCGGGCTCCTGGCTCTTGGAGATGTAGACGCAGCGCTGTTTCTTGAGGGGAGGCTCGCTCTCCTCCTCCTCAGAGCTGTCCAGAGTCAAGTCGATCACGTCGGCCTTTTTCACTGCGCACGAGTCCGAGGGGGCGGGCACAGCGTGACGGACAGGCGATGAGGCTGCACGGGTCAGCAGTATGAGTTCAAATGTGTCATACATTATTGCCACTATGTACGACACTAAACAATAAGGTCGCGGCCCAAAATTATAAACCATTATTAGTGTTGGGACAATACAACGATTTAAAATGGGGAATAGGATTATAAATAAATGTACGTGATTCCTCAAAAAATAAATCAAAATAGACATACTTTGTACTTTTTGTTGTATATTTGAACATGTTTTTTTTTATTCATCTAAGTTGTTTCAAGTGTTAAAGTGAATGTCAGTTACTTTTTTAACTCAACAATGCGTTTATGACACCATTAATTGTGCAGATGATCAAGTTTCTTCCCATTTTTTCAGGCAGCCTGACTACATATTGACTCACCCTCCACCTTGGTCGGCGTCTGGAGCTTGAGTGTCTCTTTCTTGGGTCTCATCGGACACCACGTCCCGTCCTCCTGGAACTTTATCTCATCCACGTCTGAACAGTCGTTGAGGATCTCCAGGAACAGGCTGAAACAGCACACACAACACATTCACTACAACTTTGGTTCATAACAGAACCTTTTGTCTGGCTAAATAGTGGTACGACTGGGAGAGAGACTTTTACATTTTTAAATACATCTATACATTGTCTCCACTCAGGGACAGGGTTGCGGCTCTGAGTGTACCGTTACAGCCCTAGTACTTTATGTTACTGTTAAACATAACCAAGTGGTGGCGCAGGGTACCCGTCGATGATGAGGCTCTCGTATGTGGCCTTCTTGTCGCACACGGGGCAGATCCACGAGGGCTTCTTCTCGTTCATCTGAAGGTAAAGAGCTGCGTCGAAACACTGCAGGTGAGAGCAGGTCACGGCCCGACACGGCACGGTCAGCCGCATCTTCCCCAGCTGCCACAGACACAGCATGGTTAGACAGAACACTGAGGGCAAACCTATTGAACACTGTTGGATGGGGCATAATCTATTCAGTTTAAAGCCGAATTCCTAATAGGGTTTTTGTCTGTCATGATAAGATTTCAGACCGTTGCTTGTTGGTCTAAGTTTTGCTCATAAAAAAACAGACAATTGTTTGGTTAACCTCAACATGAGATTAAACACCAGCCAGCATTCACTCCCGAGGATCTCAGGCTGTGGGGGAAGTAGGAAAGATCAGTGATATAACGTGGAGTCAGACCTAATCAACCTAAACTAGAGAAGTGACAATAAAATAAGCTTTAAGAACTCACGGGGAGCCATTGCAGGGATGCTAACTCGGGGGTTATGTGCTCCCTTCTGTTGAAACCAGTGAGATGTCTGGCGCTGCGTTATGAACCACTAAAGAGCTACTGACCAGGCCCTGTACTGCTTAGCTTCTGAGATCTGACAATAGATTAAATTCTCACAAGAAAATATTATGAATCATTAAATGCGTATGGTACTGTGGAACATTTCTGACACGGCTTGGAGGAGGACCCTGAGCCACAAAGCTCCACAAAACTTACAACGTGATTTTTTTAAGTGGAAGTTACTCCTGCTGTGTGTGTTTCATAAGTGACATAAAATAGTGAGTGTGTTGTGTGTGTGAGAGCATGTGTGTGTGAGCGTGTGTGCGTGAGCGTGTGTATTCACCGGGCACATGAGCGACACGCGCAGACTGGTTGTAGCGACTTCACTGTCTGGGTCGGCAGTCAGCTTCTCTTTGACTGGAACACAAACAGACAAACAAACGTCTATACGGCAAAGTAAATGTAAACCACTTTTGTTAGACTGGGTCATGTCTTAGAGACTGCTTATGGGTAATATTGGCAACATCTTTCCTTCATACTGTAGAAAAAAGATATGATTAAAATAATAAATGCCTGAAAAGTTAATTATTTATCTTAAGTTAAGTCTGATAGATCTGCCTGACCACATCCAGGAACAACAGCCGATAAGAGACATGTCACAGAATCACATGACCACAGATAAAAACGGAAGATTCTGCGCTGGTAATAAAGTATAAAGACTGAGAGGACTGTATTTGGACTTAAATAGTCTCAAAATGCCAATGAAAAAGTGTATCCTGTCTGATTTTCTGGGGCACTTAAATTTCTTTAATAGTTTTGGTTGTCATCCTAAAAGTGTATTGTAGGAGAAAACTTTGCAAGAAAAAAATGAGTAGATTTCACATGATAGTGAAAGTGCAAAAAAACATCAAAAACATTGCATACTAAGAGAGATTGTGGGGAAGACTCACCATTTGACTCTTAAGGTGGGTACTGGATATTTATTTCCAACTATCAATGACAGAAGCGTGTCTTACTGAGGGCTCTGGAGTGGTCTGGGTTCCTGATGCCCTTCATCCGGAGTCTCTGCAGCAGGAGAGGGGAGGTGAGCTGCCGGACCAGGTACACGGACATGGAGTACGTCTGCAACACAAACACAACACAAGTTGACAGCCAAAAAATGGTCAGGGGTTTCTCAACTGATTTTGACTAATGTTGGTGTTCTGAGTCCAAATATCACATGCATTTTGCTCTATCAGGTCAACTTTTTGAGATACAGCCATAGTGTTACGGATTACGTACGTCTACGTTTTACGTGTGTGGTGTGTGCGAGAGTTTCAATAACAAATCCGTAGCGACGAGGAGATATTTCTTCACCGAAGTTTGGGGTTCCGATGGTTTGGAGGGAGCCGCAAGACCATGCATCGGATTACTTCTGCGCCATCAATACTACTGGCATCAACCGGAAGAATCGGCACAGCCTCCAGTACCCTGACCTTCCATCTGCCCGCCGTCTCACACATGGAGAAGTTTCCTGAAAACCTTGGGGCGATGAGCAACGAGCAGGGAGAAAGGTTCCATCAGGACATGCGCCAAATGGAGGAGAGGTACCAGGGAAGGTGGGACGCAGTCATGATGGCGGACTACTGCTGGTCGCTGAAGAGAGACAACCCAGCAGCTGTTCACACACGGGAATCGAAGAAACGCCGATTTATGCCGTGAACTCTAAAATGTTGTGTCACGTGACGCTCATTGTTTTACTAATATTATAAATTCTGCTTATCAAATTTGATGGAGTAAATAAAAACTGAATGACTTTGGATACGTTGACTTTTATTTCTTGAGGAAAACGGAAAAAACGTCAAGGGTTTCTCAGCTGATGATCCGCAGAAATTTGTTTTTTTACGCACAGAAATCAGCGCCTGTGTGTGTGTGTGTGGGGGACAGGGACGGACCTTTCCAATCTCTTGGGCCCATGTGACAGAGATCTGATTGGGCACCGCGGAGGAGAGCCGCACCAGAGACGTGATATTGAGGGGTCGTCCTGGTCTCTTCTGCTCCACGCCGTTCTTTGGAGGTGGAACGTGGCCCTGCACGTACACACAGCGTTTGACTCCACTTCTTTATAAACAAGTTCAGTTAATGTATGTGATCTTTATATATAGTGCACTTCCAGACCAAGGTCACACAAAATGCTTTAAAGAAATGGAACAGACATTTTTTATATTCAAAAACTAGTCTGAGGACAATGGCGAGACTTAGTGGTGTGAAAACATAACCCCCTGGAGATGCTGACCCACATGAAGATGTATGCATATGTATTGTTCCTATCAAACTATTTTGTCTGCAGATGTAATGTAAGATATATGGCCTCAAGCTGCATCTCTTAGCCGCTGTCCTATCAATTTGGAGTGTTTGGAGACGATATTATGCCATTACAACATGCATGTAATTAATCCTAATGTGCACTCACTGGAAGAGGAAAGATCTTCCCGTTGACTTTGATGCACAGGCTGTTGGGATAGTTGTCGTCCTGTGGGCAGCTGGTCTCCGACAGACAAAACCTAGAATATGCCCACAAACATCTTCACTCACTCGAGCAGCTCAGAGATTATGTACAACTCTGGGTTCTGTTCACGCTGCACATTTTAACACAGCGTTAAGAGACCAGACCAAAATAATGAGAAGGCCTGCTTGTTTATAGACAGAGTATTATGTTGTAGGGTTCAACTATACCACATATTAGATCATTTGTTTACATTTTGTTCATTCATATAAAACAGCTTTATAGTTGAAACATTCATTGGCACAACATTCATGACTGCAGAAAGACATTTTGTAAACAAAACCTGGAGTCTGAATTAATGGAATAATCTCAGGTAAGTGTAATAGCTAGGTGATAACTCAACGCAAATGCAGAAGAATACAATAATTAATTCATACTAAATAATAAGTACATTTCTCCATTGTGAGATCAATGAAGTTTATCTTATCAATAATAATTAATTATCTTATCTTAATTAATTATTTCAGATTTCTCTGGTCATGCAATAGGAATAGCCAAATACATAAGCACTGAGTATAGTCTCACCTCAGCTGGATCTGAACCATGTAGTCCCGCCTGCCTCCAGGTAGGAAGTCCCTGCTCACACAAACACACACATTGTTAAATAAAACCTACAAAACACATAACATGAGTTTTGTAAAAATAAGGGGAGAACCGGTGGTACCTGGATATGCAGACCTCCCGCACCTGTTGGGGCGTTAGGGCAAAGATGAAGTACCTCTCCTGGTGGAACCTCTGAGCAGTACCGGCTCCTGCCAACAGACATTCAATCAATCAGCCCTGATTCGACGTTTACGAGACTCAATGTAACTGATATAAAGTAAAAGAGCCTTGGTATAAAAAGGCCAAAGTTTTGTGAATATTATTGCCAATCCAGTAAAATGTCATCTGACCACTTCATGTTATGCTTGTGACAGCCAGATCAAATCGGACCTCTGAAACTAAGCAGGGCAGGGCCTAGTTAGTACTGTGATGGGAGACCTCTGGGAACACCTGATGCCACAGTGGGGCGGCTGCGGCTGTAAAGTGCCAAACTGGTGTTGTGCCCTTAGGCAAGACACTTCACCCACACTGCCTAGAATGAGTCTGGTGTGTGCGTGAATGGTTGGTGGTGGTCGGAGGGGCCGTCAGTGTGCCCCAGGGCAGCTGTGGCTATAGTAGTAAAATGCCACCACTGTGTATGGCGTGAATGACTTAATGAAATGTAAAGCGTCTTTAAGTGTCCAAAAAAGCGCTGTATAAAACCAATGCATTAATATATTGCACCTACTAATGACTTTTTTACCCATTTGTCAGATATTGGAGCATGCACGCACACATACAGGTGGTATTCTAAAAACAGTCCGACATGTTTTGGACCTGTCTCTGTTCGCTTCGTGGAGAATTCTAAAATTGCTGGTTAGTTCAGTTTTTCAAATTCAGCAAGGAACTATGTATTGATCCCAAACAAATTAGTGTGTACACTATATCTGTCCAAATACATAGACTTATAATCATAGTTTTTCCCTGTGCTCTCAAAGGCATCGCTGCACAGTGTCTCAAAAGGATTTCACCTCCAAATGGACTGTTTTTTCACACCTCAATTTCTGCGCACAGGGATTTATGTGTCTAACAATCTCCTTCAACTAGAGTGAGTTTTTTAAATGTTTTTACAGTGCATATAAATAGGTGTAGCCTGTCTCACCGAGGCTGGAGGGTTTGATGAGGACGTCCAGTACATCGTAGAAGGGCAGAGACTTCATCTGGACGTCTGGGTGCACCGGAGGCAGCAGGGGAGCTGGGGGCTGCTGGAGGTTCATCCTAACCACTGTCCTGGGAGAGAGGAGGCTTACAGTAGAGTCTGCAGACACACAGACATACAAGAGGAAAGGTTAGGCCCAAAGAGAACCACAAGAACACACAGCTTTACTCACACTACAGGCTTACACATATAAACTATTTATATACATCTGTTCCTTCCAGCCACTCAGACCCTCCCGGTCTACCAAAGGTCAAAAAACAAAGCTGTCGAGTAACATTGCGCGTTCCTATTGTGGGATGAATTAAGGATCTCTTTATTAGCCAACTTTAGAGCTGCAATATCTAATTATTTAGATACACAAAAACAAACATCTCATTCACTCTGGGCACATGATTTTCAAACATGCTGAAACTGCATCACTCACATTTTAATCACAAGCAGCACAATTTAGCATCATAACAGATATTTACTCAGTTTGTATTACAATTGAAACACATTAAGACATTAGTGGAGCCCTAAAACTTATAACACTTAGATTTGTATTTATTTATTTATTTCAAACATGTATAAAATGTTTAACTTCACATGAATTCTGAGCACATGTTTGTGATAGATTCTGTAGAGACACCAACTGCACTGTACGAGCACTTGATTTATACCACTCCTAAGAATAATTATTACAATTAATATGCAGTGACTTGAGTGAAAAGTGAAAAGATTACACAATTAATCAATATGGCATCCATCCATTTGTGGGTGGGGGCGGGGGCAGTCAGAGCTGCATCCAGCTAACACCAGCCTATCGATTATTCGATAGAAAACGCGATTACCAAAATGTGCTGTTTGTGGGATGCCAGATGTAACGCTCTAAAGTTCCATGGACTCATGCAGCAGTTCTGCGTTGGCGCCAAAATCGTCGATCGATCCTTTTCGTGCAGTACCTCGGAGCAGATCGAGACACAGTCCAATGTGTAACCTACATATGAACTCCTAAAATGTAAACTCACTACAGGCTAAAGGAGAGTAACTTTCCGCTTCACAAACAACAATAGAAACTAAAAGCAAGAATTAGCTGCTTGTTTCCATACCCGTGTAATCGAGGACATGGCTTGAAATAATATAAATAATTTAATATAAATGGAATCAACGTAATGTTTCAAACTAACAACTACAGTAAACAAAGGGTGTTTCTGTTGTGCTGAGATCAGGCAGTTCTTCTACATCATGTGACTGATCCCAAGACGACAATAAACACTTTGTAGAGATATTCTTTAGCACATTATTTTTGGATCGCCATAACATCGAGCTCTATAACAGACAAGCTCCCTCAAACTACAGAGATGTTCATTTATATCCATATCGGCTGCTCCCACTCTTAGCATAGTTAGCTTAGTGAGATATATAACACATGCATACAATGCTTTAAGACACATGTACAGACTTAACATGCAGCAGCACATACACAAACGTTAAACACAGAGTTTTCTCGAAGCCTGAGGTAAAATATAAAAGGGTCTAGCCACAAATGGGCAGTGTTTTGGTCTGGACTCACCCGCGGATGCTCCATGGCGGCCATCTTGTTGTTCCGGGATTGTGACCGCGTGACCACAGAGCACGCGCACCACAGCACGGGCACGCGCCCCAACAAATGGGGGGGGGAGGGGGGGGGACTCAAGTTCTGCCTCGAAGGACCCACAGTATGGCGTCAAAATAGGGTCTGCTTAAACGTAACCGTAAAGCAGGAATTGTAAACGTAGGTTGTAAGTATTGTAAACATAAAAAAAATATTGTAAACGAAAAAACTGTAGCGTAACCGTAAAGCAGGAATTGTAATCGTAGGTTGTAGTATTGTAAACATTAAAAATATATTGTAAATGAAAAAAATTAAAACTTACATTTACGGTTCTGATTTTTCATGTTCCGCTTCAAAAGTTACGTTTACGATTCACAAGTTACGTTTACGATTCACAAGCTACGCTTACGAGTCAAAACTTACGGTTACGATACATTTTTCATCTGACCCCTTTTTGGAGGGGCGGGCTCAGCGCGCCCATTGGCTGGAGACACCGGATGTTACGTCATCACAAAACCAAAACACACACCATTCAAAATTCAAGTCTCGTTCGAACTCTACATCGTATGATTGATCACATTTTTTCAACTGGGCTGGCTATTATATAGGCTTTCACGTGGTATGTGCACTCTTGTGGACACCCTAATTACACCAGGTCATGTTTAGATCGTGTGAAATATGCTCTCGTGATAACGTCATATGCCTATGTTGCCCCAGGCTAGCCAGCTAAGCTACACCTCGGGACCTTCACCACCACTGTACGTTGTTCACACTGAATGCTTTGTCATGTCAGGATTATCTACTGCTATCAAAGGTGAATAAAACTATGTCTTTGATTTTTTGTTTGCTTATTATTTACATAATTATAGCGGCTTACCTAATGAGCCCATGCTAGCTAGCAATGAATTTTGTCAGTCCATAACCTGTACATAAAGTTTTGAAACAAATGAGGTAACTAGCTGAATGATTAAACAAATCTGTGAAACTTGCTAAATAGTACGTTCCATTGGCTTCATGATATCTTATCAAAATTAACTTAAAGTTAAGTAGCTCAAATCGGGGCTAACCTGTTAAGGCCATTAATTTTACGATATTTGGCTACTGTACCTGTACTGTGTTTGCTAATTTAGGATGGTTAAGATTCCTAAAATCACACAGAAACTCTGTTTAGTTCTGATCTTGCAGGTTATCTCTGCGATGGGCACCAGCACCACACATTGCAGACCAGCAAGATGTAAAACTGTGGTTTTATAATAATCTATATAAATGTGATGTATTTTCATGTCTTAGGGACCAGGTCTGCAAATTAAGTGCTAGCTATACAGCCTATGAACATGGTATCGGCCACCTGTATCAATACTTTTAGTTCTGTGCCTATCAAATAAACATATAATAGCACTTATTCTCACAGAACAGTGGGTTGTAGATAGGAGTAAATGGCGTCTGTTACCTGGCCTAATATCTATAACTTCCTCATCCAGACATACAGTGTTTATACATGACTGACCTCCTCCAGATCTCCACACCTGCCCGCTCCCTCCGCTCCTCCTATCCTCTCCAGCTCTTGGTCCCTCCTGCCCCTCTGCTCCTCCTATCCTCTCCAGCTCTTGGTCCCTCCTGCCCGCCTTTTCACCATGTGGAAGAGAGCTTCTCCAAATCCACCCTCAAAACTCATCTGTTCTGACAAGCCCACTCACTAACATCATAACCACACTCTCCTCTCTCCATGATGCTTTTAACTGTTTTTAAAATACACTTTTTTTACTTGGTTGTAAGGCAAAAACAAATTATTAAAAACAAAAAAAAATAGCATATAGATCTATAAATACATACAATTATGTGGACATGTGAAATACTTCCACTCTGGGACTGAGTTCTTTGTTTTGAGGCTGATGTGCTCCCAGTCAGAGAGTGGGCATTAAGTCAGTACGTCTACAAAGACTCGGTACATCCTTACCCTGAACTGTTCCTGTATGGCAGGGTATGGACATGTAACTTGCTTTTAATGTTCAATTACAGTCTTAACCTGGTGCACACCCATTAACCCCTTTATTAGTGTAATCTGCGTTATGTTTTATGTTCTGCGCTGTCTGAAGAAGGAGCAGGACACAAGGAGGACCACTGAATGACATTTACTAGTAGCTCTGCACAAAATAAAACACATCCACTTCACGTCTATCCATGCATTCAGCTCAGCAGTCCCCTCCTCAGATGCAAGGCGCAGTTCTCCTGATAAAGGGAAAAAAGCCACATTAATAAGTAGTTACTACATTTTGAGTGGTATACAGGTTGAAAACTTTTGTTCTCCAGTTGTCTTTGTATTAATGGTAAAAAGACAAGTTTGTGATTTTAGCTCTAAAATATTGGTGTGCTCTTCATCCACTCACAGTATCAGTATTGTTGTGACTAGAAGGCTACGCAGGCTCACTTATGAACAACTGTTTAGTTAGTTATTTGAAGACTGTTTCTCCTCAGACTAAAACGAAGGAGCCTCCCTAGCTACTTATTTAGCAAAACAGCTAATGTTAGCATTTTAGCAACGTCAGCTGTTTGTTATAGCGGCGCTATAAGTGAGCTGGCTTTAACTTGACTGATCATGATTAAATCAGGTAGCAGCGGGTTCTCTTCTTATAGCGACATGATGTAACCAAGTGATCACTTATGGGTTGGAGTTGGACTCTTTCATTATTAGCTTCTGTAGGACACAGACACTTACCAGCTGTGAAGTTTGCTTTTAGCATTATGTACGCAGGTCTCCGTAGATGGCCTGAAGCCTGTTCTTCGTCTTCTGTAGTAACCAGACTGTAAAGATTGTAGCAACGTGCGTATGTTTTGCTTTTGTGACATCCGGTGTCTCCAGCCAATGGGCGCGCTGAGCCCGCCCCTCCAAAAAGGGGTCAGATGAAAAATATATCGTAACCGTAAGTTTTGACGATCGTAAATCGTAGCTTGTGAATCGTAAACGTAACTTTTGAAGCGAAACATGAAAAATCAGAACCGTAAATGTAAGTTTTAATTTTTTTCATTTACAATATATTTTTAATGTTTACAATACTACAACCTACGATTACAATTCCTGCTTTACGGTTACGCTACAGTTTTTTCGTTTACAATATTTTTTTATGTTTACAATACTTACAACCTACGTTTACAATTCCTGCTTTACGGTTACGTTTAAGCAGACCCTATTTTGACGCCATACCACAGAATGATATTCAGCTGTTTCTACGTGATGCGACCTCATAAAACATCAGTAATAAAATAATAAAATAATGAATCCATTGAAAATCCCCACAGGAGAGATAGAAGACAGCTACCTGGGAACTCAGTCGAAAGAAACACCTTTAACACATAGTATTTTGCAGTTGACTTGTATTACTAGAATACATCCATCCATTTTCTTCCCCTTAATCCATTTCTGGGTCAGGGGGGTGGCAGTCAGAGCTGCTTCCAGTTCACAGAGCACCAGCCCCTCACTGATCCTCCTGCAGGTGCTGAGTCCACAGGAGCTGAGATATTTCAGTGGGAGCTTCAGGCAAAGTGGGGTTAAGTGTCTTGCCCAAGGACACAACGACAGCAGTCATCAGTGGGAGTCATGCAGTAGGTCTTATGGTGGGCTCGAACCCACAACCTTCAGGCTCAAAGGCCAATGCTCTACCAACTGAGCCACTGTTGCCCCAAGATAGCACGCTGTAATATTTTATAGAATAACTCCAATAAGACTATTTAAATTTAGGAAAAACTAGCCTAAAGAAAATATGATTTAAATATAAGTATATTATTCAGTATATTATAGTCAGGCTTTGAGACTAACATTCATAGTGATGGCCATGACTGTTTATGTACTGTTTATGTAGTGTAAGGACAGTATATATAGTGTGAGATTTCATAACACTTTTAAAGCAACTTTTGTTAAAGTTAAACTCATCATTCTATCAATGTGCAGAAGCCAGTACTTTTCCCTTGTTTTGTCTATCTGAAGGCCAAGCTACATGGCACTGTGGCAGCTGCTGATTGGAGGTCTCCATGCCTCCGCTCTGTATAATACACTTGCATTCTGTTGTTCGTGTTGTTCGTGCTGTCTCTACCATCGACAATAAAACATGTCTTCTGTCTGAATGAAAGACACGATCCCAGACTTTGTCATCTTCTTCAATAGCATATAAGGTGACGAGTGAATTGTTAGTGGTCACATGTGTATGTTATTAAGATAAGATAAGATAAGTTAAGAGATAAGATAAGATCTGCTTTATCTCACTAAGGAGAAATTTACATGTCACATTTGGCATGGGTAGAAACACTCAAGATTGTGCAAAAAGAGAAGAAATGTGCAAACATGTTAAATGCAGGATATATTATGTACAATAAAAAGTGTCAATTTAAAAGTGGCAATCAGAAACAGTGTCAATAGTAGTGCAGGTTTTTTCAGTCTTAATACAGTGACTTAAAGTGACTTGTTGTACAGTCTGACAGCGGTGGGGATAAAGACCATTACTCCTGGTTCATGACACATGCACAGAGTAAGCAGTGTTCATGGTTCATTGTGCAGTCTGACAGCAGCCAACAGCAGACAGGAGCCTCTTCTTCACACAAACGGAGGATAAGTTGCTGAAGCTGCTCTCCAGAACAGAACAGGCGTCCTGCAGGAGTGACAGTGTGTAACCTTTTAGCCAAAACAAGACCATCATAAAAGCATGTTATTTTTCCATTATCATTGTTTTATTTCACTGAAGAAGTACAATGTTGTGTCCTTCCTGTGTACAGACTTGAATTTCCAGTAGTTTCATAGACTGTATGCAGTCTGGGGTTGTAAAGGTACTACTGGGACTGTACTTCTTTGGCCTCTTCCACATGCATAATCTATAACAGTGTTCCCGTAACCTTTTGAGCCGTGGCACACCTTATTCATTGAAAACAATCACATACACATCACCAGCTGAAACTGATACAAAAATGAAACTCTGCAGCCTTTTGGAAAAACGCAAAGTCATTCTCCTCAAAGTGATTATATAGAAGGTCAAACAAGCACAACATGGCTTTCTATCTTTTGACATTATTTTAACTAATTATTAAGTAAGTGACGTTTATTTAAATAGCACACAAAGCAAAACAAGAGCACATGCAAGTCAGTTAAAAAAACAAACACAGAATAGTCGTGAACACACTTCAGATGGGCCTTTTATAGTCTCCTCACCTCACTACATTCTTTAATTGACTATAATTAGGGTTTAGTGGATCTTTCCTAAAGGCACACCAAAAAGATAAGATAAGATGTACTTTATTAATGTCACACAGGAGAAATGTACATGTCACGTTTGGCATGGTTAGAAACACTCAGATTGTGCAGAAAGTTAGAAATGTGCAAACAGGGCAGGACATATTATGTAAAAAAAAAAAAAAAGTGGCAATTAGAAAGTGGCAATGAGACGAAATGTCAATAGTAGTGCAGATTTTATCACTATGGCACACTGGTCTAATCTATAAACTTCCATTGTATGATAAAATAAAAATAAAAAAACTCTTTAAAAAGAAAAAGTCCAACGTATACTTTCGGTTTTGCTGAAATCATGTGGTTTACATTCCACCTCCAGGAAGTTACACACTGACACTACATCATACAACAATGTAAACTATTGCGTGGGGACTTCATAACAGATCATAGAGAGTTAACCACTAAAGCAATGCAACTTGAAACGAGTGAATTGATAGTGGGTTGGCCCCTAAATGTTGATAATGCCTACACCTCACAGAGACCAGCAGCAGCAGCAGCAGCCCATATCCACCGCGCGGGGCATTCTGGGAGTACACAATAGTTTCAAGATGGCGGCGAGCAGAAGGCTGGTGAAGGTAAAGCTCCGATCACGCTTATTTACACTTTACACACACTTTTTACCACGTGTAGGCCGAACAGAGAAGCGAAACCGCATTCAAACCGTGCATTGTCCACCCACAACCACTAATCCAAACACCACAGACGCATATTTATCTCAGATTCTTCCGCAAAATGAAAATCTGAGAGGTCACTATTGGCTAAGATTGTGGCACCGGCGAAATTAGGCCACGGAATCGAAAGTAGCGGACGCATTTAGCCTGGTCTGGAACAGGATGGTTTTAAGTCTGTCTTTGGGTGTGGATGGCCCCAACTTTGCGTCGCTTTGTGGGGTAGTTTTACTCCGAGGATCAGGATGTTTTGGCTAATCAGCTAGCTAGTTTGGCCGTGATTCTTACTGCGTTCCTGCTAACCACTAGCGCGTGCTCAAGTATTTCCTGTTAAAATAAATGATTCGTTATTACTTATTTAATTGTGTGCTTTTACCACTGAAATTAACATGGATGTACAGTTTATTTATTTTTTGTCATTAAATTATATTATTTTGTAAGAAGCTAGCTTAAACAGGTTCTTGCATTTCGTATATTTTTTATTTTATTTTATTTAATCTTTAATTCAGACACACAAAGGGTCCATATAAAACAAAAGAGACAAACACACAAACATTCATGTAATTCGTATAATTCCACTCTTTACAGTAAGGGCTTAAGGTTCCATGGTGATTTAATGATCATAAATAAACTTGTGAACAATAATGTTTAAAAATGTGGTGATCTGATGTGACGCGGCTAATCAAAAGCCATTCAGGGAGAGACCAGATTTGCCTGCCCTGGTACTGCCCTGGTACTGCCCTGGTACTGCCCTGGTACTGCCCTGGTACTTCCCTGGTAAAGTAAATTAATCACGTTTGCCTAGATTACGGATGCCAGTTTGAGAAGTGATGACTAGAGAATTACAATGGGAACATATAGTATGAATATAAAAACACATTTCTTGTGTGGGATGTGTTCATAGTAGTAGTATTTTTATTTGAGCAGTTTTACAATACACGCACATGCACAAATAATTCAAGAAAGAGAAAAAAAGGGAAAAAAACAAGGCTCAAAAGGAGAAGGCAGAGGCAAAAAGTGCCTTCCCATTATTAATACATTAATTTAACAGCTGCAAAAATATTTCAATTTTCACATGACATTCCTGATTTTTGCCATCATTTTTTCTTGTTGATGCAAACAAAAACAAAAAAATCAGCAATACTTATCAATTTATCTTCCATCTAGTTCATTGCAATAATAAATGTAATCTTTATTGTTTTTACAACGTGTGGTGCATTGAGAGCTGCAGCCCCCTCTGTGTCTGGAACCTGTTCTGTGCAGTGCATTCAGTTTAAGTTTAGATGGATGTGTTCATCTAAACTGAATCAATTAATCCCAACTAAACCTTAATTTAAATAGTTGTCAACTAATTGGTATTCCTGTGGGTTTAATTGTTTTGTTTTTGACATAGACTTAAACATGCTGAGAGGTTTTATGACTCACATAATTATATGAATGCAGAATATACTTTTAGAAACTATCCAATGTGTAACAAGTCACTGTTGATGACTAGTTACTGCCTGAGGATCTAAACAATCGATTGGCTGGCTGATTAATCTATCACTATCATTAAAGCAAGTGTAAGCATTTAATATTGCCCATTTTAATTTGCTTTGTACTCATTTTGGCGTGAATAGTTTTTATTATTGTGTCCCTGAAGAGACCCAGGACACACTAGAGGCAAAAAGTGTCTTAGCTGGCCTGGGAACGCCTCAGGATTCCCCCGGCTGATTTGGCGTGTGTGTGGAGGGGGAAGTCTGGGCATCTCGTCTCAGACTGCTGCCCCTGTGACCCAGCAACGGGTAAAGCGGAAGAATGTCATTCTAGCCTTTCTATATCATCAGAATCCAAATCTTTTCTGAATCATATGTGTTGTGTTTGAAAACTTAAAATCCCAGTTTAATGATGTGCCTAGTCTCATCTGTCAGCTGTACTGGTTTCTTTTCTTTACTGGTGATGTCACACAGGACAGGGATGGCAAAGATCAGCCCATTAGATGTCTGTTTTTTTTTCAATATTTATTATTGAGCAATGTGTAAATTCAGAAAACATTTACCGAAGTATATATGTATTGCTGTTTATATACATTTGAATTCATTGCCTCATTTTGTTATTTCTTTTAACTTGTTTGTGTGTGTAGGAACTCGATGAGATTCGCAAAACTGGATTGAAAAGCTTCAGAAACATCCAAGTGGAAGATTCAAACCTATTGTCATGGCAAGGACTCATCGTTCCTGTAAGTTTTAAAGACATTTTTACAACATAAAGTGAAATTTAATTTAAAAACTTGTAATTTTAATTACAAGTTTTATTGGTAATGACTAGACTCGTTTAAGCAGCACTGTGTGTAAGGCTCGCCCTCTGCTTGGAGAGAAAGTGAAACCAAATTGTGATTCAGTTTGAAGATAAAGAAACGAGTTGAGCAATTGTCTTGGAGCTAATTTTACATTGAGTGGTCTTGCATCTGCAGCTGTGGTTCGTAACTTAACCTGTGGCCAACGTAGAGGAATATGTTTATAGCTGTACTGTGGAACACTCCAGTCAAAAAAACATTTAGCTGAACCCATGACAAACATACACCCTCCACCAGGAACGTTGCATAGTTCACCTTTTTAAGATTGGTTTAGTCTGGCTCCTCCCACTAAAGCACACCACTGCTGTCCATGTAGTCTTTGTGGATCAACAAATCACTGAACCTGACTTTGTGCACATGTGCAGCAAGCGGGCGTCGCCGGATAGAGAAGAATGCTTTCTGATTGGCTGCTGTGCTGGTGGGAGGTGCTAAAATCAAGACTGAATTAATAATGCACAAAATGTTATCATTCTTTTGAGACTGCGCTGTGTATTTTGCTGCCTTCATGCGATTTAGGAATCTGTTCCGACTTCCCACTTGGAAAAATAGGACTGATCTGAGCTCAAGGAGGAATCTTTTTTTGCATCACTGACACAATCTGACGTGTGGTCTGGCATCGGTGCATAAATTGTCCCAGTACCATATTTGCAAACACGGGCACCTGATCACCTTTGGCGTATCTTTAAAGACCTTATGACGGGTTTAAAAAAAAAAAATAGTGGATATCAAAATTGCATGACAATGTCAATTTGAAAGAGATTCCGGCAAAAAAAATCCTATATTTTATAAAAAGAACGTGTTTTTCATGAATTTAAGTTGTCTATGCTCTAACCTGTGTGTGACGTCATAGCGGGTAACGGCCATGCATTGAAAACCATGGATCTATGCCACAGGACTGCCTTTTCTCTCTTCTCTCCACTGATGCCCAACACAATACTGCCCTCTACAGGTGACAATTGCTCACTACACATAAATTGCCGTTTTGAGAGTGAAAAAGTGTCCAAGGTGGGAATTGAACACAAGTATCTGGATTGGAAGTCCATCGACACAACCACTGGACTATCTCAGTGACAACGAAATGTTACAATCTAGTAGTTATCCTAGACTCGCTGTACACGGCCTTGTCATCAAAAAGAACGAATACCAAATTGTAAACAACTTACAGCGTTGAAACATACCCACTCTGACGTCACCAAGGGCTGTGAAGTTCTTTCGTCTCTAAGGGCGTTGCTATGGGGTTATTTCGATTTGGAGGGATCAGACAAAAAAAACAACAACTGATTTTGAAACCTTTAGTAGTTTTCTTCTAATATAAAATGGTATTAAAACTGTATTTCTAAATAAATCAAACCCGTCATAAGGTCTTTAAGTTCTGTACATTTTATACGTGGTGGCAGTAACTTCAATGCTATTTAATTTTGAAAGTAACATTTGTTGGAGGGAAATAGTTTCTGGTCAGGAAGCTGTGGAGGTGAAGAGGCGCTTACTCCCTCTTCATATCTTGGAAAGTATCTGACGTTCAGTTTAAATATGAATATCGAGCTCAAAATGATCGCGCTCTCTATAATTGTGTGAAACATGTGGCATTGGATTGCACAGAGGATACTTTTTTTATTCAAATGTTATTTCATGAGGTGATAGGGGGGTCTTACTGAATTCTTTAGCTGCAGCCCAACATCATACTTTGTTGCTCAGACCATATTTCTTGCATCGCTTCTGAATCAACTCACCCCACAGTGATAAAGAAATGACAAAATAGTGAGGTCAGAGGAGCCAGGGGAAAGCAGAGCGGTTTCTCTGGAGAATTTAAATTGTATGCATGACGTAATCTGATAAGAACTTTGTGTGTAAACAACAAGGGATAATGACTACAGCTTTTACACAATCAAAGGATGTTTTAAAATTTTTTTTTTTGTCATTTTACTAATCTAACAGTGCACTAAACGATTCTCTGTGGCAGGACAACCCTCCCTATGACAAAGGTGCGTTCCGGATCGAAATCATCTTCCCTGCGGAGTACCCGTTCAAACCGCCCAAGATCACGTTCAAAACGCGCATCTACCACCCCAACATCGACGAGAAGGGGCAAGTGTGTCTGCCAGTCATCAGCGCAGAGAACTGGAAACCCGCCACCAAAACTGACCAAGGTACTCTACTCTCTCAATGTGCAGCTTTTCTTGTAGTTCCAGTTGTAAAGCCAAATATCAATACTTCTCCTTTTCCTTTCCCTTTCCTGAAATTCAGACCAATTATGATTCAATCATCTTGGTTCAAACTGTAAAGGTAGTTCACAAACATCCGTTTACGGGGCGGCACGGTGGCTGTGTGGATAGCACTCTCAGCAAGAAGGTCCTGGGTTTGTATCCCGGCCGGAACAGGGTCTTTCTGAGTGGAGTTTGCATGTTCTCCCCGTGCCAGCATAGGTTTCCTCCGGGTACTCCGGTTTCCCCTACCACTAAAAACTTGCACACTAGGTTAGATCCTCCAGCTGACCAAGCCGAGCATCAACATCTGGAGATGGGATCCCTGGCGCTGTTACTACGGCAACCACTGCTCCTGACGTAAGCCTTCACGGCATCAGGATGGGTCAAATGATTGAATTTCCCTACGGGGATTAACAGTGCACCTTTAACTTTGCTGCATGTTTAGTAAAATATGTATTCAACATGTTGCAAGGGAAGAAAATGTATGTATGGAAAGCCCTTGAGCTCCATAGTTTGAAATTAAATGTTCAAATCCACCTTCGAGGGACGAAGGTGGATTTGTGTGATTTTGTTTTGGACGAATGAAGAATTGCTCGTCCATGTAACGCTCCAAGCACTCGAAGCATTAGTTTGTCCACCGCCTTTTTTTGTTTATCCTCGGCTACTACGCGACGTCCAAATGTACATGTGGGGAAATGAGCCAGAGAAATCTCACCTTTTTCTTCACACAGCTGTGAAACGGCCCCCGCTGAGCAGCGTATCTGTTCCACTCTGGAGGCTGTTTCTCAACGCTTGCATTTTTACCCCCTAAAACACAGTCTTCATGTAAACGAGAGGCCAATCTGAAACCCAACTCGAACCGTTTACTGTTGCAGCGTCCTTGTGTAAAAGTATTTCCCCAAAATGAGTTGAGGGTGTGTGGAGAGGGAGGTCTGGGTGTCTGTTTTAAAGCTGCACTAACTGACTTTATTTTTGTATTCATTACGAAAATGCTATCCATGTCCATGTAGGGCATTGGGATATACGTGCTTTTGAAGAAAAAGTAGCGCAGATTTGTGCTGGCGTGACATTATATTTTAGATCGAGTTTTGAGGAACAAGGAAGAGAATGTGTTTCGGGTCGCAGATTGTGACCAATCACAGCGGACCACTAGCCCCCACTTTTGTGAGAAATCTACAGGTCCCTGTTAGCACAGACAGCTGAGTTAGCACAACAAGCCGAGGAGCTAACCTGAAGCTTTGTGTCTTCGTCACCGGTTACTGCTTACACAGCGAAACAGCCATCCAAAAGAAAGTCTCATTCCTCCGCGCTTCCCGGTTCTATTGTTCTATGGTCACGCCATCCACGTGCAAATCCATATCCATGTAATTATCCATATTGAGAGACGCTAGCTCCAACAACAGTGGGTGTGTGTGGGGGGCGATAGCTTCGTGGGTGCGGGGAGGGGAGCAGAAAGAGAGAGGCCAGCGAGTCCGCGGCTTCAAAATCCCAAAGTCAGTTAGTGCAGCTTTAAGTAATATTAAGTTTTATTTCTTACGATGCAGTAATAAGTTTCAAATCGTTTGTCAATGTCAAAGGTTCCTTACTCATTCTGGAACCCAAGGATAGGCTTGTCAAGTGTCAAAAATCACAAATCCAATGTTTCCGAACATTACTGTGGTTTTGTGTATGTGTTGATGCCTTTCTTGTTCATTGTAGTGATCCAGGCCCTGATCGCCCTGGTGAACGACCCGCAGCCAGAACACCCACTCAGGGCAGACCTCGCCGAAGAATACTCAAAGGACCGTAAAAAATTTCTGAAGAATGCAGAAGAGCATACAAAGAAATACGGCGAGAAGCGACCAATGGACTGATGCTCTGATTTTCTGTAAATCTCTATCTCTCCCCCTATCTCCTCCATCTTTCACGCCCGACCAAAAAAACCCAACAAAATTTCCAAAACCTCCCTTATGCTCCTTCACTCTGCTCCCAAACCCCCCAGTCCAATAAAACGCCCCAATACACTTTGGACCAGATACACTCTTGCTTTTTTTACCTTCTTTTGGCCATTCTGAATTTACTTTATTTCTTAAAGCAAAAAAAAATAATGTTAGCAGTGTTCAGGTGAAAAATTTGTAATTTTTCTGTTGTGATTTCCTCCATATTAATAATGAGAGTTCTGTTTATAAATAGCTCTGATGTATACTTATTTTTGAGCTGATAAAACAGGTTGTTTACCCGAGCTTGTTTTTGGGCCATTTGTTCAGAAAGCAGGCGAGAAGTTCAGGGGGCCGAAGATGGAGCCTTGGGGAACTCAGAGTAGATTTGCACTGAATTTGTCACATTTATACTTTCTTTTTCTTCTATAAAACTACAGCAAATGTCATGTACCATTTCGATTCACTAGTCACCACCACTGAGCACAAAAGGAACTTGCAAAACATGAAGAATGGGTGAATTTAGATTTCCCTCAGGTGTCAGGAAGTAGCAGCAATATTCTCAAATATTTGTGTTCCTCCATTTAAAGTTCAAATATTCTGTTTGGATGTTCCAGTTAAAGGCATGACACTGTAGGCGTGGCTAATATGTGCAAAACTGGAGTTTGCAGATAATCCAATGTCTGCAAAATCCTCCAAGAGAAATCTGTTGACTTTAATTTGAAATAATTTACTTGACATTCGACTTTGTCACCTTTTCGGTAAATCATTTGAACACACATAGTCCACGCATGCCCAGTCGTACCGGATTTCATTGTATCCAGACTCTGCCCTTTACCACACATCCACGCAGCTGAAGGGACCAAAGAGGCCGGGGGGGAAGTCAGGGCGGTCCTGGAGCTCACGGTCCGGGGGATGTGCCAAGGCCAGGCGGGATAGACCACTACAGTATGTAAACAGGTCTGATCTGGTCCCAGTTCTGTTTCATAATAAAGATGGCTAAGCATTGGCCTCACTGTCGCCAGGCAGTCTGCTGAATCTCACGTCTCCTTTTCTTTGTGCACAAGGACTTGCTCATGTGTTCCAGGCTGGACCGTTGTCATCACTGATCATTCTTTGTGGACCCATTTCTATTTGAAAAAAAGTCATCTTATGGAAAGCATTGCATAAGATTACGGCAACTTAAATTCATTTCTTTTAAGCATTCATTCAACATTAAAATGCCTATTTTTAGACCCATTGAACAACTAAGAAAATGATTTAGCTGATAAACTATGCACTGTATCTACTGGTAGTGTATGGATTACAGTATTAGTTTTTTAGTTGCATATTTTGACACATAATATTCAAACATTTTCATCTCATATTTACTTATTAATTCAAAGAGATAACATACAAAAGTCATATTATTCAGAATGTTTATTGAAGTTAAAAACCCAGAGAAAAAAATAACATAAAATGAGCCCCTGAGCTTCGGTATCGCACTAAACGGTAAACGATTCATTATGGCTTCACCTTAGATTGTGACTGAGGTACATTTAATCCCTGGAGGTTTAGTTCAGCCCAGCCCCTGAAGTGTAGAGGCTGCTGCTTCCTGCAAGAAACAGTGTCAGATTGTTGTAAAGAGGGAAGGACAAGGAAGACAGTCTCCCTCCTACAATCGAGCCAACCAAACCCACAGACAGAGGTATTGTAAGAGGCTCCGGGTGTTTGTAGGCAGGACTGTGCAAAAACTACAGGACGGACTGAGATGAAAAATGTGACTTATTAATATGAACATCTTATTGTCATGAAAGATGGAATATAAACTCATACTTTCTCAAATGTAAAAGTACAAGATTAAACTAACAGTTCATGTTTGTGCATTTCTCACTGAACTCCACAATGACAAAATTCTCATTTTTAAAACAGATTATTCGTTAGAATATGACTATTTTCCCATAATAGTGCAGACACTAGCAGCTATGTACCAAAGTCCATTTCTTCTGTAACGGGGAAAACATTACAAAAAAGACCCAAACATTTACAGTACATTGAGTAATGTAGTAAAGTAGAAATATAGAAACATCCCTGAAATTGTAATTTTAAAACAATTTAGAAACATGTGCTTATAGTGTTAACATGCCATTCTTGCTACACGCAGAAGGCTAAAATACAACCAAAGCAGAACTAAAATAAAATATTCAGTCCTGGTGGTCATAAAAGTTGATGATTAGATACTAGTACTGATTTAAATCATAAAAGTCTTAAACATAGTAAATCTAGAAAACATGATGCTGTAGCATCTTTCAAAAAAATAATTCAAGTGCAATGAAAAACAATATTTACCACAAGATTAGTGACATACATTTTGTTTGTTAATGTTTCTCTTTGACATGCCTCGCTTTGCATGAGCAACGTGACAGTCGAGAAGTTACAGCTGGAAAACCACTATCACAAAGATAATGCCAACAAGTTTAACGCACTTATCAAAACATACAAATACAAGTGCTACGCCCTCTCTCCAACCGACTCATTTTCCCAATGTCCCAACAGAGTCATGTGGAATTGTTTTTGTGTGTATGTAATTGCTTTCGTTGTTGACTAATGACCCAACAAAGGAGCCCATTCATAGAAACTAATAATATTCATATTTAGGGCTAATTACAGAGCTCCAAAACAGTTTCGTGAGTGCAGCCCTGAGAGTGCAGCTCCAGCTCTGCGGTACACTCAGGAGCGCAGGTCTCTGAAGCTGCACCGCTGCACCCCCTCCCGCTGCAGCAGTGCGTCGAGCCCTGGATCCGTCAGCACCGTGAGTTCGTGCTGTCTCTCTGCGGACCGGGAGAAGTCGTCTGGGCCCTCCCCGCACCCCCCCTCCCCCGGCAGGCTTGGGTAACCGGGGTGCACCATCAGCTCTGCGCTCAGCGGGGGGCCGGCAGGGGACTGGGCGGACAGAGCGTGAGACAGCGCCCTCTGCAGGCTGGACACGGACATGTTCTGACCCATTGTGCTCAGACCCAGGTACGCGTCAGGCCACCTGCGGACACAATCATTATCGAAGTTATGTTTTATATTTATGTATTTATCTATACTTAGACACTTAGACTTTTTATGGGCACCCTAAACCTCAAACGCAATAATAATAGAATAGCTAAAACATGTAGAATTATTCTTGTAACATTCCAAAACAGTGGTCCCTTGTTTATTACAGCGTTTACTTTCTAAGTTCTCGACTGTAAAACCCTTCACCTCACACTTTCTACACTTTTCTAACCCCTGAACTCACGGCTGCTGAAGTGCCAGTGAGAGATATCCAACTTTCTGGTTGTCAAAAGCCGTGCAAACGCTGTAATATCCAGCTTCAGAGGTCAGCTCTGAGGGCCAGGAGCAGGACTGAGGGCTACGGGAAGAAATAATGACCACGCTGCACACAAGCCACAAAAGTGTTCTTCTGACTTTCTTTGAACTCATGTTGTACAAGATGTTATATGATGTTGTATATGATATTGGAGTCCAATTTGGTTTCAAAATAAATATACTTTTTTTCCATCCATCCATTACATTTGTGGGTCGGGGGTGGCAGTCAGAGATGCACCAGCCGCTCACTGATCCTCCTGCAGGTGCTGAGTCCACAGGAGGATGGCTGCTCTGTCAGTGACGTTACAGCCTTGATCTTTCAGCGGGGGCTTCCGGCAAAGTGGGGTTAAGTGTCTTGCCCAAGGACACGATGACAGCAGGCAATAGTGGGTGTCGTGAAGTAAATCTCCTGGTGGGATCAACCTTCAGGCCCAAAGGCCTCTACCTACTGAGCCACTGTTGCTCCATATACTCCATAATACTTTTACCATAACCATTTAAATTACATTTGACGGTTGGACACTCATTATACTGTAAATTGATAATACAATAATTTAATAATAATAATAAAATGATCATGTTGCTCTTGTTTTAGCAACATAACACTCTCACACTCTCACATTAGTGTGAGCTTGTGTGTAAAACAGCGACAATAAAGTGTGGATATTTTTAATAGATTGTTGCTGTGATACAATTCTGCCAGAGAAGGGCGCTGTGCGTTCATTGTTTTTTGGCATCCAGCTGGTGTTTCAGCTTTTCTAGTATGATGTGAAGTCCTGAGGAGCAGCAGGAGGTCCTCCTTACAGCACCTTTCTCCTCACACCTCCTTAAGGTGGACCTCAACAGAAGGTCAACCATGAGCAAACAGGACGAGGAAGAAGGGATTTATTTGTTCGTTAATAACTGCTCACGGCTCAATGACAAAGATGTTTCCGAGAGTTGTGTCTCCACTGTTCAATTATCCAATTAGAGCTTCTTTACAAAAGCAAGTGTTCTGGGAACTCTGTGGATCGTCCTTTTGTCACATACCGGTAAATAAACTTTTCGAACTGGATTAACTCGAACAATGTGATGTTTTTAATTGTTCAGGGCCACAGGCCGCAAACAGAGCAAGACATCGCTTCAATTTATAGTGAGATATAATCACGGTCATTGAAGAGTATTCGACCGCCAGTACACTGTCCATAAACTGTTTAGTCTTTATTTGAAAGGGACTGTGCACAAAGACATGAAGCTCTGGGATAAAAACAGGGATTTAGTTTATCTGCAGTCAATGATTACATGAATAAAATATACAATAATATGTAACTACATTACAACAATAGAAGACAACAATACAATAGAAGAAATAAGCTACACAACAACATACATAGATAAGGAGCTGTAAAGGCTTTAGAAACCGAAGTACAGTACTGGAACAATACCAGTCAAAATCTATTGAAATGGTTGTTATTGTAAATAATTGAGTGTATGTACCTGAGTGAGTATTTGGTGAAGACGGGGATGGAGTCCAGTGCGTCCCTCTCCACTTGGCTGTAGAAGGAGCGGAGAGGAGGCGGGATCCAGGGGCAGCTGTGGAGACCGGCCTCCACTGGGACTCTGGTGAAGGGGATGCTCAGGTCGGACAGAACCTGAGCAAAGACCCCACGCACGCCTACAGACAGAGACACAGACAGAGACACAGACAGAGACAGAGACAGAGACACAGACAGAGACACAGACAGAGACACAGACAGAGACACAGACAGAGCCACAGACAGAGCCACAGACAGAGACACAGACACAGATAGAGACACAGACAGAGACAGAGACACAGAACAGACACAGACAAGAGACACAGACAGAGACACAGACAGAGACACAGACAGAGACACAGACAGAGACACAGACAGAGCCACAGACAGAGACACAGTCAGAGACACAGACAGAGACACAGACAGAGACACAGACAGAGACACAGGCAGAGACACAGACAGAGACACAGACAGAGCCACAGACAGAGACACAGTCAGAGACACAGACAGAGACACAGACAGAGACACAGTCAGAGACACAGACAGAGACACAGACAGAGACACAGTCAGAGACACAGACAGAGACACAGTCAGAGACACAGACAGAGACACAGACAGAGACACAGACAGAGACACAGACAGAGACACAGACAGAGACACAGACAGAGACACAGTCAGAGACACAGACAGAGACACAGACAGAGACACAGAACAGACACAGACAGAGACACAGACAGAGACACAGACAGAGACACAGTCAGAGACACAGAGAGAGACACAGACAGAGACACAGACACAGACAGAGACACAGGCAGAGACACAGTCAGAGACACAGACAGAGACACAGACAGAGACACAGACAGAGACACAGACAGAGCCACAGACAGAGACACAGACAGAGACACAGACAGAGACACAGACAGAGACACAGACAGAGACACAGACAGAGACACAGTCAGAGACACAGAGAGAGACACAGACAGAGACACAGACACAGACAGAGACACAGGCAGACAGAGTCACTGTCACAGTCACAGATTAATAGTTTTTAAAAATCAAACTAATAAAATCTAAGTTAAATAAGAAAACTATTTAAAAGTATAAATATTTGTGAACACCTCTACAGTATGTGCAACCACCCACTAAGGACTGGATGAGTTCAGTGCAGCACTTTGTGGTTTGACCAGCCGGTCGAGCACTTTACAAAAACAATCATATAATTCACAATCTAGTTAACGCTGGGAGAAATCTTCAAATCTCAACTTTGTGAAAAAAATACAATGTAATAAGTAAGCAAGAAAATCGTGCTTTTGTCTGTTATACAACTGCAGGTGTGTTCTGAAGACTGCTTTTTTATTTTATTGTTAAATGTTCTACCTTTCTCTCAGTTTAGTTACAACTGCAGTTATGTCCAAGTCTCAAAAAATAATTGCTACCAAAGGGTGCGTGTGTGTGCGTGTGTGTGTGCGTGCGTGTGCATGTGTGTGTGTGCGTGCGTGTGTGCGTGTGTTGTGTCTATTACCAGGCAACACGTGCACATGCTGGTGTCCATCCATGTGCTGTGGGTGTTGACCAGTCAGCTCTATGAAGCGCCTGACCTGAGCACGCAACTCCATCTCCACCTACACACAGACACACACACAGATACACACACACGCAGACACACACAGACACACACACAGATACACACACACGCAGACACACACACAGATACACACACACGCAGACACACACAGACACACACAGACACACGCAGACACACGCACACACACACAGACACATGCAGACACATGCAGACAAACACAGACACAAAGACACACACAGGCACACACAGGCACACACAGACACACGCAGACAAACACAGGCACACACAGACACATGCAGACAAACGCAGACACACACAAACGCAGACACACACAGGCACACACAGACACATGCAGACAAACACAGACACACACAAACGCAGACACACACAGGCACACACAGACACATGCAGACAAACACAGACACACACAAACGCAGACACACACAGGCACACACAGACACATGCAGACAAACACAGACACACAGAGACACACAGAGACAAACACAGACACACAGAGACACACACAGACAAACACAGACACATGCAGACAAACACAGACACACGCAGACACACGCAGACACACGCAGACACACACAGACAAATGCAGGCACACGCAGACACACACACGCAGACAAACACAGACAGACAGACACACACACACAGACACACACACACAGACACACGCAGACACACACACAGACACACACAGAAATACACAGACACATACACAGACACACGCAGACACACACAGAAATACACAGACACACACACAGACACACGCAGACAGACACACACAAACGCAGACACGCACAGAAATACACAGACACACACACAGACACACGCAGACACACACAGAAATACACAGACACACACACACACACGCAGACACACACAGACACACACAAACGCAGACACACACAGAAATACATAGACACACACACACACACACACACGCAGACACACAAAAATAGCACACTTTTAACATGTTTTATCTCATTGTAAAGCGCAGAACCTCTTGAATTCAGTCCTTGTTTGACTACACAACATTTATATAAGGCATGTATAAAGGCTTGCATGTGGCCATATAACACTGTACGTCAAACATCTGGTGACGTGTGTGTGTGTGTGTGTGTCTGAGCTCCCAGTGCAGCGTGGATGGAGCACAGAAGATGGAGTTTCCAATGGACCTTTGGACGGTCAATCTGGTACCGGTGCCGTGGTCCCTCTCTGCTGCCCTGTCTTTGGGATAATCACTTTTTCAAATGTAATGTATTGAAATGTATTTTGCCCAATGACCTGCTAATGGAGAGACTTGGTTTCTGTTCCAGTTTTTCAGCCGTACAATCGTGATGTCATGTGTAAAAATGGGAATATTAAACAAAATGTTAACGAGAAAGAACTCAACTTATATTATTAATCTAATTGTATTATTTCAACAAGACTTTAACCTAATTTTCACTGGAAAAGGGGAAGAAGCTAAACCTGCCTCATGTGTTTACAATCAGCCCTTGCTTTTGGCAGAAATATTGGAGATTTAGAAACATAATCTCGTACAAGAATGTTAATGTCGCCTGCTTTTTACAACTCTACGGGTGAAGATAATATTTTTCTGTTTGTGTGTCTGTTTGTGTGTCTGCTGTAACATGTTAACAAGGTACATAGTGACATCCTCACCAATAAGAACGTAACAATAAACATATTCATGATGTTTCCTGTCTTGACCAATCATTTATCCCATTACTGTTGTGATTTACTGCATGAGTTTAAACATTTATTTTCATAATGTCTGGTGTGATTGTTTTGTATCACGCCAATGTTTTCATATGAGGATTTGATATACTGCATTGAGCTGTACCTAGACCTGTTCAACCAGAATAATCTGGTTTCTGTATTTGCTTAAGACAAGGCAGCCGCAGTCTGGAAAATGATTAAGTGATACATAATGCACATACATGATGGCCTCATGAATCTATTACTGTATATCATAGATCAACTGGCTCCTGATTGGCTCTTTGGTTGCTACAAAAGGTTTTCTATGAGAGATTTTGCCACCAGATTCTCGCCGATAGAGTGTGGCCCAGCTAACTCCAATCGATTTCTTCCAGTAAAATCCAAAACACTATGAAAGATGTCAGCACTCACTATGTCCACTATGTTCTAGAGCAGGGGTGGCCAACCCGCGGCTCGTGAGCCGCATGCGGCTCTTTGGCTGGTTCCGTGCGGCTCTCGGGCTTTCACTCGACAAGCGTCAAAAACGCCTCGGTGGTGGCGCTGCCTTTCATTCCATATGTAGTTCTGACCAATAGTAAAGGCCGACTTCACTCGCCTTCACTAGCCAGGCCGCCAAAACAATCTGACGTCGGCGAACGTCAATTCTGGTTGGTCAGATGCATTGTCAATCACTCTGCAGCTGCTACCTCAGCTGTAGCAAATATCATAACAAACAACACGTTGCCTCGAACCATGACGTCCGTACGGAAAACAATTTCTTGGTCGCTGGATGAGGGCAACACCTTCCTCAGTTTGAGGAGAGGACACCAGCCTGATCTCGCTGGTTCCACCAGAAACCAGAAGGTGTTTGTGGAGCTAGCACTAAGGACGGAGCAGAATGATTCCCACAAACATGACAATGCAGAGAAAAGTTAAAAAGCTTAAAAGTGACAACCGTGAAATGAAAGATCGCAGCAGCAGAAGTAGAGGCAGACCCGAAAAGTCTGGAGGTGGTTTGACCAAATGGATTACATTTACGGACATCGGCTAACACCGGCTAACATGCTAAAACCAGCTAACAACAACTAGCATTACACCAGGAGATAAGCCAACTCTGCCTGGTGAGTGTCTGTCTTCAATCAAATGCAAAAGTATCTGGTCTTATACTGAACATGTGTCTGTGGTTCTAAATCAGCTAAAGTGGTGTTGGTGTTATGTGTCAAATCTATATCTTTTACTAAAGACAGTTGTGTTTCTGCTGAACACTGGGTTGAAACTTGATTTTTTTTTCTTGGTTAGAGATTGCAAGCATTCATTTCGGAATCATAATTGATGTTCGCTGACGTGAAATTGTTCTGGTATCGACTCGCCCGGTTAGAACCAGGGCCAAACCATTAATAAAAAGTACCGGGGAGCGGTTGAAGCGAGCGGTAGAAGCGCCCGCAAACCGGGGAGAGTCGAGTCCTGCCCTTTAGTACTGTACGAGTCAATTTCTGTCATTATCATGTTGATGACATTTACAATAAATCTGTCTGAGCAGAGCACACCTCTCTCTGCACAGACAGATTGCATGTGTGTGCGCGTGTCTGCTCGTGTGCGTGCGTGTGTAAGGGTTGGGGTGATGTTTATGTAGTGCACATTTGTATGATGTGGCTCTTTGCTGTAATACAGTAAAAAAATTGGCTCTTAGTCTGTGACTGGTTGGCCACCCCTGTTCTAGATCTATGGATGACCTCTATCTGACGTGATTAGGCGTCAGCAGCTCTGAAAGGCTTGAAAGTACTCCACCTGTGTGAGGCACAGCTGGCCCCTCTCCAGGCAGCGTCGGAAGCCCATCTTGCCGTGGAAGAGTCCGCGGTGGTCGACCAGGGAGGACAGCTGCAGGCCAGAGCACACGGGCACACCCTCCGACAGGTTAGCATGGAGCCCGATGGGGATGTTGTGCCTGACCACACAAACAAATGCATCAAAGCAGAAGCCAAATCCAAATCATGTAGCAGAGAGTCCAGGGATAAGACGGTGTATCTATAGAGAAAAACAAAATTCACTGCCATTCAAAAGTTTGGGGTCACCCTGATGATTTGACCTCACTCCCCTCAGGACTGAACACCGAACCTTGAGGGAACGATCCTTCGCCGTAGCTGCCCCCACTTTTTGCAACTCACTCCCACAACCCATCAGAAACTCAGACTCGCTACAGAACTTTAAATCTATTCTCAAAACCCAACTGTTTCACCTTGCATTTCCATAATTTATTATTACTACTATTCTTATTAATTTTAGTTGTATGTTATATAGCTGTAAAACATTGATGAGTCCAAACCAAACGTCCAGAGGAGCTATATCAAAAAGTATTTAGGAGGATTTTTCCCAAAGCCATAATTTTCAAAGTGATAAACAAAGGCATATGTCACTTTGCATCTAATGGGTCTGTATCATAAAAATGGTTTCACATTGTAAGTTTTTGAACAATATTCTATTTTTGACCTTTATATCAAGATACAGTGTAATGTATCTTGATATAAAGGCCCAGTTGAAGTGCTGTAGTCGTGACGCAGACCTCTTGGCGAGCTCGGCGGCCTGGGGGGCAGCAGAGCCGTTCACCAGCAGCGACACGGTGGTGATGCCCCCAGACAAGAAGCACTCCACCAGGCCCTGGTTCCTCCGTGCGCAGTAACCAAAGTCATCTCCAGTCACCACCAGCTGCATCCTGGACTGGGGCATCGCTCCTCACTGCAAACAGGAACGAGACTGAAGAACGACAACACAGAGGATGGAACGGCGCCAAAGCAGATGTAGATTTCACCAACGAGGCCACACAAAAGGCTTTGCAATTTTGTTGTAACAGTTTTACATCCACTCTCCACAGAATGAGGGCCCCAATCCAACAAATATCCATCCATCCATTTTCTTCCCCTTAATCCATTTCTGGGTAGAGGTGGGTGGTAGTCAGAGCTGCACCCAGTCCACAGAGCACCCGCCCCTCACTGATCCTCCTGCAGGTGCTGAGTCCACAGGAGCCTTGATCTTTCAGCGGGGGCTTCAGGCAAAGTGGGGTTAAGTGTCATCAGCGGGAGTCGTGAAGGCTCAAACCCACGACCTTCAGGCACAAAGGCCAATGCTCTACCAACTGAGCCACTGTCGCCCAACAACCAACAAAGATAAGGCGTAGTATTGGTTCTTTAGTCAACATCAACCTATCAACAATTATTAATAATTAGATTATACAAATATTTATTTTCAGTACTTTATTCACTTTTTACAGGAACAATCTTGCTTTCTTGCATTTGTGACAGTGACATAAAGCAGATCGTTTTTCACAATAGGGCTGTTAAGTGTGACATAATTTCTCACTCTGGTGTCTCCGATGTCAAAGCGTCGCCGACCTGACAGCTCAACCTTTACCGCTTTCTCGACTCTATCCCAGAGTTTTTGCTGCTTTATCGTTTACGTTCAAACCAAACCAGTAAATCAGCCTTTGTATGAGAGGAAAAGTATGACGCGGTTTGAGTTGTTTAAGGTAAGCCAATCTTATGTGAACCTTACACTAACAGCTGCTTTGTGGCTTGGTGTTGCTAAGTTAACTTGGTCAACAAAGAAATGTGTGTGTCATGTGAGTGTAAAGAAGTGTATATTTACAGTATAAAAGACAGATTTAGGTAGTTTTCCATCCTGTGTGTGTAAATATGGTCTTTTCAAACAGACCCATGAGTGAAAGTGGGAAAGAGTATGAAAACATATCAATGTCTCAGGTTTTATTATTTGTATAAATACTATTTTAATTCATACTTTTTCCAAGGCAAAGGCCCAACAATGTCGCAGTGGGAGAATAAGGAGGACGCCCCAATACGATAACGGTATTGAGTTGGATCGGGTGTCGGTTCTTTGCGTAGATCCTATTCCATGATAGGGACTCTCCCCACACTTACAGACCCGATAGGTTAGATAGTTATTTGATATGAACAAGAGCTAGTGTCAGTGTGCTGATAGTTTTGAATTGTTCTCAGACAAAGTATACGTTTTATTGACGTATTTTCTATGTCTTTGGCATTTTATATCTGACTGCAAAATGGAAGATTTCTCTGTGATGACTATAGTGAGTATCCTGTTGTTTTTAGTCAGCATTCGGCATTTTACTCTTATAACTTTGTGACATGACAGTGTTAGTTTAAGAGCCTCCGCTGCCATCAAAGTCAATTTCCTAAAGAAAAGTGTGCACTGCTCATATATTTGCACTACGTAGTTTTATCACTGATTCCAGCCTTTTGTTTAATATAGTGTCACTTCCTGGACGCTCCCTGGCAGTTTTTTCCCCTAAAAGTAAGTGTACACTTGTACCACTCCGGATATCTTTGTAGAGTGTATCGTTTCGTTGATGGTTCTGGTCCTCCTCGCACTAGTGTTCACCGCAGTGGTGACCTCTCCCTAGTTCATATAGATATAGTATAAAGATTATAAAATCCCTTTGTGCTGCATGCAGAGCTCTGGAGCCACAGTCATGCTCCTTGCTCTGCCGCGATATTTAATATCATGTATTTAGACAAGGCAAGCAATTTGTATAGCACAGTTCATACACAAGGCAACCTGAAAGTGCTGAACAAAACAAGATAGAAAGAATCATACAGGCATTGAAATGACAATCACTGTAGATAAAAAAGAGTAAAGATAAAATCCCACAGTTGTATGCACAGCTAAACCTGTTTTTTTGCCTGGGTTTTGACATTTTCAGAGAAAAAGCCTGTCTCACATTTTCTGGAAGACTATTCCAAATTTTAGCTGCATAAATATATTTATGGGACATCGGGCTATTCACCCGTTGTCCCATTGTCTGTTTCATGGTGCGATTACGGGACCTCTGAACCCGGCCTCCTCCATCTACACCTGCAGACTGCCCTCCCCGACCCGCCTGGGAGCGCTTAAGTCCTGTACCGGACCTGTCCACGCTCTGCGGCCGCTGCGTGGCCCTGGTCCTCGTTCTGTAGCTTAGGTCCTGGATCTATAGCCCGTCCGTCCGTGTCGGAGCAGATCCCTTCCTCAAACTATGGGTCTCCCCGAGGTTTCTCACTTTTTTCCCACTGGGTTTTCTTATGAGTTTTTCCTTGTCGATGCAGGAGTCTGTTGGACAGTTAGTGTCCAACTAGAAGGACTGTGATGATCCAGGACACTTTAACATTCTACAACATGTGTGACATTTATCAACATGTGTTCTGTGTTATTTTTGTGCTTTAACTGTTGATTCTCTGATTTGTGTTGGTGATTTCAATGGTTTTGTTAAGTCTCTGAGATGACTTCTGTTGTGATTTAGGGCTATACAAGAATAAATTGTATTGAATTGTATGAATCTGAAATGCTGCCTCTCTATGTTTAGTTCTGACTCTGGGCAACAGTAAGAGGCCAGTTTCTGTCTCACAATAATATTTATTGTTATTATATTTCCACTCTCTTGCAGCAGGGGTTCCCCAACTCTTCAGACGGAGACCCCCAGAATAAGCATAAAGCCTCAGAATTATACAAATTCAAAAATGTGAAGTAATAAAACATAAAAACACTGTAAATCAGAGAATTCACCAAATAGATTTTTATGACAACTATATTGGATCTAATAATCATCTTGATTAATTCACACGACCCCCACTTTGGAGGCCCCAGGATTAAGTCACTTTATGACTGTAAAGGTACAGATACAGGAGTAACAATACAACAGTAAAGTATCACAAGAGAAAGATCATTAAACCCAGTGATGAAAAGTGTGCTGATGTGCTGTGCAATAGGGATGTAGCAGTAGGGCTAAGCTTCTCTGATGAGTATGAGTAGTAGTTTATAGATTAGTTTATAGAAATGATTCGAGTGCACAGAGCACCGTGGGGGCTAGTTCTAAGTCACCATCATCAAACAGCTGCCTTGTCTTCTGCATGGAATACATTTCAATGAAAAACTTTGGACCTAAATTGGAATTGGTTTCATACATTTTGTAATAAGCTTGTTGCCATTTCAGACAAGGCAGATTGATTGTTACTTAAAAATAAAAATAAACATGTTTCATTCCACCACTGCAATTTGAAGGTCCATCGGGAGCAGGACGACCCCAAATTGGACGAAGGATCCATTCCCACAGACAAGGCTATATGTTGTTAATATTTCATCTATTAATGTTCAATAATAAAACACTAAGTATAGACATTGGCACCTTTTCCCCTAAACCAGTGAATAACTTTAAAAAAAAAATGCTCAATCTCACTGTGTTACAGAACAGAAGAGGAGCACAACCCTATCTATCTATCATCTATACTCTAGTGTCAGAATACTCTTATGTCTACAATACAATAAATACAGATACATCGGTAATACAATGTTACTCCTGTAAATGTTATTCTACTGTACATGTTAGCAGCATGTTATTTACTGTACATGTTATTCTACTGTACATGTTAGCAGCATGTTATTTACTGTACATGTTATTGTACTGTACATGTTAGCAGCATGTTATTCTACTGTACATGTTAGCAGCATGTTATTGTACTGTACATGTTAGCAGCATGTTATTGTACTGTACATGTTAGCAGCATGTTATTCTACTGTACATGTTAGCAGCATGTTATTCTACTGTACATGTTAGCAGCATGTTATTGTACTGTACATGTTAGCAGCATGTTATTGTACTGTACATGTTAGCAGCATGTTATTCTACTGTACATGTTAGCAGCATGTTATTGTACTGTACATGTTAGCAGCATGTTATTGTACTGTACATGTTAGCAGCATGTTATTGTACTGTACATGTACATTGTGAATGTTAGCAGCATGTTATTGTACTGTACATGTTAGCAGCATGTTATTGTATGTACATGTTAGCAGCATGTTATTGTACTGTACATGTTAGCAGCATGTTATTGTACTGTACATGTTAGCAGCATGTTATTGTACTGTACATGTTAGCAGCATGTTATTGTACTGTACATGTTAGCAGCATGTTATTGTACTGTACATGTTAGCAGCATGTTATTGTACTGTACATGTTAGCAGCATGTTATTGTACTGTACATGTTAGCAGCATGTTATTGTACTGTACATGTTAGCAGCATGTTATTGTACTGTACATGTTAGCAGCATGTTATGTAGTACTGTACTGTACATGTTAGCAGCATGTTATTGTACTGTACATGTTAGCAGCATGTTATTGTACTGTACATGTTAGCAGCATGTTATTGTACATGTTAGCAGCATGTATGTACATATTGTACTGTACTGTACATGTTAGCAGCATGTTATTGTACTGTACATGTTAGCAGCATTTATTGTACTGTTAACTGTTACTGTACATGTTAGCAGCATGTTATTGTACTGTACATGTTAGCAGCATGTTATTGTACTGTACATGTTAGCAGCATGTTATTGTACTGTACATGTTAGCAGCATGTTATTGTACTGTACATGTTAGCAGCATGTTATTGTACTGTACATGTTAGCAGCATGTTATTGTACTGTACATGTTAGCAGCATGTTATTGTAGTGTACATGTTAGCAGCATGTTATTGTACTGTACATGTTAGCAGCATGTTATTGTACTGTACATGTTAGCAGCATGTTATTCTACTGTACATGTTAGCAGCATGTTATTGTACTGTACATGTTAGCAGCATGTTATTCTACTGTACATGTTAGCAGCATGTTATTGTACTGTACATGTTAGCAGCATGTTATTGTACTGTACATGTTAGCAGCATGTAATTCTACTGTATTGCAGTTTGAGGTTTTTGACTAAGTGACAGTGGACACATGTGGTAGTATTATATTGATTTTGTTTTATATCCAACCATGATTTCACTAAAAAGGTTTACATTTGAGAAGTATCTGAGTCTCAACATGGACCCATATAGACCCATATGGACCCATATGGACCTATATGGACCAGTCTGATTCTGCAACGTGTCAGGTGAGAAGGGAGCACCTGTACACGGAAACACAAACAACACAATGCACCAGTACAGGCTTTTATACTGAGTTTATATGTGTACTTTATGTTGCTTTACATTACTGCAACACTTCTGCATCCACATTATAAGTACAGTTTGATGAGAACCACGTGATCTCTATTATTAATATACTTATTGTTATTATGCGGTCATAGTTCCAGTCTATGGATCAGACGGATATGAGCGTCTTACCTGCTGCTCCACAAGGTCTCGGGACATCCGCAATGATCAGACCAGACTGTGTCCAGGGGACCTCAGGGGACCTCAGGGGACCTCAGGCTCCTTCATGGTCTCACGGTCTATGGTTCAGACGCGGTCCGCTTGTTCCGCTCCATGTCTGCGGCACGCGCTCGGCATGTTCCCGGTGAGCTCGAGCCGCGGCGCGAGGGGGGCGGGGTCCTGGGGGTGATCAGGATGTGCCACTTTTTCTTCTTCGGGTTGACGGAGACTCCATTATGATGTGTGTCGCCCTCTACTGCACAAGAGTGAAACTGCAGAGTTGTCAATGACACAATCAAAAGTGTATTTTGTTGTATTGAAATAAAATGGTACAGATCTTTCTGTATACAAACAAACAGACAGAAAGATAACATAAAACCAGTGTGAGGGTGGGAGAGGGGAGACCAAGGTTTAAATAATAAAAACAGGGTGGATTTAAATGAAAAAGGTTTAAAAAGTGTATATTAGGAGTGGACTGACCGAGTGACTCATAGACTGTAATGATGGAAAGATACGTGGGCTCGGGCTGCACAATAATGGCCAAATATATAATGGCGACACATGAGCAAAGATTTAGAAGAAGAAGAAGAAGGTCCTTTAGTCGTCCCACAGTGGGGAAATTTCAGTTGGATGCATACACATCTACATATACATATACATATACATATACATATACATATACACATATACTCATATATACATATATACATACATATACATATACACACATACACATCAAGGCAAGCAGCGAACATGAGTTCCGTGCTCCTTATAGGCAAAGTGGGTTAAGTGTCTTGCCCAAGGACATAACAACAACAGACATCAGTGAAGTCGGTGGAGAAGGTCTTGTGGTGGGCTAAAACCCACAACCTTCGGGCTCAAAGGTCAATGCTCTGTCAATTTACAATTACCACTAGATTTTAAATGTAAACATTATGACATGGGTAACATTATTTTTGTTACAGAGCAATGTGTTCACTGGTGCATCACCTCTTCAGTATGTCTATACTGATTTTAATTTAATTTGTTTAATGATCTTGTGTTATCTTTTATCAGGTCACTGGCATGAACTCGTGCTTCAGTCAATGTTTGTTCAGTGCTGTCTTTATCTCAAATGTTGACTTAATCGTTTCTTTTTTCAGTTCAATTCAATTCAATGTATTAATGAACAGCCTCAAATCACAACAGTAGTTTTCTGGAAGGGTTTTATAAAACCCTAACCCCAAACTTAACCCTGTGATTTACTTGTCTCAAGTCCCCTAACCCTAACCTTAACCTTAACCCTAACTGTTCTAGTTAAACATTATAGTTACGTGTTGGGTTCAAATCTTAGAATAAAATAAAAGATGGTAAAACATGCCACAGTCATATTAACCTCACAATAACATGTTAAATTGGAACATATTCCAAAGCACACCTGCCACTGAGGTTAACAAAGGCTGGATTAAATATTATCGAAGGGGGAAATGGTAATAGAAAATATAACTGAAGTGTATTTGGATTAACAGAAATTTAATGGTTAACATGGGCGAGACTCAAAAGGCCGTTTCATAACCTCTGGGAATTTGGAACAGAGGTTTGGTTCCTTGTAATGGCTCCTTTGACTTTGTCAAAAACACAATATTGTTGTTGTGTTCTTAGGCAATACACTTCACCCACAAAGCCAAGAATGAGTCTGGTGTGTGTGTGAATGGTTGGTGGTGGTCGGAGGGGCCGATGGCACTGACAGGTTGCTTTGCTTCTGTCAGTGTGCCCCAGGGCAGCTGTGGCTACAGTAAAAGAATGATGTGAAGCATCTTTTGAGCGTTACATGAAACCGATGCATTATTATTGTAATCTCTTACTTTACTGTAAATGACTGAAGAACTCTCGGCTGCTGCAGTCATGGGATATTCATGTGAGTTCTGTGTGTTCATGTGACCAGCAGAGACACCAGGAAGTGCAGGGAAATACACAGGACTTTATGTGATTAGGGCGGTTCTCAGAACAGAGCTGAAAGTTTTGACTCCAACTAAGTTTTAGAAGGAATGTTATTGTCAAAATATAGAGATGTCCTCATTTCTAAAGCAGAAAGTCTTCATATAATGACATTTGCCAAAAGGCCCATAGGACAGGAAGGACACTCTGATTTGATTTAGCTCAAAAGGTAAAAAATCTTTAGAAAGATTTTTGACCATTCAACTTCATCTTGCATCAATATTATAGTGCCTTTGTTGTTGTTGTTGTTCCTGACCCAAAATGCAAGTCCTGTGCTGCTGATCTGACTAAAGTGGTACGACTCCAATTTCATTGAGCTTGTGGAAGGAACAGGGAAATGCATCTTTCATTTTTTTTATTAATTCTCTTTTATAGTCAGCCTCGTAGAGGTACCTGGAAAAATCTGCTATAGCACTTGAAAAAGTACTCAAAAAACGTATGTGCAGTCGCTGTTTTCAACAAGCGGCATCGTGTTTGTCGCACACTTTCCAAACAAACTTGAAAGATGCTTCTAAGATGTCAATAAATGCGTTAAAATGATCTTGCATATTTGCTATGTTGTTTATGATGGTTGATCTACCAGATCTACCAGCTCTCCTGCTGGTGCCCAGAGTCAGGACTGAACATGGGGAGGCAGCATCTCACTTTTATGCAGCCAAAATCTGGAACAGTCTTCCTGAAAATGTCCTAGAAACATTTCTGTTTAGCTTTGCACACAACTGAGGGATTGTATCTTTGAACTGTGATTAATTATGTTTTAAAATGTTATCCTGATGTTTGTGGTTTTAATGTTTGTGATTTATTTTCTTGTTTAAAGAACTCTTCACACGTCACACCTGCTCTTATATTCAACACAAGAGCAGTGCTCGTGATTTCAGAGTTGATCTGGCAAATTGTTTAGATCGCTACAGGTGGCAGCGATCTCACATCTTCAGATCTTGAATCATAAAACTGGTGTGGCGGTGGATCTGTGATTCAGATTCATCATCAGTTCAGCTTAATCACAGATGCCTTTTCAAATGGATTGTAACCTGTGTTTTTTGTCCGATTTATATTTCTAATATTGTGTGATTAATTACTACCAACAAAAATTTCAAGATTCAACATTAATGTATTATGTCCCGTAGGAAATTTGTCTTGGACTCACAGCTGCTGCATTGAAAATACACATAAGACAGACACAACACAGTAACACCGTTGGTTAAAGTCAACCTACAATAAAAGGTACAGTCTGTGCTCTGCAAGTGCTTTTATTGATTCATTATAAATATATTTGAAATTGTCTTCCTTGACTTGTGAAAGGTAGAATATTGATTGGTGGAAGAAGATGCGTGGAGAGAAGGGGCTGGGCGCGGCGGAACATTCCTTCAGACTCCTGTGGAACTCAGGTGGGGAGGAGCCACATCCTCCAGCAGCAGCTTTAAAAGACAGGTGCAAGACTGATGAAGACTCTCGGATGAAGAATCTATTCTCCAATCTGTCAAGACCTGATTTTTGTAACATTCACTTAGCTAAACCTTACACTGCCGAGATTGGACACATTTGCAGTTTTACAGCCGAAGCCACTTCTGCGTGAAGGACAAATCTACACGTCATCATGGCATCGCTGAAACTGCTGCTCACTCTGGCCTTGGCCCTTGCTCCACACATCAACTCAGGTACATTCGCTTTATTCCATTTGTTTATTATTAATTGCACTTAAATAGTAACAATTTAAAGCAAATTTGTCTTTAATCATTTACCTTTTTTTTTCACTTACATATATCCAAAGGAGGCAAGTCCTGGGGAAGAACCTCCAGACGCACTTGTTCACAGCTGTACACAAAATGAAAAATCCTAAAACCCTTGATTTGAAAGAAAAAAAGCAGACAAGATATTGATGTTCTGTCATCTGACTTTTTTAGATGGGTAGGGCTACAAAATAGATAGAAACTGTTCAAAGTAAAAGAATAGATAGTTATCTAGAGTAATAATAGTTATATCACTGTGACCTTTTGCTAATACTACTTTCGATGCATGACTAACTCTTGGCTCTGCTCTGGTTTTGTGCTCCGCAGTTGAAGGGATCAGCTGTTTTAGTTGTACCGGCTCCTGCGCATCGCAAAAGCCACAGAAATGTCCTGATGGAGAAACGTGCATCTCTGTGAAGACGATTGGTAAGTTCTGTGACACGACTCAAACCATTATCATTTGTCATTCAGCTTTAGTAGATCTGGCTCAAACACCATATCCAAATGATCCTGGCCTGGCCCCTCTGTAAGATTTAGAGCCCATTGTGGCCCTCAAGCCAAAAGCAAATAAATGTACAACCCGATACGGTGTTTGTCTCAAGGAATATGCAAGATGCGGCATTTACACAAAATTTGGCACAATACTGGGAGGAGAAAGTGTAAATATAAGATAGCATAGATACTGGGAGATTGAGAGATTGCAGTCAAGTATAAAACAGTAATCAACATTTATTGAAAGAACACATAACAAAGTAGAAAAACTCACCCATTTCAGTGGGAACAGTGTCTTTGGTGTCAATTTTTTGCCGGTGCGGAGCAGGTTTTGTGAACGCAGTTTGAGCGCATTAAGGTGGGAGTGTGGGAGTTTACCTGCTGGAGTGTGTGGCTGTGGTATTTCTGTCTTTTGGTATCCAGTGCGTCGTTCAGGGAAGGTACCAGCGAACTACCAACAATACTCATGCTTCTGAAGAAAATTATATGAAGGAGATTTTCTGACAGATTCAGATTCAGATTCCGTTTATTTCCCATTTGCAGTAAAAACACCACATTGGAATACATTAGCAAAAAGTCACCAGTGTGCACAGACAAATACAGACATAAAACAACATTAAAAGACAGAAATAAAACAAATAAAACAGTAAACAAATGTCGCTGTGAAATCGATCGATTAAAACAGTTTCAAAACAAGTGCAAATCATTAAAGTGCTCTGTTCACACTGATAACAGCTTGTGGATAACAACTGTTAGCGTAACGAGATGTCCTGCATCTCAGAGAGCGATATCTTCTGCCAGAGGGAAGAAGCTGGAACATGGCTTTCCCAGGGTGGCCAGAAGAGTCATTAACAATCCTCATAGCTTTGTTTAAAAGTCTGGATTTATAAAGAACCTCCAGAACAGGAAGTTCACAGCCCACGGTCCTCTTTGCAGAGCGGAGCACCTTGTTTAAAGCTCTCTTTTCTTTATCTGTGATGTTTCCAAACCACACAGACACAGAACCAACAAGTAAACTCTCAATGGTGCTCAACTCTCAATAAACGTTAAGCAGAATCTTAGAGTTAGTGGTAAATTCTCTAAGTTTATGCAGAAAGTAGAGACGCTGACGAGCTTTCTTAACGACCCGGTCAGTGTTTTTAACCCATTTCAGGTCGTTAGACAGAGTTAAACCCAGAAACTTGCTCCTCTACGATCTGCACCTGGGAGTTGTCGATTACTACAGGAGCATGACTCAGAACCTGTTCACATGAATCCCCCAATCCTCATCAGCATCACCATCATATGTTTGTTTTGTGGGAAACAAGCTCGGCCTTTGCCAGTTTGAATGCCAGCAAAAAACTCTCCTTGGTACTTGCTTCTTGAGTTGCAGTTAATCTGTGAAAACAAAAATGATGCCGTGTCTGTCATTTAGCTGCAAGCCTCTTTGTGGTATAACCGAAAGATGAACATGACAAATGATTCTGATGATTTGTTTATTTTATTGTTAAAAGTTCGGCAAGCTGCATTAAAAAGTCCACTGGGCCATATATGCCATCATCTTTATATCAGACAAAAAAGTAACTTAAAGAAAACATTGTAGTTTATCCTTTTATACAACTATTATCTAGGCATTGTTATATGTTTTGAACAGCATACATCTCATTATTGATTCCTTTATGGTATGTCACTGTAAAAGCTATGAAAGCGCCCAAACAGCAGCAGACCTGTACAAAACTGTATGACAGGCAAAAGGGAGCAATACGAACATGTTAAAACAGTGGAGGTGAAAATATTGGAAGATGGAAGAAAAAAAGCGAGAATTATTTTTATTAAGAAAAACCCATTGAAAACTCTTGAGTTGTTGACGTGCTTTAAAAGGAAAGGAAGGTTTCTCACCCATCATTTGTACTTCTTAGCAAGTTTTCCCGACGTTTCGTCCTCAACCTGGGGACTTCTTCAGGGAATGAATTCTCGGACCGCGCGTTGGAGATTTATAACCTATGGGTGTGGTAAGCCACACCCTAATCCTGATACTAACTCGTAAACAATCTACGGTCTGCTTGATGTAGAAGGGAGCAGGTCTAACGACCCTGCTGAGGCTAACGACCCTAACTCCTTAGCATGTCACAGACCTATTGTCTGCTGGGATGCTCAAGTGGAGTGCAGGTTTCACCCCTCCTAACTCATTAGCATGTCACTGACCTTGTCCCAAGTTAGGGCGTTGTTTTTAGGATGTCGTCATAGATGCGAGGCAAAACAAATCTTAACCCTCCTCCTCTGTTAAGAGAAGGTTTTTGTTTCCTCACAAAAATGGCTTCTTTCACCCCTCTCTCAAACCAATTCTTCTCCCGAGCCAGAATTTTAACCTCTGTGTCATCCACCGTGTGGTTGGAGGCCTTGAGGTGGAGATGAACAGCCGACTAGAGTTTTCTCTACGATGTTGGTAAAGTCGTTTCTGTAGAGTTTGTTTGGTTTCTCCAATATAGTGGTCAGTGCACTCCTCTTCACTACATTTAATTGAATACACCACGTTGCTCTGTTTGTGTCTGGGTGTTTTGTCTTTGGGATGCACTAATTTCTGTCTTAACGTGTTGAAAGGTTTGAAATACACAGGGATTTTGTGTTGCCTAAAGATTCTTTGTAGTTTCTCTGAAACTCCCGCCACATACGGTAAGGACACCCCTCTCCTCCTACTTTCTTCTGTCTGTTGGACTGTGTCTCTGGCCTTTCTCGTCCTTTGGGCTTTAGTAAAAGACCACTTGGGGTAGCCACATCTGGAAAGTGCTCTCTGAACATGTTTGGTTTCTCTGTTCTTTCCCTCCGAGCTAGTGGGGACCTGGTGGGCTCGGTGTTGAAGCGTTCTAATGACCCCGAGTTTGTGTTGTAGCGGATGATTTGAATCAAAGGCCAGGTACTGGTCAGTGTGAGTGGACTTTCTGAAGACCTCAGTCTCTAATTGTCCGTTCTCCAGTATGATTAGAGACTGAGGTCTTCAGAAAGTCCTCGTCGGGACTTTCGTCGGGAAACGTCGGGAAAACTTGCTAAGAAGTACAGATGATGGGTGAGAAACCTTCCTTTGCTTTGACTAATCCCTGTACGTCTGAGGGCTTACACAAACTTATCATGCTTTAAAAGGTTCGCTTCAAGTATGTGCGGTGAAAATATTTGACAGATTGTTTCAAACCAGTGAAAGCACAGAGCATCAGACATGAAACAGTTGTGTTGGGCAGATCAGTCCTGATGTTTCTTAAGCCATAATCACAGAGGACTAACCAAGTGTTGACGTCACCCTACTCCAACAAACTATTCTATCTGGAATCTGGATCCAAGTTATAATCACCTCTCCAAATCAATCATAACACTGGGTAACAAAAAAATATGTTTTGAAAATAGTCCAGGGTTTTTCAGCTGGATTAGACTAATTTTAATGCTCTGAGTCCGAAAATGACCTTGGTTTTGCTCAATCAGGTCAGGATTCTTTGCTACAGAAATATTTTTTTTTATTGATTTTGCGTAAAAAACTAATTTCTGCGGATCATCAGCTGAGAAACCCTTGACGTTTTTTTCCGTTTTCCTCAAAAAATAAAAGTCAACGTTTCCAAAGTCATTCAGTTTTTATTTACTCAAATTTGATAAGCAGAATTCATAATAACGTAGACGTACATAATCCGTAACACTATGGCTGTATCTCAAAAAGTTGACCTGATAGAGCAAAATGCATGTGATATTCGGACTCAGAACACCAACATTAGTCTGAATCAGTTGAGAAACCCCTGACCATTATTTGGGCTGTCAACTTGTGTTATTATTGTAGATCACCATTTTTCAATATAGAATAGAGTACAATGCATCCATCCATCCATCCATCCATTTTCTTCCCCTTAATCCATTTCTGGGTCAGGGGGGTGGCAGTCAGAGCTGCACCCAGTACACAGAGCACCAGCCCCTCACTGATCCTCCTGCAGGTGGTGAGTCCACAGGAGCTGAGATCTTTCAGTTGGGGCTTTTGGGCAAAGTAGGGTTAAGTGTCTTGCCCAAGGACACAACGACAGCAGTCATCAGTGGGAGTCGTGAAGTAGGTCTTACGGTGGGCTCGAACCCACGACCTTCAGGCCCAAAGGCCAATGCTCTACCAACTGAGCCACTGTCGCCTGTAGCTACAGTACAGTACAATGCAATATGTTTTAATTTTCATCTCTTTGTTGCCCACAGTGAATAAGAATGGTGTTGTAAACTTCGAGAGCTACAAAGGCTGCGCCGGAACCAGTCTGTGCCCGTCCCCTGGCCCCAAAAACTTCTCCATAAACTTCGGAACAGAATCAGTTCTTGGACGGGCCGAGTGCTGTGACGAGAACAACTGTAATGGTGCAGAGGCTTCAAGTGAGGGGGAAATTACATCCAACATTCCTCATGTACTTCTGCTGTGCTGTCACAAATGAGCTTTTATGATTTTAATTACCCGCTAGTCATGACAGAAGTTAACTCGTTTAGGAATCATTATAAAACCATGGGAATTCTATATGGACTCTTGTTTTCATGGATGAAGTTGAGAAAAAGTCAAGATGAAGTCAGTGTAAGGATTTAGCTGTAGGCCTACTGTGAACTAGCATGGCTAACACAGTGCACCCGGAAAAACCTTTATTTATTGAGACTGTGATTCAACTGTCATTAAAGGAGGATCCAATTTGAACAATAACTTAAAGAAACAGTGAGGAAAGGAAACATCCAGAGCCTTTATTAGATCTTCAACATAGGAAACTGGGAAAATGTCTCTTTATTCCCAAACATATCTGAAAAAGCCCATCTGCAAAATTACCTGTATGTATCTTAAACTTGTAGTAGCATATGAATTACAACAACAATCTCCGCTCCAGATAGTTTCATAGGTTCATGATCATACTTTTCCAATTAGTGTTTTTTAGTGTGAGCTCTTTGACTGCCTTGGCTTTCTTTTGCTATACCTTCATACAATCATGTTTTATTGATTCCATACTCTTGCTTGTTTTCACAGGTCCGGAGATCCCTGGTCCCGGGTCCCTGCAGTGCTTCAGATGTGACCCGCTCACCAACAATTGTAACACATCGTTGAACTGCAGTGTTTTAGAGACCGGCTGCTTCCAGTCCACATGTACGGTGATCCTCCATGACACATTTGTATTAGCGCAGGAGCTCAAGGAGAAACAGGGAAGAAGCATTTTTACCCTTTAAAGTGATTGTCTGGAGTTTGTCAGAAAGAGAGACAGAGAGGTGCTTGATTTGAAAAAAACGATGCAAGCTCCTCCCCCTTCCTTTCTGATTGGTCTACGCCTAGGTTTCCGTAACACTTTTTAATGTTAATCAGAGAACACATTATACATATACATTATTAATACACATGCACGGAGGTTTTCAGAATTATTTGTCAACGTTTTAATAAAAAAGAAAAAAAGCAATCGCGGAAAACCCGGAACAAGCTATTATCATGAATTGATTGACTATCACTTTAAACAACATATGTTTTCAACTTAAAGGAGCTATACCCGTTTCTGCAAGGTTTTTTTCAGTTTGAATCTTTAGCCCCGCCCCCAACTCGCTCACAGGCTTCTCATGTCCCCTACGCTCTCCTCCCACGGAGCCGTCTAGTTTTATTTGCGATCTGATATGTATGCTAACATTAGCATTAGCGCAAATTCTTGTAAGCTGTACAACAATCACTGATGAAATGGTACAAAAGCAACGCACTGCTAACAAATTATACAACTCCCACTGATGTCTGCTGTCGTTGTGTCCTTGGCAAGACACTCTGGGAACACCTGATGCCACAGTGGGGCGGCTGCGGCTGTAAAGTGCCAAACTGCTGTGGTGTCCTTAAGCAAGACATTTCACCCCCATTGCCTAGAATGTGTGTCTAGTGTGTGTGAATGGTTGTTGGTGGTCGGAGGGGCAGATGGAATATACTGGTGGCCTCGCGATGTGTCAGTGTGCCCCAGGGCAGCTGTGGCTACGGTAGAAGTTTATAACCACAGTGTATGGAGTTAATGAATGTGAGTGTCCAAAAAAAGCGCTATATAAAACCAATGCATTATTATTATTATTAAAAAAACATATACAGATTATTTCATTTCATTTCATTTTCAACCCCTTTGTCCATTTCTGGGTCGGGGGGGGGGGGGGGGGGTGGCAATGAGAGCTGCCACCCAACGCTCATAGCACCAGTCCCTCGCTGATCTTCTGCAGGGGGTGAGTCCACAGGAAGTGGACAGATTATATATTATTTTTACTATGGATTGGTTTTAATTAATGGTCTGTTATTGTGCATGTGCCATATGAATAATGTGGATTGGATTGAATATACTTTTATGTTCTTGTATATATTTTTTTATGGCAGTCAGCATCTGTTTTCAAAGTCCAAATGGGTCACAATGTACTGAAGTGTGCTGTGTCTGTTGCAGTGACTCCCTCTGACTCCATGGTCTCTGGGCCGGCTCATGGGTGCTCCTCTGTCAACCTGTGTGGGGAAGCTGCTGATACTCTCTCTGGTCTGCTCGGACTAGGGACGTTCAACAGTGCGCCCTCTTGCTGCAATACTGAGAACTGCAACATACTGCTAACCACAGCACCACCTTCAACTACTACTACTAGTGCACCACCTTCAACTACTACTACCACACCACCTTCAACTACTACTACCGCACCACCCACTACTACAACTACTACTGCTCCACCTTCTACTACTACTACTGCACCGCTCCCTACTACTACTACTACTACTACTATTACTACTACTACTACTACTACTACTGCACCACCTTCAACTACTACTACTGCACCACCTACTACTACTACTGCTGCATCACCCACTACTACTACTACTGCACCACCTTCAACTACTACTACTGCACCACCTACTACTACTACTGCTGCATCACCCACTACTACTACTACTGCACCACCTTCAACTACGACTACTACTGCACCACTCACTACTACTACTGCACCACCCACTACTACTACTACTGCACCACCTCCAACTACTACTACTACTTCATCATCTACTACTACTACTGCACAACTCACTACTACTTCTACCACTGCACCACCCACTACTACTACTACTACTACTGCACCACCTACTACTACTACTGCACCACCTTCAACTACTACTACTGCACCACTCACTACTACTGCTGCACCACCTTCAACTACTACTACTGCACCACTCACTACTACTACTGCACCACCCACTACTACAACTACTGCACCACCTTCAACTACTACTACTGCACCACCTACTACTACTACTACTGCATCACCCACTACTACTACTGCACCACCTTCAACTACTAATACTACTGCACCACCCACTACTACTACTACTACTACTGCACCACCCACTACTACTACTACTGCACCACCCACTACTACTACTACTACTACTACCACTACTACTACTACTACTACTACTACTGCTACTAGTATTACTGCTGCTACTACTACTACTGCACCACCTTCAACTACTACTACTGCACCACCTACTACTACTACTACTGCACCACCTACTACTACTGCACCACTCACTACTACTACTGCACCACCTTCAACTACCACTACTGCACCACCCACTACAACTACTACTACTGCACCACCTTCAACTACCACTAGTACACCACCCACTACAACTACTACTACTAATGCACCACCTTCAACTACTACTACTGCATCACCTACTACTACTACTGCACCACTCACTACTACTACTACTACTGCACCACCCACTACTACTACTACTGCACCACCTACTACTGCTTCTACTGCACCACCCACTATTACTGCTTCTACTGCACCACCTACTAATACTACTGAACCACCTTCAACTACTACTGCACCACCTTCAACTATCACGACTGCACCACCCGCTACAACTACTACTACTGCACCACCTTCAACTACTACTACTGCACCATCCAATACTACTACTACTACTGCACCACCTTCAACTACTACTTCTACTGCACCGCCTTCAACTACCACTACTACACCACCCACTACAACTACTACCGCTACTCCACCACCTTCAACTACTACTACTGAACCACCTACCACTACTACTACTGCACCACCTACTACTACTGCACCACCTTCAACTACCACTACTACACCACCCACTCCAACTACTACTACTACTGCACTGTCTTCAACTACTACTACTGCACCACCTACTACTACTGCACCACCTACTACTGCACCACCTTCAACTACCACCACTACACCACCCACTACAACTACTACTGCACCACCTTCAACAACTACTACTGCACCACTCACTACTACTACTATTGCATCAGCCACTACTACTACTACTACTGCACCACCTTCAACTACTACTACTGCATCACTTTCTACTACTTCTACTACTACACCACCCACTACAACTACTACTACTGCACCACCTTCAACTACTACTACTGCACCATCCACTACTACTTCTATTACTACACCACCCACTACTACGACTGCACCACCTACAACTACTACTACTGAACAACCCAGTGCTACTACTACTGCACCACCTACAACTACTACTGCAACACCAACTACTAGTACTACTACTACTACTACTGCACCGCCTACTTCTACTACTACAACTGCACCACCTACTACTGTATCACCCACTACTACTACGGCACCACCCACTACTACTACTACTACAACACCCACTACTACTACTGCACCAACTAGTTCCACTACTGCACCACCCACTACAACTCCTGCACCACCACCTACTACTACTGCACCACCCACTACTACTACTACTGCATCCACCACAACTACTACTGCACCACCTACTTCTACTTCTGCACCACCTAGTTCCACTACTGCACCACCCACTACAACTTCTGCACCACCACCTACTACTACTGGACCACCCACTACTACTACTACTGCACCTCCCACAACTACTACTGCACCACCCACTACTACTACTACTATTACACCACCTACTACTACTACTGCACCACCTACAACTACTAGTATTACTACACCACCCACTACTACTACTACTGCACCACCTTCAGCTACTACTACTGCATCATCTACAACGAATACTACTACTACTGAATCACCTATTACTACTGCACCACCCACTAGTACTACTACTATTGCACCACCCACTACTACTACTGTTTCACCCACTACTACTACTGCACCACCTACTTCTACTTCTGCACCACCTAGTTTCACTACTGCACCACCCACTACAACTCCTGCACCACCACCTACTACTAATGAACCACCCACTACTACTACTACTGCACCTCCCACAACTACTACTGCACCACCCACTACTACTACTACTATTACACCACCTACTACTACTACTGCACCACCTACAACTACTAGTATTACTACACCACCCACTACTACTACTACTGCACCACCTACTTCTACTTCTGCACCACCTAGTTCCACTACTGCACCACCCACTACAACTCCTGCACCACCACCTACTACTACTGGACCACCCACTACTACTACTACTGCACCTCCCACAACTACTACTGCACCACCCACTACTACTACTACTATTACACCACCTACTACTACTACTGCACCACCTACAACTACTAGTATTACTACACCACCCACTACTACTACTACTGCACCACCTTCAGCTACTACTACTGCATCATCTACAACGAATACTACTACTACTGAATCACCTATTACTATTGCACCACCCACTACTACTACTACTACTGTTTCACCCACTACTACTACTGCACCACCTACTTCTACTTCTGCACCACCTAGTTCCACTACTGCACCACCCACTACAACTCCTGCACCACCACCTACTACTACTGAACCACCCACTACTACTACTACTGCACCTCCCACAACTACTACTGCACCACCCACTACTACTACTACTATTACACAACCTACTACTACTACTGCACCACCTACAACTACTAGTATTACTACACCACCCACTACTACTACTACTGCACCACCTTCAGCTACTACTACTGCATCATCTACAACGAATACTACTACTACTGAATCACCTATTACTACTGCACCACCCACTAGTACTACTACTATTGCACCACCCACTACTACTACTACTACTGTTTCACCCACTACTACTACTGCACCACCTTCAACTACTACCACTGCACCACCTACTACTACCACGGCACCAGCCACTTCTATTACTACTGCACCTCCCACCACTACTACTACTGCACCATCTACTACTACTGTACCATCCACTACTACTACTACTACTACTACTACTACTACTGCACCACCTATTACTACTACTACTGAATCACCTACCACAACTACTGCCCCACCTACTGCTACTACAACTACTGCCCCACCCACTAGTACTACAACTACTGCCCCTGCTACTACTACAACTACTGCACCACCTACAACTACTACTACTGCACCACCCACTACTACTGCACCACCTACTACTACTACAACTACTGCCCCACCTACAACTACTACTACTGCCCCACTTACAACTACTACTACTGCACCACTTACAACTACAACTAGTGCCCCACCTACAACTACTACTACTGCACCACTTACAACTACAACTACTGCACCACCTACAACTGCTACTACTCCACCACCTACAACTACTATTACAACTGCACCACCCACTACCACTACAACTACTCCACCACCTACTATTACAACTACTACTATACCACCTACTACTACAACTACTCCACCACCTACTACTACAACTACTCCACCATCTGCTACTACAACTACTCCACCACCTACTACTACAACTACTACTACAACTACTCCACCACCTACTACTACAACTACTACTACTACTGTACCACCAAGTACTACTACTACTACTACTACTACAACTACTGTCGCAAGCAATTCTTCATCCACAGTATCGGTCTCTGGGATTCTGTTTAGTTTTGGACCGTTCTTTTTTGTTCTTATCCAAACTTTATGATGACTTTTATGGGATGAAACTGCATAGTTGTAATAATCCCACACAATATCACAGAACTTCTTAGCCAAAAATGAACTAATATAAAACGTTTTTTTTAGTAATTAGGGCATTACATTTGTCACAATAGTTTTAATATGTTTATATTCTTGGAATTGCACGGTTTCATTGTGTCTCCAGATTGTTACAGTGTTGTTGGAAAGAGCCTGCACCTTAATTTTTGATTGAAAGCATACCTGAAGGGCAACTCTGTGCTGGTCTCAAGTTGTGAAAAATTTTAAGAAACTTGTTACAGTGAGGAATCTTTCCAAACTACAAGTAAACTGTAAATATTGGGTACAGGCTGCTCAGAATCATATTTATCATACTGTTTTGGTGTTTACTGGTCATTTAGGAATATTTGATATGAACGTTTACAAATGTTTTTCCTTTAGTCAACAAAAAACTATTTACGTAATAAATCTACATGTTTTCAACTGTATTTTCTGTGTGCGTATTTTTTTTCTTCTTAGCTCCGAAAAGTAGGCAAGGCAAGTTTATTTGAAAAGCACAATTCATACACAAGGCAACTCAAAGTGCGAAACAAAAAAAGATAAAGACAGTCACATAAGGCATTCAAATCACACATAATCACAGTACATAAAAAATAAAAAATAAAGTAAAATCCCTCAGTTGTATGCACAGCTATACAGAATTGTTTTTAACCTGGATTCAAACATTGTCGGAGAACATTTTATTTTGTATTTTTTATATATGTCTTTCTAGTTTTTTTTCACAATAAATGATACACAAACAAACAAACAAACACTTGACAACTCTCTAAAAATATTCCTGGGAAAGTCATAATTCACTTTGGAGATGAATCACCTTGGTGCTGATCCTGTGCAGGTTCTGCTCTGGGCCCGTCCTAATGTTCGTTATGCAGGATTACTTTCATTTCCTGCCAAACTGTTTGTACATAGGATACTGTTTTTTTATTTACATACATTTTATGGTGAGAAAGCTGTATATAAGGTAACCCACTAAACATCCGACGTCCACTCAACCTCCAGATCACGTCAATATCGCGTCGGTCGGTCGTGACCTTTTATTCACGTCCAAACGACGTCTGTGCAAAGTGCGCATCTGGACGTAAAACAATGACCTCCCATATACGTGGATATGACGTCCAATCCCGACCTCCCCTAGACGTGGAAAACAGGTCATCGGCCGTCCGACGCAGTACGTCTTGATCTAGCAATACAATACATAGGCTGTGAAGCAACCTAAGTGTACCTAACGGTAGTGTAGTGGTTAAGCAAATGTGTGCAGCCTTGGTTACGTGAGTTCGAGTCCACGTGTGTGTGTCATCATCTTTACATATTTGTTTCGATTTTTAGCGAACAATTTTTTTCTGTTGAGTGTTTATTCGTTTTTAACCAAACAGAGAAAAATTGTTTGCTAAAAAGTGAAAAGTCAAAAATGTTCCAAAGGGGATTTGAACCCGCGTCGTTGCGACTGAAGTCTCATTACGCAACTGCTGCACCACCGTCAGGCATATTGTTTTTGACTACTGTGAAAAAATCATAGATAACACCCTAAACAACTGACGCACACTTATGCGAGGTTACAGCCTGACACGTGAGTCGGTCGAGGACCTGTTTTCCACGTCTAAACGACGTAAGGTGTGCATCTGGACGTAAAGCAATGTCTTCCCAGACGTTGATATGACGTTGAATCTGTACCTCTGTCGCTGCCCTGCTTTATTTACTTGGAATCACCCTCTCTAGTAAGTACACAGTCTGCACAGTTTTTAGATATAGATGTATCATTTCCACATTGAAAAGAGTTGGAGACAGAAAGTAAGTTGTTTTCTCACGTATACGTGGAATTTGTTAAGTATATTTTGTATATTATCTGTATTTTGAATTGCCAGTGCATAGATCTATAATAATAACGGCTGGCACTGCTCAGCTGAAAGGGAGACACCTTTTTTTGTTTTTAAGTTAAAGTTTAAAATACGATATCGTTTTTCATATTTCAAACTATTTTTAACACATTAGAATTCTTAGGTTAGACTGTCCAACAAACTATGTGTTAAAAAGGTTAAGATTCTTGAGTTTTAAAATAATAATTCAATTCTAAAATGTAAAGTTACTGTATATTTCACAATGGTTTATAAACTGCAAAAAGACAACAGTACTTAGTAAACTAAGTTTAAAAACAGGGAGATCAGCTTTAATATTTGGGACACTCCCATCATTTAGACACCTGTGATGTCATCAGTTGGAGTTGAGTTCAGGTGTGGGACCATGTGGGACCATAGGAGCACACAGATGTTACCTGCTGCAGAAAGAGAGTTTAATGTTCATGTATTGCTTTGTTTAATAAATGGATTTAATGTCTTCCCAGGTCTTCAATGTCAGAGACTTTCACTTCTTCTCACTGTGGCTGTTTAAATGAGCCACTACAGTTATTTTTGTTATTGTTAGCTGCAAATATTAAATATCCATTATTCATCTGCTGGTAGCAAGCTAACTAGCGCTTGCAACTCTATTCAATTTCTTACTTTTTCTTATAAACTTTAAAACCAGCCATATGTTAATTAAAATACATTTACCTTTGCTAATGCAGTCAATTATTGTGAAATCCATAGAGTATAATTTCATGATTGTTGCAATAACTAATGTTCTGTGTGTATTCCTAATGTGTCATGTGTGTTTGAGTCTTACAGGTGTCAGACTGTGTTGAAGGTGTTCAAAGGTAAGAATCACACTCTCACACATTGATTGTTCTTCTGTATTATTATGTTGTTTTTAGAATAAACCATTATTTGGTGTATTCTCTTTGAAAACATCTATCTTTTTCTCAGATTGTTCAGCAACTCACTCAAGATGAGGGAAAAGAGCAACAAGGGGAAACTGCCCCCTCTGAAATGCAACATGTGTAGAGTAATACAGGGTAAGTAGCTTTCAGGTCTCATTTGTCCATGTGCAAAACAAATGCACATTTGCAATTGTTTTTTACATGGAATTACTCCAATGACCAAAGCCTTATCCCAAGTTTCTCAGACGGAGTGTCTTCCAGTGTCTCGAGCTAGTGCAGTGCCAAGGTTTGTATCACATGGTGATGGATCGAGTGGTTTGAGGCATTAATAGAAAGTTATGTGTTATATCACTTTGCCACATTATGTTGAAACTAAACATGTTCCACATTTTCAGGTGCTGTGCTTGGACCTTATAATGAGACTGAAGACCAAGAGAGGACACATGTTGGAACATCAACATTCAATAAATGCATTCTTCTGCCTTTCAGATTGTGTTTTTACATCTGGGGAACCTAGAGTGTAGCTTGTGCCTGTTTTAATACTGATCCAAACATAGGCGCTACAATCATGTTTTTTTACTTTGGCATGAACTGTTCAGTACAGTAGTGTTCATAACACTGTGCCCTGTGTGCTTTAACTTGTACTTTGATGTAGAGAAACATGATTTTTAATGCAGCTCCATTTGCAATAATGACTGATATCCTTCTACTACAGTTGTTCTAATGATTTTTGAATGCTGTGTTTATCGTTTATTGCCCAGAGTCAGAACTAAACATGATATAGCTGCATTTCAGATTCACAAGGCTAAAATCTGGAACGGTCTTCCTGGAAATGTGAGACAGGCTTCTTCTTTGACAATGTTAAAATCCAGGTTTAAAACACTTCTGTTTCTGCTTCAACTGAGAGATTTTATGAGAGATTTTATTTGTATCTTTTTAATTTACTGTCAATATTTATAATTGTAATGCCTTGTTTGATTGTTTCTATCTTTTGTTCAGTGCTTTAAGTTTCCTTTTGTTTTGACTGTGCTATACAAATAAACTTGCCTTGCCTATTGCAAAAAGTATGTCTCGACTAGTAAGTGATTCTGCAGAGGTTAAGTAGGTCAATAGGACTGTAAATGGACGTCATATAAACGTCAATATTTTGGTCATATAAGACGTTGATAAGACGTTGGACCCGACCGGTTCTGTACCACATTGCAACCTTGAATGAACGTCCAGATGACGTTGAAATTACGTTGTTTTGACATCTGCTTGCTTAGTGGGAACGACTGAAAACGAACGTCATATAAACGTCAATATTTTGGTCATATGAGACGTTGATAGGACGTCAGACCCGACCGGTTCCGTACCACATTCAAATCTTGAATTGACGTGCCATCAACGTAACATTTGGAGGTTGAGGTGACGTCGGGAAACGACGTCGAGAAAACTTTCATTCTGCACCCACCAGTGACCTATATTCTACGTCGGACAACGACGTTGAAATGACGTTGAAATGACGTTGATTCAACGTTGGCTTGCTTAGTGGGAATGTTGCTTTTATGGGCTCTGCTAATTATGGTAAATACAACTTTCCCAGTGGGATATTTCACATGAACGGCCCCCTCATCTCATCAACATATACGTACATTTTAATGGAATAATAGTATTGCCTCTTCTTGAGCAAATCATTTCAAATTTACAGCCAATTACAACAGGGATATTGACGTTATAAAATGCTTTGTGACTGTCAGTGAAAGGCGCAACATAAATAAAGATGACTTTCTTACAATGGGATGGAGATCAAATGCAAATTATCAGGTTCTGTAGCAAATATTGATGACCTCTGAGGTAAGAAAAACAAACAACATAATCCTTGGAGCATTATGATATTTCCTTAATTATTAGTTGTGTCAAGTGCAGCGTTCCTCATGAATCTGTCTGCACTGTGGTGTATGAAATGAAATAATAGAACATAAGAACACACCTGCTTTTCAGTTCATTATAGTGTAATAGAAGGACAAAGGAGCGGCTTCTCCACAAACAGCTCAACCAACAACCTTCCACAGTGTGATGTCAGCATCGTCTGCTCAATCCCACACAAGTCTCCAACCTGTCACTGTCATATAATTATCAAATTATGCCCATTTGAATTTCCACAGTGCTTCCCTCCCGTATTTTTTTTGATCATCCTGAAAGATAAAGAGCCGTGTGAAGCTACACACTCGCAGAAATATAATCTAGTGGATAAAGTCAAAGTGCAAAAATATTGTCTCATTGTGGTTGCTAGTTTTGAAATGTTGCTGTATCTTGCTGTTTAATTCATAAACGAAAAGCAGCACCAGACATTTGTTTATATATATATAGAGTTTGTACCTATTAAACCACAGCATTTCATTTAGTACTTAGGTCTGGATTTTCTCATTTGAGCTCCGTTAACATGTGGGAGGGGTTAACTTCTTTTGCCGATTGTAACGATTGGATCTGAGTTAGCCGGGACGTATGTAATGCGCCCAAGCTAGTGAGGTATTTGGCCTTTAGCCTAGCTTTAGCCATCTCCTTTGCCACTATTGAAGCCCGTGGGGAGTGGAGCCACAACTTCTTTGCCAGCAATATTTGCTAAACATTCCTTTTCAATTCCTTGATTCAAGATGGCGTCCTATTAAAATCAAAGGCTTGTGCTCAGTAGCACATGTGCCACCACGGGCACCAAATGATTAGCGGAACTCGCCCATATTTGGGCATCGTCTGGTCCTCCCGGTTCTGCACAGTGGATGAGCTCCCATGATGCTTTGCGCCAAATAAGTGTCTGTGGCTCTCATGCACATGCACAGAGGGGCTCGGCCACGCTTTGACCAATCAGAGCGGCTGACCAGAGCAGAGCTAGAGCAAGAGAAAATCGAGAAGAGTTTGTAGCACTAAAGTGTGGATTTAAAGAAAACCGAAGGATTTTAGAAGAAAAAAAGTTCAGGATGACAAGGGCCACTAAAATCCCCACAAAATCCGACCTTTATGAAAGCTGTAGGTTCTCTGTCAGCTGAGGTCGAGCTGATTTAGTTTACACTGAGTTCTATGGGGAAAAGTTCTGGGTAGCCCACGTGAATTTAGTCTAGTTTAGTCTGCAGTACCGCGAGAATCAGTCTAGGTATATGTTAATCATTAGATATTATAATAGATCCATGGATCAGACATGTAGGGAAATGATAATTGACTGGAGTGACTTCATGAGATCACTAAAAGTGCATACGACGGCCTGTCTTTTATTTCTCTTACTGGTCTATTTACATTAATTTGAGATACATTCATAAAATGCACTAACGTCTTTTTTCTCTATTTGACAGAGTTATGCTTTATAAACCAATAACGAATGACTAATAAACTGAATAAATAATTCAACATAATTCCAAATAAGTATTTACACATTTTACGCAAATGAAGGCTTACTCGTCCGCAGTCTTCATTTGCCTCAGAAACTGTGTTCACATGTTCAGGACTTACATAAGGTTTATCACTTCACTGGATCTCAGTGGAGCTCTGAAGTAAAATAAAGTGATGCAGTAAATAAGGCATAAAATAACAACAAAAGTCCACAAGATACAATCTTTATTTTAGAAATGGCTCATATAAGTTTGAAAATATACAGTTTTAAATCAACAGTCACATATGTACAGAAACATTTACAAAAGATTGATAGTCTACGACTGCTTTGCATTCCTCTGGTCCACTATCCTCAGGAGTTTCTGCACCCATGGGTGTCCCTCTGGGTGAGGCAGGCACAGCTGTCTGTCTTTTATTGTATGGAGCCTGCACAGAGCACACACAACACATCTTTAAAGCACTTTGTAAAAACAAACCATAGACTCAGAAAAATCTAAATCATGAAGGGGAAGAGCACTGTCACACTGGCCCCTGAGGGCCCCACACATACTGTATAACTTACACAGTGGCGCTGATGTCACAGCCACTCCCCGCCTTCTGCAGCTCGTAGCGCTGAATGAGTTTGGCAGGCAGGCGCTGGCTGCTATATGCCAGGCAACAATCCACAGGGATCTCAGCTGTACAAACACACATGAGAATAACATTATAGTTATAGCTTTTCCTGCTGTGTCTCCAGAGATCCCCTGGTCCTCCCCAGGCCTCTGGACACTGCCATCACGGCTCATACGAGATTATACTCAGACACGTCCAAACTACGGCCCCAGGTAAAGAGCAGCCCTTACAGCATATTTACCATAGGGCGTCCTGCCCTCCTGGACCCCTGGGGCATGGGTCTCCTGGACCCCTGGGGCATGTGTCTCCTGGAGTCTCACCTGTGCAGAGGGCAGCAGACAGCAGCAGGAGCAGGCCACACACTCTGGGATCCATGATGTGTAGAGGTGCTGGAGGAGGAGGCTGGCAGGCTCCGGAGGGCGCTCTGTGGATCTTGGGGCTGAGGCTGAGTTCTTTTATACAAGTGAAGAGAAAGTGAAAGTGCAGCTCGCTGAATGGAAGTGGGAGCAGTTGGCAGGGACCCAACCTATAAACGAGAGGGACCTGTTTTGACCCGTATTATCACAGGAGACGAGCCATCCTTTCTCATCCACATTCAACCATCAAAGGATACGATTTACAGGAAAGAGAAAGTTATCTGTGTGTCACAATCAAAAGAAAAAATACACCAGCAATTGGATTCCTTTGTCTCATAATAAGAATTTAAAATCATATCAAATATATTGTATTTTGTTCATGTGTCTGTGTACTTATTCGTACTATCATTGTCTTCTAGTATTATTAGTTGGGGGCAGAGTGATGAGAGCACTGAAAGGTGTGAATGTGCCGAGTGAGTTGGAGGGTCCATTGGCGCCCTAAGTGTGCGTAGTTGCTTCAGGGCAGCTGTGGCTATACTAGTGGCTTACCATCATTGTGTGCAGAGAAAAAATGTATTAAATTGTGAAAAACACAAACCAAAAGACAGAGGGATTCTTCACTAACTAGTAAGAACAAGGAGGGTAATTGAAATACATCTTTCATAAGTGACATGATAATAAGTTCTTATCCATGCATTTGTCTCCAGTAGGTTAGACTACTGCAATGGCTTGTTCACAGGTCTCTCTAAACAAGCGGTAAAACAGCTGCAGTACATCCAAAATGCAGCAGCTCGAGTCCTGACTAGAACCAGGAAGTACGACCACATTAGTCCGGTCCTCAGGTCTCTGCACTGGCTTCCTGTGGCTCAGAGAATAGATTTTAAAGCAGCTTTACTTGTGTACAAGTCTCTCCATGGCCTCGCACCAGGGTACATCCGCGACATGTTGGTGCCATATGAACCAACTCGGGCTCTGAGGAGCACAGGGACTGGACTTCTGTTAGTGCCAAGAGTCGGAACTAGACATGGGGAGGCTGCGTTTCAGATTCATGCAGCTAGAGTCTGGAACCGTCTTCCCGAGAATGTGAGACAGGCGTCTACTCTAGCAGTTTTTAAAACTGAACTGAAAACAGTTATTTTTATACAAGTGAATGATTTTATATTTGTTTTTATCTTTAATCTTTTTAATGCGCTATGACTATTTATGATTGTAATCCCTTGTGTGATTTTAATGTTTTACGGTTTTTAACTACTTGTGTGATTTTATATATCTTGTGCTCTTAATCTGTCTTTTTATGTTTACTTAAATTCTAATGTTTGATGATTTATGCATGATGTTATATGGGTTGTGAGGCGCTTTGCGTTGCCTTTTGTAGGAAAGGCGCTCTACAAATAAACGTTGATTGATTGATTGAAGTTTAAGTATATGTGAAAGCTTTGACTGAATGTGACCCAGAATATTTCACTGCTTTGATATTTCTGACTGTCAAGTTTCCTAAAGACTTAGTGTTGGTGAAAAACCCAAAATAAGATGCACGTATACGTATTGGTAATATAGGTGAAGTGTTTTGCCAAAGGACACAACAATAGTTTTCAGTGAGTTGTAAGTGTTTTCGCTTTGTCTTGTCTTTAAAATGAGTTACTTCTGTTGAGATACAGTGGGTCGGACAAAGTCATTACATAAAAAAGGAAGAAGTAGTAAGTAATATTTATTTATGCACTGCCTTTCACAGACCAGAGACACAAAGCGGAAACCTACACAGACACGGGGAGAACATGCAAACTCCACTCAGAAAGGCCCTGTTTCGACCGGGATTCGAACCCAGGATTTTCTTGCCAAGAAGCGAGAGTGTATTGTGGAATATTTGTGGAAAACAGAAAGAAAGATGCAAAGGTCTGGGATCGTTTTATTTTTGGTACATTTCACATGGTTTTATACCCAGACAAAATAACCCCTCGCCGTCTGCCACGTCGCAAATAGATACGTTTTCTTTGACCTTCAGATAACCAAACCACATCAAGTTGAAAAATACTGACATTTGAACATAATTGCACAAAAAGTCATATAGAAGACCCATACTCTTCCCTTTAATGACCATTAGCATTAGAATTAGAATTAGTACAGATATTTCAGAAAACCCATTAACTATATTTGGGAAAGTACCAAAAGTAGACCTCTGTGTTCCCACATTTCTTCATTCTGCCGGAATTAAATTCTCGTGTCGAGGCGTAGGTTCTTCTTTGAGGTGGCTTCCATTCACCAGTTTCAGCTTATGTATCCATATTCAGCAGTCTGTCCAATACAAAGAGGACGACGGCATTGTCCATTTCTCATTTGTGTCCATTTCTCAGCATCTAACAGGAGGCTTGATTTGAATCAGGGGCTGTCCAGATTCTCCAAGTTTACAGGTCTAGATGCACAATGTCTCTCTTGATGAACAACCAAACAGTGGAAAATCACAGACTTCTGCATCTGTTGTAAGGACAAGCTCAGTCTTAACATAATTGTACAAAAAGTCTCATAAATGATTCACAATAACACGCTACTGTTTTTATTTTTATGTTTGGTGTTTGTGCAGTGTCTGTTTAATTGACGTCTGTGTCAATCTATGTCTGTTAGATAATGAAAAGTAGTTTGAAGGAGGAAAGCACCTTATCCACACACCCTGCCTGTTGTAATGATATGATCAAACACATTCTGCTGTTTGGTTTGTTCCCACAGTTTGCCTCCCAGCTCTTCCCACACACATTTCACGTGCGCTTACTCTGCTCTGATCCAGAATAAGCAGAATGCCAAAAAAGAATCTTAAAAAAAAAAAAAAAAAAAAAAAAAAAATCATGTACATTTTACAGATGGTATCACATTTCTACATTTCGTGTTTTAGTTGCCGCTAATTATCAACAATTGAAAGACACATTGGAAAGAGTTTGACCATATCTGAGTCAGTCATGTGGGGAACTTGAATTAAAAAGTTTGTATGTTTACGAACACAAACGCATTTTTTTGAAAGACCACAACTGATAACTGAGAGAAAGTACAGTGATTTATGATTGTTAAAACCTGAAAATGGTGTGTGTATCAATGATGGCAGTGATTGGAGGGGCCCAGGGCAGCTGGGCCCCTCCAATCACCACCGTACATGGAGTTAATGAATAATGCCAAGTGAAGCGTCTTTGAGTGTCATGAAAAACACTACATAAAACCAATACTTTTTACTCATTTCTTTTTTGTATACAGTTTTTGATTAGGTCTTCTATGACACTTGGATATATATTAAAAAAACAATACTATAAAATAAAGAATTCAATTTCATGTGTAGTTTTTCTTTTATTATAACCATCATGTTTTCCCATCTCCTTCTTTCTGTGGCCTCGTAGATGAGTGCAGTTTCTTTTTCTAATTTCTAGTAAAAGACTTTCTCTTTCCTGTAAATCGTATCCTTTGATGGTTGAATGTGGATGAGAAAGGATGGCTCGTCTCCTGTGATAATACGGGTCAAAACAGGTCCTTCTCGTTTATAGGTTGAGTCCCTGCCAACTGCTCCCACTTCCATTCAGCGAGCTGCACTTTCACTTTCTCTTCACTTGTATAAAAGAACTCAGCCTCAGCCCCAAGATCCACAGAGCGCCCTCCGGAGCCTGCCAGCCTCCTCCTCCTCCAGCATCTCTACACATCATGGATCCCAGAGTGTGTGGCCTGCTCCTGCTGCTGTCTGCTGCCCTCTGCACAGGTGAGACTCCAGGAGACACATGCCCCAGGGGTCCAGGAGACTCATGCCCCAGGGGTCCAGGAGACCCATGCCGCAGGGGTCCAGGAGAGTATATGCCCTATGGGCAATTATAGCTGTAAGGGCTGCTCTTTACCTGGGGCCGTAGTTTGGACGTGTCTGAGTATAATCTCGTATGAGCCGTGATGGCAGTGTCCAGAGGCCTGGGGAGGACCAGGGCATCTCTGGAGACACAGCAGGAAAAGCTATAACTATAATGTTATTCTCATGTGTGTTTGTGCAGCTGAGATCCCTGTGGATTGTTGCCTGGCCGTGAGCAAAAAGCGCCACCTGCCTGGCAAACTCATTCAGCGCTACGAGCTGCAAGAGGCGGGGAGTGGCTGTGACATCAGCGCCACTGTGTAAGTTATACAGTATGTGTGGGGCCCTCAGGGGCCAGTGTGACAGTGCTCTTCCCTTTCATACGTTTTCTCTGAGTCTTTGGTTTGTTTTTACAAAGTGCTTTAAAGATGTGTTGTGTGTGCTCTGTGCAGGGTCCATACAATAAAAGGCAGACAGTTGTGCCTGCCTCACCCAGAGGGACACCCATGGGTGCAGAAACTCCTGAGGATAGTGGACCAGACATGAACAGTCTATAAACAGTCGTAGACTATCAATCTTTTGTAAATGTCACTGTACAGACTGTATATAATATGTAATATAAAAATGTATATTGAGCCAATTCTATAATAAAGTTTGTATCTCATGAACTGTTTGTGCCTTATTCTCTGGAGCCCATTTCTGTTCGTTTGAGCTTTTAGCACTGAGCTGATTTACAGTGTTGGCCAAGTTCCTTTCACATATGTTATCCAATATCTTAGTTTCATGTAATGTCCCTAGTTACTTTGATTAAATACAATATATTTAAACAATGTATACTAATTGTTAAGAGCCTTGCTTTTTTAAAATTGCAATTGACTAGTTTAAGATAACGTACTGAAATCCTTCCTGTATTTAATAACGAGGCACAAGCTTTCAGAGAAACAGCCTGAAGGCTACAACGACCACTGGAAGAGTAGTGTGTGTAGAAAGCTAATATAAAGAGTGAGCAACATAACATTGGTATTTTGCACCATAAACACTCTTTCCATTAAAGAATCCACTTGTATTTATTTCCTACCTATATTGTTATTTTGTTTATGTGTGGTTATAAAACACCACATGAGTGGCTCAGTTGGTAGGCCTCTGAGTCTGAAGGTTGTGGGTTCAAGCCTTCTCCACTGACTCTCACTGATGTCTGGTGTCGTTGTGTCCCTGGGCAAGCTATACTCTCACTGACAGAGCAGCCATCCTGTGGATGGATTAAGGGGAAGAAAATGGATGGATGGTCCCAAAACATGAATAGCATCAGTTTGAAAATGTTAGTTGCATACTGACTTCATTGGGGCGTTTCATTGATCTATTATAATAACTGGATAGGGTATTACTCGCTTGGAGCTGAAGAACCCATGTGCTCGGGGGATTCTCGCGGTACTGCAGACTGAACAAGACTAAATTCACGCGGGCAACCCAGAAATTTTCCCCATAGAACTCAATACAAATTCAATCAGCTCGACCTCAGCTGACAGATAACCTACAGCTTTCATAAAGGTTGGATTTTGTGGGGATTTTAGTGTCCCTTGTCATCCTGAACTTTTTTTTTTCTTAAATCCCTCAGTTTTCTTTAAATCCACACTTTAGTGCCACAAACTCTGCTCGCTCTAACTCCCGCTCTGATGAACTGCTCTGATTGGTCAGAGCCGAGCCCCTCTGTGCACGGTCAGCACTAGATCATATACGGAATCAGGACGAAACCGGAAGTAACACTCGTACTTTAGAATTAGTTTTAGACTAATGAGTCCTTAAATGGTGACTGGTTAAGTTTTATGCATCTGAGTAAGATGGTTAAGTTTAGGGTTAAGGGTGGGTTGGGGTTATTTTATGGGAATGGCTGGTTAAGTTTAGGCATTAATAGGTAGTTTGTTAAGTTTACTTCCGCTTCCGTCCCGATTCCGTATATGATCTAGTGCTGACCCTCTGTGCACGTGCGTGAGAACCATGTGAGACCCACACACGCGTATTTGACGCAACGCATCATGGGAGATAGCGCAACGCATCATGGGAGATCATCCACTGCGCAGAACCGGGAGGACCAGACGATGCCCAAATTGCGAATTCCAGGCGACTTCTGCTAATCTTTTCGGCACCCATGCCCAGGGCTGGACTGGGACAAAAAAACGGCCCAGGCATTTTTTCGTTTTTAGCAGCCCAGGCAACTCAAAAGGTTCAAGGAGCCCTATTTGACAAAAAAAAAAAAAAAACAGCGTTGTATAAGACTTATATGAAGGTAACAGGGGCTGAAGCTGTATTAGCTACATTAGCTATATTAGCTATATTAGCTATATTAGACTAATATCTAAATGAGAAAGTAAAGGCTAAACACATAAAAACCATTCATGATTATCAAATGTGTATTTTCATTGCAGCGTGTCCTGGAGAGAATGACTCACTACGTGACAACTCTGCTTTAAGTTTAACCTTCTTGCAATTGTACAAATACAGTAAATAAATCTGTTTTTGGCTCCGAGTTCACCTGCATCACTGTCTGTTCATATCCATCACAGGCTGAAGTTTGCTGGAGCTGAATGTCCTTAATGGCCTTTTCTTTCACTGTCTTTGCAAAGGTTTTTGAAGTCTGAAAATAGGTGCTCTGACTTTATGATGAATGAATCTTTCAGTGAACAGTGTTTAAAGCTTCATTGTTCCTCCTGTTGCAACACAACTTTTCATTAAATCGCAAACATGAAGCAGTCCTTCCTCATTGACTGAAAGTAAATGTTCATTCTCATTCTTAGTCCAGTCTTATCGACTCTCTTTATCTTTGGGATCCATGCGCACACACAGTTAAAATTGAATATTACTCATACAAGTTTTTGCAGCATTAAAAACGTTAATGTTTTTCCTCCTACAGAAACCACATTGAAACTAGAAATAAAATATAGCCCTCCCACTCCATTTTCAGACATTTTTGAAAAGGCTCCAGGAGCCAGTTTAGGGGCACTAAAGGTTGCCGACCCCTGGTTTATACAGTATGTGGAAGCAAATACTGTAGAGGATCAGGATCTCTCCAGTTTCAACAATAAAATACAGTGCAATAGTCTACATTAAACAGAGTAATAAACATGTCTCAGAGTGAGGGAGGTGGGCACAGACAATACTATTGTTTGTTACAGGGATGAGAATTGGTAAAAAATTCTGAAATGCATATTGTCAGCCATTTGCTGGCTCTAAATCTGTTTAATCTGTTCACAACATTTTACTTTTGGGCTCGAACATGAACTTTTAATGCAATGGAAAATTTAGGCACCCGAGCTTTAATTTAGAGGAGAGGGGAGACGCGGACTGTTTTCTGCAGCGGTGTATTTATTGGGTGCACAAGTTACGAAAAGACACGCATGGTCCTGTGCGCGTTCATGGTCTTGGGTACATGGCCACGTTGTGGCTACGCGCTCACCGTGTTGTGTTGTGAGCGGTTCCCGCGTCCAGCTCAGAGCCGCTGGATGCGGGAACACTGCGGCCGCTGAGGTGGTGGAATCCCGTTCGAGTACATGCAGCAGGTGCCCCGCGGACACGCGCGCTCCCCTCAAACATTTCTCAACGGATTTACACTTTTCACAAACATGTTTTTTGTATGTGGCAGACAGACCGGCCCAAATATGGGTATCGGCCCTTCTGGCATTGCCCGGTACGCCCGATGGCCAGTCCAGCCCTGCCCATGCCGGTACAAAGCACCACTGAGTACAACCATTCATTTCAATGAACATTCTGAACATTTCAGACACTATAGGGTGTTCAGACCAAAGACTGTAAATATAAGAAGTCCTGGCCTGCGATGGGGAAAAAACGCAGGGCAGAAGTGGCGGCCAGGCTTTGATGCTAATGGAGTTAAACTAGCAGCTTTATTCTGTTTGGTTGAATTTTATACACTTTGATTTAGAATGACATTGCTTTGTTAATAAAAGTTTCATGTTCTAATTTGCTTTAGCCGGTGGCGGTGTTCCATGTGTTTGTTTTTAAAACAAAACGGTGTGCCACAGCTCAAAAAGGTTGGGGGACACTGAGGTAGAAAAGATGTATCTGGTCCGTAGTGAGGCGCAGTGCCGCGACTGTCCAGCAGATGTCGCGCTTGTCGCAGGCACCAGTGCAGAGGAGGCGGCTCCAGTCCAGCGGCCCTGCGTCTGTCTGGATGTAGAGGAAAAATGGCCACCGGGACAGACACACAAACACGGGCTGTGGACGCCAGGAGACTGCACAGGAGCTTGTGACATATGGATATTCTCACAGCAGCTTGCATCGACTCGTTCACCCCACTGGAGGTTCACAGCGTCCTACCCACAGTCTGCAGCCAGCGCTCTCCGGTGAGTAGAGCTGCGGACAGAGGCTAGCGGCTAACACTGCTAGCTCCGGGAATGCGCATCTCTGTCCTGGAGCTCTGATCCGGCCTCAGTACAGCAACCAGCCCTTATCATGTCAGCCACCGTGGGCACACAGACACGGCCCCCTGTGCCCATCCCGGTGCGGGGGGCAGCGGTGCGGAGGCCTGAGCTCCTCTAGAGCCGTACAGAGGGCAGTGTTGTTGGGATCAGCTGGGCGTACACGTACACGCACAGGGCTAGCTATGGCATAGACACATAGACGCAGGTGATGGGTTGTTAGTGTTGGCAGGTCTGCTCTGTGACTCATGACAGACTGGCATGGGCATGGGCATGGGCACAGTGGGTCCTGCTCTGTGATGATGATGATGAAGATGATTTTTTTTATTCTATATTTTCTATTATGCCCTCTCTACCTTTACCTCTCTTTCTGACTGTTGCACTGAGCCAAAGCAAGTTACTGTTACTTACGTGGCAATAAAAATGATTCTGATTCTGATGATGATGATGATGATGATGATGCACCTTTGCCTAGTCACCCGAGTCTAATGTACCGGATCCAGTCACAGCTACAGCGGTTCCGAGCGGCCTCTGGTTCTGTGTTGTGGTTCTGGGCCTGTGCGAGCTGAGGGTACCAGGCCCATGCCAGTGTCCAGGCCCCCCTCTGGGAACAGGAGACAGTACCAGGCTGATGCCCAGCTGTCAGAGGACTGGCAGTGGAAGCCATTGATTTGGGAGAGTTTACCGGCTATTTGAGGTATTATGCCTATGTTAAAAATGATATAAATATATATATATATAGGAGATATAAATGTACGTTTTAATTATTGATGTAAAAATATTGTTAATTTAGGCGTATCATACTCCTCTGCTGCAGTACCATCAGTGGAGAGTATGAAGGAAAATTGAATTGATTTGAATTACAATTTGGTCTGTTACACAATAAAACAGAGCTGCATCAAGGACTGTGGGCCTTCAGACGTGGTGATTACAGCCACACAAAGCTAAACTTATTTCCTTTTTTCACAGGAAGCCAGAGAAGGGAAGCATGTGTGTTTTTTACCCCCGTCCTGGTTTTTGGTGCGACTCACACACTGTGACCTCTGCTTACACTATTGACACTTTAGCAGAAGCAAATTGTAAACCCATGTCAAGCCTTCCATTTCAACTTATTGGTCCATGAAACTAGCTGAAACAAAATGGTTTTCAGATCTATTCACATTTTTAAAGCAAGTGTGGGGAGATTTTTGTTGTATTGGTTGCAATGTAGGATTCGAGCTGTTGAGGAATGAATTATTAACCAGATCTTAGAGCTTACCATAGGATTATCATATCTTACATATAATACAGATTTCAACTTTTGTTCCACTTGTAGTCTGCTTAGTCCAATGGTACAACTCATTGCTTTGGAATGAGTTTCGATTTAGAAGCTTTTAACTAGATTATGAAACCACTTATAAATTAACCTCATATGATAATAATTAAATCACATTCTTGATTCTGTTTCCTTGTATTAAACATGTAATCTGATAATTGACCCTTCCTGTTGTTGGAGCCTATCATAGTTATACTGAAGCATGTTGCATTTCTGTAGTGTCATTCAAAATAGCCATATTTTTCTTGTTGTGGTTTTTTCCATGGCTTATTCTGATCGTTCAGAGTCCAGAGAAACTGATCAAAAGCTCTGCAGTCCCGTGTTTGAAATATGTGTGACCTAAGACTGCCCATGACTCCGATGTGAGAACAAAGAGGAACCAAGCCAAGTTTCTGATGATACAAAAAGTCTTAAAGGCCAAAGGTTTCTTTACACCCAGGAAGGAGAGCACTGCCTTGGCCTGAGGGCAGTGCTTCTCCGGTAACACCAGTGCCCACTTAACAAAACAGGACATGGCCCAGATAATATTGATGATGATGATGGTGATAATTCTACCTTATACTACTACTATATTAAAGCCTTTTTTTTTAGCTAGAAAGAGATTTTGCTTTGAATAGTTCGCAGTTCTGAAAAAGTAAAATGTTTTTTCCAGCATACAGGACACAAACAAGCAAAAAAAAACAGATTTAGAGCACTCTAAATAAAAAGTTATGTCTCTATTTACATAAAATTTAAATAATTTCAATTTCAAATACAGTTTCCAAAGCGCTGCACCGAAAAATATATAAGTGTTTGTCAAAAAAATGAATCGGCATCGACTGCTGAAACGCCAATAAGTAAATAGAACAAAAACAGAGGACCACACAACTCATGCAGTGTATGATACATCACCTAAAGTACGCGCTCAAACAAGTGAAATGTACTTTATTCAGAGCACTCTTGTTTAGTGCTGTGTCCTGGGACGGCACAGGCTGGTTACTATGGGAGTAACCATAGTAACCAGCCTTCATCATCAGCTGAAGACTCTGGTGTGCAGTTAAATGCCTGAATGCAAACCTCTGCTGTCGTTGTGCAGTCCGACCATGACAAGTGTGACACAAGAGAAACAGAAACGCAAAATCTGCTCACGCCCAATTTGGTTGACACTTTATTTATTTATTTTGTTTGATAGGGACAATGCACATTAATGAACATCAGTATACAATGTAAATATGCCGGATTATAGCTACCAAGCTAGTTTTCATCCGTAGTCCCCAGGCAGGAAAATACATGACAAGAGATGACAACATACAATATATTTAAATACAAAATAATACAACACAGAGAGCACAGGGACAACACAGAGAGCACAGGGACAACACGGAGAGCACAAGGACAACATAGACAGCACAGGGGCAACACAGACAGCACAAGGACAACACAGAGAGCACAGGGACAACACAGAGAGCACAGGGGCAACACAGAGAGCACAGGGACAACACAGAGAGCACAGGGACAACACAGAGAGCACAGGGGCAACACAGACAGCACAAGGACAACACAGAGAGCACAGGGACAACACAGAGAGCACCGGGACAACACAGAGAGCACAGGGACAACACAGAGAGCACCGGGACAACACAGAGAGCACAGGGACAACACAGAGAGCACAGGGACAACACAGAGAGCACAGGGACAACACAGAGAGCACAGGGACAACACAGAGAGCGCAGGGACAACACAGAGAGCGCAGGGACAAGTTTCTAATGGTCACATGACTGCTTTCTTTTAAGCCATTGTTTAATTTGAGTTTTAAAGGTGACCAGTGTAGGACTTTCCCGTAATTGCAGAGAAAGACACAATTCTTGCACACTTTCTGTAAATGATACAAACTTTATTTCACTTCTCAAATGTCACTGTGTTTGTCTTATCCAAACAACCAATGATGTATACATGGAAATCCAAACATTTTCTGGACATGCATCGTGTATGTTGAAGTCCAAGATGATTTAAATTCATGCAATACGTTCAGTGTTGTTTAAATCCCAGCCCTGACCTGTAATGACGGAGAGAAATTCATGAAAATACTATGATCAGGTTGATACATTTTCACCCCTTTTATGAACGGCTGTTGCCCACATCACTGCTCCTATAGAACGTTTCTATTATGTGTTTATTAATTCATAATTTCAAGTTTTTGGGAAAATATATATACCCAATTCTCTCGCTTTAGAAACATATTACTCTGCAGGAAACATTGATCCTATGCGAACGAGCTTTAGCAACATGTTATTATGTTGTTTTGGTTCTTGAAGCGCAGTCTATTTTGTTATTGCCTTTGTTTTCTAATTTTATTCTGTTTTATCTGTTTATTATTATTGCAATTTCCCCCTTGTGGGAGAAATAAAGGATCTCTTAATCTTAATGTAATATCTTGTTGGTATATTTTAACTTGATGCAACTTCATTGTCCATTTTTATGACTATAGTTTCATGTATCTATGCAGCACTTTAGATACTGTTCATAGAGCATTTTTCATAAGCAGAGTGCATTGGAAAGTGGATTTGTCTCATGTTTGATATTCTCTGGTAATTGCTGTTTCCCCCAATCAGCAGCTTGTTCACGTTTGGTCACATTTGATATTTACTCATGTGGTATCTACTTGTTTGGTATCTACTCTGTCAGAGCTGGAAGAGCTAAAACAGTACCTGGTCTGAGGGAGAACGCAAAGTGGAAGAGCTCTAAACTGGGGCTGAGTTGCACCAAGTAGAGCGGGGAAGTGGAAAAAGTGGAAAAGGCCGAACTGTTACATGGCTAGAGTGAGATGTATCAGTGTCTGTGAGTGTGTAAAACCATGTGTAACTGTGTGTATAACCATGTGTAACCATATGTCTGAATCATTGTGTAACTGTTCCTGGTGTGTGTAGCCCTGCCGTCAGGATGAACATGGTGAAGCGTATGATGGGCCGGCCGCGGCAGGACGACTGCAGCCCGCAGGACAACGCCCTCGGCCTCATGCACCTGCGCCGCCTGTTCTCCGAGCTGTGCCACCCGCCGCGTCACATGACCCAGAAGGAGCAGGAGGAGAAGCTCTACATGATGCTGCCCGTCTTCAACCGGGTGAGCCTCAGTCAGGACGCTCCACAGAAGCGGACAAGGAGATGTTTCCACCATTTCTTTTAAATGTACGCTTTGAGTGAGGGGAGGATGGAGCGTGAGATTGACAGGCGGATCAGTGCAGCGTGTGCAGTGATGCGGGCGCTGTATCGGGCTGTCGTAGTGAAGAGGGAGCAGTGTCTGTAGTCAGAGCTTTATTAGACTGTTGTAGTGAAGAGGGAGCAGTGTCTGTAGTCAGAGCTGTGTTAGACTGTTGTGGTGAAGAGGGAGCAGTGTCTGTAGTCAGAGCTGTGTTAGACTGTTGTGGTGAAGAGGGAGCAGTGTCTGTAGTCAGAGCTTTATTAGACTGTTGTAGTGAAGAGGGAGCAGTGTCTGTAGTCAGAGCTTTATTAGACTGTTGTAGTGAAGAGGGAGCAGTGTCTGTAGTCAGAGCTTTATAAGACTGTTGTAGTGAAGAGGGAGCAGTGTCTGTAGTCAGAGCTTTATTAGACTGTTGTAGTGAAGAGGGAGCAGTGTCTGTAGTCAGAGCTTTATTAGACTGTTGTAGTGAGGAGGGAGCAGTGTCTGTAGTCAGAGCTGTGTTAGACTGTTGTAGTGAAGAGGGAGCAGTGTCTGTAGTCAGAGCTTTATTAGACTGTTGTAGTGAAGAGGGAGCAGTGTCTGTAGTCAGAGCTTTATTAGACTGTTGTAGTGAAGAGGGAGCAGTGTCTGTAGTCAGAGCTTTATTAGACTGTTGTAGTGAAGAGGGAGCAGTGTCTGTAGTCAGAGCTTTATTAGACTGTTGTAGTGAAGAGGGAGCAGTGTCTGTAGTCAGAGCTTTATTAGACTGTTGTAGTGAAGAGGGAGTAGTGTCTGTAGTCAGAGCTTTATTAGACTGTTGTAGTGAAGAGGGAGCAGTGTCTGTAGTCAGAGCTTTATTAGACTGTTGTAGTGAAGAGGGAGCAGTGTCTGTAGTCAGAGCTTTATTAGACTGTTGTAGTGAAGAGGGAGCAGTGTCTGTAGTCAGAGCTTTATTAGACTGTTGTAGTGAAGAGGGAGCAGTGTCTGTAGTCAGAGCTTTATTAGACTGTTGTAGTGAGGAGGGAGCAGTGTCTGTAGTCAGAGCTGTGTTAGACTGTTGTAGTGAAGAGGGAGCAGTGTCTGTAGTCAGAGCTTTATTAGACTGTTGTAGTGAAGAGGGAGCAGTGTCTGTAGTCAGAGCTTTATTAGACTGTTGTAGTGAAGAGGGAGCAGTGTCTGTAGTCAGAGCTTTATTAGACTGTTGTAGTGAAAAGGGAGCAGTGTCTGTAGTCAGAGCTTTATTAGACTGTTGTAGTGAAGAGGGGAGCAGTGCCTGTAGTCAGAGCTTTATTAGACTGTTGTAGTGAAGAGGGAGCAGTGTCTGTAGTCAGAGCTTTATTAGACTGTTGTAGTGAAGAGGGAGCAGTGTCTGTATAGTCAGAGCTTTATTAGACTGTTGTAGTGAAGAGGGAGCAGTGTCTGTAGTCAGAGCTTTATTAGACTGTTGTAGTGAAGAGGGAGCAGTGTCTGTAGTCAGAGCTTTATTAGACTGTTGTAGTGAAGAGGGAGCAGTGTCTGTAGTCAGAGCTTTATTAGACTGTTGTAGTGAAGAGGGAGCAGTGTCTGTAGTCAGAGCTTTATTAGACTGTTGTAGTGAAGAGGGAGCAGTGTCTGTAGTCAGAGCTTTATTAGACTGTTGTAGTGAAGAGGGAGCAGTGTCTGTAGTCAGAGCTTTATTAGACTGTTGTAGTGAAGAGGGAGCAGTGTCTGTAGTCAGAGCTTTATTAGACTGTTGTAGTGAAGAGGGAGCAGTGTGTTGTAGTCAGAGCTTTATTAGACTGTTGTAGTGAAGAGGGAGCAGTGTCTGTAGTCAGAGCTTTATTAGACTGTTGTAGTGAAGAGGGAGCAGTGTCTGTAGTCAGAGCTTTATTAGACTGTTGTAGTGAAGAGGGAGCAGTGTCTGTAGTCAGAGCTTTATTAGACTGTTGTAGTGAAGAGGGAGCAGTGTCTGTAGTCAGAGCTTTATTAGACTGTTGTAGTGAAGAGGGAGCAGTGTCTGTAGTCAGAGCTTTATTAGACTGTTGTAGTGAAGAGGGAGCAGTGTCTGTAGTCAGAGCTTTATTAGACTGTTGTAGTGAAAAGGGAGCAGTGTCTGTAGTCAGAGCTTTATTAGACTGTTGTAGTGAAGAGGGAGCAGTGTCTGTAGTCAGAGCTTTATTAGACTGTTGTAGTGAAGAGGGAGCAGTGTCTGTAGTCAGAGCTTTATTAGACTGTTGTAGTGAAGAGGGAGCAGTGTCTGTAGTCAGAGCTTTATTAGACTGTTGTAGTGAAGAGGGAGCAGTGTCTGTAGTCAGAGCTTTATTAGACTGTTGTAGTGAAGAGGGAGCAGTGTCTGTAGTCAGAGCTTTATTAGACTGTTGTAGTGAAGAGGGAGCAGTGTCTGTAGTCAGAGCTATGTTAGACTGTTGTAGTGAGGAGGGAGCAGTGTCTGTAGTCAGAGCTGTGTTAGACTGTTGTAGTGAAGAGGGAGCAGTGTCTGTAGTCAGAGCTTTATTAGACTGTTGTAGTGAAGAGGGAGCAGTGTCTGTAGTCAGAGCTTTATTAGACTGTTGTAGTGAAAAGGGAGCAGTGTCTGTAGTCAGAGCTTTATTAGACTGTTGTAGTGAAGAGGGAGCAGTGTCTGTAGTCAGAGCTTTATTAGACTGTTGTAGTGAAGAGGGAGCAGTGTCTGTAGTCAGAGCTTTATTAGACTGTTGTAGTGAAGAGGGAGCAGTGTCTGTAGTCAGAGCTTTATTAGACTGTTGTAGTGAAGAGGGAGCAGTGTCTGTAGTCAGAGCTTTATTAGACTGTTGTAGTGAAGAGGGAGCAGTGTCTGTAGTCAGAGCTGTGTTAGACTGTTGTGGTGAAGAGGGAGCAGTGTCTGTAGTCAGAGCTTTATTAGACTGTTGTAGTGAAGAGGGAGCAGTGTCTGTAGTCAGAGCTTTATTAGACTGTTGTAGTGAAGAGGGAGCAGTGTCTGTAGTCAGAGCTGTGTTAGACTGTTGTAGTGAAAAGGGAGCAGTGTCTGTAGTCAGAGCTTTATTAGACTGTTGTAGTGAAAAGGGAGCAGTGTCTGTAGTCAGAGCTTTATTAGACTGTTGTAGTGAAGAGGGAGCAGTGTCTGTAGTCAGAGCTTTATTAGACTGTTGTAGTGAAGAGGGAGCAGTGTCTGTAGTCAGAGCTGTGTTAGACTGTTGTAGTGAAGAGGGAGCAGTGTCTGTAGTCAGAGCTTTATTACACTGTTGTAGTGAAGAGGGAGCAGTGTCTGTAGTCAGAGCTTTATTAGACTGTTGTAGTGAAGAGGGAGCAGTGTCTGTAGTCAGAGCTTTATTAGACTGTTGTAGTGAAGAGGAAGCTGAGCAGAAAGACAATGCTCTGGATTTACTGGCCAATCCACATTCCCACCCTCACCTATGGTCATGAGTTTTGGATAATTACCATTAGTGCTCAGAGTAGAACCACTGCTCTACAACATTCGGAGGAACCAATTGAGGTGGCCCAGGCCTCTTCCTCCCCGATCCACACACCCTATCCTTACCCTGGGAAGGGGGGACAGTCTGGGAATACTAGTTTTTCTCCGAAATATTTAAGAGAATCTTAATTTTCTATTATTACAGTAAGCCACAAATATACAGTTATGGAAACATGAAATAAATGTGAACTTACACTCACTTTTTGAAACCAAAGGGGTCTATACAACACAATTGCGGTATTAATGCATTCAGGAAGAAAGTTGGGGACTTAGAATTGTGATGTTATTCATTGTTTGCTTTCCTCTCTTACATTTGTTTGTTTGCAGGTTTTTGGGAATGCTCCGCCCAGCAGCATGATGGACAAGTTCTCAGACCTGTTGCAGTTCACTACACAAGTGTCTAGACTCATGGTGACTGAGATCCGCCGCAGGGCCTCCAATAAGTCCACAGGTGAGACTTCCTTCCAGCATTTATTGGCATGTTCTCCTGAATCTCGCTACAGTGAGGCAAAAAAAAACATTTAGTCTGTATTTAGCCAACAATTGTGCAAGTCCTCCCACTTAAAAAGATGTTTGTAATTTGATTCTATACTACTATAAAATGTGACAAAACACTGTCTATTATAATCTTTCAAGCATTTATTTGAATTTATTAATTATGGTGACAAATTATAGATAGTCACCTATAAACAAGCAAGATTTCTGGCCCTCATAGAACTGTAACTTCTTCTTTGAGAGTCTTCCCTGTCTTCCACCCGCTGTTAGTATTAATAGTACCTGTTTGAACTTGTTATCCGTGTTAAAGACACATAACCTCAAACCGTTACACTCCAAAACTCCAAGTCCAAAAGAGCCATCAAAGTTGTACTAGGCTAGGAAGACTGAATCTGGAATAGTGTATTTTTGGTGTTTTAACTGTTGATTCTCTGATCTGTGTTGGTGATTTCAATGGTTTTGTTAAGTCTCTGAGATGATGCTGTTGTGATTTGGGGCTATACAAGAATAAGTTGTTGTTTTTGTCTTTCAAATCCCGCAGTGCCAGATGTGTGCCCCTGCTTAAGCCAGTACATGGCCAGAGAACATTTGAATGTTCCAAAACAGGATTGGGAGAACGTCCTAATGATCAAATGAAACTAAAATGCTATAAACTCAAGTTGTCATGTTCGTTGGAGAAAGAATTCAGAGTTGCATCCAAAGAACACCATATCTACGGTGAAGCATGGGGGTGGAAACAACATGATTTGGGGCTGTTTTTCTACAAAGCGACCATGTTAAGGAAAGACTTAATGGTGCCATGTATCGTGAGATTTTGAGTGAAAGGGCATTGTAGATGAACCGTGCCTGGGTCTTTCAGTATGACAATGATCACCAGTCTCCAGATCTCAACCTCATAGAACATCTTTGTAGAGAGTTAGTTCCCAATAACGGTACTGCTCTAGAGGAGATCTGCATGGATGAAAGAGCCAAAATACCAGCATCAGTGTATGATAACCTTCTGAAGACTTACAGAAAACATTTGACCTGTCATTGCCAACAAAGGGTATGTAACAAAGTATTACTATTGAGAAGGACTTATTTTCTATCATAATTTTCAAATACATTCTTTAAAAATCAAAATGTGATTTTCTTTCTCATCTTGTCTTTCATAGTTGAGGTATACCTATGATGAAAATTACAGTTTTTAAGTGGGATAACTTGCACCATTGGAGGTTGACTAAATAATATTTTGTCCCCCTGTGGACTATGCATTGGTGAAGTCCTGGAGTCCAGGTGTTAGCCCTCAGACTATTGTCTTTTGTGTCTCCCAGAGGCTGCAAGCCGGGCTATTGTGCAGTTCCTGGAGGTGAACCATAGTGAGGAGGCCAGTCGGGGCTGGATGCTGCTGACCACCATCAACCTGTTGGCGTCCTCTGGACAGGTACTCTCATTTTATTTGAAGGGAAGTTTATTCAATAGTTAGCCCTCATCATCATTGTGATGATCTTGAGATGAGCGATAACTTTATGTTTGGCGTCTGGGAGCAGTTTCTCAGTGATTTCACAGGAGAATGAAGCTGGCTTAAGGCTTTTGAAAGAGCAGTGATCTTTTGAACTTGCATTCCTCGAGTCATTCCTGCAGCACATGGCGGTCAGCTGTGTTTTTGCTCCAATCCACACAACCTAACTCAGTTGTCTTGTGCTTTGACAAACATTGGACATTGTCAAATGCAGTTCCTTGGGACAAAAACTGTTTATTGCATTTAAACAGAAATCTGGAACAAACACTTGCTTGTGCCATGTGATTTCATCCACATGACAAAGCACCGTGTGGATGAAGATTTGATGTAACTCATATCCTGTGTTTATTCTTGTTTACCTTTCTCGGTTGTGGTCAGATCTGTTGCTGTAAAAACTCTGATGTGTGTTTTTGCTTCTCTCATAGAAAACCGTGGACTGCATGACCACCATGTCTGTGCCCTCCACTTTGGTCAAATGCTTGTATCTGTTCTTTGACCTGCCTCACATGGTGGAGGCTCCGGTGGGCACAGTCCCTCCACCTCCACCGCCCCCGTCCCAGGACAAGACCCCCGGACAGGGCCAGAGCCAGACCCACTCAGAACTGCCCCTGGCCGACCGCCGCGCACTGCTGCAGAAGGTCTTTGTTCAGGTAAGATATGGAGGTTCCTTAAAACAAGTGTGGAGACAAGCTTGTTATTTTTTAGTTATTCCAAAGTTTTTCACACTGTTCAAATCCATAAATTATTTGAATTGAGATGGATAACAAGAACACAACTTTTGCTGCCCTGAGTGGAGTTGGTTATTATGGTGACCATGATGGTCAGAGAATTAAATGCTTGCAACACTTGACAGTCGAAAACCACAATAGTCGAGGCCAACAGACATCAAGATGCATTGCTCCCTTTACTTTCAATTAGAGATTGGGAGAGCACAGGCGTGCCTACAATCACATACTTTATCACTTCTGCGGCGTTTAAAGACACTTTGCTGTGATGGACAGTGGAAGCAGAGGGAGCAGAACGGCAGTGGAAGCAGAAATCAAGAGAACAAGTCCTGTCAGTGGTTTAGCTCAAAGTGATCCGCTTTTAACCAGCGTCTATCCTCTTCTCACACAGCCTCACATCACATCTGTTTTTGTCAGTCATGAGTTGGTAAAGCCTCCATACAAAGCATAGTATGAGCTGTGTTTGTTGCTGCATGTTATTAATGCCTCTCAAATGCTGTGCTGCTGCCCCACTGACTCTTCAGTTGTGTAGAATTACGTATATTGCTGGACCAAAATAAATGAAGGTTATAAATGAGTTTCATCCTGGTACAGAAGGCAGTCATTGTCGATTCTAACCCTAACCCACTGCACTTGCTGTTTAGATCCTGGTAAAGCTGTGCACCTTCGTGTCCCCGGCGGAAGAGCTGGCTCAGAAGGATGACCTGCAGCTGCTGTTCAGTGCAATCACCTCCTGGTGCCCCCCCCACAACCTGCCCTGGAGGAGGAGTGCGGGGGACGTACTCACCACCATCTCCAGGCACGGCCTCAGCGTCAACGTGGTCAAGTACATCCACGGTACGCCTCACACACTCCGCACTCTGCCCACAGACGGGGGTCACACTGATGCAAAACACTGATGCAGCTCCATTAACATTGTGTATTATAAATAAATACACAATGTTATACATTACATTTGAATGTTTTTCTATATTTTTGCACCAGTCCAAAAAGGAGAAGAACTTTATGTCTAGGCCCCTTGGATTCATGATGATGTGGCTCATTAACCTCTTAAGCTCGTAAGAAAAAAAAAAAACATCTGCTGGCAATAGCAGATGTATTTCGAACTTCATAATCCGCAAGCTATATATAATTTTAAAGCTCATTTTCTCAGCTATATTTATATGTAAGTGTAAACGATATCAGACTTTGCATTAAAAAGATATAACGCATAATATGGGCACAAAATAAATCGTGTTTGTATAAGTTTCTTACCTTTCGTCTTCTGCTGCTCAAACAAATTAGACTTTCCCTATCCTTGCTTAGTCTCTTTCTCTCCGCAATTCTTCTTTGAAAAATAATATCCACTTGTATTTCCCAAAGTATATTCCAATCTTCAGAAATAATCCAAAAATGTGCATTTTTCTGTTGCAAAAAAAAACGCTCCGAAAAATATTCAGGCTTCTCTTTCACATTTCACCAAGTTTGAGCTTTGTTTAGCCACAAACATCATATCCACGTGTTCCGTGAGTCCTGAGTGAGTTTAAAAAGAGAAGTTCCATGAAAAGATAGGAGCAGTTTTCAGTCCGCAGGACCCTTGTAAAAAAGACGAACCGCATCCACTTGCACAGGGTCCTTTTTCCCTTGTTGTTGATTAGCATGGCTAGCGCAATGTGCTAGCACTGAATGATTGACGTGTCTAAGTAGCCAATAAAAAGAGCTTTCTTTTGATGGGTGGGACTTGTAGGAACTCTTTTCATTTTCACAGTAAAAGCGTGCGTAAAGACGCTGTTAGTACTGCTGCGCATATTTTATATGCATTTACAGTACTAAAAAAATATTTTGAAAAAATGTAAAAGAAAATCACACAGATTTGTAACTTATAAGTACCAAAACTAAACAATATGCTTTTTATGATGGTGAACTGTTAGTAAAGCAGTTTGGCACAATTTGGCACAAATTTTGCCAAATTGGTTCCGAATGGCACTACTTGATAAAAAAGAGAAACTGCATAAAAACTATAAAACTTAGAAATCTGAAACTTTACACAGTTGTTAACAACACAATGAACAAATTAGCATTGAAAATGTTCTTCTTCCAATGAAGTCGGCTTTTTTAGGGCATTTATACATTGAATTTTTTAGGCGAGGCTAAAAAAACAGGTTTTTTCCCAAACTTCAAAGGATGCAGAGTGAAATAGGAATGACATACATTATTTCAGTGTATATTTACATAAACTAGAAGGGCCTAGCTTTAAAATGATGCATCACACAAGCATGTGAGATGTAAGATGTGTTTTTAAATAAGCAAAGACATTTGGGTATGCCCAACTTTTGTGCACAAGCCAAAGCAGATGTAGGAGCTTAAGAGGAAAAGGTCATGGTTAGATTTAATGATGATACATTTTACATACATGTATACAGGACTGTCCTGTAATTCATGATCAAAGGTGAATGTTTTTCATGTGTCATTGTTATTGTTCCATCCATCCATCCATCTTCTTCCCCTTAATCCATTCCTGGGTCAGGGGGGTGGCAGTAAGAGCTGCACCCAGTTCACAGAGCACCAGCCCCTCACCGATCCTCCTGCAGGTGCTGAGCCCACAGGAGCTGAGATCTTTCAACAGGGGCTTCAGGCAAAGTGGGGTTAAGTGTCTTGCCCAAGGACACAACGACAGCAGTCATCAGTGGGAGTTGTGAAGTAGTCTTGTGGTGGGCTCGAACCCACAACCTTCAGGCTCAAAGGCCAATGCTCTACCAACTGAGCTACTGAGAACAATTTCCCAGTAGTTCCTGAGCTACTGGGAAATTGTTATTGTTAGTTACATTCATTTTAAACTGAGTTAAATTCATGTAAACTGAACTAAACAAAGTCCTGATGGTTATGTGTCCTCTCCACTGCAGAGAAGGAGTGCCTGTCCACGTGTGTCCAGAACATGCAGCAGTCTGATGACTTGTCTCCAGTGGAGATCGTGGAGATGTTCGCGGGTCTCTCCTGTTTCCTCAAAGACTCCAGTGACGTGTCTCAGACGCTGCTGGACGACTTCAGAATGTGTCAGGGATACAGCTTCCTCTGTGATCTGCTGCTCAGGTGAAACTCCCATACTCTGCGACAGGGTTTCCAATCCGGCAGTACGAAAACCCCTGGGGGTACGCAGGGGTATTACAGGGGGAACAAACTTGCAAATTTGGGCATTGAGGTCTATGGGGAAAATCACCTTACAGTCCATGTGAATTTAGGTTCTAGTGCCCTGGGTGGCCCTTATGCAGGAGACGGGTTTATTCTATCAGTCAGTTAATGTATTTTGTGTTTGTAAAAGGCCCAGGGGAGGGGCTTGGGCTTTAAGAACAGGACCGGGCTAGCCTGCTCAGGTTAGTTTACGCTTGGTTGCAGAGAAGGCAACACCTGAGATGAAACATACACCTACAACTTGTACATATTGCACTGTATTGCACTGGGAGAATATTGGGAATAATAAATCACCTTGAAAAGTGTATTTTTGACTGAGCCATTGTGTTTTTGGGAAAAGACCCCACAACAATTACCCTATCCAGATAATATAATATACATGCATGACCCCCAGTTAAAGAGACAGTGCCCCCACCTCCACCTCCTTTCATAGAAATAACAGAAACTGAGCCCCTAGATTACCTTTTTCATTGAAACTGTATTGTAACTGAATCTGGTAATTTATATTACATTATAATGATATTCTATAACTTTATAATAACATTAGTGTAGTTTTCTTCTATGGAAGTATTTATTGAGCCATCTCTTGACTGATCTTTTTGTATTAAATTAACAAAACACATCTCGGTGTTACAATAATAACAAGATAGACCTAACAGGCCTGTTTCTGTCCCAGACTGGAACAGGCCAAAGAGGACGAGTGTAAGGACGCCCTGAAGGACCTGGTGAACCTGGTGACTTGTCTGTGCACATACGGGGTCAGCGAGCTCAAACCTGCAGGACTGACCACCGGAGCGCCATTCCTACTGCCCGGTTTCATCCTGCCTCAGCCCTCCGGCAAAGGTGGGTCATTTGTTCTACTTGGTGCACTTGCTGGTGTTTCCATTTCCATTTTAGACCTCAGCGAAGGAGAGTGTGAATCTCCTGCATTGGCATGTACAAATGTTGTATCACAGTTAAGCCGATTGCATGGATTTGGTTGTCTGCGCCAAAAGATTCGGTATCATGGCCAAAAAAATGATGGCTCATGGTCTCAGAGTGAGACCGGGACAAAGATGAAAGACGAGCGTTGAGTCTTACCAAATGTTTGTTATTCTGGTCATGGAATTGGTCTTCCATTGGTCTATCATGACGTGGCATTACAGTTGGGCAAACCGGCAATCGTGGAGTAGAAACGGATTCACAACTTGTCTAGTGTCTTGAATTCAGCGATACACTGTAGCCAGCTAAGCTCCTCCAGCGCTCATGTAGCATCAACATGACATCAATGTTTGTTCAAAGCTTGAAAGTTGCCGCTGACGTCTGTCATGGCCTCAACTCTTGTTGTTTTGTGATTATATTCTTTGCTGCAGGGCATCAATGGGTTGTCAAAGTTCAAATAAAACATATATAAAATATGTGTAGAATGTGTTTTGTGTAGAACTCTGATTATAACGATAGTCATTCTATTTAAAGGTACACCATCATTACCTTGATGTGAAGAATGAGCCCTCAGTCTACGCATAAAGTTATGTAACAAAGACAGGCTCCTCTCATGTGTTTTCAATATATTGATCTTTTTGTGTGACATGCCCAAACCTAAAAGACTAAAAAACCCTTGCAGAGGACAATTGTGGCTTTTGACAACAACAACCTGTAGATGCTTTCAAGCTTGTGGGTGTTTTCTCTCACACATCTCTATTGTCCCTCAGGCCACACGGTACGGAACATGCAGGCCTTCTCAGTGCTGCAGAATGCTTTTCTTCGTGCTAAGAGCAGCCGCCTGGCCTGCATGCTGCTCGATGCCATCGGAAACATTTACGCTGCCGAACCGTCCAACTATTTCATCCTGGAGTCGCAGCACACGCTGTCGCAGCTGGCAGAGCGCGTGGCCAAGCTGCCCGAAGCACAGACCAAGTATTTTGAACTGCTGGAGTTTGTGGTGTTCAGCCTGAACTATGTGCCGTGTAAGGAGCTGTTCAGTGTCAGTGTGTTGCTCAAGTCCAGCTCTTCGCACTCGTGCAGTGTGATCGCTGTGCGGACTCTGCTCAAACTGTCCCGACACGACCTTGTTTTCTGTGATGTGCTGCGGGAGGTGGGGCTCCTGGAGGTGCTGGTCAACCTGCTGCACAAGTACGCCGCCCTCTTGAAGGAGCCTGGTGCCCAGCCCACGCACAGCCAAGACCAGGGTAAGTCCTGGTCTCACAGCCCAGACCAGGGTAAGTTCTCCACACATGCCCTGAATGTGAGTGTGTCGCTAACTTTGCTCCTCTGCTTCCAGCCGATGGGAAAAGGACGGACGCGCTGGACGAGCCCAAGCAGCTGGCCTTGATTGTCATGGAAACGCTGACCGTTCTGCTCCAGGGCTCCAACACTAACGCAGGTCCTTCTCTGAACTAACAGCTCTTCAGACGGTCTGCGGTGTGCTGACAGTTTGTGTGTTCACAGCTCTGTTCCGAGAGTTCGGTGGTGCGCGCTGTGTCCACAACATAGTGAAGTACCGGCAGTGTAGGGAGCACGCGCTGCTCATCATCCAGCAGTTGGTGCTCTCTCCCAGCGGAGACGACGACATGGGCACCCTGCTGGGTCTCATGCACTCTGCCCCGTCCAGCGAACTGCAGCTCAAGACGGACATCCTGCGGGTGCGTAGGGCTGAAGTAGTAGTTCTGCAAAGTTAAAACTAAACTTAAAACTGAATGAAAGACTAGATTAGTTTGACTTTTTGATTTTTGCCAATGTAATAAGATAAGTTTTCCTAATTGTAGTCTTGTGCTTGTGCTGTTGCAGGCTCTTCTGCTGGTGCTGCGGGAGAGCCACCGCACCCGCACAGTGTTCCGGAAGGTGGGAGGCTTTGTGTATGTCACCTCGCTGCTGGTGGCGATGGAGCGCTGCCTGTGCCAGCCGCCGAGCCACGGCTGGGAGCGCGCCAACCAGAACCAGGTGTTTGAGCTGCTCCACACGGTCTTCTGCACTCTGACCGCCGCCATGCGCTACGAGCCCGCCAACTCGCACTTCTTCAGGACCGAGATCCAGTACGATAAACTGGCCGACGCTGTCAGGTAGTGTGATTGGAACATACACAACAATGGCAATAATCGGGGTGGAAAGAGAATTATAGGACTCTGAGGCTTTACCCTGGACCTTTTTCCGGACAAAAGTCTTCTCATAACCAGCCGTTTCTCACATCTCTTATTAATGGCAAGGATAACCCACCTGCTGAGGCCCGAGTCACACCCGAATCAGTGAATACACAACATTACACAGGCTCAGAATGGAGCTGCAGTTGAGGGCGCTGGGCTTTTCCAAGAGGAAAGTTTAAAACAAATTATTTTTGACACAATAATAAACATTGGTAATTTGTATTATACTTGAAATATTACTAAAATGACTCGAAGTACAATTGTCTAAACAATCAACGTAAAATGACAGTACTTGTAAATGGTTTGTTTCTTTCCAGCCTTGATAATGACATTATTATTTCACATCTTGATTCAGTTTCCAGTGCAATGCGCTGATGCGTGTGCTGTGTGCTCCAGGCTCCTTGGTTGTTTCTCGGATGTGAAGAAGCTGGGTTCCACCGGAGTCTTTCCGTCCAATGCCCAGCCTTTCCAGAGGCTGCTGGAGGAGGAGCTCGGACCCACAGGGGGAGGGGACTGCGTCTGCCCCACGCTCAAACACTGCAGCAAGCTCTTCATTTACCTCTACAAGATGGCTACTGACTCCTTCGACAGGTGAGTCACGTTTATCGCACCTTTACACATACAACATACACAACGGGACAATCCTCCAGCAGAGGTCCCCTCAGTGCTGAGCGAGGACAGACTTTTCCTAGGGCAGTGCACTCTAGGTTCAGGTTAGAGCACACCCATTGCATGATAGTAGCAGGTCCACACTGAATGACTGTAGTGCATGTACATCCTTAAGTTCCACAGAAGAACATCAAAACGGAGGAAAAGCTGAGATGAGCAGTACTCATGATGTCCTCATGTAAAAAAGGTTTGTCCTCTGGGGCCAGTCTCTGTTTCAGTCCTGGGATTCACCCGCTTCACGTGGACTATGGTGGAAGTAGATGACATTTCTAGCTGATACACCTGAAGTCAGTTCATGTGGACATGGCCTAATCGTTGTGTGGAATGCAAATGCACTTTCAGGGGCACTTAAAGGTGGTTGCCATGATGAAAGATGATTCTATACAATATTCTTGAAGGCGCTGCATTTGTGCGAGTGTTCTGTTTGTGTTGAGTGGTCTCGGCACAAGAGACTTCCTCCTGCTCTTTCCTCTCTCTGCGCTTGCCGTCTTGGACACTGGGCTTCTTCAGTCTCACATCAGTCTCCTCCGCAACTCTTCTGTCTCTTGTTTACCTGTTTCCGTGACAGTCTCAGTCTCAAAGTTGCGATATTTGGTATCACAGCTTTGAGAAGTGAGATTAATTTTATGACGTTGGGAGATTTAATTAGGGTTCTCACCTATTTATTTACATAGAATAAAGCAAGGACATTTTGTGTATTTGGGATTTAACCAGGATCATGATATTTTTGAGAGTCCAGTTTGGGAGTTTTATTTGTGCTGCAGAATATAATGTCTGTCAAAGATGTCTGGGAGTTTAGATTAGAGCTATGCGTGAACACAAAAAAAAAACATCCATCATTAAGTGGATAATGGTGAGAGGATGGAGATGATGAAAATGTCCCCTCTGTTGGACAAATATTATCTTATATCTTAAGATTGGCCATGTGAACTGAACCTGGAAGGACTTATCTGGGTAGTTTAACCACTCTGCTCTTCCTCTTTTTCTTCTTCCTCTGCTGTGTTTCTGTGTGTGTGTGTGTGTGTGTGTGTGTGTGTGTGTGTGTGTGTGTGTGTGTGTGTGTGTGTGTGTGTGTGTGTGTGTGTGTGTGTGTATTTGTGTGTGTGTATATGTATGTATGTATTTGTGTTTGTGTGTGTGTATATGCTGCGTCATGCTGCCATAGCCGCACAGAGCAGCTCCCTCCCTGTCTGACTCAGGAGACCTCCCTGCCCTCCCCCTGGGGCACCCCCGCCCTCACCCGGAAGAGGTACAGCTCCAGCCGGGGCCGACATCACTTCATACCGCCACATCAACCAATGCCATTCGCTGCCATTTGCTGATGTTTTCGATTTTCATTTCCATTATTTGTTTTGCATTCTTGATTTTTTTTCATGGAAATTGATCCTTGACTACAATCTGACACAGTAATATACCAGTCATCTTCTACGAGAATGTTCTGTGAATTGCTGCTCTCCCTTACCCTTCAGGAATCAAAAGTCCACAAAATTAAAATACAGGTGAAACTTGGAAAATTAGAATATCGTTCAAAAGTTCATTCATTTATGTAATTCATGTTCATATGTGAAACTAATCTAGACTCATGACGTGTAAAGGGTCTTTGTATCTGAGATGTTTTCATAGTTAAATATCTAAAGACATTAGTGAGTTTATCTCACAGCTCCTGTACCGACTCTGTCATATATGATTATCTCATTGTAAGTTTACTTTTGAACAATATTCTAACATTCAAAGTTTCAACTGTATTATTTAAAATTCTATATGAAATCTTTTTGTCAGTTCCAGTCATGTAATGATTTCTTTGGGGTTCAGTTTTGGGCTGTGAAAAAAAAATCAATTCTGTTGCTACTGACTGTGTCAATATGTTTCATACATTACTATTTTTTTGTACTTAGTGGTTGTATGATGACTGATCCCCGTCCGTGCCCAGTACCAAGCCTTTGGTCATTCGGTGCAGGGCCGCAAGGAAATTACGTTTTTTTTCCCCTCCAAGTCTGAACCATCCTTTATTTTATTTTTCAATTCCTGGATTCTCTCCTAAAGCTTTATCTCATGACACGATAACACTGAGATTTATCCCATAAGCTGGACAAAAACATGTCCTGCCTTTTAACATAACTTCACTTAACTTCACCAACATGTTTTATCTCATTGATAATGAGATGCAAATGTTTTCTTACTAAGCTTATTAACACATTTTATTTGACTGCACCTTTCGAACAAATACAACTGATAACTGAAAAGTTGATAGTGCCCAGTGGCAAAGCGTAAGCATCCTAACTCTCATTGCACCTTCCCTCCGCCACCTTCCCAAACCACTGATTGTGACCTTTTGTCATTCTTCATAATGTTGTACACTTTGAATTGTAAAGTTTCTCCTTCTTTGGACAAATTGATGAGAAACTACTCCTAGTTACTCGTCCCTTGTAAACAAATAGGGTCTCCAGTCACTTTTTGCCCTATTATTGAGAAATTCTCCATTGTGTAAACAACATATGGCAATCATTTATCATTTCAATGTCACTGCCAACCATGGAAAGTACAGTCTGCCACATGTGTCTCTTATTTAGTGAATACTTGTAAAGAGAGTGTTGTGGTCAGACTGGTGAGTGCAGTGTTGTGTATTGTTGCAGGATTGGGTACTACGGCTCCTCTGCTCCGGTCAAAGTGCTCACGGAGCTGAAGCTGCACTTGTCTGCCTCTCCAGCACCCCCTACCTCTGCGTCTCTGTCTGACATGGTGGTCATCCATCCAGGGGCAGTGCTGGCCATTCTCGACCTGCTGCCCTCTGTGAGCTCCGACAGCCAGCCTGAGGTGAGGCCCCTGCCCTTTGACTGTGTGAACATCCACCCACGTGTGAGCGTCTGCTTGTATTTCTGTTTGAAACACAGTATTTTATTTTATTTAGAGCCAAAGTCAGAATACAGTGGCAGATGGTGCACGGATATAATAAGCCAACTGTATGCCCACAGCTGTAGATTGTATTATTTTGTTTTATGGCATTAGCAGATTATTATGTATGAATGTGGTCAAATCTTGAGCGGGTCCTCACCATCATGATTGGTAATTGAGTCCTGGGTGAAGCCCACCGCTCTTGGTGCAGCAGTGCCTCTGGTCAAATGCAGATAATGTGTCCATAATATAGAGTATGTAGAGTCTGTCCTCTTAAAGGCTCCAGTGTGACCCTCTCTTGTGTGTGCAGCATGCCCTGGACCTGCAGTTGGCTGTTTCCAACGTCCTGCAGCAGCTGGTGAGCTCTGAGAGGAACCAGCAGATTCTGTGTGAGGCCTGTGTGCACCAGAAGCTGCTCCAGCGCTGCAGCCAGGCTCTGGGCGACGAGGAGCACCCACTGCACCCTCCTCTGCAGAGGATGTTTGAGAGGCTGGCCTCTCAGGCCCTGCTGCCCACGCCTTTGAGGTGCTCATCTGTGCAAACCTATGCTTCTTTCACCTAGACTCACCTTCACACTGAGCTCTTCTCTTCTGCTGCACAGGGAGTTCCTGCGGCTGGGGGATCCTCTGAACTGTGGGGCGTGGGACAAGAAGCAGCTGAAGCAGTACCGTGTGCACAAGCCCAGCTCTCTCAGCTACGACCCAGACATGAGGAGTAAGTCACACTCTGCACAATCTCATCCAGAAGCAGACCCCAGCACCAGTGGGGTCTACATGATGTGTGTTGCAGAGAATTAATTAAAAATAGGTTTTATCCAATTATTATTCAACATAAAACTCTGCACTGGTCTGTCGGTTTACTAAACTTCTACAAATCCTCTGATAGTCTACATACTATCATAGGATAGTGTATATAGCGTTCTGTTGTTTCCACAGACAGTATGACTCTGTCCATGGAGGGCTTTGGACCCGACAGCGTCTTCACCACTCCGGCCGAGGACAATGGGCAGTACCGCATCAGCCGCAGCCTGGTGCGCTCAGCAGAGGGCAGCACAGTGCCCCTCACCAGGGTCAAGTGTCTGGTCTCCATGACGACGCCCCATGACATCCGACTGCACGGTTCAGCCGTTACTCCGCCGTTTGTGGAGTTCGACACCTCACTGGAGGGTTTCGGGTCTGTACCCATCACTTCGTCATTAATGTCCATCCATCTTAAAGTTCTTATGACTCCTTTTACTGAAATGCCATTGATATAATTACATTTCAGATTTTGTTACAAATTGTACAAATATTATTTCTGTTTTCCAGCATTTTTTTTTTTTTTTAAATGTTACATCCTGATTATAATAGAAAAACACCACAATGGGTGATTACACTGAGCAATGACAATATAATAATGATAATAATGCTTCACATACATTATCAGTAGAAATATACAAAACCCCTTCAACCTTTATTAGTGTTTAAAAATTTCTAAAATTATAAAACATATTTGTTGAGTCTCTCAAGGTGATGTCATCTTAAAAGTTTCTTTAAACTTTTCTTATTCCTTTAATTTAAATATAAAAATGTTTTAAGATGGTAGTTTTATGTCTGGCCCTCTGTAAGAGAGGTGCTGTAGCTCCTCCAGTGTCTCACGCTCCCCTCTGACCTGCAGCTGCCTGTTCCTGCCCAGTCTGGCGCCCCACAATGCACCTCCCCACACGGCCGGGGGCTCGGCGGTCAGCGACGGAGCCGTGCTCAGCGGCATCGGCACAGGTCAGTGTCCTGCACATTCTCACACATGATGTAATTTGTGACATCTGAGGAAGTTTGTAGAGAGTTTTGTTACACACTAATGAAAACCTGCTTTAAGACAATCTGGATCTGTTTGTTTTTTATGTTTGTTTTTGGGGCATTTTGAAAAGTTAAAAAAAATGTTGCTAACTACATTTTAACTTTGTACTATTGTATTCAGAGTACTTTGAAGCATTAACGCTCATTTGCCTAATAATAAAGATTAATAACTCGTAGGAATTTGTTTTTTCTGCATTTTCTTTTCTTGATCATTAGAATTGAATTAAACACACTTGTACATCACTAAACGCAACAGTTTCACCTCGTTTTTTTATAACATAGTAAAGTATTCCACAACTCAAAGACTGCTCTCTCCAACACTGCCTGTGTCACTTGTTCCTTTGACACATTAGTCATTTTAAGTCGTATTACAAATATAGATTTATCGCAAATATAGTACTTAATGTATCTCCTGTACAAAAAATGTACATAATCTTAGCTGAGCCATAGGATTTTAGCTATAATTGCTTGACTATGGAGACTATAGCCATATTCTGCCCAAGAAAATAAGTCCTCTTTTAAAGTATACACCTGTAGTCAGCTGTCATGGTAGTCAAAAGTATGTGTGTGTGTGTGTGTGTGTGAGCAGGGGAGCGCCTCTTCCCTCCTGCCTCTGGCCTGACGTACTCCAGCTGGTTTTGTGTGGAGCGCTTCAGTGTGGCCCCTCATCCCCATCCGCTGAGACTGCTGACCCTGGTGCGGAGGGCCAGCTCCTCAGAGCAGCACTACGTGTGTCTGTCTGTGGTGCTGTCGGCGAAAGACCACTGCATCTCTGTGTCCACCAAGGAGGAGCTGCTGCACACTTACTGTAAGCACTCACTGTAATCTCGTACTGTAATCTCGTACTGTAATCTCGTACTGTAATCTTGTACTGTAATCTCGTACTGTAATCTCGTACTGTAATCTTGTACTGTAATCTCGTAAGTAAGTAAGTAAGTTTTTATTTATATACCGCCTTTCACAGACCAGAGTCACAAAGCGGTTTACAATTGTTATTTTTTGGGCACTTGTCCTCTCACTCCACACAGAGACAGGAGCGGGGTCGCCAGTATAGGAGGCGCATGCCAGACCTATTGTACATATTTTTAGTGGTAGGGGAAACCGGAGTACCCGGAGGAAACCTACGCAGACACAGGGAGAACATGCAAACTCCACTCAGAAAGGCCTTGGTCCGGCCGGGATTCGAACCCAGGACCTTCTTGCTGAGAGGCGAGAGTGCTATCCACTCAGCCACCATGCCGCCGTACTCGTACTCGTACTGTAATCTTGTACTGTAATCTCGTACTGTAATCTCGTACTGTAATCTCGTACTGTAATCTCGTACTGTAATCTCGTACTGTAATCTCGTACTGTAATCTTGTACTGTAATCTCGTACTGTAACTAACCTCTCGTCTGTGTTGATCTGTTCTAAGGCTGCATGATTACTCGGTACGTGTTGCATTGTGACGATCAGGCTAAATCTCTGTGTTTAGAGCAGAAATACAAGGGTCACAATATGTCCAATAATTTATACTTACTATATTTTTTTACTATTTACAATGATGTTTTGGATTCCAATCAAAAATATATATTCAATTACAGTTATCAGAAAACTAGCTTTAAAATTAGGTGTAAAATGCCAGGATACTCTTTCCAGTGAGTCTATCATAATTTAAGGGGCCGCTCAGTCAGTCTGTGTTCTCATTGAATCTATTTGTCGATTTGTGGATAGAACACGTCTGAACTGTTCACCAGGTGCAGTCCAATGTTTCCTGCCTTTATCCACACTAACATTGTCTGTTGAAAATACTGTTGAGATGTATAAACTAAGTTTGTGAAGCCAATTTACATCAGATGTAGGAAAATCAAACGTTTCTTGGTCTATTTCTTTAATTGTAACTTTAATTGCACTTCCTTTAATAAAGCTTCTCTCTCCCGCTCTCTCTTTCTCTGTCCCCGTCTCTCTCTGTCTGTCTCTCCCTCTCTCTCCGTCTCTCTCTCCGTCTCTCTCTCTGTCTCTCTGTCTCTGTCTCTTTGGCTCTCTCTCGCTCCCTCTGACTCTGGCTTTCTCCTTCTCTCTCTCTCTCTCACTCTCTCTCGCTGTCTTTCTGTCTCTTTGGCTCTCTCTCTCTGTCTCGCTCCCTCTTTCTCTCTTTCTCTCCCGCTCTGTCTCTCTCCCTGTCTCTGTCTCTTTCGCTCACTCTCTCTCTCTCTCTCTTTCTCTCCCTGTCTCTCTCTGTCTCTCTGTCCCTCTCTCTGTCTCCCCCTATCCCTCTGTCTCTTTGGCTTTGGCTCTCTCTCTCTCTCTCCCTCTGACTCTGGCTCTCTCCGTCTCTCTCTCTGTCTCTCTCTCACTGTCTATTTGGCTCTCTCTCTCTCTCGCTCCCTCTTTCTTTCTCTCTCCCACTCTGTCTCTCTCTGTCTCCGTCTGTCTCTTTCTCTCTCTGTCTCTCTCTCACTCTCTGTCTCCCCCTATATCTCTCTCTTTTGCTCTCTCTCTCTCCCGCTCTCTCTCTCTCTCCCGCTCTGTCTCTCTCTCCCACTCTGTCTCTCCGTCTCCGTCTCTGTCTCTCTCTCTCTCAGCGGCCGAAGAGTCCAGTGATGAGTCGTCCTTCTATGAGCTGCTGCCCTGCTGTGCTCGCTTCCGCTGCTCTGAGCTCATTGTGGAGGGACAGTGGCACCACCTAGTGTTGGTTATGAGCAAGGGCATGCTCAAGAACAGCATGGCAACGCTCTACCTGGACGGACAGCTTGTCAGTACAGTCAAGGTACATATTTCCTCCATGTTAGGATCGCTGCTCTCCCATGGGATTCACAAGACCAGTGTGTTCTTAAAGCTGGGGTACTTAACTTTCAAACCACAATATATGGAACTAGTTCTATTCTAGCTGTTAAGGCAGCAGATGAAGATGAAGACAGAATGTAGTGGCCTCACTGAAAATGTTCTGTTCCATCCCTGTCTTGTTTCAAGTTTAAGAATCTGGAAATTCGACTACATGCGTCCCTTCTAAATCTCATGTGTCCTCCACAGCTCCACTACATCCACAGTGGTCCAGGTGGCTCTGGCTCTACTAACCCCCCCGTGGTGAGCAGCGTGTACGGCTACATCGGGACGCCCCCTGCCCAGAGACAGGTGTCCAGCCTGGTGTGGCGCCTTGGGCCCAGCCACTTCCTGGAGGAGGTCCTGCCTGCCTCCACCGTCACCACCATCTACGAGCTGGGGCCGGACTTTGTGGGCAGCTTCCAGGCGGTCTACCCCCCATGTAAGAAATGGGGGGTATCAATCAATTCATCCTTTTCTTTTCATCTATGGATTTTTCTTTTATTTCAAATTGAGAAATGTGTTACATGTCATCTCAGTCAACCCATTTTAATCCTCATTGTCAATAATATAATTGGTTTTACAAGTGGCTGATTAAACCCTCTTCTTAAAGTAACAATTGTTACAATTACAATTTTTATGTATTCACAATTGAAAGAAAATATTGAGCCCCAAACTGACAGATGTGTGTTTTTCAGGTAAAGAGTGGAAGAGCGACATGCCCCCAGTGTCTGCAGTGGTGCTGGTCCCAGAAGAGAAGCTCTCCTTCAGCCTGTACGCACACTCCGTCTCGACTCTCACCGTGGCCAAGATCCGAAAACTCTACAACAAACTGGACAGCAAAGCCATCGCCAAACAGGTCACTCCCATTAGCATAGACAAACGATTCTCAAAGCAAGACACTTTGTTATAACGTTCTCAAAGTGATCTATTTCACTAATTGTTTTACACAAAAAATGCAAAGTGAATAAAGTTTAGGTTGTGTCAAAACGTTTCAAAGAGCCTAAAATTGTGGTGGAGAGCAGCTGAATAATCTGTCCTGGTAACTCAAGTCTAAGTTTATCGCTAATTTCTCTGTAATTCCTGGACCAGGACACGGAAACTCACAAAGTTCAACATCTTTGTCAGCACACGTCAACTTTGGTCTAATTATTTGCTCTTAAAGGGACTCTAGAAGTGGTGACAATATTTAATACTTTGTTTATAAATGGCTTTCTTTGTGCATTTCTTTCAAATAAAAGACTTTTTTTTTTTAATTCTACCATAAAGTTGTACTGGCACCTGCCCTCCAGCTGAAATAGAACTCTTGAACATAATGCAGCTGATTGTATTGGATCATACAAAGCACCAAATAACCCCCAATGTCTTCATCCTGTTCTAACACTGTGAGTGTGTTTGCTCTGCAGCTCGCTGTGTCGTCCCATGAAAACGCCACTCCAGTGAAGCTGCTCCACAACGCAGCCGGACACCTGAACGGCCCAGCCCGCACGCTCGGAGCGGCCGTCATTGGATATTTAGGTACTATAAGAAATATTACGCAACAGTTTTATTTAGAATGTGAAACAATACTATGAGTAGAAAACGTTTAATGAAAAAGTATGAAGGATACAAAAACGGTGAAATTCCCTCTGCTCCGACAAAGTTTTCAAATTAGTTTAGTTTGTTTGTTTTTGCATTCACTACCATGCGATTGCAAAGAATGTAATTTAACTTGGGGAATTGTCAAAAGTAATGTATGACCACTACTTTGTGAGGTCATGGCATTATAATAACATGGTCTGTTGTCGTGGCTAAAAGCTCTAAGTTCTTCACCATATTGAGCCGGATCAGTGCTATAGTAAAAATGCACCGTCTTTCTACAGGAGTGCGAGCCTTCGTGCCCAGACCCGTGGCCACCAGTCTGCAGTATGTGGGCGGGGCGGCTGCCATCTTGGGTCTGGTTGCCATGGCGTCAGACGTGGAGGGGCTGTACGCGGCGGTCAAAGCTCTGGTGTGTGTGGTGAAGAGTGACCCACTGGCGAGTAAGGAGATGGAGCGCATCAAAGGCTACCAGGTGAGGAAACTTCAAAGACCACAAGTATCTTTCCTCACAATGAGTGCGTTTACAAAGTATAGGAACACGGCGTACGTTCAAAAACCATACTCTACCCAGTGCAATTATCAAAGCCGTCTGATAAGTTTTCTGTGAGCTCTGCGGAGAAGCCGCTCAAGGCTCCAGACCCGGGGTGATCTTGATCTTTATCCGATCAAGATGTACTTTTCCAGTAACCAGTGAGCCGAGATCTACCTCAGTTTTAATGTGTGAAACTATTCAGAAATCTCACTATTTGGTGCCGCTGCTTTCATGATGCATACACTTTCAAAGGCGTCTCGTAACTTTCCCTCATCACTTAAACTTTAACTGTAACTTCAACTGCAATTGAATAGTTTTTTTTCATAAGCAGAACAAAAACATTGCACTGTATATACAAACCTACATCAATGAGACGTAGAGACAGACATTCAGACATCAGACAGAAAGGTACAGGCATACAGGGGGAATAAAGTTTCTATCATACATGTATTATAAGCAAACGCGCTGCAAATGTTTACTTTCGGCGTTTGATTTTCACACACGCTTAGCGGCTGCAGCAGAAATCATTGCATTTCCTCGATACTCGATGCACCCATGATTCTTGTTTGCTTTTTCTTTGCCTAACATGTGCAGCAAGGAACCATGTATTAAGATCCAAACAAAATGAGTGGGTCGCCTATATCTGTCCAAATGTACTTGTCGCCTATATCTGTCAGAGTTGTCATTATTATCATCATCATTTCCTTGGTTAAATCTCCTGTCCTGTGCTCCAGCTGCTGGCCATGCTGCTGAAGAAGAAGCGCCCTCTGCTCAACAGCCATATCCTCCATCTGACCTTCTCCCTGGTGGGCACCGTGGACAGCGGGCACGAGACCTCCATCATCCCAAACTGCACCGCCTTCCAAGACCTTCTCTGTGACTTTGAGGTGAGGGCTCTGTCACAGTTATATACTTCACAATACAAATACTGACGTCCTCTGCCCTCTCCTCAGGTCTGGCTGCACGCCCCCTATGAGCTGCATCTGTCTCTGTTCGAGCATTTCATTGAACTGCTCACAGAATCCAGGCAAGTGAACGTTCTACCTCTCCCTTTTTAATGTTCTCCAAAATATGATAAAAAAATGTTATATATAAGTCGACTAAAATACAGTATAAAAATGGGCGTGTCTCAAATGCTTACTTCACAGTAGCACAGCCGTTGGCACTCTTGTTTCTCAGCAAAAAGGTTCGATTTCACCTCCAAACAGGACTGTACTGAGTGGAGTTTTTATGTTTTCTCCGGGTCTGTGTAGGTGTCCTCCGGGTGCTCCGGTTTCCCCAACCACTAAAACACGTTCAATACGCCCCCTCTCTCTGGGGCCAGGACTTTCCTGAAAAAGAGATTATAAAATCTCAGAGGGACTTTCCTGGTTATACTGTATAAAGGTCAATAATATACAATAACTGAAAAAAATATTGAGTTGATATGAATTTGAGAATTAGATTTGACTTGAATATCAAAGTACTTCAATTTTTCTCATTCATAGTTTACAATTGTATGTTAAATACATAGTTTAATAAGAAAGATAATCAATCAATCAATTCATCAAATTGTATTTGTAAAGTGCTTTTCATACAGAGGATGCAACACAAAGTGCTTTACAGTTTGGTTATCCTGCCGGCCCGTGACCCCTCCCCCTGACCGCCCAACAGGCCCACCCCAAACCACAAATATTATTAAGAACTCATGCACAAGCAGATGCTTGCACGCACTCACATAGAGACCAGTAAAACCATGAAGATAGATAAGAAATCATAAGAAAATAAATCATTGACTGATTAATCGCCTAAACAACATTTCCCTGTGTTTTGTGTCCGACAGTGAAGCGGCTAAGAACGGTAAGCTGCTGCGAGAGATGGGTCTGATTCCCCGGCTCCTGCTGACCCTGCGGGACCCCTCTCTGTCCCAGCCCACAGTGGGGGCCATCAGCAACGTGCTCAGCCTCCTCCTGCAGGGCTTCCCCAACCCCCTGGAGCTGCTGCGGTGAGAGATCTCCCCATTGTCCGGGAGGTTATTTCAAGTGTAGTTGTTATGAACAATAACTGTGAATGCACCCCTAGTTTCAGACCTGGTTTAGTCCTGGTTCAATTCTGGATCTCTCCTGGTTCAGTAACAAGTTTATCCCTGGTTTAGTCCTGATTCGGTCCTGGTTCAGTCCTGCGCCTCTCCTGGTCCAGTCCTAGTTTAGTCCTGGTCCAGTCAGGCTTTGGTCCTGGTCCAGTCCCCGGTGTGACCTCTGTGCTCTTTCTCCTTCAGCTTTGGACAGTTCATTGCCTCCACGCTGCCCACATTTGCCGTGTGTGAAAAGTTTGTTGTCATGGAGATCAACAACGAAGAGAAGCTGGACGCAGGTCTGTGATTTCATTTTAAGAGTTGGTCATATTGTGTTTCTGTTTGACTGTTGCACTGAGCCAAAGCAATTTCCTAGTCTGTGACCTCCTGTTACTTACGTGGCAATAAAAATGATTCTGATTCTGATTCTGGTTGTTTCTGTAGTTTCGGTAAAGCATGACTGGTTTGCGTGTGAATGTTTCCAGGAGAGGACGACTTCGGCGGCCTGCTCTCGGCTTCTATCATCCTCCTGAGGAACCGTCTGCTGGACTGTCTGCTGCGGCTGCTCTTCACCCCCAAAGAAAACCCCAAAGACAAGAGCCAAGTCAACGCTCAGTGAGTAATGCTCCAAACGGATTAGTGTCGGGCCGTTTCGCAATAAAAGTTATTAGTTTGGAACGAGAACTAAAACACTGTCAAACTCTGCAACAGGATAAGAGGAGAATTAATGTAAAAGAAATGGTGCTTGTTTTGAATGCAGCTAATTAAGTAAGCTCAAATGTATTTATTGATATTGAAATTGAAGGGGTTCGGCTTTTCTTATGGAACCAAACACTCCAGATATAAGAGGGCCACTGCAGACAATTCGATCAAGACTATTTTTGGCTTTGAGCAAAATGTTATGGAATCGGCAGATGGAGGAGGAGCTTAAACGGCTCTCGATGAAAGCTTAAGATAGTACAGATAAAATAGTGGAACTGACTGAGAAGGAGTTTACATTTCCATAAAAACAGACAGACGAGCTTTTCACACATCGCACAGCTGCGTGAGCGCCCCTGGCTTTTCAAAAAAAATATAATGGGACTGTTGAAGTTGTTTTAGTAGCTTATTATTTCTTTGATCGTTAGAACATAGGTCACATGTTTCCAAAGATCAAATACATTTTACAATAAATTGAAAAAAACAAAAATGTGTATACAAAGAATTTTAGTGCTAAATAAGGCACTTCTGTGGCTCAGAGAATAGACTTTAAAACAGCTCTGCTTGTTACAAGTCTCTCCATGGCCTCGCACCAAAATATATTAGTGACATGTTAGTCCCATATGAACCAGCCCGGACTCTGAGGAGCACAGGGACTGGCCTCCTGCTGGGACTCTGAGGAGCACAGGGACTGGCCTCCTGCTGGGACTCTGAGGAGCACAGGGACTGGCCTCCTGCTGGAACTCTGAGGAGCACAGGGACTGGACTCCTGTTAGTGCCCAGAGTCAGAACTAAACATGGGGAGGCTGCTTTTCAGATTCATGCTAAAATCTGGAACAATCTTCCTGAAGATGTGAGACAGGCCTCCTCTCTGACAATGTTTAAAACCAGGTTAAAAACAGTTCTGTTTAGCTGTGCATACAACTGAGGGATTTTATATTTTTATCTTTCTTTTAATGTTCTGTGATTATTTATGATTTTAATGCTATCTTATTCAGCACTTTGAGTTGCCTTGTGTATGAATTGTGGTATACAAATAAACTTGCCTTGCCTAAGGCCAAACAGTCAAATCAAAGATCCATCCATTTTTCTACCCTTTAATCCATTTCTGGGTCAGGGGGGTGGCAGTCAGAGATGCCACCCAAGTCTCATAGCACCAGCCCCTCACTGACCCTCTGCAGGTGGTGAGTCCACAGGAGGACGGCTGCTCTCTGACTGTGAGCATAGCCTTGATCTTTCAGTGGGGGCTTTGGGCAAAGTGGGGTTAAGTGTCTTGCCCAAGGACACAACGACGGCAGTCATCAGTGGGAGTCGGTGGAGAAGGTGTAGAGGTGGGAATTGAACCCACGACCTTCAGCTACTGTCGAAATAGTATGGATCCTTATGAACATATTTCATAATGAGACGAGATCATTTGATGTTTGTTTGATGTCCTATAATTGTTATTTCCATCAGGATGTAACCTCTTTCTGGGTCTGCAGGGCCTGTGAGGAGGTGGTCCGGACCCTGGGCTTTGACTGGCTCCTGATGCTGATGGAGGAGCACCTTCACTCCACCACGGTGACCGCAGCTCTGTGGATCCTGGTGGTCCTGCTGTCCAACGCCTCCATCCTGCACCGCTTCAAAGAGGGTCTGTGTGGGGGCGGCTGGCTGGAGCACACAGACTCTGTGCTCAGCAACCGCATCGGCACCGTGCTGGGTGAGGATCCAATCACGTTCTACTCCATGTATCGAAATACTCAGGCTGTCGTAGGTCAAAGAATGTATTGGTCCAAGAAATCTATATCTAAAAATGTTGTTGTTGCCAAGTGCTCGATCCATAGCGCTATGATGTGCCGATAAATTTGAGTTAATAATAAGTGACAGACTTTCACTTTTAACCAATCACACGCAGCAATAGATACACCTCTGAAATTCCTGCTTTGTCATTGGTCGGAGTGAGCGCACAAACTCACTGTATAATAGATGCAGGTGAAAAACAAAATGTGGGACTTTAGTTTTGCGTAGAGAAGAGTTTTTATGGAAAACACAAAACAGGAGAGCTCACTCGGTGAAGAGGTCTCGTTTACCAAAACCTTTATAATTTAGCATGTATGAACTTATTTCCGTAGAAATGTCAATTTTACCATCAATGCAAAGAAAGTTATCACCATTATTGTCAGATTTTTTTTTTTTTTTTTCAATAATGGCATTGTTTTTGTATCACAGATAAAAAGGAAATCAAGGAAGCAAAGTTTAGCAGGTGATCTGTTGCGATGGTCAAAGAAGCCAGGGGAGAGCAATGGCATCAATTTTTACATTATTGTTTTTATATATTTTGGTTAATGCAACTCGGGTCATATTATTTACAGAATTGATAATGAAACGCGAACAAAAAAGAAATAGGCTGAAGCTACACAAATTCTAGCTCTAAAACAACTTGAGTGACCTAAACCTGCGCAGTCTTTTTTCCCTTTAAATATAAGAAGGAGATAAGCATTTGTTTGGCTTCTGAACCTGTGCTGTGGTCCACAGAGTCTGTGTCTGCTCAGAGCTTCTTCAGTCAACACAAAGCTGCAGAGTTTGTGCGACGGGCAGCCATTGGTTTGTCTTGCCCCTTAACCTAGGCAAATCACGCTGTAGTCAATACAAATGTGTGCCCATGTGAGACCCAGTGCTGAGACCCTGATTTGAAGTCGAGCAGTAGAAGAATCATGAGCGTGCAGCCGTAGTCTTGTACATTTCCCTCAGCTCCATGATCCGTAGTCGTCCCTGCAGCCCCCTATAGCTGTGATTCAGGATAAATATGGCTTATTGCTCCGATTCTTTAGACTGAGACACCTGGTGATCATATCCAACAATAAACGCTTCGTCCCTTTCTCTAATTTAGTCTCCTTCTCTAGGGTTTAACGTTGGCCGAAGCGCTGGCGGCCGGTCCACGCTGCGAGAGATCAATCGGGAGGCCTGTCACTTCCCAGGGTTCCCGGTGCTCCAGTCGCTGCTGCCCAAACACACAAACGTCCCGGAGCTTTACTTCCTGCTCATGGCTCTGTTCCTGCAGCAGCCTGTGCCCGAGCTGCCGGACAGTCTGCAGGTACATGTCAGTACCACTCCTCTCCTACTCTCTGTGAGCCGTCTGTGTCTCGTGTGATGCACAAATATCATGTTTTGTCACGTTCACAATGGTTTGAATTCAGGTCCTTTTTCTAGATCTGGCTTTCTCTTGAACTTAAAAACCCATTTTTATTCTTAAAAGGGACAGTATGTAATATTTTCATTTTAAATTACATGTTGTCCCCAGATAACAGGTCAATGTACAAAAGTGTTGTATCAGATTCAGTTTATTTGCCATTTGCAGTAAAAAAAAACACATTGGAATACATTAGCAAAAAGTCTCCAGTGTGAAAAGACAAATACAGACATAAAACAACATTAAAAGACAGAAATAAAACAAATAAAACAGTAAACAAGTGTCACTGTGACATCGTTCGGCTAAAACAGTTTCAAAACAAGTGCAAATCATTAAAGTGTTCAGACTGATAACAGCTTGTGGAAAAAAACTGTTAGCGTAACGAGATGTCCTGCATCTCAGCGAACGATATCTTCTGCCAGAGGGAAGAAGCTGGAACATGTCTTTTCCAGGGTGGCCAGAAGAGTCATTAACAATCCTAAGAGCTTTGTTTAAAAGTCTGGATTTATGAAGAACCTCCAGAACAGGAAGCTCACAGCCCACGGTCCTCTTTGCAGAGCGGAGCACCTTGTTTAAGTAATCTTCATTTATATATACCGCCTTTCACAGACCAGAGTCACAAAGCGGTTTACATTTAAAGCTCTCTTTTCTTTATCTGTGATGTTTCCATATTTGACATTTTTGGAACAAGAGTAGAGTTTAAAGTACAGTTTAAAGATATCCACTATGTATATTGACTGATAAATGGAACTTGACTCAATATTTTAAAACTACTGAAATAAAGAACTCCTGAATTGAAGTCATTTATAATAAATGTTGGGGTGTCATGTCTATACAGTGCCTTTTCAAAGTGCTAGTATCTCTAGAGATTTTGCACATTTGTCATGTTTAAAACCATAAACATAACATTTTATTTACAACACTGATCACAGATGTAAAATATTGACAAAATCGTAATTTTTATTTAACTTCACATCTGTCTGTTACTTTTATGTGAACCTTCAGTAAAAAAATCAATATAAAACATGTCATTTATAAACACATTGGTGAACATCCTAAATCTGTTAAAAGGGCATCACGTTCTTGTTAGGTGCAGATAGTGTGTGGTGTTCTTGTTGTGTACATGTCGTGTGTGGTTTTGAGGTTGAAAAATGTGTTTAAAAAAAAAAAAGGTAAACCGCATTGGTCACATAATCAAAATATTCTGAAATTCACATAAACAGACCTTAGCCTGTCTCCCACATTCAGTGCCTGTGCCCTGTTGTGTTTCTATAGTTCGACTTGGACTCCATCTGGTCCTTCATATTCGGGGTCCCGGCCTCCAGTGGGACTGTGGTGGGCTCCGTCAGCTCCGTGTGCACTGATGCTGCACTGCTGCTGCTGGCCATGCTGCGCAGTATGCTCAACCTGGTGAGAGCTCGTATAAATGCACACACTTAAAAATAATACTAATGAAAATTTCTCAAGCAAAATTTGTTCTGTACATTTTCATTGATGTGTCTGCAGCCGGTAATTTTCGAAATGTACACAAACACAATCTAATTACACGCATTCTCCCCCTTTCAAACTTGTTTCACCATACATTTTAATTCATCACCATCACATTTATAACACATCTAAAACATTCTTAGATGACTTTTGTATGTGTTAAATACAGTGGTATGCAAAGGTTTGGACACCCCTATACATTTTGATGTTTTTCCTTTATACATAATTGTTTATTTGGATGAGAAATGTCAGGTAAATATATCATATAGGAGACAAACCGTGATACATCATTCACAGAAAGTGCAAACGATTTATTCAAACCAAATTCAAGATTCATTATGTCCCGTAGGAAATTTGTCTTGGACTCACAGGCTGCTATGTGGAAAATACGCATAAGACAGACATAACACAGAATTGGGAATGTGCATTAATGTACACACCCTATAACTTATTTTTGAAGTTTACTTTACTTTACACACTTTTGCATACCACTGTAAGTAAAACAAAAATTAAAGTGTTAAGCACAATTGTGATGGAACATTATTCCTTGGAGCTCAGCCTGACTGCAGCTTCATTAACATCTAATTCTGCTCTCTGGGATGATGTGGTTGTATTCTCTGCTGACCTGGTGGTGTGGCCCTCAGCCCTGGCAGTCGGAGGAGGAGGGCTCGTGGCTGCGGGAGTACCCAGTGACCCTCATGCAGTTCTTCAGATACTTGTACCACAACCTGCCGGACCTGGGCCCCATGTGGCACAGCGCCGACTTCCTGTGCGCTCTGGCCGCCACCGTCTTCCCCTTCAACATCCGGCCCTACTCTGAAATGGTGCGTGCCTCTCCAGCTGCTTTAAAAGGAGAGAGATTTGTGATTTGTGAGCAACTAAATGTGTAACTAAAAGAATGTACATTTCTGGCTGAGACACTACTACTATATTGAGTGAATGTTTTAAATAGCCCCTCCGTACATTAATCAGGAAGCTGCACAGTAAGCATGGGTGGGTTATTCCAAACTTTAACTCTCTTCACAAATTGAAAAGTTAATCATTTTAATTTTAATCGTTGTTACCGTCTCCATCTATGTTACTCTACTTTAGGTGACCGACCTGGACGACGAGGCTGGTTCTCCCACAGAGGAGTTCAAGGCGTTCGCGGCGGACTCTGGTATGAACCGCAGCCAGTCTGAATACTGCAACGTGGGCTCCAAGACGTCCCTGACCAATCACCCGGCCAAGAAGTATGTGCTGGACTTCATGAGGGTCCTGATCATGGACAACATGTGCAACACGCCGGCCTCCAAACAGACCCCCATCCTGGACCTGCTGCTGGAGGTGACATACAAGACATCTGCACAGAGTTTGAGCTTCATTCATGAATTTAGTTTTAGTTATAGTCAAAATATGTTGGTTTCAGTCCCCCTAAATGTCATGTTGTCAACCAAATCCTTTCACTGTTTAACCTCAAATCTAACCTCTAATATAGAGGCTAAAAACCGCTTGAATTCAGGTTGTTATCTTCATGTCGGTACTTTCGAATTCAACTTTTTACTGCTTTATCAGGGCCAGGGACAGCAGTCTGACCTGTGTGTATTTCTGAGGTCTCCTTCTACATAACTAAAAACTAGGATGTTTTTGCCGACCTTGAATATTTCACCGGTTTGAAGACCTTCTGACTCGTTACTAGAAACTTTATCTTGATTGAAAGACTATTTATTTTCCAATGTGTAAAGTCATTATTGTTTCCTTTAAAAAAAAAAAAACACACATTATTTACGGTTGTGTTGTGTGTGCAGGCATCTCCAGAGCGTTCTACTCGCACTCAGCAGAAGGAGTTCCAGTCTAACATCCTGGACGGGGTCATGGAGCACCTGCTGGCCGCCGACGTCCTCCTCGGTAACTGCATCTCTGTTTGTGCTCTGGAATGTCCAGTGTTGCCACGCAAAGTTTAAGAGCAGAAACATGATCCCTCAAAACAAACGATTGGATGTTTAGACATGCAATTGCTCATTACCCTTATAGCTTCATTCAGATACTTAAACTCCTGGTGATTTATCCCCAAGAAACAGATCCTAAATCATTCAAATCAAACATTGTCAAAAAGAGACCAAAAATACTCAAGAGGATTAGAATAGTCATAAAGTAATAAAGATGAGATTGAAAAAGTCCCATTTTAAGATTGAAATTCATTTGAGGTAAACATATTTTGTTTGGATTGAAGCATTACTAGATGATAACAGTTATTGCTCTCCACAACATGCAAATCAGCTTTGTGGCTCTCATCTGCCTCTGGTCCTGACCCTCCGCTCTGTCCAGGTGAAGACGCCTCGCTGCCCCTGAGCTCCGGGGGAAACTACCAGACTCTGGTGAATAACGTGTTCTACTTCAGCCAGCGTGTGGTGGACAAGCTGTGGCAGGGCATGCTCAACAAGGACTCCAAACTGGTGGTGGACTTCGTGGTGCAGCTCATTGCACAGGTACTGAGCTGTCTTTAATTCAGTTCAATTCAATGTATTCTTGTATAGCCCTCAATCACAACAGCAGTTATCTCAGAAGATTGTACATAACCGTTAAATTTGGCAACATAGATCAGGGAAACAAACAGTTCAAACACAAGAATTAAAACAGAAACCTCTGTTGGTCCATAGCACATGACCGATGTCCATAAGTGTTGATAATGTTGTTGAATATTGAGTGTCCTGGATCATCACCACTGTCTTTTGCTCACCAGAAAATGTCTACAAAATCATATCATAATTATTCTTTTGTAACATTGTGCTGTATTGTATTTTTATTTATCCTTGACTAAAGATGAGGTATCTATCTTTTTTGTTGTATTTTCTTAAATTCTGATTTGCAGCGGTTACCCTGCTATGTTAACCGTTTAGATCAGTATTTCAGAATCAAATAGAGACTAGTCAAAAGTGTCTTGGTGTCTCTGATTAACAAAGGAGCAGACAGAAGCAAGTTATGTTCTTTAATAGTCACATTCTGCAGTCTTGGAGTTTTATCATTGACTAAAAATAAGCTATCTAACCTTTTTTTTTCTTAAATTCTGGTTTGTAACGGGTACCCTGCTATGTTAAATGTTTAGGTCAGTATTTGGGATTTCAAATGGAGATTGGTGTGACAGAAGCAAGTTATGTCATGATTATTGTTTGAAGCTCGTACTGATGCCCTTCTTCCTTGCATCTGAATGAGTCTGATCCTTCTCTCTGTTCGACAGTCCAAACGCCGCACGCAGGGCCTGTCTTTGGACTCTGTATACCACTGTCTGAACCGCACCGTGCTCTACCAGCTGTGTCGGCCTCACAAGACCGTGGCCCAGCAGGTGGCGCTGCTCGACGCACTGCGGGTCCTCACCGTCAACCGTAACCTGGTTCTGGGCCCAGCCAACCACGACCAGGAGTTTGTGGCCTGCCTGGCTCACTGCTTCATCTGCCTGCACTCTGGGAGGTACAGAGCAGCTCCCAACACTCTCTACACAGTGATTTCTTGATTTATTTTACTAAATCCAGAGAAATATTAAAAAAACATTTGGAATTATTTGGTCCTTAACCTTATTCTTGAGAACTTTTATATTGGCATTTCATGTTTTGGAACTTGGCAATAAGTATACCAGAACAAGACAAATAATCAAAGTATAGCAGTGAAGGTATAAGATGTAAGTATATTAGTATAAGTTTAAAGGCACACCGCGGACTTTGTGACCTAAAGAGTTGACACATATGAGTTATTTTATATGAATACTTGGGCCAATATACAGCGCTTGACACTTGCAATGCTCCGAGCGGGGCTGCCCTCTTGAAATACCGCCCATGTAAGTTTAGAGCAGACGGACCGTCTGCCACCAGGTCACGTGACTTGGAAGAAAGACTTGCTTTACGGTTACAGGCGCTGATATACTCATGGAGCTAAGGCTTTTGCTACTCATTTTTCACCTGCTCGACTCCTGGTCATGGCTGAGGCAAGGAAAAATGTTAAACCTTCGGAGGAGGCTAAAAAGAGGAAACGCGAAAGGGATCGTGCTGTAAGCTGCATGTCTGTATGAGCGCTGCTCTTCACCTGGTTCCTGGATGTCATCGACTGCAAAGATGTCATTCCACGCAGCACGAGCTAGACGCAGAACTCCCTCATCCAGGATATAGAAGTCCATGTGTGGTAGATTACTAATGCAGCGGTCTGGAGGCTGACCACAGCAGAGTCTCTCAATATCTGTAGGCATGTCTCTACAGTTTGAACACACACACCAGTGCATGCTGTCTGAATACACACTCAAAAGACACCGGCTGACTGTTTGTTGACTTTTGCGACAGTGCTGAGTTGCTTGTGGCCACTAGGGGCGCTAAACGTGAAAGTTGCAGGTCTAGCGCCCCTAGTGGCCAAGAGTTACACGGTGTGCCTTTAAGATGACAAGAATTCTTCAAGACAAGGGCATTTTGGAAAATTCCCCAATTCCCTTGGGTGGTTGATAATGGGGGATATATGGAGTTGGGTGATTGATAATGGGGAGATATATGGAGTTGGGTGATTGATAATGGGGAGATATATGGAGTTCAATTACCACGTTTTCAGCTGTTCCATCCATCTCCCATCATTTTGCTTTTGTGGCACTGTTCTGTGTGTGTGACCCTCGTGCTTGTGTTGCAGCGGTGTGGAGGGCTTCGGGCTGGAGGCAGAGGCGCGGATGACCACCTGGCACGTCAACATGTCGGCCGAGAGCGAAGGGGACAGCTCTCCCAGTCAGGACGTCAGCGAGGGTCAGTCTGACAACCACGGCCACTTATCCCCTTATCGTTCCATAGATAATGGGCGGCACGGTGGCTGAGTGGATAGCACTCTCGCCTCTCAGCAAGAAGGTCATGGGTTCGAATCCCGGTCGGACCATGGCCTTTCTGAGTGGAGTTTGCATGTTCTCCCCGTGTCTGCGTAGGTTTCCTCCGGGTACTCCGGTTTCCCCTACCACAAAAAATATGTCCAATAGTTCTGGCATGCGCTTCCTGTACTGGCGACCCCGCTCCCATCTCTGTGTGGAGTGAGAGACAAATGCCCAAAATTAACAATTGTAAACCGCTTTGAGACTCAGATCTGCAGTGAAAAGGCGGTATATAAATAAAGATTACTACTACTAAATTACTAGATAATAGCTGGAATTAGGTCACTATTCTGTCAGAGTTGTTAAGTCTTGGAAATAGCTACAAATTTGGCATGCGCAGTCGTTCAACTACCATGGCATTTGATAAATCATTTTAAAGAGACACGTTTTGGTGTCATTGATAATCAGTATATTAGCAACCAGTTTGTGTGAACCAGGGGTGTCCAAACATTGTGAAAGGGCCACATTAGTTCAACAGACTTGTCCAGGGGCCGACATCATGGACTAAAATAACTGTCCTGACTGGCATCGAGCTGTTCTGAGCTTTAAAAGGATCTATAACAGAGCTGAAGTTGGCTGAATGACAAATGTTTACCATCTCACCAGCTACAGTAGGACCATTAACGAAAGTTTGTGACACAATCAATAACCACGTCGGTTCAGTATGTACAAATGAAATCAACAACTGAATTCCAGACATACTGGGCTTTAGAACGAGGTCTATATTGGCTGAGTTGAAGTTGAATGGATGACACGGAGAACTTGTGTTTATAATCTTAAATGGCTACTTTGGGTTACCAAGGCAGTGGGCCATATAAAATTACACTGAGGGCTGCAATTGGTCCCCAGGCCTGAGTTTGGACATGCCTGGTGTAAGCTCTCAGTCGTACGGGGATTATTCAAAGCTCATCTGCAACCTTGAGCAACCTTCCTTTGTTTTATATTGCCAACAGACTACACATATTATTTTCTTTAGAATTGCCAATGCGAGCAGCGAGCAGAGAAGGGTTCATTGCTTGAGGCTAGTGTTGTAAAAATTACGTGTTTGCTGAGATTAATTTTTCTTTCATGACTTTCCCCTTTCTATCTACTCCCCGTGTGCTCTCCCCACAGGCCGACAGCTGCTCCTGAAGGCAGTGAACCGTGTGTGGACAGAGCTCATGCACAGTAAGAGGCAGATGCTTGAGGACATCTTCAAAGTCTCGCTGCCTTGCAACGACCGCGGCCACGTGGACATCATCACTGCCCGGCCAGCGCTGGAGGAGCCTGCACTCAAGAGCTGGCAGAACCACCTTGGTACCCACGCAAACCACCTGTGACTTTTAAATCTCACACTCTGTATTTCCTCTGTATACGACAGACCTCTTCCACTTGGATCCGGGGCCACATCAGGCCAAACGATCAGGAGTCTAGTGGATAGCTGAATCTTCTGATCGGCTCTTGCTATATTTCTATGATAGTGATAATTTTGACTCCCAAATCTTGTCAATGGATAAGTTTCACTAACCCTGCCCTTCCATATGTAACAAGAGCTGTCTATCTATGTATTGATATAAACAATATGACTGGTCTTCTTACTAATCAATAAAAACATATGCAATTGTTAACTATTCAACTGATACAACCACAATGAGTGACTGCTTCATTTGTCACCGTAGCCCATGAGAAGAAGTGCATCAGCCGGGGGGAGGTGGTGGTGCCAGTGACACAGTCCAAGCTGTCGCGGGTCAGCAGCGGCTTCGGTCTCTCCAAACTGACTGGAGTCCGCCGCAACAGGAAGGACAACAGTCTCAACAAGAACAGCATGTCTGCACAGGTAACCAGCACAACCAGCTCTCTCCTCACTGCTCTTATGAAACGGGGTCATAGTCACACTTGAGCAACCCAAGACCCAATATCCCATAGATCTCTGCTGCAGACAAGAGAACAGTCTTGGCTACCGTAATTGACGGACTAAAAGCCACTTCTTTTTGTAGTTCTTCAAAACTTGAGGTTTTTATAGCAGCTGCATCAAAGTTCTTCCCCTCCCTCTGGTGGTAGGATAGGGATATGGCAGGCTGCTATGTATTTTCTACTACATTCTAAAACATGAAATGACAAAGAAAAACGTTCATTATCATTTTAATAGACGTCAATAATGCATAGACCTCCGCGCCCTCTTCAGTTGTTGTGAGCAGGAGTTCCTCTGACTTGTTTGTGTGTGTGTCAGGAGACGTTTCAGTGGATGTTCACACACATCGCTGTGGTGAAGGACCTGGTGGCCATGCAGTACAAAGAGCACACTGAGGTAACACTCTGTTCTGTGACTTTAATAAGGAAGAGCTTAAACAGTTGTGGTCATGTTTGTGATGTGATCTTTCCAGCGGCAGCAGAATACTCTGAAGTATGTGACTGAGGACTGGGCCTCTAAGGAGTACGAGCTTCTGCGGGAGAGGGGTCTCTGGGGGCCCCCTATTGGCTCTCAGCTCGACAAGTTTGTGCTGGAGATGACGGAGGGCCCCTGCCGCATGAGGAAGAAGATGGTGCGCAACGACATGTTCTACATCCACTACCCCTACGTGAGCGAGAGCAGCACCCAGGTACATGTGACCGCCGTTCATGACGTTTATCAGGAAGTAGACGGAAAACAAACAAAATTATCTTTCTCTATATCTTTACTATACTTTCACACACGTGTTCTAATGTTCTAGAAGCCACAGCGGTACAGACGTGCCATCAGCTATGACAGTAAGGAGTACTACATGCGTGTGCTGAGTGGAACCCCAGGGATGTACCAGCACTCTGTGGAGCCCAGTGCAGAGAGAGAGACCAGCCAGCAGGAGCCAGAGCAAGGAGAGGACACCATCGCTCGCGTCAAAGGTGTTTTCAAAAGAATCCTTTTTAGTTTTTCTTTTCCATGGTTGTTTTGGTCTTAAGACTCTTTTAAGTGTGGCACTTGTTAATTCATGTTGTTATATATATTAATTTATGTTTGCACCATGATTGTGATTGGAAAAATGGTCAGAACCTCAACACCTTCTCTGCTGTCATTAATCAGCTTTAAAAAGCCGAGAGCCTAACTTCTTCTTCAATCAAGATATTTGCTTTTTCACAATCCCACAAGTATTTTTGTCCAGTCCTTCCTGCTTTAATTACATGTACCACATTCATCATCTGGTTGGATAGGGGCAATATCTCAGCTGCTGTATATCAAAATGGAATTGACTGAATTGAAAGTTTATCATCAGTGCAATTATATGTCTATCAATTATTTTATATACAACATAGAAAATAATTTTCTTGGCCTCAGACATTGGATCTCTAGTATAGTGCGTGTCGTGTGTGTGTGACGCTGGTCTTTGCTGGGGCAGGTTTGGTCAAGGCGCCCCTGAAGCGCTCCCGGTCCACTGCAGACGGAGCCGATGAGGACAGTCTGGAGCAAAGCCAGGACCTGCTGCTGGAGTCCGGAGGTCTGGAGGACGAACAGAGACCTGACAACACTGCCCTTCTGCGGCTACTGGAGGAGGGCGAGAAGGTAGAGATATAACTGTATTTATTGTTCAATGAATTATAGCTGGAACAATATATTTTGGGATCAATATTGTCTTTTGCATTGTTTCTCTTCAATAGTAGAGAGAATTTGAAGCTGTAGAGAGTTAAAATAGGGACTTCTATGAACACTTAGTGATCCATTTATTGCCTGCAATGTCTTCTGTTGAATGTTGTGCATTCAAAAAGCATGTACATACTTAGATTTCCCTGCTTTAGTGGGTTTCTGTTTCACATGAATTCACTTGTAGTAGCACTTGTAGTAGCACATGTAGTAATATTGAATGTCACTCCTGGTCAATCAGGGGCTATGTAGTCTCATGACTGTTTTTTACTGTTTATTATGCTCTCTGTGCAGCGCTTTGTAAATATTGATTTTGAAAAGTGCTTATCATTATTATGACATCCAAACCTTCATTCCTGTAGAATCTTATTGTGCATGATTCTATGTGGCCCAGAATCATTTGGCATCCAAGATTCATTATTACTGATCATCACAATATATCTCTTTAAGTTTATCTGGTAGTTGTTTGGAATAAAAATGAGTCTCATGTGTTTTAGATCCAGCACATGTACCGCTGTGCGCGCGTACAGGGCCTGGACACCAGCGAGGGACTGCTTCTCTTTGGGAAGGAGCACTTCTACGTGATCGACGGCTACACCATGACCGTGTCCAGGGAGATCCGCGACATCGACACGCTGTCCTCCAAGTACGCACCTCTTCTGCTCGCACTTCTGTCGGAGAGGATACATATATTTAAAGGGGGGGTACAATCCACGTGTCTGGGGCGGGGGAGACCAGTCCACAAGTGTTTGGAGACGGTGCACTCCTTATAAACAGGAGCAGACTGTTCCACAACTTGGGGGGGGCTACAGAGACGTTCTACTACAGTTATCTGGACAGAAGCACACAACAGACAAGTTCTTAATTTATACTTGCATGTAACGAGGAGGCTTTCAGCTGCTCAGGAGGCCTGTAGCGTCCTACACATGCCAAAAACCAAGTCCTGCCTATACTCTGCAGGCAGCTCTTTTATTTCAGAACAGATGACCCACACCCTCACAACAGAATGGCCCCACAAGATAAAAACAGTAACCACTTGTTGGACATCGTCTTGCAACATAGTTTTCACAAAACACCCCAACTGGGAACAATGTGGATAATTATTAGCTTGGTTTCATCACTTCAGTTGTAGATTTCCAAACTCCAATGTAGGTCAACCCAAACCCAACTCGCATTCAATTAAATTTCAACCTATACAATTCCATTATCAAATAGTCAGACTTAGAATAGATATTAGAAGTTTGCGTCATGTTTTTGTATTGTCATGTTACAGCAGCTGTAGTCCCACCACTAGTAAACAGTAGTGCTAACAACAGTGTGTTTGTGGACAGTCTGCACGAGCCCATCATCCCGCGGGGAGCCAGACAGGGCCAGAGCCAGCTGAAGAGAACCTGCAGCATCTTCGCCTACGAGGACATCAAAGAGGTGCACAAGAGACGCTATCTGCTGCAGGTGGGTTCCACACACAACAAAATCCTGGTACAATACTTTGTAAGCCATTTGCATGTGTCACTGTTCGGATGTCGTGCTTAGACAATACATGTATAAGTATTGCCCGGGAAAGTCCTTACAATGATTTGAAGTCATTTGTCCCTGTGGAGCTGTGTCTAAACTCTTTGCCCTGTGCTTCCAGCCAATGGCGGTGGAGGTCTTCTCAGCGGACGGCAGGAACTATCTACTGGCCTTCCAGAAAGGAGTGCGCAATAAAGTTTATCAGAGGTAAGAATTAACACAAACTCATAATCCCACACACATACAGTACCAGAAGATCTGTGGCAAAGGCCATTAGATGCATAGGGATGTAAACTAGAGCATGATCAGAAGTTGGGAATTACTGTATCTTCAACAGATCCATGCTTTCAATTCTGCTTCAATGCATGGAGGTTTTTTATTTCATACACAAACAGGACCAAGGCAGGTTTCTTTCTATTGCACAGTTGATACACAGAGCAACTGCTTAACGAAACAAGATATAAATCATACGAGGCATTAAAAAGCGTCTGACTGTTCGTTCTGTTGTAGGTTTTTGGCGGTGGTGCCTTCCCTCGCTGACAGCTCAGAGTCTGTGTCTGGCCAGAGGCCAAACACCAGCGTGGAGCAGGGGTAAGTCTGCAGCCAGAGAGGACTTCAAAAACAAAATATCACACTTGCCTTCTACCACATTTGATTCCAGGCCTTGTGCTTACGACATAAAGCAAAGCAACACAAACCTGAATGCCTGTTCTCTGTGTCTCTACAAAATACCAAATTGAAAGTGTCAAATATTCCTCAAGTCTCTCGGGAGCCTCAGAAAGAACCATGAAACTGTCTTTAAATCCATGTCTTTGATCCTCAGGTCTGGGCTGCTCAGCACTCTGGTGGGAGAGAAGTCCGTGACTCAGAGATGGGAGGTAGGATCATAGACTTAATGGACAACGCTAACCCCCGAGCTCAATGAGCAAAACTAATCTCATATTTTTCAATCCAATAATGTGTAAAGAATTCCTGTATGTGTACACACTACGAAATATTTTGTTTAGAATAACCCTATTTTTTAGATAAAACATGGGAATGTATTGTTTCAAGTGTCTCATAAATAGTCAGAAATGTCCTGTGAAAAATATTAGACCTCAAGTCATTTTAAACACAACTACATGGTAATATTCATGCAGAAGATAAGTGCATGAAGTTTGAATATTGTGATTGTTTTTTCCAGCGTGGAGAAATCAGTAACTTCCAGTACCTGATGCACCTGAACACACTCGCCGGGCGCTCCTACAATGACCTGATGCAGTACCCTGTGTTCCCCTGGATCCTGGCCGACTACGACGCTCAGGTCAGGCCTCTGTCACACTGTATCTGTCTGTGCGTCTGTGTCTGTGTGTCTGTGTCTGTGTGTGTGTCTGTGTGTGTGCGTCTGTGTCTGTGCGTCTGTGTCTGTGTGTCTGTGTCTGTGTGTCTGTGTGTGTGTGCGTCTATGCGTCTGTGTGTCTGTGTGTCTGTGTCTGTGTGTGTGTGCGCGTCTATGCGTCTGTGTCTGTGCGTCTGTGTCTGTGTGTGTACATCGAGACAGACACACATACAGACTCGTATCGGGCTCGACATGCGTAGGGGACTTTCAATTCGATACGGTTCAGTAGAAAATATAGATGTTTGGTTATCTCCCATTTATTAAAGATTGTTAAAAAATCAAATCCAAAAAAGAAATAAAAAATCTTTCTCATAATTTAACAAAAAATGTTTCCTGCTTTTCTTTCCACAAATAGTGAATTAAAGGAGCTCTATCAACAATCTTGACTGTTTTGATATTGAGGATTTTTTACATATCAGAACCTGTAAATCCCTTAGAGCAGTGTCTCCCAAAGTGGGGTCCGCGGCCCCCTGGTGGGCCGCGAGGGTACTGCAGGGGGGCCGCGGGAGGTCATAAAAAAATATATATATATATTTAATGTTAAATTTATAATGTTTTGTTTGTAATATTAAAATATTTGTGTTCATTATTTGACTTGAATAATCCACTGTAATCATTTTTGTATTACAATGTTTGTAGCAGAGGCTATTTCCCCAAAATAAAATAACCAGAAGAGCCTATTCTTAATGTTGTCTTCTTGGTTATTATTTTGGGGGGCCGCGCAGACCCGTCAGATTTTTAAGGGGGCCTCGGTGTTACTGAGTTTGGGAATGGCTGCCTTAGAGTCATTTACCGTCCCATCCCTAAACCCGTCAGGCTAATCCTCTGTGGATTCTTTGTCTCTTCTATTAAGCCCCTGCATCATGAGGATTAATCATGGTGCTCACTTGTTTTGCAGGAACTGGACCTGAACAATCCCAAGACATTCCGAAACCTGTCCAAACCCATGGGCGCTCAGACCGACGATCGTCTCACGCAGTACAAGAAGAGGTACAAGGACTGGGAGGACCCCAACGGTAAGAAATAGATATATACTCAGAAAGTCACACAAGCGCTCACCGTTGGCATATGACTGAATCGGATCATGTTTAAAAGATTAATTATTCTAAAAAGACTCTTCTTTAACGTGTGGTGTTCTGCAGGAGAGACCCCGGCGTACCACTACGGCACTCACTACTCCTCCGCCATGATCGTGGCCTCGTACCTGGTGCGCATGGAGCCCTTCACACAGATCTTCCTCCGGCTGCAGGTCTGTGCTCTCACACCTCTCAGCTTCAGCCCCTTCTACAGCTCCTTCACCCTCTGTTCTTGCTCCATCATAGGGTGGACATTTTGACCTGGCCGACAGGATGTTCCACAGCATCCGTGAAGCCTGGACATCGGCCTCAAAGCACAACATGGCTGACGTCAAAGAGCTCATCCCTGAGTTTTTCTATCTGCCAGAATTCCTGCTCAACTCGAACAACTTTGACCTGGGTCAGTAGCTCTGTGCTTCTATGAGCTTTAGTCTCCAGCAGCACTCACCTGTGCTCTGTGCCCTGTGTTCACAGGGAACAAGCAGAACGGCACAAAACTGGGGGACGTGCTGCTCCCCCCCTGGGCCAAGGGGGACCCTCGGGAGTTCATCCGCATGCACAGAGAGGTGGGTTCGCAGTCGCACACTGCAACCACTTTACCCACTTTAGCTAGGCAGCCAGTACAGGCGATTTCTCATGCCAGACTTGTCTTGTATGTTGTACTTGCTCATGCTAGCAGTCATCATCTGAGTTTATTTAACAGCACAATGTGCCTCTTCTAAATCCTGACTGGATCTGTCTGTGTCTTCAGGCGCTGGAGTGTGACTATGTGTCCAGTCACCTTCATGAGTGGATCGACCTGATCTTTGGATACAAACAGCAGGGCCCTCCGGCTGTGGAGGCGGTGAATGTCTTCCACCACCTCTTCTACGAGGGCCAGGTGGACATCTACAACATCAACGACCCGCTCAAAGAGACCGCCACCATCGGCTTCATCAACAACTTTGGACAGATCCCCAAACAGGTCAGAACAGCTGAGAACATCTGCTGTAGTTTATGAGATGAACAGTATTGAATAGAATTGTGTTGATGTTTCAGCTTTTCAAAAAGCCTCACCCTCCAAAGCGCGTTCGCAGTAAAGCCAATGGAGAGGTGGCCAGCGTACCGCCGAGCTCCAACAGTGACAAGATCTTCTTCCATCACCTCGACAACCTCAGACCTTCTCTGGCTCCTGTCAAAGGTACTTTCCCCCTCAGACTGGCTTCCTGAACTTTTCCCTGAACTCTGAGTCTGTGTGCAGAGCTGAAGGAGCCGGTGGGGCAGATCGTGTGCACTGACAAAGGCATCTTGGCTGTGGAACAAAACAAAGCTCTGGTCCCTCCGTCCTGGAGCAGGACATACGCCTGGGGCTACGCCGACCTGAGCTGCCGCCTCACCAACTATGAATCTGATAAGGTTAGACTGGCTCTTCACTTACTTTCCATGAATCGAAAAGGGACAGTCAGTCTGGACAATGATTTTATCCCATTTCCTATAGGTTCAGTTTGTTGCATGAATTTTTTTTTGGGTAAAACAATGTGTCAGTTCTTTGCACAAATTCACAGAAGGCTGTGTGTTCAATCTGACAAATTTGGCAAAGGACTTTTTCATTTTCTGAGTTGTTTTTCTGGTTTTCTGCAGGCGTTGGTGGTGTACGAGAGCCTGTCTGAGTGGGGGCAGGTCCTGTGTGCCATCTGCCCCAACCCTAAGCTGGTGTTGACTGGAGGCACCAGCACGGCCATCTGTGTGTGGGAGCTGGGCACCGCCAAGGACCGCGCCAAGTCCCTGAGCCTCAAGCAGGTGAGGCATCAAACATGTTTCTAGGCACTTGTTGCTGTAGACACGCACTTCACAGCAAGATTTTGATTTTTGATTAGTCTGATTTTATTTGATGAATACCTTTGGATCAAATCTTGTGACAGGCTTTGCTGGGACACACAGACGCAGTCACCTGCCTGACCGCCTCTTCGTCCTATCACATCGTGGTCAGCGGCTCTCGGGATCGAACCTGCATCATCTGGGACCTGAACAAGCTGTCGTTCATCACTCAGCTCAGAGGACACCGCGCTCCCATCTCTGCTCTGTGCATCAACGAGCTCACGGTGCTCACTCACACCTGTGTACTGCACATAGAACACCTAGAGCCATATTTAAGTCTTTAGAAGAATTCTACATTCTCTACGTCTTTCAGGATAGCTCCACAGCCTTTAAATCATTGAAGGCCTTAAAACATTTAAATTTGCATGAAACCTGGAGCCTGTAATGTTTGAGTTATAGATATAATACCTGCTTGATGTTTAATGTTGTGTTGTTCCAAGGGCTCTTTACTCACACTACTCTGTGCACAGGGGGATATTGTGTCGTGTGCGGGCACATACATCCACATGTGGAGCATTAACGGCAGCCCCATCGCCAGCGCCAACACCTTCACAGGCCGCAGTCAGCAGATCCTGTGCTGCTGCGTCTCTGAGATGTACGAGTGGGACACGCAGAACGTCATCCTCACCGGCCACTCGGACGGAGTCGTCAGGGTAAGACCAACTCTCACATCTTAGTTATTATTGTGGGCCCTCGCTATAACTCAGTTCTCTTTTCATGGCCTCGCTGTTTTGTTTTACATGATGTTGGGAGCGTATCCTCCCACATCATGTACAACATCCTATAACCACGACGAGTATAACACGTCACCTTTATTTAAAGTCGAAATACTACTGCGGTCGTCCCGTATGTTCTGCTCCTGCCCCTCAGAGGGGTGTCATCTAAAGCTATATTTTACTGTGTTTGTACGACTTTTGACAGCTGAAGCAGCGCTCACACCTACAACTTGTTTGATATCTCTGCAATTGTGAGTTCAGGTGGTTAAAAAAGTGCATAAAGTGTGTGTTTGTCCCTAAAACATAGAGCGGCTACTTTGCAGATGTATATTTCAAACGTAACCCACACGGTAAACACAACCACTGTATACTATATCAAATTATACAACCTGTTCATACTGTCTGTAACAGTGTGAGAAAGGCATCACGAGGGCGGCCACTTTGATTATATTAGTCAAACAATGCTTTCTATTGTGGTTCAAACATGGAGACTGTTTCACACAATAGTCTCCTGTGCTCTGTAGTTCTGGAGGATGGAGTTCCTGCAGGTCCCAGAGACCCCCGCCCCAGAGCAGAACGAGCCCGATGTCCTAGACTGCATCAGCGAGGAGAAGATGGGTGAGAGTTTACTGTTCCACACTCTGCCGTTTTAAGCAATTGTTTAGTTCTGATAATTTCAGCATCAAATCACATTCATTACAACTATATGCTACAGCAATGTGTTCGAACATGTTTTAAATGGTTTGCATTGAGGGCTGTAATTCCACTGCACCACCATGTGAGGCAGTGAAGCAGATATTATGAGTTATGAAGACTGGGATGTGGATTAAACAACAACACTTTAATTACTGTACCTTAATCTGGTATGTGGTAAAACTAAACACCCACAGTTGTCCAAACACAACCCATATTGAATTTATGTCAGCCATAAAGACCACATTTTATAGAAAAAAGAATGCATAATATTTGTTCCTTGAAAGCATTAATAAGGTCTTAATGCTACATGAGCTGGTACTACCCTGGTGTGTTGTGTGTGCAAAACAGAGGGCAGCGAGAGCCATAATGGTGAAGAGGACAGCAGTGAGTCTGAGGGAGAAGAGGCAGAGGCCAAACCTCCGCGGAACCCGTCGACTGGAGGAGGCAGCCAGCCGGGAAGCACCGTGCACCGGCCCCGAGGTGAGGGCCCCAGCAGCACAGCCAAACAGACTGACCTCAGACTGCAAGAGACCAGAGACTTAAAACCCCCCATACTTGTTTAAGAATGTGAAGTAATATCTTGAGTAGAAAAAAGATGGTGAAATGTGAAATTGCATTAAATAGTCTCATTTATAATTTTTAATGGCTAAAAACAACACATCATATTTTACGCACATATATATAAGAGTATATAATGATAATGATGATGAATATTTATTTGTATAGAACTTTTCAAAAACAGTGTTTACAAAGTGCTGCACAGTCGACACAAAGCAATCAAAAACAGTCCATAAAAATATGAACATAATAATAATATATATATTTTTAATACAGGTGAAGAAAGCAGACAGCAGGCACACTTAGAATCTTCTGCCTGTGACACATGTAGCTCCTAAGCACTGATTACAGATGGAGACCACCTGCTGGGGTTTACGCATAAACAATAAAAACTTTGTGCATTTCCTGGTTTGTTTTAAATATGTGTGGACGATGTGTGTGCAGGACCCTCTGGAAGGACCGGAGCCTCCTGGTCCATGGACAGCGGCTCAGACGACTCTCACCGCTGGTCCGACACGCTCAGTATTGATGAGAAGGATGGATTTGTGTTTGTGAACTACTCCGAGAACCAGATCAAAGGCCTCCACTGCCCCGGGACCCAGGCCGGCCAGGGCCCAGGGGCAGCAGTGGACGCCCGAGCTTACAACCATCTGCGTGCAGGTGCGTGTTTTGGGGGTATCACTGTTTAGTTTCATTATTAATACATTTTGTTTGTCCCTGTTAAAAGTAACATTTGTGAAATCAGACCCCAACATGCCGTCTTCATCTTTTTAGAAAACATTTGATCTTATACATATACTTTCCCAGTGGCTCTCTATTTGACACTTTGGGCAGAGAGCTGATTGTCCGAAAGAGTTGGTGGTCCTCCCTTTTTCACTTTTCTGTCTTGAAAAGCTGATGTAAAAATGTGACCAAATAATTTATGCATGTGAGAACTAATGATAGAATTATTTGTGCAAGGAACTATTTAAATGGATATTCTGGAAAGTTTGACAATCATTCAACTGTCAAACATACAGAGTAGTAAAGTTAGTATCGAATAAGTATTGATACAAAAAGTATTTCATGTACAGTGATTAAGTTTAAACTACAACGGAAGAAATGGTATAAAACAGTAAATCTTGAGTTAAACATAATGTCCAAATTGAGCATTTATAGTTGGTTGCCATGGCATCAAGTATTTTTCTAGTATCGGAATCAAGTTTTAATGAATTTTAGTATTATGACATTATTATGTCCCAGTCTGAGGTGTTGAAAGTCAAGGACCCCCAAAGCCTGAAGCTGAATCACAGTTAAAGTCTGAAGAAGACGAATGAGCTGGTTCTTTCAGCTCATTCATTTTCTTACTACAAACCTAGTATTGTAGTATTTGTAGTTATCACTGCCCTCTCTGCAAGTCAACTTCTCCTTTTCCAAGTTGTTGTAATTCTAAGTAATGTTATTTGGGTGTATGATTCCTAAATCTACCAGTTCTGAATATGAATGCAATACAAACCATGACCTTTGGAGCTGGCCTTGAATGCATTCATTGAGCAGTGGCCTGTGTTGGGTTGGCAGGTTACCGATGGGAGCGGCAGCTGGTGTTCAGAAGCAAACTCACCATGCACACGGCATTCGACCGCAAGGACAACGGCCACCCGGCAGAGATCACCGCGCTCGCCATCTCCAAGTAAGCACAGAGCAGGTCCCACTGTTTCAAGGCTGCCACCAAACCCCCAATGTCATGATGATAATGATAATAATAATGCTTTGGTTTTTTTGCGCTTTTCTGGACACTAAGCCGCTTTACATGAATAAAAGTTACTAAAGATAATTAAATGAGAAAATTCACACGGGCCTTAATCAAAGAGCGAGAATTGAAGTACCAGGACACACACAGTGACCCCAGCGCTGGTCACAAAACTTGGAACTGTCCCGGCATTTGTCTCTGCATTCTGTCCTCATTGGATAAACTGGAGCATAATTTGAATTTCATGTCGCTTCTGTTGCTCAAGCAGAAAAGGACAAAGTGTATACATGAAAAACATGTTTGTGTTATATTGTAAATGCCATTATTGCCCTAACATTTGTATTGATTTATTGCACAGCCCTATGTTCCACTGCTGTCATCTTTGAACTGAAATGATGTTCATGCCCCTGTGTCTTCCCACACTACACCTATCAGAGCATCGGTTCAGACTGTGGTGGTGACCCTAGCCTGTCTGCCTGTCTCAATGTGGGTCTCCCCGAGGTTTCTCACTGTTTTCCCCACTGGGTTTTTGCGTTGTTTCTTGCAGATGAAGGAGGGTCTAAGAGCAGTGATGATCTGGGACATTTATGGACATTTTCGGACATTGTTAAAAAGGGGTTCTACCACAGTTATCTGGACAGAAGCACACAACAGACAAGGGATCAGTTTATACTTACAGTGGTGAGGAACGACTGGGATCGAAGGAGGGCAGAACGATATGCTGCTTACATCGTTCTCCCCCAGTCACTTCTGAACTCACTGCTCCCACGATGTGAGCTTTATTGAAAGATACAAACACCCCCGACCCACACAGAACAGCCCCACAAGTAAAACATTAACCACTTGTTGGACATCGTCTTGCAACATAGTTTCACAAAACACCCCAATTGCGGAAAATGTGGATTATTATGAGCTTGGTTTCAACACCTCAATGGTAGATTTCCACACTCCAATGTAGGTCAAACCCAAAGTTGTCTAGACTGATTATATTCATTCATTTTAAAGATAACCCATACAATCAGACATGTATTAACATTTATGGACATTGGTCACCCAGCTCTCTATGGACCGAGGACTCCTATGTATTTGTTATGAGCCTTTCCTGTGTTCTGTTTGATTCTCTCGTCTGCTGTTGGCGAATCTGCTACGACTGCTGTTGTGATTTAGTGCTATAGAAAAGTAAATGGAAGTGGATTGAATTGCATTGACCTCCCTGTGCGTGTGTCTGCAGAGACCACAGTAAGGTGCTGGTGGGAGACGGCCGTGGGCGGGTCTTCAGCTGGTCGGTGAGTGAGCAGCCCGGGCGCTCGGCTGCAGATCACTGGGTGAAGGACGAGGGCGTGGACAGCTGCTCCGGCTGCACCGTGCGCTTCTCCCTGACCGAGCGACGCCACCACTGCCGAAACTGCGGACAGCTCTTCTGCCAGAAGTAAGTCCACTCTGCAGTCATCTTTAAAATCTGTTTTTTTTTCCTCTATGTCATTGTTGTAGCTCTTAAAGATGTAGCTCAGACCTGGGCAAAGTACTTTCTTTCGTGGCCATCGGACCTTTTCTGATGCACATACTGTCTGCCCTCTTTATAAATGAATGGGAATTACTAGCCAATGGTTTGCTAACTTCATGAGTGCTACGCTAACATGTTATACCTCCTAATAATTCAACAACATATGTCCACTTTGCCTTCTTTAGCTTTTGTCGATGCAAAAAAGGCTCTTATAAAAATCCTAATATATGAAAAGATAAAAATAGGAAGGAAACATTACTTTGATTCTATAATCTCCCAAAAACCAATATAAGATGCCAATAGTGTAATCCTGTCTCAGTATTACAACAGTATGATGTCATTGTATCACTATGACATCACGCTCAGAGCAGTTTTTTTGCCTTTAAAAACAAAATTATTTCCCTTAGATAATGCATACTGTCCCTTTAAGACCATTGAGAGGGAGCCCACTGCAGTTCTAACCTCATTTGCCCTGTTCGTCCTCAGATGCAGCCGCTTCCAGTCGGAGATCAAGCGCCTAAAGATCTCGTCTCCGGTGCGCGTGTGCCAGAACTGTTTCTACAACCTGCAGCACGAGCGCGGCGCCGAGGACGGACGCAACTGACCACAGACTTGTCCATATTGTACATAGTTTCACTTTTGAGGAGAGCTGTCAGTTCAAAGGAGAGATGGCGGACATTGTCATTGTTTACCACAAACTTCCGCCACTTTTTCGTTGCCTTTTTTGAATCCTTCAAGTTATGTTTTTATATTTTGTTTTGTATGAATTCCCGTTATGTGATTTTTGCACATTGTTTATCCATTTCGGTCAAACATATCTTTCCGGCGGTGGGTCCAGAGGATTTTCACTTTTTCTGCAGACGTTTTAGCCAAATCAGAAGCATTTGTCGCCACTCATGTTTCTCACACACGTTTTGACATGTTTAAGCGAATGGCGCACGCTGCTATCACATATATTGGATGTCATTATTCTATGCGTATATATTGGGAGCTCCATGTACTTTTCCCACTTTGTGCCATTACTTTGAGAGAAGATATAGCCTTGTCTGTTGTAAAAACAGTATATAGTTTTACTGATATGAAGCCGAGCTACAGCTGCTCTGGTCTATTGTTTACGACTGTCCTTCCCCTCTGAACAAGTAAAAAAAAAAGGTAAAGGTGCCATTTTTGTGAAAGATTCATAGTGGCGACAAAGCTGGTCTCTTGGAGTGAAGTATATTGAATCATTTTGTTCACATTCTTGAATTTATGATCTAATATTATCGAGGTGTTATGGACCCACCGCCGTCTTCCCCTCCACCGCTCGCACAAAAGGGACGTATCACCGCTGGAACTTTAGTGGCATTATTTCACATATTTGCACTCCACACTTTTTTGGAAGATTAGCGGATTCTGTCGGATTCGGAATTTTAAAATGATAAATATTAAGCATTATTTGAACATTATCTTGAAAGTAGAAAATATTTAAAATAATGTTGAACGCCTATGGGCATCTGTAGGTCTTAGTGGGAAATAGTTAAGATAAAACTTTATTTATCTCACAATGTAGAGATGTTACAACATTTTCAAGACTAATTTATGGCCAATGCTTTTGTGTTCAAATTCTAAAAATGTCACTTGGCAAAATATGGCTCTTAACGTCTTCAAATATGTTCGTTCAATTCAAAACTGAGATATGAGATATTCATTTATAAATACCTGAATGCAGCTTCCCACTTCTACTTCTCTCCAGCCATCCATTTTCTTCCGCTTCATCCATTGCCGGGGGCAGTAGTCTTAGCAGAAACGCCCAGACTTCCCTATCCACACACACTTACCCCAGCTCATCCGGGAAATTTCTTCTAAGACAAATTATTCTCAAGATCATGTTTTAAAATACACATAAAAAACCCATAGTATTTCTTCTTTAAAATTCCAAATCTGATGCAACAAACCTCCTTCCGCCCACTTTATGCTTGTACGCAGAGATCAAAATACTTTACCCTGAAGCCCCGAAGTCTACGGGCTTCAAGATCATGATTTTTTTGTGGCAGAGAAGAGACTTTGTAAAGATTGTAGAGTCGGAGTTTGGCGTCTGCGAAGTTGTGTACATAGTGTGTGCCGTAACGTGCAAGTGCTTTTTCTAGCCATCGACCAAACCAATAACCACAACACTAGGATCTAGGATTACCACTAAATATATAAACTAATCATGTCCCACATAGAACACACAATTTCATGTTTCAGATGGACAACAAGTCACAAATATTGCTCTAAACTTTTTTTTTTTTCTTGTCTGCAATGGGTCAAACTGTCAACAATGTTTGCTGGAATAATGCTGCCGTTTTTAATACTAAATATTTATGATCAACTGTGGTACAGCAGCCAAAATGTGTACTCGAGTAAGAGTACTATCACTTGGAATTAAAGCTGGGGTACTTGAAATGAGGGATTTTTTTTTCCCCCTCTAGAACAGGCATGTCCAAACTCAGTCCCGGGGGCCAATGGCGGCCCTCAGTGTCATTTTCTGTGGGCCTCTGCCTCTGCCTTGTTAACCCAAAGTAGTTCGCAGCTACATCGTGCGAATGTAGCTGGTGAGTAAGAAAAACGTATCATTCAGCCAACTTCAGCTCTGTTATAGATTATCATAAAGCTCAGAACAGCCCGATGCCAGTTTTTCAGTCCGTGATGTTGGCCCCTGGACTAGTCTGGTGAACTAAAGTGGCCCTCTTACTAAAAAGTTTGGACACCCCTGCTCTAGAAGCTATTATAAGCATGGAACTTTAAAACTAAACTTGGAATAACTGCACAATGTCTTCATCAGATTGGGAAAACATTTAGACATTTGACCAAAAGCCACTGGAGAATATATTCATTGAGACCAGATGTGACCTAATTTTTAGTTTGATTAGAAATACTTTTAAAAACACGGTTCTGTGGTGTTCTGTAGTAAATTATAACTATGTCTCTGCTTGTTTTGGTCCATTCAGAAACAGATTAATCAATTATTAAACTTGTTGACAACTTTTTCAATAATCCATTAGTTGCCGTCTCAGACTTTAAGCTATTCCGCTAGCTCAGAGAAAACCAAGAGGGAAGTGCTCATGGACGAAGTTTTGCTCACTCTGGCTCCTATTGGCTTACATTGAAAAGGAAAACTGGAGCTGAGTAACTGTTGGTCTCACACTGGGCTTTAAACATCCACGGTTTAGCGCTCTTAGCAATCCTGGTGCTTATACTACAATATTGTCTTTGTAAATCCAGAATCCTGACCAATCAGAAAACTTGTACCAGTCTCTATGGAATTCTTCAGGCTGAGAGCTGATTGGCTGTTGAAGAAATCTACACTTTTCTGTCTGGAAAAGCTGCGCAAATGTGTAAAAATGTACGCAGCTTAGTATTATGTATCAAGTGATCGTAAAAGAAATGAGTTGGATTGACCAAGATGTACTTCCTGCTTTCAATTTGCAAATCAAGTACCCCTGCTTTAATATTCCAGTTAAAACGCTATGGAAGTGAGTAAAGGATTACTTGTATAACACTCTTGAGTACTGTAATTTTAAGGTAATGTTTTAATTTATGTGTTGACTGGAAAGAAAAACATGAATTATTATGAATAGGAATTATTGGAAATATCTGTGTGTAAAAAAAGACTATTCAAATCTTGTGATCAAGCTTTTGTTTTGTACATTCAGTCACAGCGGGAAGAGGAACCAACAGCAAAGGACTGTCCACCAAACATGCAGGGGTGGGAAGTAACTGAGTACTTTCTATGTAGATGTACTTTTGAAGTGATTCCAAAGCAATATCTTACTCCCTGAATCAAGAGCAAATATGTCGACTTTTGCTCTGATCAGAGATAGAGACGTACGTACTACACTTTATGATGTCAATTAAAACCACAGTATTATGACACCGCAGGTTTCATAAAGTAGATTATTAAGCGGTAAAATCAAGCTGAAACCCTAACCCTGCTTTACGCATTATTTAAAAATTCTCTGTAATTTTCTATCATACCCTTTTTTTTAGAGGTGGGAGATTAACACTATTGAAATTATTGTTTTAGCAAAGTATTATTACTGATTGATTTGTTTGAACAGTCAGTAAAGTGCATTGCTGTCAGTCTTTCAAGGATTTCTCTGGGCTGGGGAAACGGCAGAAATGAATTGAATTGGCTTCAACTTAAAATATCCTGTTTTACATTTGATTTGATTTACATTTTAATGAATTGTCACTTTGTTATCAAGCGCTTTCGTGTGCAGCAGCCTTTGCGCAGATGAAGTGAGGCCAGTTTGAGTCTGAGAGGTTACAACGCACGAGTGAAAATCAAATCCTCCTCAATTTGGTCCTCAAAAGGTGTGAAAAAACCAGTCTGCTCTGAGGTGATGGTCCGCGCTTAATACGTCAATCTGATTGGGATGAGACAACAGGAAGTGATGCCTTTAAGAGCACAAGGAAACGCCAGACTTAGAAATCTAGGCATTTGGACGGGTATTGACAACTCACTCGTGTTGTTCAGGACCAATACGCAGCTGAGCAGGTGTGAAAATCAAATGCCCAAAGTAGTCATGATGTTGTGTGGTTAAATTGGCAGAGAATGTACTTATATGTATGAGGGCCACTTTACTTACTAATTTTGAGTACCAAGGGTCTGGAGCTTTGAGCGGCTTCTTTGTTGGGTGCACATGGACAAAACCCAAACTCTTCAGACCGATCCAAAAGTGGTTTTTGAAGTTTTCTTGTGCTTTGCTAACACACTCAATTGGACTACTCTCTAAATAGCTGCAAAGGATAAGATAATAATGACTAACTTGATAAAGCCATTATACAATTTCAAGGGGACAGATACATACTGTAAATACAATTAAGTGTTCGCACAAATTTGATGACAAAATATCCAGAATAGCATTAAGAAAAAAGCTCACAGCAATAGCCTCGTTATCCTTGCTAATTTTTCTGATTTTATCGGTTAATTACGCAGCACCTGGACTAGTTTTACACATTCAAAAGCCACAAGTTTGCCAAGAAATGAATTATCTCTTCTCTATCCCATTGTCAATAGCACAGTGTAAATATGTAAGTGTCTCCACCCATTTCCACTCGTAACGCAAAACCGAACGGACTGTACAGTGATATTTATGCAATTGTTTTGAGATTTTTTTTATCATTAATAGAGAAATTCCAGCAAGTTGATTTACTTGTTGCATGTTTTTAACACTGCTGACTTTCTGTGTCAGTGCTTTGTATATGTTCTCGGCATTATTCGGTTTTGTGTTGGTTGAGTTCACTACATGCACACTCTCTCCTGACGATGCATAAGATCTGTACCTGCTCATTTTAGGGTCATTTCAATAAATAGCTGTTTACGACACAAAAACCTGTGTATTGGATGCGTTAAGGGGCAATTTTTAAGGTCTATTTGCCATAATTACATAAAATGGCTTAATAATGGAAGCAGTTTCATTGACTTTTTGTTTGCCAATGCTACAGGGACCTGGCTGAAGATTGATACGCAAGTTATTACCTGTAATTAATAAAAATCTCTTGCTCGAAAACAATGTTGTAAAATAAACTGAAACGTAGCTACTGAAAATACTTACTGTACGTTGTAGTAGAGTGACTTTAAATTTGTCACATTTATCAGGATAAGGGTCAGGGCTGCGAAAAGATTTGGGTTGAGGTCAGAGGTAGGGTTATATGTTGTTATTCATTTTTTAATAATATACAACAAAACTGCTGGAACAAATTTACTCTAAAACTTCCAGAATTCTGAAACTACCAGAACTTCTAGTTACATTTTCTGTTTATACAGTAGTTAGTAAAAAGATTCTCCCAGTTTTATTCAAAATTATGTGTGTGTTTTTTTAACTTGTGCATAAAACTGAACACATGCTAACGGCTGACTGTAAATAGTGTGTTGCTATGGTAACTAGCACTGACTAAACCAACCACAAAACCAGTCCAGGACCAGAACCACCGAGCAGTTAAAATCCAGGCTCTGGGAGTTTAAAGTATAACACAGTCACTGGGTAGAACTGCTTACATTTCAGAAGTAAAACATTATTTCATAAAAAAACAATTAAGACAATGGTATTCTCTTGCTTCATTTAATGTAAAAAACAGGATGTAACCTAATAATAAATAATAAATGGTTCTTGCATTGGGACAAAATACCGAGATGTTGGAGAGTCCCGTGAGGAGTTGCGGTTGGAGGAGGTGCGGTTGGAGGAGGTGCGGTTGGAGGAGGCGCAGTTGGAGGAGATGGGGTTGGAGGAAGTGCGGTTGGAGGAGGCGCGGTTGGAGGAGGTGCGGTTGGAGGAGGCGCGGTTGGAGGAGATGGGGTTGGAGGAAGTGCGGTTGGAGGAGATGGGGTTGGAGGAAGTGCGGTTGGAGGAGATGGGGTTGGAGGAAGTGCGGTTGGAGGAGGCGTGGTTGGAGGAGATGGGGTTGGAGGAGGCGCGGTTGGAGGAGATGGGGTTGGAGGAGGCGCGGTTGGAGGAGATGGGGTTGGAGGAAGTGCGGTTGGAGGAGATGGGGTTGGAGGAAGTGCGGTTGGAGGAGATGGGATTGGAGGAGAAGGTGCGGTTGGAGGAGGTGCGGTTGGAGGAGGTGCGGTTGGAGGAGACGCGGTTTGAGGAGAAGCGGTTGAAAGAGGTGGGGTTGGAGTTATAGATCCATGGGTTGGAGGAGGCGCGGTTGGAGTTATTATAGATCCATGGGTTAGAGGAGGTGTGGTTGGAGGAGACGCGGTTGGAGGAGGTGGGGTTGGAGTTATAGATCCATGGGTTAGAGGAGGCGCGGTTGGAGTTAGTTATTATTATAGATCCATGGGTTAGAGGAGGCGCGGTTGGAGGAGGTGGGCTTGGAGTTATTATTATAGATCCATGGGTTAGAGGAGGCGCGGTTGGATGAGGCTGATCCGCGATGACGCTCCTCTGGAGGGGGCGGAGCCGACACAAGCGGACACTGCGGATAAACAAACGCACGCAGCGGTCACACGGAGCTGGACTCGGTACCACTGCCTCTGGGACTTCTGGCATCGCGGGGAAAAGCACCGTCACAGCGCTGGTTCCCCCGCGACCCCATCATCCAGCCTCTGCAGCCCCGTCTGTCTGATGCGGTGACGGACTGAGCAGAGGCATGACCGAGCTGCGGAAGCGAACTGCCGGAGGAGCGCTCCCGGAGAACAGCGACCTCAGCGACCGGGTACAGCCGCAGCCACACACCGAGCACACGGACACGGACACGCACGGACGGGGACAGGCGGGAATGGGGCACACGGCTGGGTTCCGCGGTGTTAGCTCAGGGCTAGCTTGTTTCTGTCTGTGGCTAATTAGCGCTAGCAGGTGCTCGGGCAGTGACTGACAGAAGCATCAGGACTAGAGGGAGCCATGAGGGAGCTTCGCCGTGGTCCAGCCCCATGTTGTGATGGGGAAGGCTGCTGGAGAAATCACTCACTTTTAAAGCTCGGGTGCATAACTTTTTTTTTTCATAAATAATGCTGATAATAATGTTGTTTATCCCAAAAGAAACAAGACTGACATGTTAATAATAATAATAATGCATCAGTTTTTTATAGCGCTTTATTGGACACTCAAAGGTGATTCACTCTATACACGGTGGTGATAAACACACACACACACACACACTGTAGCCACAGCTGCCTTGGGGCACACTGACAGAAACGAGGCAACCAGTATGTGCCATCGGCCCCTCCGACCACCACCAACCATTCACACACACACCAGACTCGTTCTAGGCAATGGGGGTGAAGTGTCTTGCCTAAGGGCACAAAGACTGCACTTTACAGCCGCACTGTGGCATCAGGTGTTCCCAGAGGTTATGTGTCTTGCCAAGGACACAACGATAGCAGACAGTTGGTGCTGAAAGTCTTGAGTCGTGCTCGAACCCAGAACCTTCTGGCTCCAAGGCCAATGCTCTACCAACTGAGCTACTGTCGCCCTAATGTTGTTCTATATCAGGGATGTGTGGGCCAAATGCGGCCCTCTGTGACATTTTATGATTTATTATGTGGCCTTCTGTCATCTGTCGATGACACTGGGAAAGTCATGAGAGACTTTCCCAGTGTCATCCAGCCAACTTCAGCTGCACCCAAATAGTCATGTTTAAACTGTGTTGTAAATCGCAGAACCGTTGGAATCCACTTGTTAACATGATTATAATGTACGGACATTTGTTTTGACTGCCACTGAATTCCATATTGAGCAGCAATTTATCTGTGCTGTAAATAATTATGGACTTGCACCCTTGCACCCCATTTAAAAGTCTAGACAGTCTGAAAAACAGTTTTAAAAATCGAGTTGTCAGCCTTGGACAAGTCCGGTTAATTTCATAATTTGCATACTTCCTCTGTGATCCCCTGTGAGAGAGCCTGGCACAATAATTACTCTATCAATTTGATGGTTCAATCATTAATAGATGGAACAATATATTTTTGGGATCAATATTTACAGTCTGTACATTTCCTTTGCTATAGTGAATTGTTTTGCTATTTTCATTCCAACACGATACATTTTGAGGCAAAGCATCACCTAATTTGGCTATTTCTTTGTTTCTGGTTGTTTCAGTGGGATTCTCCTGATGTTTTGTAACTGATCTAGTGTCTCAAAGTTGTTTTTGTATCATAATTTATTGCAATACATCTATATCAATAGTTTGGCCATCAAAATATCATATTGTCCACAGCAGCGATAAATCTCAGACCTCATATGCGAACACCACAAGGCACAAAGCATTATGAGTATTGTGCAAGTCTTCTCTTCTGATAACACAAGATGGTCACTACAATTGTTCGCGCTAACAAAAGCCCCGCTCTCTCTAGTCCCTTATTTAGTGAGAACACGTTCAGTGACAGGATTCCATCTCGTTTTACAGATGTATTTGTACCGATACTGCTCAGACTTGGCTTGAACAGGTTTGGAGGTGATGCCAAAGAACCAGGCCGACTTGTCCTCCCAGCTCGCATCGGGTCACACTGGTTTGCAGGTGCTAACTCGGGGTGATCACATTTTTAAACGTACAAACTGGGACAGACCCGGTTTGGAGCAGGGGGAAAGCATAAGTGTTATTTTTGTCAACTATCTTTCATGGACGCTGGATATAAAAATAACCCTAAAGACTTAAACTGAATGTCAATGTCTTTCACTGTGTAGATTTGTTGTTCAGATATGAAAAACTAAACTTGAATGAATTGGAGAATGGACACATGATCCACTTTTCAATCACGTGGAACCAAACCAGACCATAAACAAGTTCCAACTCCAAGAACACGTCTGTGCCTTTTCTATGAAGCAATCTCAGACTAATAAGACCCAGATATAGTGCATGATCTCGACACACAAGAACATGTCTGTAACGTATGAAGCAATCACGTTTAGCCACACCATAAACAAGCCGTATCCAATCCATGCACCTTCAGTCTGCAGGCGTTAAGGAATTATTCACATCCGGGTTCAATGTAAATCTATATAAAAAAATTATCTTCTTGATGATTCTTGTATGATTTTTCATATGGCCGTTCATACTTTAGTCAGTGGGACAGGTTAGTTGTACTGATGATGTGTTGTTGCAATAGTAAGCATGCATTACACCAGTGGGTAAGTTTGGGGTACACGGGAGTTTTACAGGGGATGATTGAAATTAAGAAGTTAACCAGTATGGCATGGTATAATAATGTTTAAGCTAATCATCTCAAGAAAACGACCACATCAATTAATATTCTCATTCTTGTGACTATTCTAAAGTCTACAAGGAACTAACCAGTAAAGAGGCAAGACTAACCCAGGATGAAGTATATTGCAGTCTATTTCATTTTGGGGATTTTGCCCTTGGTTTAATTTTGAATAGACCATATCATGTTGTAGCAGTGTGGTCAGAGGGCTACTGCTCTGAGCTGAAGCATATTGTCCTTTTATACATGACACATAGCAGACACACCTCATGCTAACCCAGGCAGACACACCCAGGTCTGAAACATTCAGTTGTTTGGCTCATGTAGTGACTTACACACAGCTATAGACACACAATGTTTGATTATTCTCAGTATGTAAGAGAAGTGTGTCAGCTCCCAGCACACCCCTGTTCACCCACTGAACTTTGCACCAGTTCCTGGTCCGACTGATAGAGACTTTACCGTGTACAGCTATATAAGAGCGAGCGCATCAGTGACCTGTACATCCAGGTCCAGGTCTGACAAACTACAGAGCTGGACAATTACTTTATATTTGATCAAAGAAATAATATAGGAATGAAGTGTCTGTGATGGAGTCTGGAGAAAGAACAGATGATGATCAGTGGTCGTTTTCTCCTGATGTTGGGCTGATTATTCAGATTAACGCAACTAATCAAGTTAATTCAATAGTCAATTAATAGATCAATTATTAATAGATATACATTGTGCTTTGAGACTCAAACAGAGCAGTAACTTTATTATAAAATTAAAGGAGAAATATATATAATAATTATAAAAGAGCATTGAAAGTTTGAAAGCACAAACATTGTTTATTTAACATAAAAAATACACCTTGTTTAAAATGACATCTCTTTGAGAATGTTGCTTTTATGAACAGCAACATGGATGCAGAACTTGTCAAAGGGGATAATGCAGTGTAGGAAAGACATTCATTAACGGTGTTGGTTTATGAGGAATGTGAAAATTAATGATACATGTAACTGTAACTTACTTTGACTATTTGAACCTGACAACACAAAGACTTTATTACTGAACTGGTTTTACACTGCAGTCCGTGCTGTTCTTTATTCTTTCCTCTGCATACAGCTGCCTTCAGTTCTCATTTTTCAAAACTTTGCATCACTTCAACCAACTAGGTACTGCTGCTGAAGCGAAACAGAAAAATATGTTTTTGTAATTATTTGGAGAAATAACAAGGTCAATCTTTGACTGAAGGCCATTGAGAACGTGAGCAGCATTAACTACATGTCTGTGTTGACAGGTCAAAGTCTGTTGAACCTCAGCAGGCTGCTGCGGCTGCTGCGGCAGCATGATCCTTCACGACAGTCACTGTGTGTTTGTTACATTTGTTCTATCATTTAGCAGTTCACGTGTCAATCCGTTCTCAAAGGCTCCTGCTCTTATGTTTAAATGTGCACATGGAAGAGGGTGAATATAACATTTTAATTACTGAGCTGTGGGTTCATGCTAGGGGGCGCTCTGCTCATACTGTGTCCTGTCAGTCACACAGACCTGTCCCACTGCATTCCTCCTGTGACTGAACAATAGTAACAGTAGCTCCAATGGAGGATCAGGAGGGCCAAGAAGGATTATGGGAAAAAGCTGGAGCAGAAGCTAGCCCGGGGAAACGCCCGTGACGTGGGAAGAGGACTTAAGAACATCTCCGGCTTTGGACAGAGTGCCAGAGGGACAGCGGATGGAGACCAGCACCGGGCGGATGAATTCAACCAATACTTCAACCGGTTTGATTGTCCCCCTTCTCCATTTGCCCCCCCTCCCGCCCCCACCTCTTCACAAGTCCCCAGCCCAGTGGACACCGCCCAGTAGACACTGCCTTCTCATCACACCGGACCAGGTGAGGAGACAGCTCCAGCGACTGAAGCAGAGGAAATCCGCAGGACCGGACGGGATCAGTCCCAGACCAGCTCTCTGGGGTCCTCAGCTACATGTACAACCTGAGCCTCAGCCTGGAGAAGGTCCCTGTCCTGTGGAAGACCTCCTGTGTGATCCCGGTTCCAAAAACAGCACACGCCAAGGAACTGGCTCACTACAGACCAGTCGCACTGACCTCCCACCTGATGAAGACCATGGAGCGGCTCATCCTCACCCATCTCCGCTCTGTGGTCAGCCCCACCCTGGACCCGCTGCAGTTCGCCTACAGACCCAACATCGGAGTAGAGGACGCCGTCATCTACTTCCTGCAGTGGACGCTCTCCCACCTGGAGCCCACCGGAAGCGCTGTGAGGGTCGTGTTTTTTGACTTCTCCAGTGCTTTCAACACCATCAGGCCGGCACTGCTGCGGGGGAAGATGGAGGACGCGGGAGTGAACACTAACCTCACTGCATGGACCATCAACTACCTCTCAGACTGACCACAGTACGTGCGGCTGCGCAGCTGTGAGTCTGAGGTGGTCGTCTGCAGCACTGGGGCCCCTCAGGGCACTGTCCTCTCACCGTTTCTCTTCACCATCTACACCTCAGACTTCACACACGACACACACAGCTGTCACCTGCAGAAGTTCTCAGACGACTCTGCCATCGTGGGCTGTGTGTCTGAGGGGAACGAACTGGAATATCGGTCGGTTATCAAGGACTTTGTCGACTGGTGCGAGCGCAACCACTTGTGCTTGAACACCAGTAAGACCAAGGAGATGATCATCGTCTTCAGGAGAAAACCATTTTCCCACACGATGCTGAACATCCAGGGGGAGGACATTGAGCTGGTGGACAGCTTCAAGTACCTGGGTTTTCACATTAACAATAAACTGGACTGGTCCATAATACAAACGCCCTGTACAAGAAGGGCCAAAGTCGCCTCTTCCTTCTGAGGAGGCTGAGGTCCTTCGGAGTGAGCAGGCCTCTGCTCAGCACTTTTTATGACTCTGTGGTAGCCTCAGCCATATACTACGCTGCCGTTTGCTGGGCCCCGGGCAGCACAGAGCGGACAGAAACAGACTGAACAAGCTGGTCAGGAGGGCCAGCTCCACTCTGGGCTGCTCCCTGGTCTCTGTGGAGGATGTGAGGAACAGGAGGCCCCTGGAGGATGTGAGGGACAGGAGGGTGCTTGTCAAAGTCACCTCCATCATGAACAACACCTCCCACCCACTGCACAGGACTGTAGAGGAGCTCCTTCAGTGGAAGACTGAGACACCCTCAGTGTAAGAAGGAGCGCTACCGCAGGGCCTTTATCCCCACCTGCTGTCAGACTGTACAATAAGTCACTTTAAGTCACTGCATTATGACTGAAAAAACTTGCCTTTGACACTTCTTTCTTATTGACACTTCTTTTTAATTGCCACTTTTTGTACATAATATGTCCTGCATCAACATGTTTGCACATTTCTTACTTTTTGCACAATCTTGAGTGTTTCTATCCATGCCAGATGTGACATGTAAATTTCTCCTGTGAGAGATTAATAAAGTATATCTTTTCTTATCTTAGTACTGCGTTACATGGTGCCTTTCACAGTAGATGCATGTCCGCGAAGACTGCCCTATTGGACTAAAGATGTAGATAATATCATCTTTGTTTCATTATGAACATCAGAAATGCAATGTTTGAATGATTTTAAACCTTTCTGATGAGCCTTGTTGTACTGTTGCATGGATCCAACCACAGTCTGGTCATCTGTGTGGCCGTGAGTTCTGTGCAAACACCATTTGCTACTTGTTTTCATCATCAAATAATGTCATTAATGTCATTTCACCTGGTCTCTTTAGAGTAGACGCAGCTGTGACCTAAATAATCTGCACTTAAAACACACATAATCTGTTAATTAACGCTTATTAAGAGGAATGGAAGGTAATGGCCTAGTTTTGACCACTGCTGATTTTTCATTACATCTTTTCTATGCAGACAATATTTAAAGTATGGCTGCATATTTCTCAACCATCCAGCTCAGTTTTATTTCAGACTATGGGGCTACTCTGAAGACCCTACTCATTCACTCTGGACTCAGTGGGACAGGAGTGGGGCAGCCAATCTGTGCCATTGGCCTCACTCATTCCGAACATGAGGTGAAACAGAAAGGCCCGGGTTGGCTACCCATATGCCGCCTGTGTTGTTTTGACATATGAACACATCCCTAAGCAAAAAGATGGCATGTTTTCAGTCAAAAGGGTTTGAGTTTTGTGTTTGTGGAGCTTTGAGCCTCAGCTGAGTGCGGCTGTGTGCTCATTAAACTGGAAGTAGAACAGGAGCTGCTTCTGTCTGACTCGTGTGTCTCTCGTGTCTTGTGTTTAGGCCGGAAACAAGTTAATCGCAACTAATCAATAATTCAGATAATTGTCCACTATTTGAACCATGAAATTATCATCATCCAGATCATACATATGCTGCAAAACAAAATGAATACAGTTTTTCTGTCTTTTTTACAGCATGAGCTGAATTTCAAGAATTACTTTTACTAAAGGATTTTTCATTCTCTCCAAACGTGGTGGTGATAAACTGCTACTGTAGACACAGCTGCCCTGGGGCAGAATGTAGATTAGTATGTGCCTTTGGCCCCTTTAACCACCACCGACCAACCACAACTACAGTTTGGCACAGCCGGAGCAACTCCACTGTAGCACCTGGTGTCCCCAGAGGTCTCCCATCACAGTGGACCCACTGCCCTGCTTAGCTTCAGAGGTCTGACAGATCCGGCTTGTGGCACCACTATTACATTCAGAACAAATAAGGAGTTAATGTGTTGGAAGAGGGGTGGGGTTAATAAGTGTATACTTCTTCCCATTACCCTTTTGAGATATGTCAATCTTATTTTTTTGTTATTACTATGCATTGCACGATGCATATGACGAGACATAACTCTGAAATGTATCATATGTACTGTTTTATATCTGTGATGGACTCTCCATGCTCTGCTGGAGACCCAGGGAATCATAAATAAATACTTAGAATTAAATTCACAAACACATTACACACCAGTGTACACAGACTGCCCAAGGACGGAACAGGAGCAGGTTTCACACCTGCCAACGGTGGCTCTGCTGAATTGACTTTGAACTGCTGCTGCTGCTGTTGAAGGGTCACACTGGTCGTATTCTCTTCTGAAGTCTGTCTCTGCACATTTCCCTGCACTTTGCATCTCCCTCCTCACTGTGAGGCTGCGTGTCTTTAAAGCCTGAATGTTAAGGCTCATGCAAACAAGAGACTGCCCTGTCAAACAACATGTGGAGATGTCACACGTCAACACCAACATATTGTAACCAAAACTCATTTCTATCTATAAATCCAAAAACAATGATAATTAAATGTCTGGTGTATTTTTTATTGTACTTTACACTCATTTCACATTTCAATAATTTTGAATGATTATCTTGCTTTATTGTTATTGTGTCTTGTCACCTGAAATAGTTTCAATATGTGTGTGTTTTTGTATGTGTGTATGCACGCAGGAGGTGGAGGGTGTGGACACAGAGGCAGAGTGTGATGGAGATAAAGCAGAGACTCCTGATGTGCCCCCATCCAACGCAGACAACACCCCAGAATGTTTCAACAAGGCTCTGGAAGGACTGCCCCCGCGGTACACACGCACACACTCACACGCATACTAACACATGCATGCACACACTCACTCTCATTGAGATGATGGACTTAGTTTGTAGATCATAGGAAGAGACTAGATGGGATTATTACCAGGATACACAGCAATGTCACCAAGCTCCCACCCTCAATACAATAGCTTTCCACATCTATTAGCAAAGCTCATTTTTGTTCTGGTTTTGTGGAAAAGGCAACTGTCAATAACCAGGATGGACCAGTCTGACGTAAGTCTTTGTACAGATATGAAGGAGGTGACTAAAACATGATACAACTTATATACCAACATCATACACTCAACTAACTAGTTATGTTACTTGAGCGTGATTGCTCGAAGTCAGTAGGTGTTTTTGCCAAACAACAAAACGGGAGCTAAAAATCTGATTGGGAAGCTTCACTTTAAAGACAATAGCAATTGACAATAGGTAGATGTGTGAGTGGCTTTTGTATGGCTCACTCCCATTGGTTGTGGTCTGTAGAGTGTGTGTGTGGTCGGGAGTCAGTCCAGGCGGAGACAAATGAGCAAGTCCCCGTGGCTTAAGAGCTCACCTATAATCCTGTGTGTGTTTGTGTGTGTGTGTGTGCGTGCTGGCATTGGTCATGACTACTAGTATTCTTACTGTTCCCAAGGATCAGCTACAGAGTGAGTGTCACATGATCCTAATGAAGACATTGTCTCGATGTAAACAGTCGCTCAAGTAAAAGTTCTGCCAATGCACAGAACAAGCAAAGTCAGTCCTGAATAAACTCCACGTAGCAGGTGCAGCAGGATACGTTCGGACCTCTAATCCAAAAAAACACTGTCTCACTAAGCCCGTCAGAATCTGTGGGATATGTACAAAGTCAAATCTGAAATAAAAGTAATGAAGCTGATTCCAAACGAGGGTTCCCTGTGGATCATGGGCGTCTTGTAGATGTTGTTATGCAGCTTTGTCTGTTTTTTCAGATGGAAGAATTACGTGATCCGAGGAGTGTTGTCCATCGCCATGATCACCGGGTTCTTCCTGATCATCTATCTGGGCCCCATCACTTTGATCCTAGTGGTACGTGTCTCTGTGTATGATCCTACATAGTATGCACACACGGTACACACATTTAGAACCAACATGGAATCTTCCAGGTGTGTGACGTGTCTGACTCTAAAATGCAAAGCTCTTTGGGTGAAGTTGATCTATAAAAATGCGTTATATAAATAAAGATTACCCACTACTTACTACTACTAAACTGTGTGAAAATGTTTAAAATGTCCAAATTTCTTGTTGTAGATATCCTATACTGTACCACAAACCAGCTCTTAAGAGGTTTTACATTATGATGTTTGTTTATGACACGTTTCTGCAATGGTGGACAAAAGCAGAAGTTGAATGTCATAAAAAAATTTCATAAAAATTAAAGGTATATAGGAGGATTTTCTACATCCGGGTGGATCATCAAGACTATTGGTCCTCCTAATTGTCAATCATTCTGCTGATACGTCCTTGTCAGTCAAGACCAGAGAGTTTTGTGTAGAGGGCGGTTCTATCCTAGCCTGGTCGTACCACACCATAGTACAAATGACATTTCTAAGGTCTGGATTTGCTCCATTGACTCCGTTAACAGGTGGGAGGGGTTAACTCCTTTTGCAGATTGAAACGATTGGATCTGAGTTTACTGTGACGTATGTAGTGCGCCCGAGTCTGTCGTTAGCATTTAGCATTTACCTTTGACGCTAACGGAGCCCGTGGGGAGTAGCACCACAATTTTTTGCAGCGATTACATTTGTTAAACATTCCTCTTGCTGCTGCTTCAATTTATTGATAGAACCAGACCGGAATACTTACCTATCGCATTCTTCGCCATTGCCAAACTACAACCTGCCCGTTCAACGCAAACTCTTGACGTCACCCACATCTAACTACAACACCCGCCTCCCGCGCTCTCTGATTGGTCGGCCGAAATTCAACCGATTGTAATCGCAAACACAGGGACCAGACCCAGACGTTACATGCAGTGAAATGATGATTGAGCGGAGTGTACGGATGGCTAAGGCCAGGGTAGTTCTATCCTAAAATTTGGGAAAATCTTCCATTATACTTTTTAAGGAGCTAGACTACATTTTAAACAGGATAACATTTTAACATTTACAAGAGAAACAAGTTCTTTGTTTGAAACATATGATGACATTGATTGGTCATTATTTACAGAGACAATATTAAAACATAAACAAAGCGATCACAGAGAACGCTAGACCACATGTTTCTAGTGATTTTGTTGTTGTATTGTTTAAAAGTATCACAATACACACAATATACCAAGATGTCTGTAATATCGCTGCAACAATATGAGCACAGCCCCGATACAGATCAGGTCCTTCATCGCTCTCACCTCCTCCTTCTCTTCCTCTTCCTCTTCCTCCTCCTCCTCCTCTTCCTCCTCTTCCTCCTCAGGTCATGACGGTCCAGATCAAATGCTTCCAGGAGATCATCACCATTGGATACAGAGTTTATCGATCCTATGAGCTGCCCTGGTTCCGCACACTCAGCTGGTACGTACAAGGCACTTCATACACACACACATATATACGCCCATGTAAGGATCTGAAGATGGACATCCATTTTAGTCTTCGTTTCTGTGATCACAAATTAATCTGTTAATGAAGTCCTTCAAGACGACTGGTGTTGTGGTTTTAGGGCTGTACAGTTAAGTATTTGGTAAACCGTGACACAATTCTTTTAGGATGGACTTCTGGCAGTAGGGACTGATTTTATTATTTCCTTCCACCAACGATATCAATAGTTTAGATACAACACTTTCTCTGATTTCTTTCAATTTATTATCTGCTTTTTTGGAGATTTTTTGAACCCTGTATTTCTGTCCATTTCTGTCAAGATAACAAGCAAAAACAAAGTAGCCACAAGTACCTTTTCTTCTTAAACAGACCATTGTTTTTGTTAAGCATTATCAAATGTGATATTGTTTCTCATGATAATCCTACATAATCCATACAACACTCTCCCACTCACTTATTATTATATTATTATTATTATTGTTATTATACAGTGCTAAATGCATTCATCCTCTGTTTTTACAACGCTATTCTGAGCTCTGCAATAATCACATGCATTTCATCTGGCTGATGATGAGCTTGTTTCTTTCAGTTCTAGTAAATAACGGAATTTGTTTAGGAGATTTAACTAGTTCCCATCAGTGGCCGGAGATAGACTATGTACAACATTGTATCATTAAATTGGCATGTAGTTTGGCAGCTCACTCAGCAGGCTACATTCAGGCCCAATCTGCTGAGAGCTGAGTCTGTTTACTGTGATTTTATTCTTATTCTTATTATTATTATATTCTTATTTGTTAGTGACCAAACAAGAAGCATTGTTACAAATGGTCGATACCGTGTTCATAGGCCATGTAGCAGGTGTCGGAGTTCAATGCCATGCGGAGACACATTCCAAAGTTCTCGTGCTCTTGTTCTCCTGATAAGACTGTGACGTTTGTGGACTTTGTGTTGCGCTGCAGGTACTTCCTTATCTGCGTCAACTACTTCTTCTACGGGGAGACGCTGGCCGATTACTTTGGCGCCCTGGTGCAGAGGGAGGAGCCGCTGACGTTCCTGAGCCGGTACCACCGCTTCATATCCTTCGCCCTGTACCTGGCAGGTGAGGGCCAAAGTCTGAGGAGATTAGAAGGACACACATCCACACACTGCTGAGACCAGATGATACTATTTCAACGCTGTTACTTTGAAATAACGTGTGTGTTTTACTAGGGCTGTGTTAATGCATTCAAGTGTTATTTTAACTCGGTTTAGATTATTATGTGCAAATATGTGTCTTCTACCTTTTGTTTCCGGCCACACAGCAGCAGGACTTATGTGTTTGTGCATTAGACAACAGAAGAGAGTCAAAGCTCTAGTTTTTAACCTCCTGATGACGGCAGAAATGGGAGTACTTTATTTAGAGAAATTATTGGCGTCAATCTTTATGCATTATTGTTCGGGTTCCTACCTATTTTTTATCCAAATTAAATGTTTTGTTTGTCCCAACAGAGAGGGTTATAAAAGTAACATTTTGTGACCAAATGTTGAATACTTGTAAGAATTTGTAAATGATATTATCGCGCTTAAAAATGTTTAATGATGCCTCTCACTGGTTAAAATAAACGGTTGCTCCAGTCCTGTCACTGGCCAGCCACTACCATCGCTCCAGTCGGCACACGTCTCCTCCCACTGCGCCCCACTTTGTCCCTGCTGCGCAGGCGATCCCACATGTTGCCAATGAAAATGTTTTTGTCTCGGGGACAGACCGTGTTGGGGCAGAGATTACCAGAGGGCCTTCATTATACTTTATCTGTCATATCTGGATCTGTTGATTCTGTTCTGTCTAAAAACACTAACGTTGTTGTTGTTGTTGTTGTTGTGTGTAACCAGAGTGATGTGTTCTGATGGCGCATGTCGTCTGCTCTCCACAGGGTTCTGCATGTTTGTGCTCAGTTTAGTGAAGACGCATTACCGCCTGCAGTTTTACATGGTGTGTATGTAACTCTCTGCACAAACTTCCGTGTGCTATGTCATCATACACATTAGAATTTACAGTCTTTTTCATTTGAGCCAAACACCCAAAAATTGTATCACAGCGATCAGCGTTCTTAGTACTCCCATGCATGAATGTCCGGCCACTAGCACACGTTTATGCTAAAGTGCTAAAGATGTTGTTTTAGTATAGAGTTATTATTGGGTGTGCTCCTCATTCCTACTGGTCTGTGACTGGTGATGCAACACTGACATTTCCCCGCTTTGGGACGAATGAAGGATCTCTTAATCTTGATTCATAGAGCACTTTTTTCATAGTGATAGTAACAGTGGGCGGCCAATGAGCTCCATAGACTGTAGAATGTAGTGAATGGATTCATTGAGAGGGATGTCACCAATTTGTCCCAACTTTATGGGCCAAAATTCGGAGCAAATATCTGACGAGACCAAAATACAACATATTGTTCTACCTCACGTATACTACTGCTTCTTACACTTCCTCACCTCACCAGGGCCGAGAACTACTTTGGCTTTTAAGTTGTATAAATGCTAAAAACCAGTGCCCGCCACTTTCTGTACATATTTGGAGTAGTACAACTGTCGTTTTAAGTGAGCGCAATTTCCACTTGTGTGTGTTGCAGTTTGCCTGGACCCATGTGACCCTGCTGCTGGTGGTCACTCAGTCTCACCTGGTCATTCAGAACCTGTTTGAGGGCATGATCTGGTAAGACAACACATGCACACAAACACACTCACGATGCAGGACTATCACTGTTGGAGCCAAAACAATGTTAAGGATGTTTTCACCACTAGAGGGGGGTATGGGACCGCTGTGATGGATGTTGGGCAGATGCATTGGACCTGTCAGTAAAGCTACTGGGACGATTGTTTGATGGGGAATGGATTTTAATATTTTTAATACCGAAACAAATAGGCGTTTTTAACCTGGTGCCAGTAATTATGGAATAAAGTTTTGAAAAAGATTTAACCACTACGACTATGACTGTGGAAGAGCCTTCTTTACATCTGCGAACAAACTACAATATGTCAAACTCTAACTCCTGGGAGTGAGTAGGGTCCCGTTAAGGCTGAAGAACATGACACTGTCTACATTCATACACAAGGAAGTGCTTAACAAAACAAGAAAGGCCACATTATTATCACAGTGAATAACGACTGCACACTTGAAGCCCATTCATTTTAACATGTGACCAGAATAAAGGACTTATATTGTAGTTTTTGATGAAAACTATAGCACCTAATCTGTTCTCACTTTTTACAGTCACTGAGGTGGGGGGGTGTGTATTTGTGTTTGTTGTTGTCAATTAGTAGAAAACCACTGAGCTGTTTGTGCCTCGCAGGTTCATTGTGCCCATCTCCAGCGTGATCTGTAACGACATCATGGCCTACCTGTTCGGCTTCTTCTTCGGCAGGACTCCTCTCATCAAGGTGCGCTTCATTATCGTTTAAATGGCTACCCTCGTACGCACGCACGCACACACGCACAGGCACACACGCACACACACACACGCACACACACACACATTACACTGTTAACTGCTTTTGTCCCACAGCTGTCCCCGAAGAAAACCTGGGAGGGCTTCATCGGCGGCTTCTTTGCCACTGTGGTGTTTGGCTTCCTGGTGAGACAATACTTGTACTTTTAATGTTTAGCGAGTTGCACCTTGGACCTTGTACCCTCTGCTTTACATTCACGGTCGATGGTGGAGGTCCGTAGGGGCATTCTGAGTACAATCCTGCATGTTTAACACACTTTCATCTGAATAAACTATTCAGATGAAACATATTTTTTTATTTGCAGCAACTTCTCTGCGTGTGTAAAGTATATTTCAGAAGCACATTGTTATGTACATTTGCGCATTCTCTTTTCCCGACAAACTAGAAGACTGACATTAGTTCACTCTAACAGACATCACTGTCCTCACTGTTGCTGGTGTCTTCCTTGTTTTTGTCATTATGCCTGTCATTATTGGTTGATTACCCCATAATTTGATGAAGTTCTGCCGTTTCACTGTTGCCGCTTGACGCCTCAGAGAACCATAGACTGTGAATGTAAAACTTGACTCTCCTGAAGCAGAGGACTGCGTTCAGCTGAGTCTGAACACATGAAGCCTCACCGTTCCTCTGCCCTGTGTCCACAGCTCGCCTACCTTCTGTCTCAGTTCCAGTACTTTGTGTGTCCCGTGGGCTACAACAGTGACAGCAACAGCTTCACCATTGAGTGTGAACCGTCCTCCATCTTTGTGCTGCAGGAGTACACACTGCCCACTGCTGTGCACAACACACTGGGCTGGGTAAGCAGAAACTGCTGCCTGTTAGAAAAAGAGGAAAGCATTACAGACTTACAGTAGAACAAGTCCTTGCTTATTGCTTTGACAAAAGCTTTCAAACGTGTAGATAATTTAATTCTTCATAAAAGTCTAAACATTACTGGTTTGGATGATTATTTTGCATTTGCTGTCCAACATATCCCAAGCAGTAGTTGCTGATGGTTAAAAAGAAACCTGTTGAATAAAAATAAAAGGGGCACCCCAGGGATCCATTCTGGGCCCCCTGTTTTTTACTATAATTAATCATGAGACAATTACACAAATCTACTGTTGAATACAGAAAAGGAGAATATGCTCTTTGAGAAAGACATTCAAGAAATGATACTTTGAGTCAGCTCTTACCCAGGGTTTGAATCGATGAAATATGAACCTAATTAATGAAAAATTAATTGCAATTCAAAATGAAATAGCTGTTTTTCATATAATAAATTGTTCGTTCAAACTTTTAATTATTGATCAATGTTTGAAAAGGTGTGTTTTTTGCTTTCAGATGAAGTAATGCATATAATAGAATTACTATTCGGCCCAAATAAATTGCATTAAACACTTTTCCGTCACACAGAGGCCCTTCTGTGCACTTGGCCTCTGTCCCTGATCTTGCTCGTGATGTGTCTCTGCAGGAGACAGTGCAGCTCTACCCTTTCCAGATCCACAGCGTCTTCCTCTCGTCCTTCGCGTCTCTGATTGGTCCTTTCGGTGGATTCTTTGCCAGTGGCTTCAAGCGAGCGTTTAAGATCAAGGTAGTGTTTTGTTGTGTGTTCTTCATGTTCTGTGTGAGTGAGCAGTGGGTCAGTACAAACGTGTGTTGTGTGTGCGCAGGACTTTGCCAACACCATCCCGGGCCACGGTGGAATCATGGACCGCTTCGACTGTCAGTACCTCATGGCAACCTTTGTGCACGTGTACATCGCCAGCTTCATCCGGTGAGTGTGCGGCTCTGTCTCCTTCAGGAAGTTCCTTTGAGCAGAGAATCAAACGGGTTTACTGGAATGTTGATGGGTCCATTTAAATGGGATTTGGATGTTGATGTGTTTTTTCCTCCTCCCATGAAAAGCACTGATAATGTTGTGTGTGTGTGTGTGTTTTTTGCGTGTGTTTGTGCGTCTGTGCAGGGGCCCGAACCCAAGCAAGGTGCTCCAGCAGCTGTTGCTGCTTCAGCCGGAGCAACAGCTCAGCATCTTTCACAACCTGCACTCCCACCTGAGAGAGCAAGGCCTGCTACCTCCACAGGCCTAGGCCCCGCCTCCACACACCGTCGCCATGGTCACAGCCTCAGAGGACTGTAGGATCCTGTGGAAAGGCCTCAGCACAGGACACCTCCTCCTGCCCTTCAGCTCCGTGTCCATGTGTTGGAAACTCATCACAGCATGAACACTGCACACTGTATAGAATCTAAAAGTGAAAATGTAGCCAGTCTGACGATACAACAGTCTCCATATGTAAAGTAGTGCACAAGGATGCAGCATGATGCAATAGACACTATGAACACTAGGATAAGGCTGCTACCAGCTCGACTGTCCTACATGTAGACAGCTCTACCGTAGGACGGCTCTACCGTAGGACGGCTCTACCGTAGGACGGCTCTACCGTAGGACGGCTCTACCGTAGGACGGCTCTACCGTAGCTCTACCGTAGGACGGCTCTACCGTAGGACAGCTCTATCGTAGCTCTACGTAGGACAGCTCTATCGTAGGACAGCTCTATCGTAGGACAGCTCTACCGTAGGACAGCTCTACCGTAGGACAGCTCTACCGTAGGACAGCTCTACCGTAGGACAGCTCTACTGTACTTCATATAAGGGACGTCTAGATTTGCTGTTGACTTGCAGCAGTAGTTTATGCTCTGCATGAGGCAAACCATAGTGCATAGAAACCTGTTTTTAGAAAACCGTGGTGCCCTGTAAGTGACGCTGTTGGCGCCCTCTACAGGAGAATACAGGAGCATGCGGTGGCCTCTGCTGCCCCCTAGTGCCCAGCCCCTGCTGCTCCCCTCTGTTTTAAGAATTACATTATTTGAATGTATTTTATTTGGTATTTTCCTGAAGTGAATGACATCGTTTACCTAGCTCCTGCTACTGTTGTATGCAATGATTGCTTGGGCACTGATCATTTAAGAGTTGAGATGTATTTATCTTGTACAGACTGAGTGGACGGGCCTGAACCAAAGCACTGACTGTCTCTTGTGACAGCACTCGCACGGCTCCATGGACTCATGCCTTTGTATTTATTCTGTTTTATTGCGCCTCCTGGCTTTATGTTGTGTGTTAGGCTCATGTTTGGAGCGTTTCTGGGAACAACACTACAGAACAGGGGTCTTATTTATGAAGCACGTGTACGTAAAGTTCCCACATCAAAGTTTTGGTCCATGAAGATGCTACTAGAGGTTTGGTGCAATACCTTCGATTTTTCTGTTTGAGTTTTGAGTTGAGACAAAACATGATCTGCTTTTTTTGAACGTACGCTTTGACTACAGTTTTATAGATGAGGCCCCGGTGAAGAGTCCATGTAATGTTTGAAGTTCGGGCTGAGTAGATTTTGAATAGATATTATTCACAAGTAGATGCTGACTATGAGAAAAGGCTGAATCTCTGAAGTTGTAAAAAAAAAAAAATCTCGGCCCTCTTTGAAGGACATGCACTCCTCCTGACGTCACTTTATTCCCGTGTGATCAGATCAAACATTTTATTATTAGAGTTTAATTTTGTGCAATGAATAAATAGGAAAAGTCTATTTAATCAGAGAATGTTATATTTGGGGATTATAAAGCGCACAGATGTGTCTTTGGGTGAATAAAGTGGGTTTCTGTATCGGCTTCTTTTCTTTCACAGCTGCACTTAACTGCTTTGTCCACTTTTTGGCTTATTCATAAGAAACTGCGTGTGTGTATGTAAACTTGTAAATTATAATATTATTTTAGATTCTAATTGTGGGCAAGCTTTCAGAATATCTATTTTCAGCAGGGTCTTAAATTCCCACTTCTAAAAGCCTTAGGTGCTTAAAGTCTAAAATCAGAATAATCTCTTTAAAAAAAACAGCACATGGTATTAAAATTTGGCATTGTTTTATATTTGACTTTTTATGAGTTGAACGTTCTCAGATTTGCAGAAATAACTAATTTATAAACTTACAAACCTTTAATAGCACTTTACAAAGAGTCAAAGGAAGGAGAAAAATGCCTTTATTACATAGTTCCACATTGACATAAGGTGCATGAAAGCGATTTATGTTTGGCTTAGGCTGAATGATTCTTATGAGCGTCGTCTCGCTGAAAAGAGCAGTGCATGCGAGTTCAAAGCCTTAAAGAGTTCATGACGGGTTTGACCAGACCTGGGGACACGCAGCGGACGGAATAATGAAACCTATTATCGATAAAATAACAATTTACATAAACAAAGCACGTGCTACCAATGAACTATCAACAAACAAAACAGTCGCTTTTTTAAATACTGCTTTTTCTCAAGTGATTTTTATAACTGACGTAGTGTCAGGAATGAACCAGACAGAGCGTTCACAGAAATTACAAAAGTTTTTCCCAAATGAATAAAACGTTAACCAGTGAAAACTACTCCAGCCGAGATCCCAGTGTGGCCCCTGGAGACAAGCCTGGCTTCAACAGTACCTTGACTAAATCAGTTAAATATGATATCCCAGTTTGTAATTGTTATTCTATCTCTTGGTTGTAGATGACATCACAGGGATGTTGTGCATTGAGCCCAAACTCCTTGTACATTCTCTGAAAATATCATTTACCAAAGTATAAGAACACGGACCTTATTAGTTCTAACATTTATGTCACAGTGAGATGTCAACAACTTTCTATGGACTTTCTATCATTTTAAACATCATTTAAATGGTTTTCTTTACCAACTTTGGCTTCATTGGCTTAGAATTAATATGGAAATCAGAATGTGTTTCATTCCACTGAACACAAACATTTGAAAATCATGAAAACCTGCTAAGTAAGCCTTATAATTAAATGTTTTAAATTGGTCCAAAGGTATTTTCTGAGTCTGCAGCAGAGGGCAGTGTGGAGGAGGAGGGTCGCTGCAGCAGGGAGTGTCTGAGGGCAAGCAGCAGGCGCAACAGCAGGCGCAGCAGCAGGAAGGCCACAGGCACCGTGAGCTCCATCAGGTGGAAGATGGGAGAGCTGAACTGGCTGAGCACACAGGTGAGCAGGAAGGTGCCCAGGGCCACGCAGGGATACAGCCACAGTTTGGCAAACATCAGCAGGTGCTCCCGGCCCCCGTAGCGCACCGCGGGGCCCAGGCACTCCTTCTGGCTGTGCAGAGCCACCACCCAGATGCACAGCTGGAAGAGGCCCGCGAAGAAGATGATGACGCAGCTGATCTGAATGGCCTCCAGCTCGTTCTGGGAGTGGCGGGGGAACTCGTGTGTGAGCTGGTAGGCCAAGGGCAGCCCCCCCACGAAGGCCAGAGAGAAGGTGTTGAGCAGTCCCATGAGGCGCGTCACTTTGGTCACGTGGAGGAACAGCGAGTGGTGCACGAACCACAGCAGCCCCACCGTCGCAAAGGAACCGAAGTAAGCCAAGTACTCCGGGCCGTAGGAGCGCAGAGCCAGCACCAGGCTGCCATTGAAGCGCTGGGAGACCACGGAGGGGTCCGGGACGTTGTCTTCGCTGCAGAGACACACACACACACACACCTGCTCATTGGCATGTACTTCTCAGAAAATGTAAAAATAATCTTGTCTGTTCTCAAGCTGCTCAGGTCACTGTAGTACCAGACTGAGCGGCACGGTGGCTGAGTGGATAGCACTCTCGCCTCTCAGCAAGAAGGTCCTGGGTTCGAATCCCGGTTGGACCAGGGCCTTTCTGAGTGGAGTTTGCATGTTCTCTCCGTGTCTGCGTAGGTTTCCTCCGGGTGCTCCGGTTTCCCCTACCACTAAAAATATGTACAATAGGTCTGGCATGTGCCTCCTGTACTGGCCCCCCCACTCCCAAAAAATAACAATTGTAAACCGCTTTGAGACTCCGATGTGCAGTGAAAAGGCGGTATATAAATAAAGATTACTGATTACTAATAATCCCAATATTCTGAGATTTTCAATTTATTCTTGTATAGCCCTAAATCACAACAGTAATTATCTTGGAGGACTTAACAAAACCATTAAATTCGCCAACAAAGATCAGAGAATCAAACGGTTCACGTCTATAAGAGGCAGATGGCCAGAGAGATATGTTTTCCTTTATTATTTTCTTGATAGTGGACTTGTTATGACTAATTTCATCAAGCCTCAGTCTTAATATGTCTGTTTTTATCACACACGTGTTGTTTCCGGATGTATTTTGTGTTAAATCCTTAGGCTGTGTATGTATTCACACACGCTGAGGACTCACCAGATGTCAAGGATGAGCAGCGTCGCCACGATGGCGTACACTCCGTCGCTGAAGGCCTCCAGGCGCTCCTTACTCACAGGCTCATGAGGGAGGAACGAATACAGCAGCAGCTCCCCTGCGGGCTCCTCCTCCGGCCCTGCAACACAACTGCTGCTACACCACCTGCTACACTTCCTGCTACACAACTGCTGCTACACTTCCTGCTACACCTCCTGATACACCTGCTGTTACAACTCCTGCCACTCCTGCTACACCTACTGCTGCTACACCTGCTACACCTCCTGCTACACCTGCTGTTACACCTCCTGCTACACATCCTCCTACACCTGCTGTTACACATCCTGCTACACCTGCTGTTACACCTCCTGCTACACCTGCTGTTACACCTCCTGTTACACATGTTACACATCCTGTTACACATCCTGCTACACATCCTGCTACACATCCTGCTACACAACTGCTGCTACACCTCCTGCTACCTGCTACACCTCCTGCTAGACCTCCTGCTAGACCTCCTGCTAGACCTCCTGCTAGACCTCCTGTCAAACCTGGAGCAGGGGGCAGGGACTCACCCAGGACCTTGATCCGAAGCCACTGCAGCCAGCTGGACATGTAAGGCAGGAAAATCACAACGGCCAACAGCACATAGGACTGCACAGAGAGAGAGAGCACAGAGAGAGCACAGAGAGAGAGAGAGAGAGCACAGAGAGAGAGCACAGAAAGAGAGCACAGGATTAGACAGGATGTAGATGCTAGATAAACGACCACAGAAATATGATCCTTATTTGAGCTCAGTGGTTAAAAGCTGCAGAGGTTTTAAACCATGTTCTGTGGAGCACAGGAATAAGTCTGAAACATATTATCACCACGACTCTTGAGTCGCTCATACCAGCTGAAAGCAGACAGCTGCAGCCAGGCTGGCCAACAGGCACATGAGTGGGACCCGAAGGATCACCCGGAGGAGGTGGTGCTGATACTCGGGCAGGTGCGGGCTTCCCTGGAGCCGCTGGTGGAGCAGGTGTGGACGGCGGAACGCATAGATCACAATCACCGTCTGAAACACATTAAACCCGCTGGATTTCAACAAAGAAACTGGCAACGAAATGAGAGACTCATGTTCTTTGAGTTGTTCCTTAACGGGACATTTAAGGACATTTATGGACATTTAAGGACAGTGATCACCCACTTGGACATTTATGTGTTTATTATTATTGCATTTCCTTTGTTTCATTCTTTAATCTTTGCAAAGTCCTCCCAGACAACTGCTGTTGTGATTTAGGGTGTGTGTGCGTATGTGTGTGCGTATGTGTGTGCGTGTGTGCGTGCGTGGGTGTGCAGGCTTGCGTGTGTGCGTGCGTGTGTGTGTGCGTGCGTGGGTGTGCAGGCTTGCGTGTGTGCGTGCGTGTGTGTGTGCGTGCGTGGGTGTGCAGGCTTGCGTGAGATTTGCACCTGGACCATCCCGATAACCATGACGCAGCTGCAGAAGAGCAGGATGCCCAGGACGTGCTCTGGGAACGAGGCCATCAGAGAGAACTGCAAACAAACGTCACATCCAGAAATAAACTGTAGACTTCAGGAAGGACTAAGTATGAACCACACAGAGATCATCATGTGGCATTTCATCCACTATACGCCAAAACATGTCTCACAATAACACAGACAGGACTTCCTAAAATACTGCTCAGTTCTTAAGCCACATTTATGTTAATTTTTTTTTAATTTGTACGGATTTTTTGAGGCATTTTACAGAAAAAGTTAACATAGACAAAAGTATTGTTTGTGTTGTACTCACAGTGTACGGCAAGAGGGTGATGAGCATCATGCACACCTGTCACACACACACACACACAGACATAGACACACACAGACACACACAGACATAAACACACACAGACATAGACACACACACACAGACACACACACACAGACAGAAATAAAGCTGTATTAGATTTCACACACAACATTTTTATTCACAGACTCTTCAAAATGGAATCTTCACATATTTAAAGTGTAAAGCTGCAGTGTTGGCGTCACTCACCAGGTTGAAAAGAGCGAGGGAGTCGTCTATCCGTACGATCACCTGGAACAGTCTGCAAAAGAAGAGTATAATAGTGTTGTCATTTTCAAACTTATGTGCACCAAAAGACAAGAACCATTAACTGGATACAGAAAAATAGCAATTCTCATTTGGTTCCAATCCCTCTCACACATACACACACACACACACAGACACACACACACACACACACACACACACACAGGCACTCTCTGACCCTACACCTTTCTCTCATCAGGTGCTTTGTGCGAAGGGGAATTGCTCTCTTTCCTCTGTGTATGCATGTTATAAAGTTCCAAAAGACCCATTGATTCTAAAGTAGTTTTGTAAGCACACATATGTTTGCTGTCTTTGAGTCTGTAATTATGATGAGCCTCCCTGTCATGGAACAGGTTTTGTACATTAGATTCAGAAAGCTGCCAGATGCCCTAAATATTTTATGTATTTTAAAGTTAACCAAGTCTTGCAGCTTAAAGAGCGACTAAACACCAAATCAACTTTTTTTTACTCATAAACTGCATAAGTATGTTTATTGTAGTGCTGTCTACATATCCTGGTCATTTTTTTGACATTTTAGTTCAAATTAGATAAAATATCACTTTTGAGCCAAAAAACGCTGTGTGGCGCCCTCTCAACCTTTTTGGTGGTACTACATTTGAATTTGGTTCTGGCCTCTCCATTGACTCTGAAGTTCTCTATGACATCAGTTGTTTTGTGTGACGTCAGTCTGTCAGAGCCAGTGATGTGAACCCATTCAACTCTCACACACGCCCCAGCTGCAGTTTGGAGTATTCTGGCGCCATCTAGTGGATTAAAATTAAATTACATGAGTCATTCTGAGATTATTGAGTGTGATTAGGTTCAGGTGTGTAGCTTTACAATTATTAAGTGTGTAAACAAGGGTGGAATGAGACTTTCTGGTCTGTAAACTATTGCTTTAAGCAGCAATGACAACTGTCTGTTTTTTTTAGTGAGACAAGTGAGCTGTCAATCACAGCCCAGACCACGCCCAACTCTAAGCCCCCCTTCTTGTCCCTTGGTCCTCGGCAACGCCCTTTTTAGAGAACATTTTCAAATCTTCATGTGGGCGGAGTCAGGCTGGGCAAAGGTGTTTAGTCGCTCTTTAAGTTATTTTGTTTCTATGATCAATGGGTTTGAAGGATAGAATTTTATAATCCAAATGGCCTGTTTTTCAAGGCGATTAAAGGCTGTAAGTGAGATTTATTCAACAGTTTCTCATTTAAACACTAATCATGAATGAATGATACAATAACATTAGAGCATTGGTGTTTAGTATATTCAGCCTACACAATAACACACAATAACACACAATGCCAAACAGCTGAACCAGGGGCATAAAGCCGGTCCTCAAAGGGCTGTGTGGGAGCAGGATTTCAGTCCAACCAGGCAGGAGCACAGCAGACTCCACCCATTTCCTCAGGCCTTCAGGTTAAATCATAGACTGTATATATTAATGGACAGAGTCACGCCTATCTCCGCCGTTCTAACCAATGGGCCAAAAAATTTGCTCTACTGGAGCAATCCAAAATGGCCACGAGTGGTCCCGCCCACAAGAAAATGGTGAAAAAACGCATCTGCGCATGCGTCAGCCGGCGCAGCTCCATTCATTTGAACGAGAGACTTCAAAAATTCACAGCGAGTAAAATAGAGTGGACCAAAAAAAATCCACCCCCCTCAGCATTGACACACATGTGGAACGGAGCTTTGGGCCAAGAGCCAACTTTTGGTCCATCCTGTAAAGACGTGTTCGAGAGGTCTGCCAACGCTATATGTTAGCATTGGCTAATTCTTCTTCCGGGTCCACCCCCACAGGCCCGGGGGGTATTGCAGCATGTCAGCGCACGTCATTTTGGCCACTTTTGAGCCGGGACCCTCCCCCACTGGTTAAGACTGGACTCACTGGAGGAAATGGGTGGAGTCCACTGTGCTCCTGCTTGGTTGGACTGAAATCCTGCTGCCACACGGCCTTTTCTGGAACCAGTTTGACCCCTTGAACTAAATCAAAGTGGAGAGTGGGCGGTACCTGCTGTGCGCGGCCCAGGCCATGGACACGATCAGGAATGTCATGAGGAACACTGCGATCTTTGTGGACAGCAGCACCTGCAGACTCTGCCTCAGCTCCTGGACACACGGCACTCAGCAAAACACTGTGGAGCTTTGGGAAGTGGCATCAAATCTAAACCCAGTTATCATTTCAGTCAACAACCAAGGAGATGGATCTGTGTTAGGCTGTACTGGGTCCTGTTAAACAGGGAAGGGCCTGGTTAGTACTGTGATGGGAGACCTCTGGGAACAACAGGTGCCACAGTGGGGCGGCTGCGGTTGTAAAGTGCCAAACTGTCGTTGTGTCCTTAGGCAAGACACTTCACCCACATTGCCTGGAATGAGTCTGGTGTGTGTGAATGGTTGGTGGTGGTCGGAGATGGCACAGACTGGTTGCCTCGCTTCTGTCAGTGTGCCCCAGGGCAGCTGTGGCTACAGTAGTTCATCACCACCGTGTATGGACTGAAATATTAATGACATGGAAAGCGTCTTTGAGTGTCCAGAAAGGGCTCTATAAAACTGATGCTTTATTATTATTATCAGTAATAACTTAGATTGTATAGAAGTTGTACCGATTTTAACCTGTCTCTTTTGGGAGACACTGCCACTCTGTCCAGGTACTATGGTTGAAGAGAAGCTGTAGGACTAAAATAAATGTATACTATAGCTTTGTTTCCACCGGCTCGGCTCGGCTCTACTCTGCTCCACCCAGGCGGAAAGTGTGCGTATGTGTATGTTGACTATGCATAACTCACACAGACGAAGGAATTTTACCTCGTTTGTCTCCACCGCAGTGTGAGCCACAGGCAGGATCTGCAAAGAGCAGTGTTAGAATACTGTATTCTGTAAAACTGAGGCACATGGAGGAAGGACAGAAGCCGAAACCACTTCCTAATGAAGACATGCACAATCTGATAAGATCACCAACAAATGAACAGTCCAGGATCACTGTTATAAGTTGATATTGGATTCATAACCCTAACCTTTAACTATTCTTAACCATAACCATGGTCACTTTGACAGTGATCCTGGACTGTTGAATACTGGCTGATATCAGATCATGGAGATATTTTCAAAAAGGTTTGCAAAACTCAAAAGCTCCCATGGATAAAGTACTGTATGGCTCACCACAGGAGAGCGGGGTCTGATGACGTCTCCTGGTGAGTCATAAACACATCATTAATGGGAACTTCAGAGTTGTTCCGTTGAACACTTTGTCCTCTGGATCTGCTCAAGTCGGGATTAGGATGTGTGTCTACTATAGTCTCTACACTTTCTATGGTTCATTGCAAAACATTGCAAGGGAGATAGGGTTTTTTTTCTTCTTGTACAAAAATGCAGTTGTCTTCTATGGAACAGACCAATATGAAAACTGTTGAAATAAAGTTAAATAATACACCCAGACCTCTGGACCAGGGCTCAAGCATCACACCATATTAACCTCTGAGCCAGATCTGACCCAGGTCTTTCTAAGACAACAGAGTCACATCTCACCATGACTGTGGCGATGATGGAGATGAGGGCGTCGCTATAGGCCAACAGTCTGTGGGAGGACTGGCTGCTGCCCGCGGACTCATGCCCCGGGTCCAGGTTTGGGTCTGGATTTGGGTCTGGATCCGGATTTGGGTCTGGGTCCAGGAGCTCGGCATTGGAGAGGTCGCAGCGGGCCATGGTGCAGAGGACAGCTATATTATATTACTGTGGAGGAAAGGATGAAGAGGAGAGGAGGAGAGGAAGAGGAGAGGAGGAGGAGGGGAGCTTTGCTGCCGTCATGGTGAAAAATACGGACTCAGTAAAAAGCAGTCGTCCTCATGTCTCACTGCTCCGTGTTGTTGGTCCCAGAAGAGGCCAATGTTCGGGACGTAAGGCTGAGAAGCAGGAAGAGAGATTTAAGCTGAGTTCTGGTCAAGTGTTTACAAACACCAACCCGGAAACCATCTGCGGTACTGCTGCGCATGCGCATCAGAGAGTCACGCCATGTCAGAAATAATACTTATTTGGGTTATTGACATGGATTTATAGGTTATTGCTCAGTAAATAATACAGTTATTCATATGGTTATTTATGGTCTATGTCAGTGGTCAGTGCAAAAACACTCTTTGCATTATTATATATGTTGCCCTTCCCCGTACCTGCCAGCCGTGTGTTACATTAGTCTTTTCATGTTTTTATTATTTGTTTTCTGGACTCCCTGAAGTCCACGCTTCATGTTTGTGTGAGGTTCGCTCTGATTGGCTGCGGACAGAGTGAGCTGCGGTGAGGCGCGTGGGGGCGCGTGCAGGCGCGTGCGGGCGCGTGGCGGAGGGAGAGCAGCAGAGATCACAGGGTAAGATACATGTGTGTGTTTGTGTGCAGTATATACATGTGTGTGTTTGTGCGCAGTATATACATGTGTGTGTTTGTGTGTAGTATATAAATGTGTGTGTTTGTGTGCAGAATATACATGTGTGTGTTTGTGTGCAGAATATACATGTGTGTGTTTGTGCGCAGAATATACATGTGTGTGTTTGTGTGCAGTATATACATGTGTGTTTTTGTGTGCAGTATATACATGTGTGTGTTTGTGTGCAGTATATACATTTGTGTGATGTGTATGTGCAGTCGACATGTGTGTTTCTGCACAGTCCCGGGACAGACGCTCCGTACTCGAGCCGATCCACGTCCCACAGGTGGCGCTAAGAACTCTGGGAGTGATTCCAGCATATGCATATGTGATGTTATGTGACATTATAAACTTTCTCTTGTGTCTCTCGCCTCGTACAGCCGCAGGGTGTATATGGTTCTCCTCCATGAGCGGCAGGTCTGACTTCACCCTCTCTCCCCCTCACCCCCTCACCCCTTTCCTCCAGGACATGGGCCAGATGGAGCTCTGCTGCGGCTTAATCCAATGTCATGTCCAATCTAATGCTGTTGAAGGCATTTACTAATAGCCATAACTGTTCTGCTGTCGGTACTAAACTGGAATATAAATGCATACAGCTGCCACAGATAGTGGTACTATCACAAGTATGTCCCTCCACCATTGAAGACTGTGAATATTACGAAGGGTCAGCCTCACATGTGTCAGCAAGTGCATTGTGTTTGTGCGTGTCTGTGTGCGTGCAAGACTTCAGATTGCACAGTGCGTGCAGTGGACCTTATGTCATTAGGGGATGGAGGAAGATCTGACCTGGTCCATCCTGGCTCCTCGTCAGTGTTTAACCCTGTGTGTGTGCGGTGTGTGTGTGTGTTGTGTGCAGGGCTGTTGTGGAAATTCTTTACATACCGAGAGTAAGATAATGTAAACAACCCAGAGTTGTAATTACAATCAAAGTGTGAGTTTATTCATTAGTAAATGTGCACAATTACAATGAATAACAGAACCGATACCAATACCACCTGCAGCCGTCTGAAACCAACTTCCACGAATGAGGAAATGATGGACATTAAATAGACCAGAGTAAACGAAGACTACTCTAGATATTATTATTTTTTTTTTTTATCTTTATTTGAATTGGGACAGTGCACATTCATCAACATGTGTTTTTAACATGTAAATGTGCCAGAGTTAGCCATGTAGGCTAATTTTCATCCGTAGTCCCATGGCAGGTTGATATTAAGACAGATAAAGCATACAACAGACACACACAGACACACACATACAAACCCACACACAGACACACACCATCACAGAGACATAACAAAACAGGGTATGTAACATTTGGTAAAATATGTAAAATAGATACATTAGCACAGATAAAAGATCAGAGGGACAATACACAAGACACCACAGTTTTCCATACAGCAAAGTATCAATGGTTGTGACTTTAAACCATATGTTCACATTTTTGATTGTCCACATATTACATAGATGAAGTCAACATTGATACGTGTTGCTCAAGGCTTCTCTTTACGCGTCCTAACGCTGATACAACTCTGATATATGTAACAATCTGCTTTTGAACTGAACATATTGTTCTATGACCCAGGTCAAAGACATGATGCAGCACGTCTCCATCTATCACTGACCTGAGCCAACAGAGCATTATGGCCTGTATCTGAATCCAGAGTTAATAACTTACACTCATAACTATTTGGTGTTAATTCAGGTTGATTTACTAAAATATTTCTATAACAGGGCCATGCCTCAGAGCCAGGAGGGCACCGACGGTCTGTGTTATCGTCACAGAAAACTGGTGTCAGGGTCTTTAGAGGCGCTCATCCAGCACCTGCTGCCCACTCCACACTACTACCCAGACGTGAGTCCTGCTCTGAGTCACATCTGACTGATACTGTACAGAGAGAGATAGTGACACATTACTTAATGAGCCTGGAAATCCCTGGAAAACATGTTCTATAACTTTAAACACAGCTATTTCAAAAACTTTAGCAGAACCTTTCTCAGCAGTATTGCAGTTTTTCTTTCAGATCATAAACGTAATGTCAAAACTGTTCTTTCTGGGAGGATTAAGTTATTGCATCTGTGTTGTTATTGCATCTGTGTTGTTATATACTGTATCTATAGAAATCTATTTACTTTACTGTGAACGGCTTAGTGTTAGAGATTTGTTCTTAATGTGTGTGTTTGTATGTTTGTATATATGTTTCTGTGTGTGTGTGTGTTTTGCAGAGCTCCTACAGTTTCACCTTTCTCCTGAGTTCCCGCCTTTTCCTCGCTCCACACGAGCTGCTGCAGCGACTGAGTGAGCTGTGCAGTCACAAGGTGAGAGACACACACACACAGATGAGACACACACACAGGTGAGAGACACACACACACAGATGAGACACACACACATGTGTGAGACACACCTCTCATCTCTCTATGTTTGCAGAGCACACTGAAGGACATCGGCCCCAAAGTCATGCGTCTGCTGACAGAGTGGACCCAGATGTTCCCCTGTGACTTCAGGGACGAGAGCATGTCCCGCAGCCTGAGGACACTGTCCCGCAGGCTGCTGTCTGCTGACCAGGTCTGCCCAGCACCGTCATAATAATAATAATAATAATGTGTGTGTGTGTGTGTGTGTGTGTGTCCTCATGTCGTCCTCGTGTGTCCAGGAGCACAGGGCGGGCCTGGTGCGCTCTCGCAGGGCTCTCCTCTGCGCTCTGTCCCGGAGGCTGGCTGTGCTGGCTCAGTATGAGGAGGCTCTGGGACACCTCCAGGAGGCAGAGCAGGACCCTCTTCCATCCCCTAAAGTCCAGCCCCTGGAGCTGACCTCCTCCTCTCCGTCCTCATGGGCCCAGCAGCTCACACACATCGAGCTGGTGAGACCACTGCAGCTTCAGGACAATCATTCAGTTGTCATCGATGAAGCAGTCTTCATCATCACTGTTCAATAACTCTGACTTATAATAACTATAACTTGAAGACTGCTCTGCACAGATAAAGGATTACTTACTTACACAGGGACAGTGGGTTAAAAAGGCTCCACTGCTGTTTTAGGAGAGACTGTCGTACGTGGAGCCGGAGGAGTTTGTGGAGGTCTTTATGTCCAGAGGAGCAGAGGACGGTACAGAGGTGAACACACACACACACACACACACACACACGTACACACACATGCTCAAACGCACACACCTACACACAGACACTTTACAAATAGAAAGTCTGTAAACATAAGGATGGCTTCACTTTTTCGGTCGATCATGTTTGTCCTTGAAGTGGTTGTGAGGTTGTTCTGGCGTGTGCAGGGAGGTCACAGCCCCCGGAGCCGCCCCCTGCAGGCGTATGTGCAGTGGTTCAACAGACTGAGCCTCCTGGTGGCCACAGAAATCTGCCTGGTGAGATCTTATCTACTTTATATGCAACTTTTTGAGGACTTTCCCCGTTGAACATTATATTATAGGTCACTTTGAATCATTTATTATATCCTTCAAAATATCAATTCATATATATCATTCAGAAAATTATTGAAAATATTGCTTATTTCGGCTTATTTAGTGTCAATTCCGTTCATAATGATGCAGAAAAGTCGATTGGAATTATAACTCTATGTCTGTGTATCTGATGTCTGTATTATATTATTTGAGCCATGTATGGAGTGAGAGACAAATGCCCACAACAAATGCAAAGCGTTTTGTGACACTGGTCTGTGAAATGCAGTATATAAATAAAGAGACTTACTGCCTGTCCTTCCCTCAGCTGCAGAAGAGGAAGCAGCGAGTACAGGTGCTGGACTTCTTCATCGACGTGGCGCAGGAATGTCTCAACATCGGCAACTTCAACTCCCTCATGGCCGTTATCGGTGAGCTCAGGTCCATACTCGTGTTTTTATAATGCTAACTTTTCAATCTGGATTTTCAGACTAGATAAGAGTCAATACCAATCCTGATCTATTGTTACAAAAATACCAAAAGTGAAGTTGATCTCTACATTAACGTTTAGTGTTTTGTTTGTGGCTCCTGCAGCTGGGGTGAGTATGGCTCCTGTGTCTCGTCTGAGGAAAACCTGGAGCCGCGTGAACAAGGACAAGTTCACTGTCCTGGAGGTAACGTCGGGCACATTCCACTTCTGCGATGTACACAAGCTCTGATCTTAAGTATTGTTTACATATTTAAAAAATATACATATGAAGTGGATTTATTCACACAAACGTTATTCTTATTGAGATTTTGTCCCTTTCGTCTCCCCAGAGCCTGATGGATCCTTCAAACAACTTTTCCCACTACAGAACCGCTCTGAGAGGAGCCACTCAGCGCTGCCTGAAGGCACAGAGCCCCCACGAGAAGGTCACACACATATATACACACACGCACACGCACATATACACACACACACACACACTCACACACACACACATACACACACACACACACACACACACACACACGCGCACACGCACACATACACGCACGCGCACAGACACACACGCACAGACAGACACGCACATATACACACACGCACACACGCAGACAGACACGCACATATACACACACGCGCACACACGCACAGACAGACACGCACATATACACACATATACACGCACACACGCACATATACACACACACGCACATATACACACACACGCACATATACACACACACGCACAGACACACGCACACACACGCACAGACAGACACGCACAGACACACACGCACAGACACACACACACACACACACGCACACACACACACACACACACACACACGCACACACACACACACACACACAAGCACAGACACACACGCACAGACAGACACGCACATATACACACACACACACACACACACACGCACAGACACACACGCACATATACACACATACACACACACACACCCATATAGTTCACTCTTTGTACAATGATTATGTCCTGTTACAGTCTTATTATCCATGTTTTTGAAGTCGTATAAGTAATATTTCTCGCTCTGTTCACACACGGTGACTGAAGCTTATATCACACCTGTTGCCATTGGACCTTCACGCACAAGGCACATTCATATTCAGTTTCTTTGTCTAAACATGTATCTGTATTATCTGTATTATTGAGAGAAAGTGTTTAGTATTGTGGAATCATTCACTCTCATTGGGCTTTTGTGAGATGCCAAAGCAAGGTCACGTTGTTTGCGCTACTTTCAGAGTACTAAAAAGTACCTTATACAGGGCCAATGGAAACACTTCCAATCGGGGTAGAGCCAAGTAGAGTAGGGACAAGAAGGGCTGGTGGAAATGGGGCTCTACTGTGACTGTATAGTGAACAGTATTCTTCCTTTGCAGATGGTGATCCCGTTCTTCAGTCTTCTGCTGAAGGACTTGTACTTTCTGAACGAGAGCTGTGCTTTGAGACTGGACAGTGGACACATCAGCTTCCAGGTAGCACTCATCTCACACCTGCCCTCAGATCACATCTGGAAACTTGTTTTGGGTTTCCTTGTGGTAATCATAATCTTGAATAAAGTGTAATCCCTCCTCGTCCAGGAGTGATCCATTACAGAGAAAGTTGTCCCGGGTCCACTCTGCTTTTCAACATGGGTCAGAAAATATGGGTACACTGTTTGACAATGCAACAATAAAAGCTATCAACAAAAGTTCCCAAAAAAAACAGCTTTACAGACCCTCAGCTGCCCCAAGTGGACGTCTTGTTTGTATTGGTTTGGCTCCTACAAGTACATTTTATTTAATCCAGGTAGAAGCAAATTTCTCTGAAGAAATCAAACCACAATTTACAGTCTTCTTCATCTTCGTACGTTCTTGGCCCCTGTGTATTTGTTATTATCGCATTTACTGTGTTTGAACTGTCGTGATTCTCGGATCTGTGATGGCGACTCGACTACTTTGTCAAGTCCTCAAAAGGAGACACTAGTTAGAGGCTTGTACAAATGTTGTTGACTGCTAAAAAAAAAAAAGTATTGCAATAAAAAATCCAGATCTAAAATACAATACGTGAATAAACAGGGTATAAAGACATGAATTAAAATAGACATAGCATCGACAATGACAGAACAGAGATACACACATGATACACACATGATATGACACATGATACACATGAGGGCAGGCCGTCACAACAGGAAGTAGAACTAAAGAATTACAAAATAAAACTATGGCCCTGTGTTTATAGAAATGCTGGGAGCTGGCCAAGCGTGTGAGCGAGGTGATGTCCTGGAGGAGAGCCCAGTGTCCGTTTGAGAAGAACCGGAGGATCCTGGCATACCTGCTGACCGCCCCCGTGTGCAGCCAGGACGGTACCTCCCCCTCACACTGTGGAACCGCCTTTCCAATGTCACTCTTTACCTGCTGGCACATATTATCAAATGACGGGTTGTCTCTGAGTTTGATCTCAATCTACTGTCCGTTTATGACTAAAAACATCCCCGCCATTTATGTTAGACCTCGGTAAATACCCTTTCAGATTCAGTCTCTTTTGCCTCCATTTAAGTCTGTGCCTAATGGAGACGGGCAACTTAATATATACAACCACATTCCACTTTAATCAATGAAACCAATAATGTAAGTTGTAATAATTTATCAAAACATTCCTCTAAAATTCTCAGACTTTCTTGGGCTTTGGTCCAATCCAAGTAAAACTCATTTTGTCCAAATTAAATTAAATTGTGACTGGTCTGGCCTCCATCAACTAAACAAAACAATTCTATCGACAATGCCGATGTACTTTTTCACACAACAAACATGAATTCAACAAGACACATTGTTGAATTCACATGTTTTCACTTTTCCACTTGTCAGTTCATTCATTCAAGTGTGTGAAATTGCTGCACAGACTGTAGTAATGAAGTAATCGAGTACATCACACACCTCTCCGGGACATAAACAATACCTCCTCTCCGTCCTTCCTTGTTCTTGAAATTTGCCTTTTGATGAGATGGTGAAGGCTTTTAGAATAAGTAACGTGTATATTTGAAATGAATTTGATAAAACAAAAACGTATCCAGGATGAGTTGAGTTCCAGAGGGGGCTGTGTGAGCTGACGTCTCCCTCCTCTGCAGCTCTGTGTCTGGCTTCCTACGAGAGCGAGGCCCCTGACAACCACATGGACAAGCAGCAGTGGAAGACTCTGAGGTATGATTCTAGTAGTTTCATTATGGGTTTTTGACTAGGTCTCAGTGAAAATGGTTCAACAGGCCACATTTATCTTCTAGAAATCTATTTGGGTTGGAGGGTAAGTGCCAACTCAACTCCATGAAAAGAACCTGCTTTTGAAAGAACTAGGGGAAAAACAGAATTGTCCAAATGTTCTCCCTGACCATTTGTCACTTTTTTTCATGTTTTTCTTCTTAGCATACGTCATGCACATGTTTTTTATTTTTTTATATAAATACCATTTATAGACATCTATGAGAAAGTAATCAGACCATAGTTTAGAGTAGCTCATTTATTTGTCTCCTACAACGTTAACAACACTGTCAATAACAATTTTTTCCCTGTCCCTAATTTGGTTTAAGAAATGTTTTTAGTCAGGCAGTTGGCTTTAAACGGTTGATGTAGTCGGGGCAGTGAAGTGTGTTCCACCCAAGCATGGATCTATCCTATGTTCTTCCATGCATCTGCTTGCCTTGTCTCAGGAGTATCTGGTTTACAAACGTCCTAGTTTATCCCAACTCAATCAGAGCGCAAAGGTTTACATGCCTCTTGCTCAAAGTCAACTGGACCAAGGCGAGTGATCCGGTTTTCACTGAGCTTTGTTAATGTACTGAAGTCAAGAGAAGGCAAAGTTATTTGTATAGCACAGTTCATACCTGAGGCAACTGAATGTACTGATGTCTCCTTGTGCACAGGTCCAGTCTGCGGAACAAGGTCTGAAGCTGAGCAGTGTTTCCACAAGAGCGACATTCACAACCATGTTTTTGATCATGGACTGTTGAAACTAGTTTTACCCAAGTCACATCTGCTCATGTCCAACCAGGAAGTAGGCAAGGCCACTCTAAGGGATTAACAAAACAAGAAAGAATATTAAAATCATCCATGGCATTAAAATCATAAATATAGGAAGATACTGTTCTTCAGTTGGATGTACAGCTAAACAGAACTGTAGAAGTCTGCCTTATTTTCAGAAATACTGTTCCAGATTTTTGCTGCATACATCGGAAACGCAGCGATGTTTAGTCCTGACTGTGGGCACCAGCAGGAGGCCAGTCCCTGTGCTCCTCAGAGTCCCAGCAGGAGGCCAGTCCCTGTGCTCCTCAGAGTCCCAGCAGGAGGCCAGTCCCTGTGCTCCTCAATGTCCCAGCAGGAGGCCAGTCCCTGTGCTCCTCAATGTCCCAGCAGGAGGCCAGTCCCTGTGCTCCTCAGAGTCCCAGCAGGAGGCCAGTCCCTGTGCTCCCCAGAGTCCCAGCAGGAGGCCAGTCCTTGTGCTCCTCAGAGTCCCAGCAGGAGGCCAGTCCCTGTGCTCCCCAGAGTCCCAGCAGGAGGCCAGTCCTTGTGCTCCTCAGAGTCCCAGCAGGAGGCCAGTCCCTGTGCTCCTCAGAGTCAGTCGGTTCATATGGCACATATCACAGATGTACTTTGGTGCGAGGCCATGGAGAGACTTAAACATAACAATCATTCAGATAATGAAAGCACAGTGCAGTCAATCCTTTTATTGGAACAAACTTTTTACATGGACCACGGTGTCCGTTTAACTTCAATGTTTTATTAGTATGTGGCAGGAAGAACAATGTGAAAAAAAGAAAAAGACATGATGAAAAGATGATAGGGACACACTTATTTTCCTTCAAATAAAATTAAGCCATAAATTTAAATACTGCGTGTGTGGTTTATTATTTCATTGACTCCCGTAAGAATAGAAGGTTAGTGAGGAAAGACGCTTTCCAAAATGGATTGCAGTCGTCGCAGTTTCTGGACGTCAATCTTTGGTTCCTAAAGACAATTATGAAAGAGACTGTAAATGTTAAATCAATTGGATTGAATCAACTTCAGCAAGACACAGAGAAGGAATATTATTGTCCATGTCCTGTGATACTGTTGTAGAGTGGGCTGGTGGGTTTCAGTTCTACATCTGTCTTTCAGATATAATGACAGGTTTGGATCATTATAACACTATATTAGTTCAAGCTCAAAGTAAACATAGACCTTTTTTTCTATTTGTGTTAAAATGCATAATGAAAGTGGGTGGTGATGGTCGTCTTGAATGCAGGAAGTAACAAAATTCTTCCAAACACGTCAGACTCGTTCTCAGATGAGTTTGAACATGAAAAACTAATATTAAGTGCTCTATTTATGTATTTATTAATGAAGGACGAGTGGTGAGGGGAGACCGTTATTAAAATAGATCCATGGGGGAGACAAGTGTAATCCCCGCAAGGTGCAGGAAGGTACTGTGTGTTTGAATGTGTGTGTTTTCATGTATGTGTGTAAGTAGTAAGTAAGTAAGCTTTATTTATATACCGCCTTTCACAGACCAGAGTTACAAAGCGGTTTACAATTTTTGTTTTTGTGTGTATGTGTGTATGTGTGTGTGTGTGTGTGTGTGTGCGTGTGCGAATGTCCAAACCTGGATGATGTAGTCAAAGATGATGTGAGCCTCCTTCAGGAGCATGGTCAGCTCAGTGCTCCTGCTGCGCTCGGCCTCCAGACGTGTCTTTGGACCGTCCGTGTCGACCATTTTGGGACTAAGCTCAAAGTGAAAGCATGTAGTAGAGCGTGATGAGGGAGAGGTGTAGGGTCAGAGAGTTTGGTGTGTGTGTGCAAGTGTGCGTACTCTGTGGCAAGGCAAGTTTGTTTGTATCGCACAGTTTATACATTTGACAACTAAAAGTGCTCCACAAAACAAGCAAAGAAACATAAAAATCATACAAGGCATTCCAATAGACAAAAAGTTCCAGAGTTCAGCTGCATAAATCTGTAATACTGCCTCCCCATGTTTAGTCCTGACCCTGGCCAGTCCCTGTGCTTCTCAGTCCCTGTGCTCCTCAGAGTCCCAGTTGGTTCATATGGCACTAACATGTCACAGGTCTGTTGGTGCGAGGCCATGGAGAGACTTTGAAACAAACAGCGCTGATTTAAAGTCTTTTCTGAGCGTCTTGTGTTGTATAAAAGTTACAGTATGAGTTTCTCTGAGCGTCAGATTTGTTTAATGAGGTTAATATATTTGTATCCTGTTTTTTTTATTTTTCTCGTGTTCTGTACATGAGTGTTAAATATTTTTCTAATGACCAGTTGGTGGTTGTGAATCACACACCTCTTTATGCTGCATGAGTCCAGTTTAACAGGAGCAGTCAGATTATGGACCTCTTTTTGTAGATTCCTCTGCATTTTCGACAGCAATTTATTTTTCTGAAACAGGAAAAGCATGTTTTCTGTTAGACAGGTTTAAGCACTCAAATGAGGTGGTAACTGTAACTTCTTTTCAAATGTTGTACTAGTTTATCTGTGTCTGTCATTTGGTTTGAGTTTACATATAGCATTTTAAACCTAATGTGTCTCTATGGTCATGGGAGACGCACCCTTCTGTAGAGGTCGGTCTCAGCCTGGGCCTGGATCAGGTCCTGGTTCGTCTGCATCAGTCTCTGCTGCACCAGGAGCAGTTGTTGAATCCTCTCTTCCTTCAGACTTTTCACTCTCGGGAAAAGACCCTTGACGGCGAGCAGTCTGTCTCTCCACGTCTGATGGTTTTCTCTGAGATTCTTCATGGAGGAACAGAAGGCCTTCCTGAAATAGTGCTCTGTGTCCAGCTCTGTCTGCTTCAGGGCGCTGTGACGGAAAACAAAAGACAACAGTAGTGGTCGGTGTTTCTCTGTTTCGTTCACTTTTTAGTCAAAAGCAAACACAATTCTCTATGAAATGAAAGCTTCTCTGAATGATGTACAGGGACAACAGGCAGGTGGCTCCACAGATCTGACTGGGAACTGATGAAGCACCTTCCACCTGCTGAGACCTGAGACCATTACTTTGTCATTTCATGTTTTAGAATGTAGAAAATATATGGTTAAACTTGTGTGAAAGGTATTAAAGGCTTTCCACCTGTAACTCCCCGAGGTTTCTCACTTTTTTCCCACTGGGTTTTGGTGATTTCAATGGTTTTGTTAAGTCTCTGAGATGACTTCTGTTGTTATTTAGGGCTATACAAGAATAAATTGTATTGTATTGTAAAAGAGAAATTCAGATATTAGCACAGGTGGATCTAAAAACAACCCCAGGTCTGTGACTGATGAAAACGTTGAAATGATTGTGCATAACATGTGAACGTGAATACCGGACTTCTATCTCTGGATCCTCGACCTCCAGCTTCATCTCGGCTTCATGCGTCGTCTGCTTTTGGACCAGTTGATCTTTACACCACAATATTTGCCGCTGCAGCTCGTCCATAATGTCCGCATGCTTCACGTCTGTGGAGAAGACAAAACATTGGAACGATTTCAGAGGAAGTGTGAGTTTTAAACATTGAAATCTTTCTATATTGAACTCCATTGTACTGACTAAAAATAATGACATAATATTATTAACTTTAACCATGTCAGTGAAACAAGCATACAGTAAAATACCCAAAGGACAAGCAGTTTTTTTTCTATGAATTATAAACAAAAATGTCAATGTACTTAAAATAGCTTGTTCCATTGCAAAAAATCACAAAAATAAAGGTATTTTTTCTTATTCAAGCACAATGTAAGAACTCATTTTGTGTGTGTAAGTGTGTGATCGGTGAGTTTGTGTGGTTTACTCATGTCGGACAGCTCTGTTTCCAGTTTCTCCAGTGTAATGTCATATTTCTTCAGCTCTTGCTCGTTCTTCTCCCGGTCCCTGGCCTCCTCCTGCTGCTCCTCCTGGGCTTGTTCCTGGTACCGCTCACGCAGCTCCACCAGCAGCTTCTGCGTCTGCGTCAGCTCAAACTCCATGTACGCGCAGATGTCCTCCGTGTCTTGCTCAAGTAACAGACATTTTTCTCTGCTCAGTTTCACAGATTGTTCCTTCTGCTCAATGGACTTCTTCAGCCTGTAAGTGGCAGAGGAGTTTGTAAAAAGGGGCTCTGTTAAAGGATTTTCTATTTCCGGGTGGATCATCGAGACTATTGGTCTTCCCAGTTGTCAATCATCAATCATTCAAGACCAGAGAGTTTTGTTCAAAAAGTGGAGAGGGCGGGTCTTTCCTAAAATTGGGGAAAATTCTCCTATAATACCTTTAAAACAGCACACAAAGGACAGGGGAACTACACAATAATGGTTTCTGTATTGACTTAATACTAACTTATCAACCATTGTGTTTGCAAATTGTATACACACATGTTTGTTACTTACGTGGCAATAAAAAAACAAAAAAAACAAAAACAAATTATTCTGATTCTGACATCCAAGCCCTGTTTCCACCAGCCCATCTCTACTCTATCTGGCTGTGTTTCCATCACACTTTAGTATCTGGTACCGCATCCTAGCAACTGAAGAAAACGTGGGTCTGGGGTCGTATCACAGACTGAAGACATGTTTTATTGATGTTTAAACGACAAGTGGTTTCAAAGTATGGATGAATCGTAGACGCTCCAATCAGCAGCTGCCAGGTGCCAGTAGCTTCGGCCTTCAGATAACCAAAAGATTCAAGTGGAAAATTACCAGAATGCATGCAGTGTTATTAGACAAGCGTAGGTTTAACCAACATTGCTTGAAAGTGTTATAAAATATCCGTATAACATTGAACCATACCCACAGTATTCACAGAAATGTCTTGGTAACCATAGCTTCTTCCAGCAGTGTTTTGGCCAATCTCTGCCAGTTGAAATACTTTGGTAGCAGCTCGGCCAGGTTAGAATCAGGGCAAAGCAGGTAATAAAAAAGTAATGGGCCAGTGGAAATGCTCCCAATCGGGCTAAACCAGAGCCAAGTAGGGCTGGTGGAAATGGGGCTTTTAAACTTTGATCTCACAAAGGAGAAATTTACAAAATATGGGCCATGTTTCTCCACAGTTAACATTGATTTTGTTTTTGTGAATCTGTGCCTATGGTTGAAACAGTTTCCGTAGCTAATATTAAACGGCTTGTACGTTAGTTTATAACGGGTCAAAAGTGCACCTTGAGGTTTCGTCCTGCAGATGGCGTATTTGCTTCACGCACAGCAACTCAGACACCTTTTCTTCATTAGTAGCTGACATTTTATCCGTTTTGATCCAAGTGTAGGACAGGATTTTTCTTGCGTTTATGAAGCCTTGTCGAAAAGGACATTAACGGTTTGTGTTCTGTAGCCATGGCAACAGGCGGCCATCGGAGTTTGACGAATACATCAGCCCTGGATTTTTTCTGGTAAAATAGTGTTCATGTGTAGTTTGTCCTACTGTACTGACATTTAACAAATACCCATGACAATAGATATCAGAATTGTCATGTGTTACTAAAAGCTTACCATACAATACTAAAGATTGAAAAAACCTGCCCATTCAATATGTTCCAAATACACCCTTCACTTTCATTACTGGTTTAACAATAGCATGATCTTTTCAACTGACAGACCTGAACACAGCAGAGATTCACTTCATTACAAAACGAAGCCACGGGCAGACAGTCTTTTCCACAAATATTTTATTTGAACATTACAAACAGGCTCAAGCTTTGACTGCAAATTTGCGGACTGAGTAGAGGAGGTCTTTCTTCTGCTGCTTCTTGGTGCGCAGGCTCTCCTCGTGTTTGTTGAGGCGGCGACGCAGCGCTCTGGTCTTCTTTGGCCTCAGGTCCAGGGGCTTGTACTTTTTGCCCTGCACAGAGTTAATACAAATATGTCAGACATGAAATTTGACATAGACAAGTGTAAACCTATTAGTTTTAACCCAACTAATTTCATTTTTAAAGCACACAGCACTAAGTTGCCAGCTCTGTTTACACCGACTGCAAGAGCATATTTTACATCTTAAATATTGTTTCAAGAACCCCCATAAAGGAACATTCACAGAACTTTTTAAGATGTGTCTGTAAATGAAGCAGTCAGTTATAAACATGCAGCACTGAGGTCATCAGGTCTCAGTCTTTTGGTAAGCATTGTGAAAGCGTCAGTAAAACATCTGCCACAAGTTGAAACATCACTGACGAGAGAACCAAGTGTGCACCAGGCCTTAGGTTAGAAGGACCGGGACCTTTCAGACAGCTCACCTTGTAGAACTTCCTCAGGTTCTCCTTCTGAGTCTGGTTGATGACAGTCAAAACTCTGGCGATGGATTTGCGGACGACACGGCTGAAGATAAAAAAAAAAAAGGGAAAAGATTTATTCTGCACTCGTCAATTTAGAAAGCCTGGTGTCCAAATCAAATATTTGTCAAGATCATAGGTGAAAAGTGCTTCTCTTTATGAGAAACATTCAATCTTATTGCAATATTGCTCCAAGAACCCCACTCAGAGAAAACCTTAAGATGTAGATGAAGCAGTCAGTTATAAACATGCAGCACTGAGGTCATCAGGTCTCAGTCTTTTGGTAAGCATTGTGAAAGCATCAGTAAAACATCTGCCACAAGTTGAAACATCACTGACGAGAGAACCAAGTGTGCAAAAGGACTGAGGTTAGGACAGGGACCTTTCAGACAGCTCACCTTGTAGAACTTAATGAAGTCATGAGAATTCAACAAATATCAAATACGATGTCAAGAGCTTGTCTTACAGCACCAGATAGTGGTTGTTGACAATATTACTACCCCACAAACTCAACCAGACTCACCTCAAATTTTTTGTGGCTGAGACAGCTAAATTTAAATAAGCATTGCACGCTACATGGCACGCCACTTCTCATTAAACAGCAGTTAATATTCATAGTTTACCCAATATCAGAACACTGCATCAGTAACAGGCCAGAGGGACATATGCACTCACATCTTTGAGAGCTTGGAAGCGGCTCCTCCGGTCACTTTGGCCACACGGAGCTGAGACAACTCATTTTTCAGATCGTCCAGTTGTTTAAGCAGCTCCTCCTTTTTCTTGCCCCGCAAATCTCTAGCCTTGATTTTGGCCTGAAAATAAAATGAACACAAGACAATTAATTAAACTGAACTATAATATGGAGAGTAGACAAACATGTGTCGATGACAGCTCAGATAAAGCTGGATAAGATAAGGACAGATGCAGTCAAATACGTTACACACTGAACATAAAACATAATCATTGGGTTTAAATTAAGGCCCAATGTGTTTCGTTGACGAGTCTCATGCACACGGTTAGCAACTTAGCTGCTAGCACGTCTGACGAAGAACAGGAACATATTTTTATTGCCTTTAACGACAATTCACTCATCAAAAGACGTCTGTGCGTGTAGCTAAACTCCTTATAGAGCCGTATTGAATATGATAACGGGCTTAGGTCACTGCTTTCTGCTGTAAAACACACATTAGTAAGACCTCTGTGCTCAGCTCACCATGTTCGTGTCGCTGCTCTCGCGGAAAGGCCGTACGCACCGCGTGCGATCTTAAAGCCACTTCCGGGAGAGTCTTCTTCTACGGGAAGCAGCGTCTACAGCAGTGCGCCTCTGGTGGTCACTATTTTATTCATTTTAAAAGTTTATTAAAATGTCTTGAACATGAAACCAACACAAATGCATCCAACCCTAATATTTATAGTATATGATCCTAACCCCCGACTGTGAGACTAACGTGGAACTATAGTCAGAATCAGAATTATTAGAAGTAAATAATTCTATTATAAGTAATATAATTATCATTACGTTACAAACTAGAAATGCGTTTTCTGCTCATGAAGTAAACCAGTTATAAAAGTAAAAAAAAAAATTTGATTTAAAGGCACACACACAGAAATGTCTACTTAAAACAAGTGTACACTAAGTACACACAAAAGACATTTAACAGTGCAGGTTATGAAGTGTTCATGAGTCAGACTGCAGAGGGGAAGCAACTGTCCTTATGGCGGGAGGTTCTGGTCCAGACGGACTGTAAGCCTTCTGCCTGAAGGAATAGTCCTACTACTATTTGCGCGGCAGTAGGACATTCAATTAATGTTATTAGTTAAACAAATACAGAAGAAACACATTTGTCTTTGCCAAAGTCATTTTAACTCATCAGAGCCTTGCACAAGAATGTGTTTAGGAATTTTTTTGAATCCTAACTACATGTACAATGGATAGATTCATTTTTACTCTTTATCAAATATATTGTCTAAGTATTAAGCATGTTGGAGATATGAAAGGCAGAATTCAAAATACTAAAAATCCCAGTTGCAAATGTACAACCTTTCATGAAAGACAGTAAGACAAAAGTTCGGTTTAAAAAGTGCATTGTTTACTTCATTCTCACAGAGACAGTAGAAACAATTGCCATCGTTATAAAATCAGGTTAGTATAGAATAAGTGTTTCTTAATCTTTCCAAGGCATTGTTGCTTGATTCAAGGCAGATTATTGGAAAGTTACAGTCACATATGATTTAATGCAATCCAGGAAAATCAACAAAGAATATTCACCAGAAAATACATAATTGTAGTAGGCTGAAGAGTTTATGTGAGAATATTAAATGCATAAGTCTCAATCTTCACTTAAGATAGAACTTTTACCCACGCATGTACAAATATACACCTCTGAATTAAATAACACACAAATAACAAAAAGAAAATCATTCTCTAAAGCAACAGAAATGCAATTTGGTGAAATTATCAGCCTAAGATTAAGATGTCCAAATCCATTACATCTTCCATACAGTTCTCAATGCATACAATATGTACAATTATACACTTGGAATGTACATTTGCAGATAGAAGGTAGTTCCCATTTCATTTACAAAGCAGTCACACAACATTTCGTCATTCACGTTTGTGTTAAAAGAGCCTACACCGAGTCAAGTGTGCATGTGTAGGCTAATGCTTACTCTCTTTGTACATGCACCAAATGGCTACAGTTTGAGCCAATTCCTGATCAAATGTTAGCTTTTAGATCAGTTTACGATGAGAAAGGTCAGTCATCCAGTTTGCCCATACATGCGTGTTGGAAGGAAATGGTCCAAAGTCAGACGAGGAGAACATGCAAACTCCACTGAGCTGGTAGTCAGCTGGCCTCATCAGAAAACGTTCCGAAATGGATTATACTTTTGTTTCATAATGGCTTAAACAAGGCTGGATTCAAACCATTCGCACACGAGCATTCTCTTGCCTATAAGCTATTTTCACTGCTAGTTTTGGTAATTAGGAGAAAACTTTGTGTTCAAACAAAACCAGATACTTCTCAGCTAAAATGCTAACCAACAATGCAAATATTAAAGCTGGGATACCTGATTTTCACCCTGCGTAATCTAACTGGCTATCAATACAGTTTGGTTCATCTAGTTTTAAAGAACGTGGTGATTTTACCCTTGAGAACACCTTTAGACTTGCTTTATCAGCCAGAAAAGTGAAATGGAGTTAACCCTCTCCTGGTCTCAGCCCAAAGAGTCAGATACGGACTAAAAAGGGCACACGTTTGGAATAATGAAATGTTTTCCATTTAGATGATTGCAGGAATAGTCTGATTTCTAGTGTGGAAAAACAATTGTTTGAGGGGGGGAAGTTAGATACCAAGACTTGAATGTGTTAAAATAGTGCCATAATCGGAACTATTTTGCACATAAAAAATGAACGTGCCTTTACTTTTTCTTGTATGATGTTTTCCTACGTTCAATTTGGAGTTTTAAATATGTTTAGAATTATTTCAGATCTAGCAGTCAAATCAACAATAGGACGAAGGTGAAGTTCTTAAGTCCACGTCTTCTCCAGACTTCAATAATTATCCAGCTGTAATGCAAAATTTTTCATTCAATAGTTCCATCTTTTGGCATTGGTTTGAAAATGCAATAAACATTTTGATACGATAGAAAGTTAAATAGCTGAACGGCCAGTGTGGAAACAGTGTAGGGTAAATAATGACAATCTTTTTGCTAACCATAGTCTATGCAATTGTCCTATTTAAATAATGTTTTTTCCCACAAGCAGCAATTAACACGTCACCTTATTATTTCATCCGCTTGTTTCTGATAACTCTGATTGACTAAAACACCACACCCATAGCACATTCTCTTAAGATCCTCCAATACCTAAATGTAGGTAGTAAAACCCCCCGTTCAGACAGATATCCGAGTTGGAGTGAGGCCCTGGTGTCTCCACAGTGACACATGGAGCTTGTGGAGGCAGTAAATGCTTAAATGAAGCTACAGTCTGGTCCAAGTGTCTCTGCTCCATCAGCTCCAGTGTGAAGAGCTGCCGGAGATGGAAGGCCGGATGATACCTTTAGGAGAAGGCTTGGATCCAAACCAGGACATCTGAAGGGACCACAGAAACAAGCTGGTTAGTTAAAAGCAAGAGATTCCAACATTCCACTATCAGCATGTCAGCGGTCGAGACTATCTATGGAAGAATGTATCGACGATGACGTGAAACTAAAAAAACTAGACTTCAATACACACATAGTTTTAAGCCTAGCGTACATGGACAGAGTAACTGGAGACAAGTAGTTGCAAGGCGGCTTTTGGCAACTGAGAGGAGATGATGGAGATGATCAGTTGCCGAAATCGGTCGATGTGAGCGCGTCAGTTGCCCGTGTTCTACTTTTCGGCAACTAGTTGTCCTCAGATCCGGAGATATCACCCGATGTGCACAACAAGTGTGTATTGCGTGTATTGCGGCCTCTACAGTTTATGTCAGAAAACACACTGTAGTTGAGGCCAGTTGCTGTCGATGTACGTGCTGTTATTCCCGAGACTGGCCTGCTACAGGAGTTGCCCGTTTTTGCCAGATTGTCGATGTGTGCGGGGCAGCAACTCATAGGCGACGGATATAATCAGTTGCCAGTCCGATGTACGCTAGGCATTAGGTAATCTCCCAAAACCCCAAAGCTGTGATACATGCACTCTATCGAAAAGGCCTTAAGTTGGAGAGAATAGTTCCAACACTGGGCTAAACTGTATTTAGTGACTGAAAACTGAAAATCTGTTACATGGTCCCATCAGGGTACTGTATTCCAGTGTTTTTCAACCACTGTGCCGCGGCACACTAGTGTGCCGTGAGAAATTCGTCTACTTTGTCTAAAAATAACTGCATTCGCTGTTGACGAGCGGTGACTTGTTTTGAACTGTGGAGTAACCATGTAATACTTTTTCAAATCAGTAGATGGCAGCAGATAGCTAAGTACTTTGAAACTGAAAAATTGGATGCGACCACTGGCTGTAACAGGTCAGCATTGTGGCGAGAAAGGTAAAATTGGATGCGACCAACAAATGTGGGAGGGAGCGAGACAAGAGCTTTGTGGCGAGTGAGAAGTGAAAGTGATAGAGACGTTTTTGAAAATGAATTATGCCGTTTCTGAACAGGATTAACATCCTCCGCTCTGCCCCGGGGCAGCTGTGGCCGCGTTGTAGTGGTTTAACTATGAAATGTACAATTTTTGTACAACAGCTCTCGTGAACGCACTTCTGAACTGGGTACCGAGCGCAGACCATAGTCGAGTGGACAGAACCATAGACATGCGGACCGGACAGAACCATGGACTCGCGTTCAGGACCTCCCGTGTCCCTCATCCAAAACTCCTGAATTTAAAGCTCGGATACCTAAATTTTTCCCATGCACTAACAATGCATGTTCTTTGTGTGAGTTATTATTTGACTATTTGGGCAGAGAGTGGATTTTCTTAGTTTTTTTCCACACAGTTAGTGCCACTTTATTCCCAAACTCTTGTTAATTGTATCGAGAAATATTAAATAAAGCTTAATGTCAAGGCCTGGACTTAAGCATTTTGATTAGAATAACTGTATATTGTGAATATAGGCTACAGAGTATACTGTTTACATTATAAGATAAGATAAGATATACTTTATATATCACACAGAGTATGTACAGTATATATTTTTTTACATTAGTACTGTATACATTTTTACATTTTCTCCTGGAGGTGTGCCGCAAGATTTTTTCAGTGAAAAAAGTGTGCCTTGGCTCAAAAAAGGTTGAAAAACACTGCTGTATTCTGGTGCAATACAATACACAAATGTAAAAAAGTGGCATGATTATTATTGATACACGCTCGCATACGCCACTCAAAGTACATTTCTATAGTTTATGTAATACACTGCAGTCAATGACAACAACATATTTATGGTATTCAGATTCAATAAGGTATTCTGGGTACAAGTTACTCCTCAACACTCTAAGTATTGTAGCCCTTAACCTTGTATTCCAAAGTCTGCTTCAACAAATCTTCCTCTTCACGGGTGAAATTCAGCAGCACCGACACCGCTCTGATTAAATGGAAGGCCTGAAACAGAAAAGAAGTGACATTCTTTTATTGTTCATATTACAAGACAAATCTGCAAATGTATCTATTTAACACCATAATCCTTCAATAATTCAGTCATTTCCTCATTTTTGATACAACAAACTTAACAATACAAGAATCTATTTGGCCGTTCATCAACCGGCCTAAAATTCTAAGGCCGGTTGATGTAGCTCAGTTGGTAGAGCATTGGCCTTTGGGCCTGGAAGTCGTGGGTTCGAGCCCACCATGGGACCTACTATAACTGCTCCCACAAATGTCTACTGTTTTTGTGTCCTTAGGCAAGACACTTAACCCCAAGTTGCCTGAAGCCCCCGCTGAAAGACCAAGGCTGTTTCACCACTGACGGAGCAGCCATCTTCCTGTGGACTCACCCCCTGCAGAGGGTCAGCGAGGGACTGGTGCTATGAGCGTTGGGTGGCAGCTTTCATTGCCACCCCCCGACCCAGAAATGGACTAATGAATGAATGAATTAATGAATCAACCGGCTTAAAATGTTTATTTATAGAGAAAATATATATACAGTAAATATTGTTACTTTTGTTTTTCCCGTCATTACCCAAGTAAAGTTGATTTATTTGGAAACTGTGATTGATCCTGGAACCAGAGGAGCCTTAAGTATATGCTATAAATGGTAAGGGAAATCTGAAAAATCTACGTAGACATGAGGAGAACATGCAAACTCACTCAGAAAGGACCCACGCTGCCTGGGAGTCAAACCCAGGACCTTCAGGCAGAGAGTGATGACACCTCTTGCTTTGATTTTTGGCAAAAAGGTACAACAGTCGTTATAGTGAGGCTTTAAAACTGCCATTTTGATGATTGCGACCGTTCAAATTGTGATTTTGATTGGATTTCAGTGCATCTAGACTTGAACCTGCATCTACAGCCCGACAGACAATACACAAACACAAACGCATGAACAATACTAGAGTCCGCTGCGGTCACCTCGGCCTCTTTACAGGACATGAACTTGAGCACGACGTGTTTGAGGTATTCAAAGTTGATCTCCCTGGAGTCGTTGAGGTCGGACGTGTTGGTGACGGTGGTGGTGGAGGTCAGGGGGCCGGGGCTGGATGTGGTCGGGGGGTCTGGACTGATCCGTTCTTGTTTGTCCGCACGAGTCTCCCTCACGTCAGCGTCACTTTCAGGCTTCAGTTTCTGCAGAGAGGCAACAAGAGCGTCAACATCTGGGAACCTGTGTTTTAAAAAGTTTTGACTCTGGACTATGTCGATTTTTAAAGATGGTGTGGGAGACGGCAACATGCCAAAGTAATCTTTATTTATATAATGTAGCACATTTTTACAGACCAAGGTCACCCAAAGTGAGTCTTTAAAATGTTCAGAATTCACACGGAGATGACGGAAGCAAGACGCCAAACACACTGGAGCATCAAAGCCCCAATCAACACCATCCATTCACTCACTCGTTACATTCATACTTATCGTGCATGTTTTTAGTGGTTGGGGAAACCGGAGCACACAGAGGAAACTTACGCAGATATGGGTAAAAAAGGCAAACTCCTCAGAAAGGCCCTGTTCCGACCGGAATTCAAACCCACAACCGAGAGCGAAGCGATAGTGCTATCCATTCAGCCACCGTGCCGGCCAAAGACAACTTTTAAAGGCAAGAGCAGTGCATGCAAAAGCCCAAACTCTGAAGAGATTTAATTTAAAAAAATGTAATGTCGGGTGAAAATGTAAGGTTATGTTATGCCAGTACCAGTCTGTAGAAAGGACAATATCTCACCAGTTCTTTCTGTAGAGTCCTCTTAAGCTCTGCCAGTCTCTGCTGTAACTGCTTTATGGTCTGTGGGAAAAAACAGCCACACTTGAGTAAAAGAAAAGAAGACAATATACTGTACAGCAGATGTCCGAGTCCTGGAGCTATAGTCCCTCTCTCAATGTGGGCCTCCTCCACGTTTCTCACCGTTCCTCACTGTTGTTCTTTTCCGATGCAGGAGGCTCTAAGGACAGTGATGATCCAGGACTTTTATGGACACTGGTCATCCCACTCCCTATGGACTTCTATGTGATTGTTTTTAATGTATTTCCGGTGTTTGAACTGTTTATCTGATCTGTTGTTAACGATTTGACTTCCTTGACAAAGTCCTCCGACACGACTGCTGTTGTGATTTAGTGAATTGAATAGAAGTTTGAAAATGTATGACTATATTTGAGACATCCTCAGAGCCATCTCCTCCCTCTCCATGTGAATGCGGTTGATAAGTCCACAAAGCCCAGACTGACCCGGTTTTTCTCCCCGAGCAGCTGCTCCAGGTCTCGGTTGATCTTCTGCATGTGGTCGAGGTCGTGCACGGTCACAGAGCCATTCTGTTCCTCCTCACAGACTTCCAGATGCTGCTGCTGCTGCTCAGTCAGAGTCTCCACCTCCACCTCCAAGAACGAGATCTGCACATGAACCAATAAACCAAAATAAGTTTGTTTGCATACGGGAAAGACCCTGTGATTCAGAGCTCAAAACTACTTTTATCTTATCTGTCTAAAAATGATTACAGTAATGCTTCTATGTGACTTAAATGCGTGTTAAAAACTTGTGATAGATCAAGATTTTGGTTCTAGGAATTTGTGAAATTATTTTTTAAAACTCTTTAAAACTACTCTTATATGTCATTTTAACGTAATGTAAATACACTTCTGTTCAATGTGTAACTTTGCTCCCGCTTGGTCTGGTTAAATAAAAGGTTAAATTATTTAAAAAATAAGTAAATATTATCAAGATCATTTTGTCAGGTCAAAACAAACCCAAATAAAGCACACTATTTGTTCTGTAAATGGTAAATGTCCGAACCCGGGCCTGGCTGGTGTCCAGCTGCTGAGTCTGGCCACGCAGCTCCTCCTTCAGACTCCACAGCTCTTTCTCTTTTTCCTCTTCACTTTGTCGAGTCTCAGTTCGATGTTTCTCCGACTCGTCCCTGAGCTGCTGCAGAGACTCCAGTCCACTCTGCACCTCTGCGCCACAAACATGCACAACATGAACGCACAAAATACAGTCCTGAGTAAGTGAGTCCTATTTATCTTGAGTTTACAATTTCTTCCCTGTTCAACTTAGACTACGAAAACCCATATATACAGGGCTAAAACTAGCCTGGTCGTACCACACAATAGTACAAATTACATTTCGTACTAAGGTCTGGACGTGCTCCATTGTCTCCGTTCACAGGTGGGAGGGGTTAACTCCTTTAGCAGATTGAAACGATTAGATCTGAGTTTACCGTGACGTATGTAATGCGCCCGAGTTTTAGCACCACAATTTTTCCAGCGATTAAATTTGCTAAACATTCCTCTTGCTCCAGCTTCAATTTCTTGATAGAACCAGACCGGATTACTTTACTATCGCATTTGTCGCCATTGCCAAACTACAACCTTCCAGTTCGACGCAAACTCTTGACGTCACCCACAACTAACTACAACACCCGCCTTCCGTGCTCTCTGATTGGTCGGTCAAAATTCAAGAGATTGTATTCGCTAACACAGGGACCAGACCCAGACGTTACATGCAGTGAAATGATGATTGAGTGGAGTGTACGGATGGCTAAGGCCAGGCTAGGCTAAAACCCAAATTAAATCAGATCTATAGAGAAGGTAAGTTCAGTCCAATTCTAAATGAGTCATATTCACTCAAAATAAGAAATACTCGTTTATAATGCCAGCTCTGGTTATCTTAAGGACAGTGACCTTTGCATTTCTAAGCCTGTGGTAGAGCCATACACATATAGACAATTCTAACCCGCTAGTGCTAATGGACAAAGTGTTGCTCAAAGTCACTCTGGCTCCTGTTGACTTACGATAAAAAGTAAACTACTCTAGCTCAGCAACACCATTATTGGTTTAAAAACATATTGTTTGGTGCTCTCCATGACCCTGGTGTTTATATTTTGATATCATCTTTGGTCAATGGTTATGGCTCATATCTGGATTCACAATCAGATGTTTTTACCTTTTTGAAGCACTTTAATCTGGTCGTCTTTCTGCTGCAGTGTCTCCGTCGCACTCGTAAGCTCGTGTTGATGTGAGACTAAAGAAGCAGTGAACTCTGCAACCTAAAACCAAAACAAGAGGTTTACTATACTAGGGTGCATTTAAGAACACAACATAGATAAAGAAAATGCCAGGATTATAAAACATAGGATTTGGGTCAGACCAGTGTTTTTTGGTTTTGTATTTTGACAGGTTCTGGCTTCACTTCTCTTGTGGTCATAATACATTTGGTAGAAAGTTATATCTGAGGCCAGTGTTTGAAACAGTCCCTCGCCTTCACATAACTCCGACCAGTGAGATTTGCTGGAGAAGAACAATCGTTTCCACTGACCCGTGTCTGCAGCTCTTCTTTCTGTCGTCTCGTGTCCTCTAGAGCTTTCGTGATTTCTGTGCATATTCTGTGTTGGCTGCTGAGGTCGCCCTGAAGGGAGAATCAAACACAAGATTATGATGATGTTTTGAATTGTTTTATTTCCATACAGTGAATAGTAAACTTTGAAACGCAAAAGTCTGCTTCACAATATCTCAAAAGGCAAATTATTCAGGTTGCACCTTTCTGGTCTGGTCAATAGTAACAAAATCAGTAAAATATAACAGTTATTAAACATTCTCCCATCTCTGCATGAGTCACTATTTGACAGAATGGCAAGAGAACGCTACTTCTCTGTGTGGAAAAAGATGGTATAAAATGTGATGATTGTATAAAAGCTGGAGTTTACGAAGAAGAGACCCTTTATTTGTCCCACGGTGGGGAAATTTCAGTGTTGCATCACAAGTTACAGAACAGTAGGAATGAGGAGCTGTATGACCTTCTGTTGTCTCAATTTTCACGTCTACTTTAATCTATTATTTTCGAATTGTATTGTTTATTCATATTATGCCGCACTTTGGAAACTGTTTATAAAATGTGCTTTACAAAAATAAATACAAATACGGGTTAGCACTTGCTATGATCTAAATAAATTTGGGTGTTCACAGCCTACATTCAATTTGAAAAACAGGAACCCCAGCTTTAATGCATTGCCAGACCTTATATTTCTCAAGCTCCTCTCCTCCTCGTCTCAAAGCACATTCGTCCTCCTGTTTTCTCTTCTCCAGATCGCCCTAAAAAGACATACCGCACACATGTTATAGAAAAGAACAGAACATCTTTAAGACTTTTTGAAGTTACAGAAAATCCTGAATACAGAAAGATCCTCTGTAGATCTTTTTCAACCCCTAGTCATCCATGGCCAGCAGGTGGAGCAGGTGGGCCGTTTTAAATACCTTGGGACAGAAATAGACAGCAGCTTGTCCTTTGGGCACCATGCAGACTCTGTTTTTAAAAAGTCACAGCAGCGCCTCCATCTCCTCAGGAAATTGAGATCTTTTAATGTTAGCAAAGACATTTTATCAACTGTGTATATCTCACTCATTGAATCCATCCTAACGTACAATATCTCCACCTGGTTCAATTTCTTCACTCTCAAACACAGGACAAAACTCAATAGTGTAGTAAAGCAGGCCTGCAAAATTACCCAAACACCACAAACTCTACTCTGTGAGCTGTACAGCCAATCAGTGCTGAGGAAGGCCACTCTCATCACTGAGGATGCCACACACCCACTGTATGGCTCCTTCTCTCTGCTGCCATCAGGAAGGAGATACAGAACCCCTCTGGCCCGAAAAAACATCTACAAGAGATCGTTTGTCCCGTCTGCAGTCACTTCCCTAAACAACAGGTAGTTTAGGGGCCTAGCATCTGGACCCGAGCCCGGCCCTGGCCCGAGGGGGTGGCGCCCCAGCCCGGCCCGGCCCGATATGGTTTCTGAATTTTCAGGCCCAAAACCTGCATCAAGCCCGACTTTTTTTTTTACCTCCCATAACAATGCTTTAGCATAGTATATAGTTCCGCGCACTGATATGAACACAGGCTTGGCTAGAGGGCGGAGTTATACATGGTAGTGATGTGTTGCAGTGAGTTCTGTGAGTGCAGAGTGAACGGCCGCAGCTGTATGATACGCAGCTGTATGATACGCAGCTGTATGAGACGCAGCTGTATGAGACACAGATGTATGAGACACAGCTGTATGAGACACAGCTGTATGATACACAGCTGTATGATACACAGCTGTATGATACACAGCTGTATGATACACAGATGCCGCAATACTTGTAAGTAACGCTATGTGTCGTCAATGACAACACTACACAGAACAACAAACACTACAGCGTGATAGAACGCTATATTCAGTGGGTGTGTTCGTAAATGTAATCTGCCGCTCTGAAAGTGCGCGAGCCCGAGCCCGGCCCGTGTCCGAGGTCATTATACGGTCATCGGCCCGAAGCCCGGCCCTCGGGCTGTCGGGCCCTTGGGCCAGGGGCTCAAGTGCAGGGCTCTAACCGGTAGCACTGCATAAATTATTAACTGTTTGATAAATGTATTTTAAATGTGTTTTATGAATGATTTTTAATTGTGCCGTGTTGAAAGACAAATCTCTGCTCAATTTGAACAGACAATAAAGATTTATTCTATTCTATTCTATTCTATCCCCAGTTTTGGTGAAGTGACAAAAGCCTGTTAGCTGTTAGAGAACTGTAACCATGGGTCGTACCAGCGAGTCCTGCAGTCTCTGGTTGTCCGTCTGTAAAGTGCTGACGTTTTCTTCCAGTCGTCTGCATTTCTCCTGACTCTGCTTCTCCAACAAACTCAGCTGTTGGTCCAAAAAGGCCTTCTCTGTCCCCCACTCTCCTCTCTGAAACACAAAAAGCAGCGTCACGTCCATTTGGCAGGACTGAAGGTTGAGAAAGTGGTGATGAGGGTGGTGCATTTTTTTTTTCCAAACACTCACCAGTTTCTCTGTGCTCTGCTCTTGCTCCTCCATTTGTCGCTCTGAGCTCTTTAACCTCTCGTTACTTTCTGACAACTGCTGGTCCAGACTTGAAATCTGAGACAAAAGGATGAAGTATTGAGAGAGAGTATCGAAAGTGAATAGAAATCACAAGAGTAAAACAGGTTGAAGTAAGAAATAACTTCTTTTAAAAACACATGTATTCTTGGATTTCATTAAACTGGCCAGTAGGAGGCGAATGAGTCTGTTTTGGAGTCAGAAGGCTCTCCTCCTGTGCGGTGTACGGTTGTTGGAACAGTTAATCAGGGACACTCAATTCTAAGGGAGCACTAACAAATATTTCTCAAAAGAGTCTTGATTTCGGGCATTTTTGGAAAGAAAAACAGAAGAAATTGCTGCGTTTCATTGGGGTGGCCTGCAGGGGGCGCTTATCTGGGAAATACTTGATCCACCTCGCCCGCCTCATTCCAGTGATTTTTTCAAAGTGTTCTCCTTTATACGAGACCACAGTTGGAACATGAACAAACTTTTGTCTTTCTCTCTATTTGTACGGTTGCTACAAGCGTACACTGCACAAAAAGATGGCATTTTGACAGCTCTTCTTTTTCTACTATATCTCCGTGTATAAACGCGGCAGACTGCACCGCCAGGATACGTCACGTCCTGTCCTACGTTTATTATTTGCGCCACTGCCCTGACGTCATATGAAACCCAAGAATTAGAATTAAAAGAGGACATAACCCAATTCTGCTGTCTATACTATGATCATCTATGACCCCTGTGGCTCTCCGTTTAACATGTGATCCATGTGAAATTATTAGATTAGATCAGCTAAAACGATTTTAAAAGCACAAACAAGCCGTATTGCTCCGCTCCCTTCTGTACCTTGGCCCCGCCCCCTGAGACAGAGTGAGTGAAACATGCACACATCTCCTCCGCAGACAGGTTACACAAGAATTATAAAGTTTTTCATTCAAGAATAACCCAAGAAGGGGGAGGGGCGAGGTGTCGATAGACGACAGAGGAGAACGACGACGGCACACATATCAAATCTAAAACATAAATTAATCAAGCCAAAAAACGGTTTTGAGTGTGTGAAGCATGGCCAAAAGCGGAGAAGACCATTTTTGGCTTATGTCAAATTTAAAAACAAAATTAATGGGAGAATCTAATTGACTTTGTAATACAGTAGTGTAGTTTCACTGGTGAATACACTTGATCTAATGTGGAATAAATGCTTTGTAACCTTTGTACCGAGCTTCTAAACATTTGGACCTGGGAGGAGTTTGATGGAGCTCCAAACATTAACAAATAAATATTCTAGCCGTAGTTTTATATAAGCCGTTTAACATACCAACAAAACCACCATGAGATATGATGTCTCTTCAACTTTATCTGCTTTTTCCTTGTATATAGTGTATATTAACAGATGTGAACTCCCATTATCTCTGTATTCTATACTGTAAATGTGTTAATATTCACAGATATGTATATTCCTCTCCCCCTTGGACTGCCACCTTAACGTGGTGGGGGAGTTTGAGCACTCGGATGATCCTGGGAGCTATGCTGTCTGGGGCTTCATGCCCCTGGTAGGGCCTCCCATGGCAGACAGGTCTCAAGTGACGAGTCAGACGAAGCGCAGTCCGAAGCCAACCATGGACAGCACGACAACAAAAACCGTGACGTCGCCCGGCATGGCGCAGCCGGGGCCCCACCCTGGAGCCAGGCCTGGGGTCGGGGCTCGCAAGCGAGCGCCTGGTGGCCGGGCCTTAGCCCACGGGGCCCGGCCGGGCTCAGCCCGAAGGGATGACGTGGGCAGTCCCTCCTGTGGGCCCACCACCTGCAGAGGGGTCCGTGGTGGCGTGGTGCAGCGAGGACTGGGCAGCGGTCGAAGGCGGAGACCTCGACGACCCAGTCCACACACCCAATATCTGGCTGTTGGGACGTGGAACGTCACCTCACTGGGGGGGAAGGAGCCCGAGCTTGTGGGGGAGGTTGAGCGATACCGACTAGAGATAGTCGGCCTCACCTCCACACACAGCTTGGACTCTGGAACCCAACTCCTTGAGAGGGGTTGGACGCTCCACTTTTCTGGTGTTTCCCGCGGGGAGAGGCGGCGAGCTGGGGTGGCCATACTCATTGCCCCCCATCTCAGCCGCCACGTGTTGGAGTTCTCCCCGGTGAATGAGAGGGTCGCGTCCCTCCGCCTCCGGGTGGGGGACAAGTCTCTCACTGTTGTGACGGCCTACGGGCCTAACGGTAGTGCAGAGTACCCGGCCTTCTTGGAGTCCTTGGGAGGGGTACTGGACAGTGCACCGCCCGGGGACTCCGTTATTCTCCTGGGGGACTTCAACGCCCATGTGGGAAATGCCAGTGACACTTGGAGAGGGGTGATCGGGAAGAGCGGCCCCCCTGATCTGAACCCGAGCGGTGTTCAGTTGTTGGACTTCTGTGCCAGTCACGGCCTGTCCATCACGAACACCATGTTCGAGCACAAGGGTGTCCACCAGTGCACGTGGCACCAGGACACCCTAGGCCGGAGGTCGATGATCGACTTTGTTGTCGTATCATCTGACCTTCGACCGCGTGTCTCGGACACTCGGGTAAAGAGAGGGGCGGAGCTGTCAACCGATCATCACCTGGTCGTGAGTTGGATCCGCTGGCAGGGGAAGAAGCCGGTCAGACCTGGCAGACCCAAGCGTATAGTGAGGGTTTGCTGGGAACGTCTCGCGGAGCCCCCTGTCAGACGGACTTTCAACTCACACCTCCGGGAGAGCTTCTCCCAGGTCCCGGCGGAGGAGGGGGACATAGAGTCCGAGTGGACCATGTTCTCTTCCTCTATCGCCAATGCGGCGGCTCGTAGCTGTGGTCGCAAGGTCTCTGGTGCTGGTCCCGGCGGCAATCCCCGAACCCGGTGGTGGACACCGGCAGTAAGGGATGCCGTCAGGCTGAAGAAGGAGTCCTATCGAGCAATGCTGGTTCGTGGGACTCCTGAGGCAGCTGTCCCAGTACCGGCAGGCCAAACGTGCCGCGGCCCGGGCTGTTGCAGAGGCAAAAACCCGGGACTGGGAGGAGTTCGGAGAGTCCATGGAGCATGACTATCGGTCGGCCTCGAAGAGGTTCTGGCAAACCGTCCGGCGCCTCAGGAGGGGGAAGCAGTTCTTTGCCAACACCGTGTATGATGCGGGTGGAGGGCTGCTAACCTCGACTGAGGATATTGTCGGGCGGTGGAAGGAATACTTCGAGGTTCTCCTCAATCCCCCCGTCACGTCCTCCGTTCAGGAGGCAGAGGCTGAGGATGTTGGGGCGGACACTTCCATCTCCCTGGCCGAGGTCACCAAGGTGGTTGGCAGCCTCCATGGTGGCAAGGCGCCGGGAGTGGATGAGATCCGTCCTGACTATCTAAAGTCTCTGGATGTTGTAGGACTGTCTTGGCTGACACGTCTCTGCAACATCGCGTGGCGATCGGGGGCGGTGCCAATGGAGTGGCAGACCGGGGTGGTGGTCCCTCTCTACAAGAAGGGGGACCGGAGGGTGTGTTCCAATTATCGTGGGATCACACTCCTCAGCCTCCCCGGTAAGGTCTACTCCAAGGTACTGGAGAGGAGGCTACGTCCGATGGTCGAATCTCGGATTCAGGAGGAGCAGTGTGGTTTTCGTCCCGGTCGCGGAACACTGGACCAGCTCTATACTCTCCATCGGATACTCGAGGGTTCATGGGAGTTCGCCCAACCTGTCCACATGTGCTTTGTGGATTTGGAGAAGGCGTTCGACCGTGTTCCCCGGGGTGTCCTTTGGGGGGTCCTCCGGGAGTACGGGGTCCGGGGTCCTCTGCTGAGGGCCGTCTGGTCCCTGTATGACCGGAGCCAGAGCTGTGTTCGCATTGCCGGCAGTAAGTCAGACCTGTTCCCGGTGCATGTTGGCCTCCGCCAAGGCTGCCCTTTGTCACCGGTTCTGTTCACTGTATTTATGGACAGAATTTCTAGGCGCAGCCAGGGGCCGGAGGGGGTCCGGTTCGGGAACCACAGGATTTCATCTCTACTTTTTGCGGATGATGTCGTCCTGTTGGCTCCAACGAACCAGGACCTGCAGCATGCGCTGGGACGGTTTGCAGCCGAGTGCGAAGCGGCTGGGATGAGAATCAGCACCTCCAAATCCGAGGCCATGGTGCTCGACCGGAAAAAGGTGCCTTGCCCTCTCCGGGTGGGTGGAGAGGTCCTTCCTCAAGTGGAGGAGTTCAAGTATCTCGGGGTCTTGTTCACGAGTGAGGGAAGAATGGAGCGTGAGATTGACAGGCGGATCGGTGCAGCGTGCGCAGTGATGCGGTCTCTGTATCGGACCGTTGTGGTAAAGAGGGAGCTGAGCCGAAAGGCGAAGCTCTCAATTTACCGGTCAATCTTCGTTCCCTCCCTCACCTATGGTCATGAGCTTTGGGTAATGACCGAAAGAACGAGATCGCGGATACAAGCGGTCGAAATGAGCTTCCTCCGCAGAGTGGCTGGGCGCTCCCTTAGAGATAGGGTGAGGAGCTCAGTCACACGGGAGGAGCTCGGAGTAGAGCCGCTGCTTCTCCACGTCGAGAGGACCCAGTTGAGGTGGCTCGGGCATCTGTTCAGGATGCCTCCTGGACGCCTCCCTGGGGAGGTGTTCCGGGCACGTCCCACCGGGAGGAGGCCCCGGGGAAGACCCAGGACACGCTGGAGAGACTATGTCTCTCAGCTGGCCTGGGAACGCCTTGGGGTCCCCCCGGACGAGCTGGAGGAGGTGTGTGTGGATAGGGAAGTCTGGGCGTCTCTGCTTAGACTGCTGCCCCCGCGACCCGGCAACGGATAAAACGGAAGAAAATGGATGGATGGATGTATATTCCTGAGCACCTAGATCCAGCTTATTCAATTCTCACAAATATTATCTTACTATTATTCTTATTTTCAGATTGTTACTTGAATGTTTTATCATTTTTTTATTGTGAAAGACAATGCAAGCTACTGTGACAACGCAATTTCCCTTGTGGATCAAAAAAGTCTGTCTCAGTCTAAGTCTAAGCCACTGCTCTATAACAATGTAAATGCTGTCACTTTGTTATAACTCATGACATAATCAGAACAGCAGCAGATTAGAGACGCTGTCAGTCCTGGTGCCTCGCTGCTGACCCTGCAGACATGACTCTTGTGTTGTTGTGGGCTTCGTACCTGTGCGTCCGTCCGCTCCCTGTAGGCCCTGGACGACTCGTCTTTGTGTCGGAGCAGAGTCTGGAGCTCACTGATGGTGCTGCTCATTCGGCTCACCTGGAATATACACATACATCGGTTCTACTCAGACTTAGGGGATTGAAGCAAGGGTGGTTTTGACCTGAATCATATTTTCATTGCAGCCAAATAGAAAATCTACACTAGCTCATGGGTTTTTGCCACGACGACAAATATTTTAGAATCCATAGAATGATCAGCCCGGCCATGATTATAGGGCCAAAACCGTTTGTGACTGGCGAGGTTTCCAAGTTGTATCTGTGGAGTCTTTTCAGTACAAACATCATCCATACGAGTTCTATCACTAGTTTTCACAGATGGCCTCGGTACTGGCGACAGTAGCTCAGTTGGTAGAGCATTGGCCTTCAGGCCTGAAGGTCGTGGGTTCAATTCCCACCTCTACACCTTCTCCACCGACTCCCACTGATGACTGCTGTCGTTGTGTCCTTGGGCAAGACACTTAACCCCACTTTGCCCAAAGCCCCTACTGAAAGATCAAGGCTATGCTCACACTCAGAGAGCAGCCATCCTCCTGTGGACTCACCACCTGCAGAGGGTCAGTGAGGGGCTGGTGCTATGAGACTTGGGTGGCATCTCTGACTGCCACCCCCCTGACCCAGAAATGGATTAAAGGGTAGAAAATGGATGGATGGATGGATGGCCTCGGTCACATCAGCTGTCAAGAGAACATGTTTTATAATGAGATACAGTATGTTGGCGAATTATGACGTTATCTGTGTTTTATTTCATTTTAGTGGGGCGACAGTGGCTCAGTTTGGGCCTGAAGTTGTAGGGTTTGAGCCCATCACGAGACCTACTTCACGACTCCCACTGATGTCTGCGGTGCTTGTGTCCTTGGGCAAGACACTTAACCCAACTTTGCCCGAAGCCCCCGCTGAAAGATCAAGGCTCTTGTAGACTCTTGTCAAGGATCAGTGAGGGGCTGGTGCTCTGTGTACTGGGTGCAGCTCTGACTGGAATTAATTTTATTTTTGTTTTGTTATTACTACAGAAGTAATTTGCAAAGAATATATCCTTTTTATATTCTGTATACTATAGTATGTACATTGCCTTGAAAAAACCAATAAACACAGGATTAGGGTTGGGATTTTTTTTTTTTTTTACAGTATGCTGTGGTTGGATTTGATCACAAAATGTTACTGTTGGGACATAAATAAAACAAAAGTTAGCTACTCCAGCTTTAACCAGTTTGGATGAGGGATACTTTATGTGTAGTTTTGAGAGCATTTGACCCTTTCTTAGTCGACTAATCGATCAAACTTCAGATTTGTTGTAGCTTCTGTTGTGCAACCTTAAAACCTTCACCTGCTTTGCCAATAACACTGAACTATCTGCAGACTCATACTGAGGACAAAACTCACCTGTGCCTCCAGAGAGCTCACTGTGTCTGCGTGGTTTGTCCGAGCAGCTAGCAACTCTGCTCTTGTCTCCTCCATATTTTGCTCCAAACTGGTTTTCTGAAAACAACAAGCCAGTATTTTTCAACTTTAAAAAAAAATACATCTTCAACCACACCTTGATTGTTGTAAAAGAAATTCAACAATAGTGTGGCTATGTTTGTCTAGATTAGAATGAGTTTCCACTGACCTCCTGGAGCAGCTCCTGCAGGTGCTCGTCCTGGGTCAGGTTTCCTTGGAGCCTTCTTTCCAAAGACGTTACTTTCTTTTGTAGCTCCAACAGGGTGCGCTCCTTTTCCTCTTCTGTTACAGCCGCCTGCGGTCAAACATTACATTTATGGGTGGTTATATTTATTCATAAACAGGTTGCATTATAGTATTAAGAAATGCAAGTTAATAAAAGCAATCAGTAGTAGTATATAATAGTTTATGCTTTCTTTTAACACAATTGAACATGGCAACGCTTTTGTTGTGGTTGAGGAGCCGAAGCTGATCTATATGTGACAGTAGTAATATTAGCTTGGCCGCTCTTCAAACAGTCCGGATTCACATGTATTCTCATGTAGACAAGGCCATTCATTTGGTGTCAAAGCTTCACACGTTACAAAAGAGACTTGCCTTTTGTTGTTGCAGACTCCGAGCATCATAGTCGGTCTGGAGTTCTTGTAATGATTTTTCCAACGTCATCACTGTATTTTGAGACTAAAGAAAAACACATTTTATAAACAAAAGTGTCTCCAAAAGTCCAAAATGATGAAAATGCAATGTCAGAACAAAGCCTAGACATTTGACATTGCTAAACCCCTAGCCCCATAGGAAAGTGCTAAGTTTTGCTCCCGCTCTGGTAAGCGAGTATTGGAAGTAGTGGGTACAGACCAGCGCCACTCCTGATTGGTGCTCAGTAACTGCTACCAACAAAATGTGCACATGTTTGGTTCCATTCCCACTCAAATATCCAGTGCCTCTTCCGCATTAAAGCAAACCTATGGGTGATGTTAGCGCCCTCTAGTGGCCTGAGAATGCAGACCTCACCTGTTGAAAGTCCTCTGACACCTGCTTGATTACCGCCTGCAGCTCCTCACACTGAGTCTCCAAGTCCAGGATCTTTTTTTCAGACTCTTCTCGGAACAACAGCAGCTCTTCTCTGTGAAAAATACAAGACATTCTTACAGATGAGAGGGCTTTGAATATTTTTATCATTTCCTCATATCCCAGAAGAAAATCCCATGTTATATTAATTAGAAATACTGCAGTGCAATACTTTCCAATTGATTTTAATGCATTCTCAAACCCATCATCTAACACACAGCACTAGTGTTTGCACAGCGGCCAGCATGGGGGGCCTCATGGCTGATTTCAGTACATCTCTAATATTATTTTTTTTATTTTTCTTATGCAGACATGGGGGAACATGCAAACTCTGCAGGCGACTTGTTCAGACGCGTTGACATAATAACCTTTCCGTTGGTGACAGTGATCTGCTGCAGCTCTGTCAGCACTTAGCTGTGACGCTGTGGACGGCAGCAGAAGGGCAGGAGGAGGGTGTTCTGACCTCTCTATGTGCAGCTCGCTGTTGAGGCGGCTGCTCTCCTCGTGCTCCTCTTGCAGCCGCTGCAGTTCTCGCCTCATGGACTGAACCTCGGCCTCTTTGTGCTGCAGCTCCTGCTCCTGGCGGCTCACCTGCTCCTCGCGCCTCAGCAGCTGCAGAGACACAAATCCTGATTATTCCAAACTGATTTCTACTTTACTCTCTCTCTCATCATCAAAACATTTACTGAAAGACTAAAAGACAATTTTAAGACTTATTAGTATTAGATAGCAATATGGCCTACGTGCAGGACTGTACAAGGACTCTACAAGGACTCCATGTTATGACTATGATGTGACTGTCTCTTTGTGACACGTATGTCTTTCGATGTGTGACGTGACAATGACTATATAAACTGTGTACTGCCTTTATTCTGTCTGAGGAAAAGAAACAGAGTAAACCAGTGGAACTTGAGAGCAACTTAAATAAACTTCCAGAGTTTGGCACACCACGATCCGTCTCTGTCTGCTTAAATCCTTACAGATTTGGTGGAGAATGCGCGGCTCGGTTTGTGCCATTCTCTGGATTGTTTTGAGGGAGCTTGCTCTGTTTCTTTTCCTCTGCGTGAGAGATCGGCATGCTGTGTCTGGGAGCGGGGATTCCAGCAGGCTGGAAGAGCTGTTCCTGGATGCTTCTTGTCGCTTCTGTCACTTTTGTTTTTTAAATTGAAGATTCCGACGCGGAAAAGAGTTGGCAGACCTCTTGGACAGTCCTTGGAACCGGTTTGACAAGAATAAGGTAAGCAGACACCTTTTTTAATATGTAAAGTCTGCATAATTGGATATTAGCTAAATTTTGGTTTGTTTTTTGGGGTCTGTCAAACTCTCTAAATTGTATTTTGAAGAAGTCTCGGGGTTAAAGTCCCTTTGAGCCTCGGGGTTAAAGTCCCTTTGAGAAAGTCTCGGGGTTAAAGTCCCTTTGAGCCTCGGGGTTAAAGTCCCTTTGAGAAAGTCTCGGGGTTAAAGTCCCTTTGAGAAAAGCCTCGGGGTTAAAGTCCCTTTGAGAAGAAGCTTCAGGGTTAAAGTCCCTTTGAGAGAAACCATGGTGAATTAAAAGTAATTATAAAAAGGGAAACGTTAAACACTAAAGAGTGCCTTTTGTTACTAGTGTGGAAAGTGATCACTTCTAGATTTGGATGACAAAAGTATAAAGAACAACATAAGTTATATTCGCTTAACAAAGTAATCTTGAAAGTTCTTCTTCTGTGTCTTTCTGCCTGTGTGTGCGCGTCTGTGTGAAAGGAACCCCCCCGCCCTCGCTGCTGCTGAGCTGCTGCTCTGATTTAAAGGGGAGCTACTGCTTTAGGACTTTTGGCTTTTCATAGTAGTTATTCCGTTAAATTTGCGAAATTTGCCATTGAACATTGTGTTAGACACAGTTAAACGTTTTTAAACACCATTAGGGAATAGAAGTTTTGAATTAGTATGTTTTTGAAACCCAAAGATTAGTACAAAAAGCTTTGCTTTTCTTTTTAAATCTGCTGCTTATTTTGTGAGTCCATTATTGTATCTGATATTTCATAGCTGTTAGTGAGAATTTTTTTATGTTTTTATTTTAGTTACAAAAGCCGTTTTTCAAACATTTAAATTAGAATCTGTTAAAAGTGATTAATGATTGTAGACTTCGTCTAAAAAGAAAGAGAGAATTAGGCTGTAAAAGTATTATATTATTAAGTTAAACTACCCAATTCACCCAATTCACATTCAAGCGGTGACTTTTGTTTTTGTTTTGACTACACGCGTGACCTTGCTGCTGCTCAGAGACATGAGGAGGCAGCTCCGACGCACAATTGAGTTTTATTGAACCAAATCCAGTTTAGCTGGAGCTAAATCTTTTGTTTGATTTCAAGTTTTGTTTTAAATGTTTTTACAAATTAATGTTCATTTTTATAGAGATTTTTCATAATTTCATTTCATGGCGTCTTTCAAGAAACCCAAGGACGCATAGATAATTAATCACACAGTACAAAAGTATATAATACATGTTTTAAAGTTTAAAAGGTTGTTTGTTTTGAGTATAATTGTTGTTTTGATAACTTTTTAGTTTCTGGTTTTAAATGTCATCATTAGTAAGATAATAAGTAATCTTTATTTACATAGCGCTTGGGAAAGCCAAGAGCGCTTCAAAATTGTTTAGACTTCAGAGAGAAAAACAATCTCATTCACAATCTCTGTTGTTTTTAATTTGGCTATAAGGTTGTTTTCCAGAACCAAGAGCACACACTGTACAGGGTCACTGGACTGCTGGACACTGGACACCAAAGCCCACCCAGCCACAGGTCACAGATCAAAGAGCAAAGGGAAATGCCACCTCTACGCCCCTCCCCCCACTACAGAAGTAAGTGGGAGTGAGACCGGGGCCACAAAGTGGAGGTTTCTGGAGGCAGTGATGGGTGGAGCGTCAGGTAGAGACCTAGAGGGAGTTGAAAGTGTGTCCAGTTGGTTTACATCACCAGTGTGACCTTTGAGACCTACAGGTGGTTCGTGGAGTCTGGAGAGACAACCCCAAAATTCATACACACACACACACACACACACATACACAATCATACATTCACATTCACATTTACATATAGATACATGAAAAAGCAGAACATGAGGAAAAAGCATTTTAAAAGTTTACTCCAATGTAAACACATATTTTTAATTGTCTATCACTTGAATCTTTAGTTGAATCAGTATTTTTTGAGACCAGAAATGTTCATTTGAATTCTATATTGTCATGGACTTAATTGACCTCTGTCCTGACACTTTTGATGTTTTGATTTTGTACTGTGTGAAGTAATTACATTGATTAGAATTAGATCTGATAAAAACACAAATTAGAGAAGTAAACTGAATCACTGCGCTTGCTTTTGTCTAAGGGACATTAGCAACAGCATGAATAGAAATTGTGTTAAAGTAGAATCAAAGTGATTTAACCATAGAGAGTAACTACTGCATTACAAGCTGTGTACAGGAACTGAGACACTGCACCATTGACCAGAAGTGCATCGCAAATGACCTGATGTGCTTCAAGTGAAAAGACTGTATCTGGAGATCTGATGTGCATCTGGAGACCAGAACCAGAACCATGGCTTGGACCCTACTGATGTCCAAGATGACCTGACCTGATGACGACTGAGACTCACCCTCAGGGGACCCTGAGGACCTGAGGATCTGAGAGAGAAAAACTGGGGAGTGATGTTTATATTTTTGAAATCATACATTGATGAGTGCTAAATGAGAGAGATACTCATGATTCTTTCTTTTGTTTTTGTTTGTCCCTAGCTTCTGGACATCTGATGATCTATTGGACACAGCCATTTGCAGAACAAGAACCAGCCAATGAAAACGTCTATTGCCGATGCTATTGCTACAACCAGAACCACAACTGTGACAAATGCAATATACATGTTAAGTATTCAGACATCTGACAGACAAAAACTTTGAAAATGATAAAGTATGAGTATTGTAGCGTTTTAGTAGATGTTAAATAGTAGTAAAAGAGTAGAATTTGACTTCCTTTGTTGTTCATAAACATATTTCCACATAAGAGTTAAAATAGTACCATACAATGTTATCCTTTTGATAGATCAGCTATAATATTAGAATCAGAGTATTTTAGAGATATTAAAAGTGACAGAAGTCACAGACTAGAAAAATGCCTTGACTCAAGCTGCAACCGAGCTTTGGAGTTAAAAAATAGAGGAAATAGAATTGGATAAATGCATCAACCATAGATGCTTTCAAAAATAGAGATTATTCTTAGCCAGTGCTAATATCAAATGGTAAAGGGACCATTTCACAAGCATTTACTTCAAAAGTAGATAAAGTTAATTACAGTTGTATGTACAGTTTTATTAGATACCTTCCAAATTCACTTGTGTTCAAACATGAGTGAATGTTGACAATACAAAAGTCCATATGAGTGTAGCCTAGATTAATGCCTAGATTAATGAAATAGATTAGAACCAACAGAGATTCAAATGCATTTAAAAGCATTTTGATGTATTTGGGTGTAGCACAAAAACACAATAGTAGATACTTAGATATTGAGAAGTTTCCAGCACAAACGCCATTGTAGAATAACTGACCCCAACCCCAAACCTGCTAAAGTAGATTAGCTCTTGTAAGGATAGTTCTAATTTGATTAAAGATGTACATTCATCCCAATCTGCCTGAGAGGAGGAAGTGACAGCACTTCCTGGTTCAACAAATATTTGGAAAACTGACCGCCATAATAATGTTCATATTAACCATTTGCCTTACTGTGTTCAGTTTTATTCCTGAGAATGAGAATAGACATGGAACAAAATCCCACTGATAATAAGCCACTGATAATGAGAGTGTAAAACCACAGAGAGATTTATTAGTTTAAGAATATGGCTCAATAGAAGCAAATATGCAAACATATTTGTAAATAGAGAGTAAAGTACACAGTGTAAGATTAAAAAGTGAAAATAATACAGTGAAATAAGTGAAGTGAAGTGTAAACAATTAGCATTAGAATAAAAGTATAGAGTAATAAAAGTGAAATTAGCTTCAAATTTGAGACTCAGCTTGTTTTTGTCTGTGTTTTGACTGAATCTGCTGAGTTCTTGTGTGTCCAATAGTTTTTGTTTGTTTTTATTTTTGTTTGTTTTTATTTTTGATTTGTTTGTTTGTTTTTTTTTTTGTTTTTTTTTCCCAGGATAGAGGATAAAATCCACTGATATTGATTTGATGATTATGAGTTTAATGCATACATTTTCTTTGTTTTTTAATAATTTTGTAAAGTTTTTTTTTAGAATTTTTTTCTTTTTCCACTTTATTGATTGATCGATTTGAGTGATCACATGTGATTATGTGATCAAAGGGGAGGGTATTAGTATTAGATAGCAATATGGCCTACGTGCAGGACTGTACAAGGACTCTACAAGGACTCCATGTTATGACTATGATGTGACTGTCTCTTTGTGACACGTATGTCTTTCGATGTGTGACGTGACAATGACTATATAAACTGTGTACTGCCTTTATTCTGTCTGAGGAAAAGAAACAGAGTAAACCAGTGGAACTTGAGAGCAACTTAAATAAACTTCCAGAGTTTGGCACACCACGATCCGTCTCTGTCTGCTTAAATCCTAACAGACTTTAAGTTTAAAGTCTTATGCAAAATAGACTGAGCTTTGAAACAACATTGTTCCCTGATCAAACACAGACCTGGAGTCGTTTTTAGATCCATCCATGCTGATATCAGGAACAAAAACGTAACTCCACCCAATCTGTCTAAAAGCTCCTATTTTAAAACATTTCTCATGTGAAATTATGTTCTTTACAAATCGTATAGCTGTGCTTAGAGCCAGGAATGTTCATATTTGGGGAAAAAACATCTCCCATGGGAGCATAGACAGTTACACTTGTTATATCATAGATTTTCCATTTAGGATTTTATTTCACATTCTAAAATGACAAAGTAAACTTAAATAACTTAACTTAAATTGCACAGTTGTACACAAGACACACGTTTCAGATTTATGGACGTTTCAGATTCATGCAGTCTTGCTGATAATAGGTGAGGTACCATGTGTTTGACTTTGGCCAGCTCCTGTTGTTGGAATCCTTCCAGCTCATCGTGATCGTCGCGTTTCTGAAACAGAGCCAGACTTTGTTCCGTCATTTCAGTCAGCTGAGACGAGAGCGCCGCCTTCTCCTGGGAACAACACACACACACTTCATAAGACTCCAATATTTAAAGACATATGGTCACAACGAGCATAAAACTTCCATCCATTGGTTGTAATTAATCTAATTTGACTGGAGCCATTCTCAGAACTAATTTCGAGGCAACTTGTTTGTTTATCTTTAAGCTCTGAAATATACAGTGGATATTCTTTACCTCTCCATTTACTTGTCCTTGGCGTCATAGTCTAAGAATCTGCCATATCGGCGTGTGCAAAGTCAGTGGTTTAGTTCTATAGGACATGCGCATGAGAAATCACTTTGGTCCAATTGTGTCCTGTGCTGATCATTTTCGCAAGTCAGCAAACAATTGAGCACTTGGGCAGAAAAGCGGGGCGCATTTTAGTAAATCTGTGCCAAATACCCTGACGTTAAGGTGGAAAGATGATTTCACAAAAACGCCCACCCCACTGAACCTACACACATTATACTGTGCACATGCAGATGTCTAAACATAACCCTGAATCCACTGGAGATTGTTTTCAAGAGGTACTTTGAACATTTTATATCTGCTCAAAATCATAAATTCCTATGCTGTACAAATATTGCATATACACAGTATGTTGACATAGAAGTTCTACAGTCCATACCTTTTCGACTGCTTCCAACTTCGCCATCCACTCCTGGCAAAACAAAACAACAAATATTCACACGTTAATGGACAACCACTTTCCCAAGCTACTTAACAATTATAAAACTTTACCTGGTCTTTCTTCTCCAGAGCCAGCGTCATGCCTTCGGCCATTTTTGCTCTACTGGCGACATAGGACTCGTTCTGGTCTTGCATTTTCTTTATTGAAGCTGGACACAGGAGGAGGTTTTATTTGACCAAACAGGCAAAACAGTGGACAAAGTATAGTATGCAGAGTCCGAGCTTGTTAGTAGCTGTAAAAAAGATCTTAAATATGAGCAGCATAAAAGCAAAGAAGCAACACGTGGACAGAAAGTGTAGAATTGTGCTCATCAGTACTGAGGAGAGAAGCTAGAACAAAATACAACAGTAGCAAAAGAAAATTGGAGAAAACAATGACATGTCCTTTTTAACAACATAAGATTAATGAGAAGTATGTTAAAAGTGCTGACCCAGAGCCTAAAAACAGGCTTAAAAATACACAAATTAATGTATATTTTATAATGTAATGTCATATAATTCATAACTTAGAGAAAGGATGGCTAAAACTGATTTTGATTCAAAATTTGAAGTCAATACAACCGTCTTTTTCCAATTCTACTATAAGAACGAGATCAAAACTAACCAAATAAGTCACTTTTATGGGTAAATAGAAAAATATTGCTTATATTCTGCAGTTTATTTTTTGCCAATTCAGTTCAGAGAAAAAACTGTATTGTAATTTTGTAGTGGCGTGTGCGTGAGAGCGCCTGTGTGTGTGGGCGTGCATGTGAGCGTGGGCGTGTGTGTGAGAGCGCCTGTGTGTGTGTGGGTGGTGTGTGGGCGTGCATGTGAGCGTGGGCGTGTGCATGAGAGCGCCTGTGTGTGTGGGCGTGCATGTGAGCGTGGGCGTGTGCATGAGCGCGCCTGTGTGTGAGGGCGTGCATGTGAGCGTGGGCGTGTGCATGAGAGCGCCTGTGTGTGTGGGCGTGCATGTGAGCGTGGGCGTGTGCATGAGAGCGCCTGTGTGTGTGGGCGTGCATGTGAGCGTGGGCGTGTGCATGAGAGCGCCTGTGTGTGTGGGCGTGCATGTGAGCGTGGGCGTGTGCATGAGAGCGCCTGTGTGTGTGGGCGTGCATGTGAGCGTGGGCGTGCGCATGAGAGCGCCAGTGTGTGGGCGTGCATGTGAGCGTGGGCGTGTGCATGAGAGCGCCTGTGTGTGTGGGCGTGCATGTGAGCGTGGGCGTGTGCGTGAGAGCGCCTGTGTGTGTGGGCGTGCATGTGAGCGTGGGCGTGTGCATGAGAGCGCGTCTGTGTGCGTGTGTGGGCGTGCATGTGAGCGTGGGCGTGTGCATGAGAGCGCCTGTGTGTGTGGGCGTGCATGTGAGCGTGGGCGTGTGCATGAGAGCGCCTGTGTGTGTGGGCGTGCATGTGAGCGTGGGCGTGTGCATGAGAGCGCCTGTGTGTGTGGGCGTGCATGTGAGCGTGGGCGTGCGCATGAGAGCGCCTGTGTGTGTGGGCGTGCATGTGAGCGTGGGCGTGTGCATGAGAGCGCGCCTGTGTGCGTGTGTGGGTGTGGTTCACGAGATTATGAATGAGCATTCACCTGCGGGGTCACGGGAAAAAGAGGAGAGGTCTGTTTGGGAGGCCATTATTTTTGTTGGCCGCTATTCTAGTTCTATTTGATTTATTTTGCTATTTTTCTGGCGTTGAATCACTAATTTGTTCTGTATATTCACCACGCATTTTGGCCTGTGACCGCAGCGTCATCGCAACTGGATCCAGCCTCTCCGTTTGTTTTCTATACTTATTTATCGGACCCATCTCGCCTCTCCGCGGCTTTACGCAACAGGCAGCACCTATACAAGCTTAGTTACAAGTTGAAAAGTAGAAAAAAACTTTACTCAAGTTAGAAAATTGCAGCAGTGATGGGCGATATTTTTTCGGTTGCCAGTAATAATATCACGGCAGAATTATGTCAAAAGAAACAAGTATTGCTGAAGCGCCTTTACACAGTATTTGTTATCATATCATATGTCATATGTGAAATCTTTAAAATTGCTGCACCCGTTTTGTAGAACTATTTTTTTTGTAACGCAAAGCAAAAACAAAAACTTAACAGGAATCATTGTGATTTTAAGAGCACTAGGTAAATTCATTTGCTTATAGTAACTACATGAGAGACATATCATTTACAATTACAGTTGTAAAGTTTGAGTAATAAGAGACAGTTGTAAGAAAGCATTCTCAGGTCTGGAGCTTTGAGTTGCTTTTCCTCGAGGCGCAAACAGCCGGGACCAAAACTCGTCGGACCTGTTTGATAACCCAGAGACCGTATTCTGTATTCTTATAAAAAAGGTATTTGGTTCTTCTATTCCAGACAAAAGTAAGTCAGTGATGTAACTATTGCCTGGTATGGAAGAACCAAACACCTTGGTTTCTACTATTCAAGGTATTTCTATTTCAAGACAGGACAAAATGAACCTTCTCAAACAATCTGTATTCTTGTGCTTTGTAAACACACTCTTACATGAAATGGGCCGAATCCGCTCTACATTGGACAGGAAAGCTTTGAACTGGGAAGAGGAAGTGAAGTGGAAATGCCTCTGTATGTGCTAATGTGTGTGATGAAGTCTTTGATGGAGAGAAGCAGCACCGGGCGGCGGAGAGAAGCGAGGAGGTGGGTACGTACAATCCTGGTGCGATTCTAATGCAATTTCAAGCTTGTCCTTGGTCTTCTGCAAAAGTCTCAGCTGCTCAGCGTAGTCTAGTGTCGGGGTGGGATGGAGGGATGGGCACAGACAGAAACGAGAGGGGCCACCACGAGCACCACGACGGGGAGAAAACAAAAAAAGGGAAAATATGGGTGAGAAATAATGAAAAGGTTAAAACAAAACTAAGGATTTTGATCTATTCTGTCTCGTCTAGAGCAAGAGGAAGTCAAGCTCGTTTTTACTTGTTCGTTAGCTTATAAATAATAAAATAATAAGTAATATTCATGAAAGGGGCTTCCATAACAAAAGAAAAAAGAAAGAAGAAGTCAAAACAGAGTAAAAGGAAAGTAAATTCTAGGGCTGTAACAAGTTAATGGACTATTATAAAAAGAATAATAATAATTCTCCTTACAATAGATTAAAAACATCACACACACAATATCAAAAATACAGAGTTGAATACATTTAAAATATTACAAAGGTTAGATTGAGATTATTTAAATAGTTTAGAAATAGATTCATCTTTTTTTGAACCTTCCATAGACTTAAACAGGCTGAGACAAGGTTTTGTGACTCGGATATTTCTATAATGCGTTTTAAAATTATCTTTAAAGTCAAACAACCCAACTCTGAAGATGTTCTGCAGCGGCATTTAAATTAAGAAATCCTTTATTCGTCTCACAGAGGTGGAAATGTCAGTGTTGCATCAGTTACAGGACAGAGAATGAGGAGCACACAGCACAGGATCAATCAATCAATCAATCAACGTTTATTTATAGAGCGCCTTTCCTACACAAGGCAACGCAAAGCGCCTCACAACCCATATAACATCATGCATAAATCATCAAACATTAGAATTTAAGTAAACATAAAAAGACAGATTAAGAGCACAAGATATATAAAATCACACAAGTAGTTAAAAACCGTAAAACATTAAAATCACACAAGGGATTACAATCATAAATAATCATAAATAATCATAGCGCATTAAAAAGATTAAAGATAAAAAACAAATATAAAATCATTCACTTGTATGCACAGCTAAAAAGAACTGTTTTCAGTTCAGTTTTAAAAACTGCTAGAGTAGACGCCTGTCTCACACTCTCGGGAAGACGGTTCCAGACTCTAGCTGCATGAATCTGAAACGCAGCCTCCCCATGTCTAGTTCCGACTCTTGGCACTAACAGAAGTCCAGTCCCTGTGCTCCTCAGAGCCCGAGTTGGTTCATATGGCACCAACATGTCGCGGATGTACCCTGGTGCGAGGCCATGGAGAGACTTGTACACAAGTAAAGCTACTTTAAAATCTATTCTCTGAGCCACAGGAAGCCAGTGCAGAGACCTGAGGACCGGACTAATGTGGTCGTACTTCCTGGTTCTAGTCAGGACTCGAGCTGCAGCATTTTGGATGTACTTGGATGTACATGAACATGTAATTGTTCAGGATAACTGAACAATTACGTTAAATCAAAAATAAGATGTCTACATTTTTGATCACTAACCCAAAAAAATAAGAATAATCCAAACACAAGAGAATAATTGTCCAACTAATTGATTATTAGCGCTAGTAAATTCCTTTCTTCTTCATATCCAGATGATTTTGACTAGACCGGTTTATTTTCCAACAGTCAGCACATCAGGACAACACTAAAATCTTTCTGAATCCTTAAAGAGCGACTAAACACCAAGTCAACTTTTTTTAACTTATAAACTGCATAAATATGTTTCTTGTAGTGCTCTCTACATATCCTGGTCATTTTTTTGACATTTTAGTGCAATTTTGATCAAATCTCACTAATATCACTTTACTGTCGCATGGCGCCGTACAGATGGCGCCGTGGCAAGAGCTCTGGTGTGTGTCGTCTGGTGCTCACTGGGGTAGTCTTGCACAGTTTTTCCAATGTGGTTTTACTGCAAATGGCAAATAAATGAATCTGAATCTGAATCTATTGAGCCTAAAACAGGGCGTGTGGCGCCCTCTCAACCTTTTCAGTGGTACTACATTTGAATTTGGTCCTGGCCTCCATTGGCTCTGGAGTGATGTGTGACGTCAGCTGGTGTGTGTGTGTGACGTCAGCTGGTGTGTGTGTGTGTGTGACGTCAGCTGGTGTGTGTGTGTGTGACGTCAGCTGGTGTGTGTGTGTGTGACGTCAGCTGGTGTGTGTGTGTGTGACGTCAGCTGGTGTGTGGGTGTGTGACGTCAGCTGGTGTGTGTGTGTGTGACGTCAGCTGGTGTGTGTGTGTGACGTCAGCTGGTGTGTGTGTGTGACGTCAGGTGGTGTGTGTGTGTGACGTCAGCTGGTGTGTGTGTGTGACGTCAGCTGGTGTGTGTGTGACGTCAGCTGGTGTGTGTGTGACGTCAGCTGGTGTGTGTGTGTGTGACGTCAGCTGGTGTGTGTGTGTGTGACGTCAGTTGGTTTGTGAGACGTCAGTTGGTGTGTGTGACGTCAGTTGGTGTGTGCGACGTCAGTTGGTGTGTGTGACGTCAGTTGGTGTGTGTGTGACGTCAGTTGGTGCGTGTGTGACGTCAGTTGGTGCGTGTGACGTCAGTTGGTGTGTGTGATGTCAGTTGGTGTGTGTGTGACGTCAGTTGGTGCGTGTGTGACGTCAGTTGGTGCGTGTGTGACGTCAGTTGGTGTGTGTGATGTCAGTTGGTGTGTGTGATGTCAGTTGGTGTGTGTGATGTCAGTTGGTGTGTGTGATGTCAGTTGGTGTGTGTGATGTCAGTTGGTGTGTGTGATGTCAGTTGGTGTGTGTGATGTCAGTTGGTGTGTGTGATGTCAGTTGGTGTGTGTGTGATGTCAGTTGGTGTGTGTGACGTGCGTCTGTCTGCCCCAGTGAACTAAACCCATCCAACTCTCACACACGCCCCAGCAGCAGGTTGGAGTATTCTGGCGACATCTAGTGGATTAAAATTAAATTACATGAGTCGACAACCGCTGCTGCTGAGATAATTCTGTGGCTTAGGTTCAGGTGTGTAGCTCTACAATTATCTTAGGCCCTGTTTATACAGAGACGCTGCGCAGACGTTTCCAGGCTATTAACAGAAACGACCAGGGTCCTGATGCAAATTTCTCAGCGTTCACATGAGGTTGAAAAACGATGTAGTTCTAGCGCCCGACTCACACGACCCCCAGCCCAGTGCCCAGCCCCCCTCTCGGCAGTGTACTCACTTCCTGTGCCAGACCCTCAGAACGTACCAACATCATTCTGCATTTTAACAGCAGCTGTGAAAATGGAAACTGAACCTAGAGCTTCGCGTGGTCTCGTTTGGACGAACGAAGGAGTAGAATTATCCTCTGTGCAGCGCTGGAAGCCCACGAAGCTAGTTAGTGCGACCGCCGCCATTATTGTTTATGTTTGTTCTCCGCTACTGCGCATGTCCAAATTTACGTGTGGGGAGCAGCGCGGAGGTGGGGGTCAGAGCAGAGGGGGATTTCACACCTATTCCCCTCTCGCAGTTGTGAAAGAGAGCCCCCGCTGTGCAGCGTTTCTGAGTTGTCCCACTCTGCAGGCTGGATCTGAACACTTAAGCCTAGCGTACATCGACAGAGAAACTGGGGACAACCAGTTGCAAGGCGGCTTTTGGCAACTGAGAGGAGATGGTGGGAGATGATCAGTTGCCGAAATCGGTCGATGTGCGCGCTCTTACAACTGGAGATGATCAGTCGGTCTCCAGTTCCAGTCAGTTGCCCGTGTTCTACTTTTCGGCAACTAGTTGTCCTCAGTTGCCCCGATGTGCGCGCTCCATGCGCCGCTCCAACAACGTGTGTGTATTGCGTGTATTGCGAGCCCGCAACAGTTTGTTGTCAGAAAACACACTGTAGTTGAGGCCAGTTGCTGTCGATGTACGCGCTGTTATTCAAGAGACTGGCCTGCGACTCAGAGTTGCCCGTTTTCGCCAGATTGTCGATGTGTGCGGGGCAGCAACTCAGAGGCGACGGATATAATCAGTTGCCAGTCCGATGTACGCTAGGCTTTACGTTTTCACCTGGAACACAGTCTTCGTATGAACGGTTGGTAGAAACCGACATCCAACTATACCGTTTTACTGCCACATTGTCTCCGTGTAAACTCAGCCTTAGTGTGTAAACAAGGGTGGAATGAGGCTGAGTTTACACGGAGAGAATGTGGCAGTAAAACGGTATAGTTGGATGTCGGTTTCTACCAACCGTTCATACGAAGACTGTGTTCCAGGTGAAAACGTAAGTGTTCAGATCCAGCCTGCAGAGTGGGACAACTCAGAAACGCTGCACAGCGGGGGCTCTCTTTCACACCAGCAAGAGGGGAAAAGGTGTGAAATCCCCCTCTGCTCTGACCCCCGCCTCCGCGCTGCTCCCCACACGTAAATTTGGACATGCGCAGTAGCGGAGAACAAACATCAACAACAATGGCGGCGGTCGCACTAACTAGCTTCGTGGGCTTCCAGCGCTGCACAGAGGATAATTCTACACCTTCGTTTGTCCAAACGAGACCACGCGAAGTTCTAGGTGCAGTTTCCATTTTCACAGCTGCTGTTAAAATGCAGAATGATGTTGGTATGTTCTGAGGGTCTGGCACAGGAAGTGAATATACTGCCGAGAGGGGGGCTGGGCACGGGGCTGGGGGTCGTGTGAGTGTTGTAAAGTTTCTCTGCCCACTACTGGCCGGGCACTAGAACTACATCGTTTTTCAACCTCATGTGAACGCCGAGAAATTTGCATTAGGAGCCTGGTCGTTTCTGTTAATAGCCTGGAAACGTCTGCGCAGCATCTCTGTATAAACAGGGCCTGAGACTTTCTGGTCTGTAAACTATTGCTTTAAGCGGCAATGACAACTGTCCGTGTTTTTTTTCGTGTGACAAGTGAGCTGTCAATCACAGCCTAGACCACGGCCAACTCTAAGCCCCCCTTCTTGTCCCTTGGTCCTCCAGGCAATGCCCTTTTAAGAGAACATGTTCAAATGTTCATGTGGGCGGAGTCAGGCTGGGCACAGGTGTTTAGTCGCTCTTTAATTTCTCTTTTTTTTTTTCTTTTTTGTCCATGAGCTGTGTAAAACATACTGGTGTTTTGAACAGTCTACAGTCTTTTCAAATCATTCATGCATTTTGTCCCTCTGCCCGTGTTCCGCAGGCTCCAGAGGACATTTCTGTTCATTTGAAACTTACCGGAGAGCTTCGCCTCGAGTCGGCGAATCTGATTGTTCCTTCGCTGGAGCTGAGCTGGAAGGTCGTCCCTGGAGCTGCTGCTGTCAGACGCCTGAAAACAATAATAAATAATGAATAATATGACATCATCTTTATAATAGCGCCTTACACAAGAACCTTCAAAGTGCTTTAGTTTCCTCTAATTGTGTTTAAACCAGGAGTGTCAAACTGGGCCAGTGTGGCTGCATGTTTTCATTCCAACCAAGCAGGAGCGCACCAGTCTCCAGTCAAGATTCTGGATTCACTTGAAGAAATGGGTGAAGTCTGGTGTGCTCCAACTTGGTCGAAAATAATACCTGTAGCTATAATATAGATGTGAAGAAGATGACAAAGTCTGGGATCGCGTCTTTCATTCAGACAGAAGACATGTTTTATCGTCGATGGTAGAGACAGCACGATCAAAGCACACGATCACAGAAACAATAGAATGCAAGTGTATTATACAGAGCGGAGGCATGGAGACCTCCAATCAGCAGCTTCCACGGTGTGCTTGTAGCTTGGCCTTCAGATAGACAAAACATGAAGTGGAAAAGTACAGGCTTCTGCACATTGATAGAATGATGAGTTTAACTTTAACAAAAGTTGCTTCAAAGTGTTATGAAATCTCACATTCCCCCCTCTGGTCATACATTCACGTGTGACCATCAGGATCGATAAACAGCAACATAACATCATAACTCAATACTTCAAAAACTCATAAACTCGGTACTTCACTCGGTACTTCAAAAAACTCAGAACTCGGAATACTTCAAAAACTCATAAAACATGTTCAGATCTTTCATAAAACTTGTCAACAATCTTCAGTAAAATACCAAACTTCATCAGTCGATGGTGGTTCCAGATATTGCTTTGAAAACAGTCTCTCCCACTTCTCCGTGTTGGTTTCTTCAGCTGCATTTGTTGTGTCGAGCCATGAATTCTTCTGTGACGTGTCTTTCAATCACACATTTCAGCTTCAGTGTCCAGATTCAGCAATTCAATTCAGTCCAAATTATGTCCAAATTCAGAAATCCAGATTGTTCCAAATTATGTCCTTGCAAAAGAGGACGCTGGTGTTGTCCATGTCTCAGCAGCTCACAGCCTGACTGGAATCAGGGGCTGTGCAGATTGTCCATGTGTGCTGGTCCAGATGCATTCTCTTGAGGTTTCTCAGTTTTGGCTTAAAAAAAAAACACTTTTTGTGTAAAAAAAAAAAAGAGTCTTCTGTTCTCTAGATGTTACAGACAATGCCCGCATCCTTCCACCACCTGAAGAAGATGACAAAGTCTGGGATCGCGTCTTTCATTCAGACAGAAGACATGTTTTATCGTCGATGGTAGAGACAGCACGATCAAAGCACACGATCACAGAAACAATAGAATGCAAGTGTATTATACAGAGCGGAGGCATGGAGACCTCCAATCAGCAGCTTCCACGGTGTGCTTGTAGCTTGGCCTTCAGATAGACAAAACATGAAGTGGAAAAGTACAGGCTTCTGCACATTGATAGAATGATGAGTTTAACTTTAACAAAAGTTGCTTCAAAGTGTTATGAAATCTCACAGATGTGTAAGTGAAACTCGGAAAATTCAGTGATTCATGGGCTTCAACTCAAGGATGTGAAACCAAAATAAGATATACACTCATTTTTTAGGGTAAATAAATGGTACAATTAAAAAAATAAATAATAGTTGATAATTCAAACCCTATGACTCAGTGACTTCCAGCCGTTTTTGATGATTTCACTGATTCTCAAGACCCACAGAATATTTTGGGCTATGACTATAGAAATTATGAGACCAGATTCTGAAAGACTGGATTGTCTATTTTCATCAGCAAAAATAAATTTGTTTCTAGTTATTTTTGTTCTCCTGTAATCACCAGTCTCAGACAAACGTCAATGGCAGTCAATGAGTTAAAAAAATAGAAAATGTATATATTTTGAAAATGGTAAAGATAATTATGAAAATCCTATTAACAAAAGCTTGGCATAAGTCACCTTGCATGCATTGACTCTATATTATACAGTATATTAGTATTAGTATATTAGTTTTGCATTGTAAGTGGAGTTACGGAAATAAATGAACTTTCGAGCGATATTCTAATTTTCCGAGTTTCACCGGTCGATTAAAAAGCTTAATTTCAATGTGCTGTACTTCAATTGCACGACACTAATGAGAATAATATATGTTTTTTCAACAAGTGCAATCCAAACCATTTGCATTCTGAACGCACTGAAGGATATTTACAGTTAAACGTCCCATAACTCTTTTGGAGGACACGACTATAATTGGACTAGATTCGCAGCGGGCCTTTCTTCAGCCTGTTGCCGAATGATTCATGAAGGAGAATGGTGAGAATATGGTTCGACAGCCCGGACTCAGTCGACTCTCACTAAATAATTTAGACAAGTGCAACTGAGACAGAGCTTTTCCTGAGCGCCGTTCAAATGTGCAACTGCGGCATTTCATTTGAGAAGGATCACAATTAGGACGAGAATCACTACTTTGTCATATATTTTCTTTTGATTTTATCTTACGTTGTTTTGAAGATGAGTATTTAACACAATATGACAGATGGCTTGAAGGAATCCAATTAATGAAATATTGAAAAAACAAATCTGTGATATAATTAAGCATGAGACAGTACTGTTTTCTTAGCCTAGTCTTACCCATAGATTGTATACGTGCACAGAATAAAAAGAAAAGATAAAATCATGAAATACACATGAACACAAGTAAAATGTAAAACAGCAGAACTCAGTTGGTGATGAAAGCCATGGCGTAAATGCGTCTTTAGGCCAGATTAAAAAACCTCCAATTCTATTCAGAACTATTCAACAGTTTTAACATTAACGGCCTTTGTGATACGGACCAAGATTGTTCTATTCCTGTGGTGCTACTGCCTTTCCATACAGAGAATAAAGTACCATGGTGAGACATTGGAATGCTGCTACTGCGTGATATAAAAGTGAATAAACAAAGCCACGTCACGGCCGCACTGCAGACCGGACCGGCCTGAAAGGTGACTCCGGCTCCTCATCAGAAATCATTATGTAACTGTAAAGTGAGAAGTGAAACGGGTCATTTGTGGTCAACCTTATGCTGATCATTTGAAATAAACGCTTTTTAAACAGGGGTTGAATTGGCTTTTCACCATGGACTGTATAAAAGATATAGACAAAGCTAACCCGCATAGCTCATTAAGGCCCAATAGGGAAGTGCTCAAGGACAAAGTTACGCTCCAACTGGCTCTGGCTCCTATTGACTTACATTAAAAACTCCTCGAGCTCAGTAATTGTTTGTGTCCTGGTTGGACGTGGCTGCAGATATGACAGGTCGAAATAGTTACCAGAATAACCACAAAGTAAACAAAGGCCTGCACAAAAAGAGCATTCAAGTTCTGCACCTTTGAGCTGCTCTGGCGTCAGTAAATTCAAGTACAATTCCCATATATCCAAATATCAATTAAATTCGATGTATTCTTGTAGCCCTAAATCACAACAGTAGTTTTCTCAAAGGACTTAACAAAAATTGGTTGTGTTATTACTAACTTAAGCATCATCTCCAACCTTTTATGCCAAACTTCCACTTGACAGAAAACAATAAATATGTATCTAGGGTTCATTACTTTACTAAAATGCAAACCAGTCACAGGCACTTTAACCATTGTCCCAATCAATATGAAGTGTGTATTGAAGTGTGATTGTAAAACTGCAAACTCCTGGGATCAAACTATGTGTTGGAATAATCTCCCTTTTCCCAGTCACTCGTATGATGTTATCAGGTGAGAGTTCACGGTCATCATTTATTATGCTAACAACGTCAGGAGGTTGACACACGATCCAGATCATGGATGCATTATGGGCCACGCTGTAGATTTGGGACGGTCCCTGGGGCGCCATTACAGTGGACAGGAGTGCAGTAAAAGGCTGTTAACAGGACGTGAGACGAGCTCTAATGCAGCTGGACCCAAGCCCATCCCCACATCCCAACGGGCGGTCAGCGGGAACCAAGGGGCCTCAAGAATTACATGTACGTCAAGTATGGGGAGTGTAAATAGAGATAAAATAGTGGGTAGACGACATCCTACCTGACAACTTGTATTATTGTGTATTCAATGGGGAAATAAGCAATTAGGCCATACAATACACACATTTTAGATCACAGAAGCACAACAATTCAAATAGCTTACAACTAATACAACTAATTTTGCTTTGATTTCAGCCACACGTTTCAGTTGCTAGTCTTATGTTTTAATTCACTGGAAGAATGTTACACTTGCTCAGACAGTGCCATTATCATAGCAATCTAATGATAATGAGATTGCGATGAATATAATTGATATTCCAAACCGAATACATTTCCATTTCTAGAATAATCCACATATTTTTTGGAATTGAGGCTGCTCTGATTCAAGCTAGAAAAAGATCAAGCTATAATATCATTGAATGTCTCGACTTAAGCCATTAAAATATGTTTTTGTAGTCGTTTCTTTCATATTGAAGCCAAAATTAATTACTACGCAAAACATTTATTTGAATTAAAGTAATAAGTTGGTGGTGAATTCAGAGGCTTTGGTGTCTATGACCGTGACTATATCCATGTCATTCACAAAAGACATGTTCTGTTTCCACCACTGAAAATCAGATTCAGCAGTGAAATCTTAAAATCCTCTTTGAAAATGTGTAAAGTGGACATAATATTGGAGATACTCACAAAGTCATCTCCAGAGTCTGCACCCACAGAAGTGATGGACTCTCTGCTGATGGTGCGTGGGATTCGGACTCCGGTGCGAGGAGCTGTAGCCGCCTCCTCAGCGATCTTCTTCTTGAGTTTAGCAAACATCTCAACGCTTCACTGCCTCCAATGTAAGTGCCGTGTGCTGTTTCTGGCCAGTCGGTCTCTCCACTGGATTCATGGATCTCACTGCTCCTCCATCCTAGAGCCAAGGCTGAAGAGGTTTCTACAGTGTGACTTCAAAAGAGAATATAGAAATAAGTAAAGTCATGTAGCACTAGGGCTAATTTTCTGACAAATAGTAGTAGTAGTGAGCAGTTATACAATGTAGTTTTTACTGGTAAATATAATTCAAGAAACAAAGCTCAAAAGGAGAAGACAGACGCAAAAATCTTAAAGGTGCCTTCCCCATTATCAATACTACATTTAAGAAGTAACTGTAATATTGCAATACATAAATAAACTCTTGAATTCAATACTTTAAGAACATTGTCAATCTTCAAGCAAGATTTCCAATGGAACCAGCATACAATATATACCTTTTAATTTAACTCAAGTTGTAAATTAATATTATTTTTGGTTCACAAAAAGGACAACTACTACAAAACTCCTCATTTATAATTATTGATAATTGAACTAAATGTGCATAGACCAATAGTAGTAAAACTATAATAGAACTTTATTTACACCAAATATAAAAGAATGTAAACAAGCACATACTGTAAAACGTAACGCTAAATATTTTGAGTAATAGATTAATTCCTATAATTTTCTTAATACAAAGATACATTTTCCAGTAGAGACTGATAGTAGTGTTATGGACTTTAAAGTGAAGGCATTTGGGGCATGGATGGTTCTTAGAGGCTGGGAATAACAAATAGACTGGGATCATCTGTGCATTCAATTATATATTAAGTAAAACATATGCATTGGTAACACTCATATGCATTGTTGATACTCTTATGGACACAATACTTAGCGATAGTCTCACTTCATCCTCAGAGTGCATCGTTAGCTCTGCTCTGGTAAAGAAACAGCGTTGGTCTCACCATTGTACCCGCAGAGAAACACTCGTCTGTGCCGCTTTGGGTTGATATGAATCCGCGTTTATCGCCGTGTTATTACTACCGTGGAGTTATCGTGTTGACAGCCTCAGGAAATGACTTGAAGAGGCTGCTGCTGCTGCTGTTAGCTGATGTTAGCTACTGCGGCTATGAGCTACACGTAATCAGACAAACAGGTGACCGTGACGTCAGGGCGAAGGCGGCGCTGATTGGATGATAATGAAAGGGGCGTAGACATGGTTTTTAATCCCAACCAAATACTATATTAATAAAAACAACAAGATAATACCATTGTTTGTCTCTTTCTGCCGTTCATGTTGACTGTGTTGTGGGCGGCACGGTGGCTGAGTGGATAGCACTCTCGCCTCTCAGCAAGAAGGTCCTGGGTTCAAATCCCGGTTGGACCAGGGCCTTTCTGAGTGGAGTTTGCATGTTCTCCCCGTGTCTGCGTAGGTTTCCTCCGGGTGCTCCGGTTTCCCCTACCACTAAATATATGTATAATAGGTCTGGCATGTGTCTCCTGTACTGGCACCCCCACTCCCAAGAAATAACAATTGTAAACCGCTTTGAGACTCTGATGTGCAGTGAAAAGGCGGTATATAAATAAAGATTACTTACTAGATTACTTACTGGCCTCCTGTTGGGACTCTGGAACGGTCTTCCTGAAAATGTGAGGCAGGCTTCTAGTCTTTGTTCAAATCCAGGTTCAATAGTTACGTTTAGCTGTGCATACAAGTTGTTGGAGTAAATACTAATCATTTTTTTCAGCAACAGTAAAAAATACGAAATAGACTTTTTAAAGTTCTGTCTATGGATCATTGGAGTCCTGTATTCTGAGTATTTGGAAAACTTTCATATTGATATTAGTGCAAAAGAGCACCCAGAGATTAAAGTTTGCACCATTTTGTGCATCTTACATTATTGCTGTTAAAAATAGAGAAAACACACTTGTTGCACCATAGTTGAAACCTAAAATGACTTTATTAAATACAATGTACTCTGATATCGTTAAAGTAACTGGAGTGGAATATATCATAGACTGTAACTAATACATCCAGTCTCAAGATTTATGGGGAAAAAAAAAGACCAAATCCATTTCCTCAGTTGCATGTATTTATTGACAGAATTGCAGTGTAACACTGTTGACGCCACAAGATCAGAACTTGTGTCGAACACATCTATAGATCATATATATATCTATATCTATATATATGATATCAATGTATATCTGTATAGTCAATGGTCAAAATGCATTTGTGTGCAGTGCTTTACAGGTGTTGAAACGTGACAAACAAAAATTTATTTTACAACATTTCTCTTTTTTCCTTTTTATTGTTGGGTAAAAATAAAAAAAATAATATCTACAATATTTTAAAATTTTACAACAGTCACTGATCATCAGCATTCCTGTTAATCCTTCAATTATAAAACATTTCGACAGCAGGGAGCATTCAATACTGTGGAGTGCTGGCAAAAACAACAATTGGCACAAAGAGAAGCATTGAATATACACACTATACACAATTCATACAAGTGGTAACGACATTTTATGAATATTTTCACCATTGTCCTTTTGCGACAAATCAGCAGCACAGTCTCAGTCTACAGGAAGTATGGGACTGTGGTTCTGGGAGGAATGACCCTCTCTGAATCAGGCACAGCTCTGAACAGCTTGGGCTCCCGGGTGTCTGCGTTCTGGAACACCATGATGGAGGCGATGTTGCCGCAGCGGTAGCAGTAGTTGGGTGCAGACCACACGGTGACAAGTTTCTCGTCGAACATGAACTTATAGCCCTCGTGCACAAGCTGGTGAGCGCGGCAGATCAGCTTCAGGTTGTTGATGTGGACAAACTGAGGACAGACAAAACATCTCATATCTCAGAAGTCATTGAAGTAGTGCAAGTAATCTATAATCAAGAGCACTATTATTAGCCCTTAAGTATGAGACTAGTTACTCCAATAATACATGTTACAATAATAGCAAACACATAGGAGCCATATGTCCATAGGGAGCAGGTCGACCACTGTCCCTGAATGTCCCTATATGTCCCGGATCATCACTGTTCTCAGACCCTCCCGCATTTCCAAGTAACTCAACAAACAAAAAAACAGGGAAAAAATTTGAGAAAGCTCGGAAAGGCACATATTTCTCAACAAATAAAATGCTCAATAATAACAAAGAAAGTAGTAAGTAATCCAAATAAGTCCCTAACCCTACTTTACATAGCAAGTAAAGTAGAACAACAAATTGGTCCGTTCTTGAGTTATGTGTAAATACCAAGTCTAATTCAACACTGCTCTACCTCATTTGTGACTTTGGCTCCAAACAGCCAGCCGGCTCCTCTGGGACTGATGGCCCAAGTATCCACATCTTCAGGGTCGGACCAGACCAGGTCACAGAACGCTCCTTTGTGTGGGATCTCCTGGTTCCGTTCGATCGTCCGAATCTGGTCCAACGTTTTGATGTCTGGAGAAAGGCCGCCGTGGACACATAGGACCTGCTCGTCCATCAACTGACAGAAGAAAGTACAAGAAAGTATAAGCTCGACGTGAGGCCCGCCACAAACCAAATGTATGTAGATGTCAGGGTAAAACACAATTAGAAGTTAATAATAATAATAAAATATGAATAGATCAGACTTATATAGCAATTTTTTTGACACTCAAAGCTTAAGAGCCAACTTTTGGACCGTCCTGTAAAGACGTTTTCAAGAGGTAAGAAGATGCTATATGTTAGCATTGGCTAATTCTTATCCCGGGTCCATCCCCATTGGCCCGGGGTGGTATTGCAGCATGTCAGCGCACGTCATTTTGGCCACTTTTTAGCCGGGACCCGAACCCACTGCTCCAAACACAGTGATGGTAAGCTACTCTTCTAAACACAGCTGTCCTGGGACATGTGGAAGGCCTGTATGTTCACTGTCATTCCAGTGTTTTTGACCACACATACTTACAGCTGCTACTGTCAACATATCAAAGACTTTAGTGCAATAACGCCAGGCATTGGCATTTCCATATTTGGTCTGACATTCATCTGAAAAACAGAAAGCATATTCCTTAATTAATCACTACATCTTCCCAGAGCAGTCATACAAGATCAGTCCACCAGATTTACCATAAAAGCCATAAACTTGGGTGATTTGTCGACTCTCGTGGTTTCCTCTAAGAAGCGTGATGCGATCCGGCCACTTGGCTTTGAGCACCAGCAAATAGGTGAATGTTTCCAAACTGTAGTAGCCACGGTCAACAAAGTCGCCCTGTAGACGCCACATGTTTAAAATCAATTTCAAATGACTTGTAATAACATTATATTTTGTTCTGTCGTATAAACTCACCATAAAGATGTAGTTTGTGTCAGGAACTTGGCCACCAGTTCGAAAAAGTTCACAAAGATCATAAAACTAAGATAGGAAGAAACACAATAAAAATTAAGAACGGAAGCAGAAACAACTGATAAACAGTACAGACTCAAACAATCTGCACCGCCAGCTGCAGTCCAGTTATATACAATATGAATTTGGAACTTGCTTAGAGTTGAGAAAAGCATATTTTAGTTTCATCTTGAACCTCTTGAACAGATTCCATTCAAAAACACTTTATCCATGTCATTCCTCAATCACATGCACTGTTTAATACAGGGCGATTGAGACCACGCCCCCTGCTGACACTGTGCATGCCCCGAGAGGACTGGACCCATGGATCTATTATAATAACAGACTATAAGCATACATTTGAGCCTGTGGACGAAACAGAGAAGTAAGTTTAGATTATATAATGGGGGAATTTATTTATTAAATGTTTAAATTGTGAGTATCACATAAACTTATTCATCTAGTAGATTCCGTTATTATTATAGATCCATGAGTAGATTACAAGCTGATAAATTAGATGCTATTAAGCTAGCATAACTTAATTTCCCACATAAGACAGATGCTAACTCATATGGCTGTTTTACTCTTCCTCTTCGAGTGAATTACTATTTTAAAAATCATGCCACTCGTTTAGAAGCCTTACTGTTTATAAATGTGTTCATTAGAGGGTGACATTTTACGGGACTCCCGCGAGAACTCCGTGAGGTTTCTTTGATTTTATGGATCAAGCTACTGAGAAAAATGCAGATGTGTGTTTTGCTCGTGCAGTCTATGCAACTGTTCTCCGACCAGCAAACACTCCCCCAACCAGCCATGCACTGTCTACTCATTTGCTGGATGAAGAGTTTGACAGAGTTCAAACAAAGGTCAAGCAGACCATTGTCAAAGCTGACTGTATTTCAGTCATCTCTGATGGATGGTTCAATATCCGGGAACAAGGAATTATTAACTACATAGTCACCACTACTCAGCCTGTGTTCTATAAGAGTGTAGACATAAAGGAAAACAGACACAAAGGCAAATACATTGCAGATGAGCTGAAAGTGATCATCAATGACCTTGGACCAGATAAGGTTTTTGCACTGGTCACTGACAACGCAGCCAACATGAAGGATGCCTGGGCAAATGTGGAGGAGACCTACCTCAAATAACTACTATTGGCTGTGCTGCCCATACATTCAATCGTCTCCTGAAATATATAATGGCACTGAAAACAATGGACACCCTGAACAAGAGAGCAAAGCAAGTTGTGAAATTTATAAATAGCAAAAAAGCAGCTTCTGCTACATATTTGACAAAGCATAAGGAAACACATACTACACTGAAGCTCCCTAGCACAACGCAGTGTGGTGGCATTGTCATGTTTGACAGCCTTCTGGAGGGAAAGGAGTCTCTGCAAGAAATGGCCATATCCCAGTCTGCAGGCCTCCACTGTGACATAAAGAAGGTCATCTTTGATCAGGAGTTCTGGGAAAACTTATCTAGCAGTCAGAAAATCCTCAAACCTATTGCAGCAGCAATATCAGAAGATTGAGGGTGATGGTGCCATCTTATCAGACGTACAGTGCCTTTTTGCAGAACTCAAAGAAGAAATCCAAACAGTCTTGCCCACTTCCCTACTCCTGAAAGCAGAGGAAACTGCTGAGGTCAAGTCATTGGAAAAGTAGAGTGACTTCTGCATGAAGCCGCTGAATGCAGCAGCGTACATGCTGGACCCAAAATATGACTGGGACATACTTTCTGGGGAAGAGATAAACGGCCCCTACACGGTCATTACAGCCATGTCTGACCGCCTGGGTCTTGATAAAGGTAAAGTTCCAGGCAGTTTGGCAAAGTATCAAACAAAGGAAGGCATTCAAACAAGGTGGCAATCATGCCAGCACATATCTGCAGCCACCCGGTGGAAGGGACTTTGTGGATCTAAGGCTCTAGCACCATCATGAAAAAAACTCAGGTTGTTTGAGCCTGACACAGAGCCATCCTCAATAAGGCTGGAAAGTGACACTGAAGAGGAAGACTCAGAGTTGGATGTTGATGAGGTCTGGCAAGAGCCCATTGACTGAGCAAAAACGCAGATGATTGCTTGAATTAAGATTTGCAAGTTTAATGCAGGATGTTATGGAGGGAGAGGGACTTGTTTCATGTAACACTTTGAATGGAACTTTGAGGGGATTATGGATAGGGGGTGCATTTCTGGTTGAGTGGGGTTGGGGAATGAGTAATATTTACTCAACATTGTTGAGTGAGTGTTCAATAAAATAAGTTACAAAACTTGTTTTGTTCTTAAATCTGTTGCAAATATTTTGCATGGATGTTTTCCTATGACCTTAGTTTATATTCATGCTTGAATATGTTGCAATATGTTACTGTTTTTGCTTTTAACTTTGTACCTTTTGTAATGCAACCTTGAGTGCCTAGAAAGGTGCTATAAAAATACAATTTTGTTTTATTATATTACAGTTAATTTACTTCCCACTTAGTTTCCCTAAAATATGGAATATTTCCAAAATCCCCAAACTTAACTTCTGGAAATTTACCAGTAATGTTCTGTCCCTTCCAGTAAATACATTTTAGGGTTTCAAATGAACAGGAAACAGTAGTGAAAACATTGATAACAGTTAAACAATTTGAGTCTTTTTTCTTGAAAGTCTTAATTATAGATATTTCCAATTGTATTACTTATTTTGCGAGGTGTGTAAACAGAGCTTTTTACATGTCCTTTCAATGAGATCTGATCACTTAAACAAGTGTTGAAGTTACCTGTCCATGTATGTCTCCGCACACCGTCACAGGAGTGGACACAGGCTGGACATTGGACTCCTCCAGCAGCAGGTCACAGACATAGTCGCATAATCTCTGAGTAGAGAGATTCAAATAAATTATTGGATTTATTCACAATTAAACTGAATAATGTAGTCTGAAATTAAAATTGTACATACTACTGTTTTGAAAGTAATTTAAGAAACATTTATCATCCCTCTTTGTAAACCAACAATGAGACATTTCACTGGTTTAAGATACTCAGACAGAAACAAATAAGAGCAGTGTATATAAAGTCTGTGTAGTTAAAGAAGTGTTTTGTGATTATATCCTGCAGACTGTTCTGAATGGAGCCATCATCTGTCAAAACAACTCCCTTCATCACTGCACCATGCTCTGCACAGTATGAGTCAATGCTGGGTATTATTCACACGTGTAGTCTAAAGGGCCGGTAAATGTGTGAATGGTTTATTTTTTAGCCAAATATGTAAAGTCACTTCTATTGTGCTAAGTTTAGCTAATACTGATAAAACAACACACACCGAACAGACCGCTATCTGGCCCCGAGATAATAATATTTATGTTAAAACTGCTCACTCAGAGTAGCACTTTTACCTTAAGGTCGTTCTCTGGGAGATATTTACACTGTTTTGCGATCTCCGCATAGTTATCCAGGTCTAAAGGCGCCATGGTGCGAAAGCCTCTTCCGGAAACAACTGTCTTTAGCCACACTGCGCATGCGCATTCATAAATGTATTATTGATAAAATAATACATACACAAATACACCATGGGTTTAGTTAAACTGTGCACATGCTCACCTGTGTATGTAACGTATTTTGTGTTTGAAAACTTACTCTTATTTTCCAATCCTATGCTTGGAACCAAACCTTGTAGTCTGTGCTCGTTATGTCCTGAACTCACAGTGCAGTAAAGACATATCACCACCAGGTGTCAGTGGTTAACTGTGGTGTTGTCTCTTGCCTGTAAATATTGTTTTAGCATTGGAGCACAAACAGTGAAAGATCCCAGTGCAATCACATAAATCTTAGTCCAAAGTATTATATCCAAACCAGAATTAGGGCCTAACCAGGTTTTAGGACTAGAGACTGTGCAATAACATGCTATTGTGTTGTCCTTCAACATAATAGCATGTTGTAGTCAAAAATCCTTGACTATTTTCTCTAAAACAACTGATATAATCTATAAAATACAGAACCCTTTAGAGTGCAAACAAGTGGCTGAGACACCGTAGTTTTGGCCTTTGAAAACGAAAGTTTTCATTCAAATATTATAATATGTTTAATATTATAAATATAATTATATGTGGTAACAATCTCCTCACTGTCACTCCTTGTACATTATGTCTGGGGATAGTGACTAATAGACTCTGGTATGACCAATAGTGGGGTTTCCCGTTTCACAGTAGAAGCATTCTTAATTGCGGCTGTAAAATTGATTCAGGGACCTGTGGTGATGCAACAGGGTCAAAACTGAATACTTTTAGAAAAATTTTGGACTATATTTTCTTTGCGTCCATTCCAAAATGTTTAATTTGACTGGAAATAAAAGGACCTTTAGACCGTTTAACGTTTCCAGGAGTCTGATGGTTATGTTATCTCTTGGCTGACGAAAAACCCCAACATAGAGTAGAATACATATGGCCCTCCCAGGGAAGGCCCTATGTATTTTACTCTATTTACCACTGAGCCACTGTCTCCCCTGTGTCCTTGGGCAAGACACTTAACCCCACTTTGCCTGAAGCCCCCGCTGAAAATTCAAGGCCCCTGTGGACTCACCACCTGCAGGAGGATCAGTGAGGGGCTGGTGCTCTGTGTACTGGGTGCAGCTCTGACTGCCACCCCCCTGACCCAGAGATGGATTAAGGGGAAGAAATGGATGGATGGATGGACATTGTAGTAGCATCATCACTGAGCTAATGATATATTGCTTCAATAATTACAATCTTGTGTGTGAGTGCTCCTCGTTGCTGCTGCTCCTACTGCTTGTGATGCAACACTGACATCTCTTCATCTTAATTAATGAATCTGTTCATGCAACTATATGTATCCTTTTCATTTTAAAACATACGCGATATCAATGAAATGGTCAATTGCCATAGAACTTTATCTTTGACTCTTCTTATCATGCAGTTCAAATTAATTGTCATCTTGAAAAATGTTACCCTGGATCTACTTGTCCTCCAATGCCTAATTATCATAATTTGTTAATGCTGAATTGCCCCTTGAGATAAATCAGCTCTTTCCTTTATTCCTTTGATCCTTTCTGTAATAGTAGCTTTAAGTGTCAAGCAATATGCTCTGCATAATAGGGCCTCTATGCACATATGACAGAGATGGGCAGAGCCAATTATAGCTAATCAGGCCAGCCCTTATTTTCAGAAGGCATTGACGAACAAAAGAAACACGTACGCCATTTAAATCAGGGTTCCTTATTCGATTCCGTTTTAAAAATTATGAATGAGATGGATTCTGTGGCCCCATTTCCAGCCTGATCGTTTGGCCTACACGCGCTGATATATAGGCTAGTGGAGCTGAGGCAGGATTAACGACAGGGGGAGGAGCCAATCAGTGCGCGCCTGGGGACTTCCCTCGCTTGCTGTGATTGGCTGATTCTCCGTGGCCCCGCCTTAGCCCCGTACAGGTTTGGTTGTGCGGTAGGCAGGCAGCAGGTGAAGTGTTGCCTGCGGTTCATAGGGCAAGAAGCAGCGGCCAAGGGACGTCAATGGTGGTGCTAATCCAGGGAAAGGTCTGAGAAGGACCGACACTACGGCGTACATGGAGAGCTGAAGGCCGGCCATGAGGCGAACCTCCTTAATAATGTACATATCTGCTGCTTTGATAGTTATTTTGTATGTATATAGCGGATTTTCGGAAGCAGCGCCTTCTCGCATCAATCAATATGATGCGTCTACTACTTCTTTACCACCACCTCCACGGATTGGGAATCTATTCAGCACCGCGGAGCAAGAGCAAGGATCTAGCGTTCAAAGGCGATCCACGGATAGCCAAACCACGCTTTTCGCTCCGGAGAAAACCCTGCAGACTATGGTGTCGTCGTCTATGGGCTCGCAGCGGTCCGCAAACGATGCCTGGTCCCCGTATAGCACTGGCTCCACTGTAGACACTATCCAAGGTGAGTGAGTGCGAGTAATGAAGAAAGCGCTTTCGTTTTCGTATGTGCCATTTCCCACCAAACTCACACTTAACATTGCTTTCTGCAGGTCTTGTGCAATAGAGGCATTGGCAAAACATGTCTTGACTAGGTTTATGTTGAAAATGGCTGTGGATTTTTGACGCAGAATTAAGGATCATGCAACAATAGGAGGACAGCTTTTACGCACTGAATTCCCGAATAGAAATTGCATGCAAGCCACGTAGTTTTGTGTTCCCTGCGGTTTGGTATAGTGTGGTATATATTGCATTACACACTAGGCTTTTATCCTAGGATGCCACATATTATTACATAGGCTGCACAAGGGGAGGGGGTTGTGCATGAGGGGGTGTTAGGTTCAGCCTGTTTTTGTTTGATGAGCACTTGGATCCATCCTTCGTGCGGATTCTGCTGGTGCCTTAAATGCCACTTTAATTCCAATGACATTCTTGAGAAGGAGAAAAAGAGCAACGTCTCCATCCATCCCTCATTGTTGTTTGGACGGTATCAATAAAGACACAAGGCCATCCAATCCAAAATGGCCAAGGATGATGGAGTAGGAGATGAATGGGATGTATAAAACCCCTCCTCTCTCTCACACCTCTTGCCTCCTCCATGTGCGAGTGTTGTTCTCCTGAGAGACAAAAAGAATCCGCTTTTGCTTTCAGAAATCCTTTTTTATTGGCAAGAAAAAACCCATTATCAGTTCTGTCACCTGGTCTCCCTCATGTGACACGTGGAAGCACTTGTCAAATATATTGCATGTATAGATAGACCTTTTGTATCCCAAATATCTATGATCTTCCAGTTTATTGTGTATATTATAAGTTATAATAATATTGTGTATATTACAAGTTATGATATAATAGTCATAATAATAACAAACGAAAAATAAATACATTATAACAGTATTATTACATTATAATTTTATCTTTAATCTTTATTATTAATATATTCTTGATTTTATGATACATATTTGCCAAATCCAACATGCCCCACTATCGCTTGTTCTATCTACTAATTTATGGGTTCTCACTTTCCAAGCCGCTGTCCCTTTGCTCTTGCATTGTTACTCTCTTTCAAGATTATACAAATTTAAAGCAAAATAGTTGATTTTGTGTGTATGTTTTGTCTTTACCATAAACAAAGTTCTTTAGGCTTATATCAAAAGACAATCTTGACGTTTTGAGATTTATTTTTTTATGGCACAAAGACTATTAAAATCTTCTTTCATACCACGTACTTCTTGAATGTTGTTTTTGTATGCAACATATCTATAAATTGCTCGTCTAAGTGTCCATTGAAAGAGGTGTGGTTATGATTCAGTGGTTAAATTGTCTAGACGCTGTGAGCTTGGAGTAGCTTCAAAGTCCGCCATGATTACTGTCGGTGCCAACATCAGTTATGTTCAAGATATAATTTAGAAGTTGCTTTCAGTTTTGATGGTTATAAAAGTCCATTAGTTTGCTCGCCTTTCCATTGGCGAGTTGTGTATTCAAATACCTGCGATATCTAAGAAATCATGTTTAGGGTTTTTTGTTAGCAGAAGTCCGTTTATCACCACGAGATGCAAAATGGCGTCTTTTTCTTACAAGATGTATAAGGACAATCCAGTTAAATTGAAATAAGAAATCTGTTGTAATCTTCTGTACTGTCGGCTGTATTTGCTCAAATCCATCATTTATTCTTTCCACCATATGAAGACATTCAGATCCAGTGTCCTTAATTGCTCTACAAACAGACATAGACATGCCTAAATGCAACCGTTTGCATAATGTCATCCCCACAGGCTGCATACTCTTTGTAAAGTGGGTATGTCCAACCATAGTCAAGAAAGTTTACCTTAAAGCATATTTAAAAGGGAACGTATGTAATATTCATTTTAGATTACATCTTCATATTTTGTGAGTCCTCAGATAATGGGTCAGAATGTACAAATCATTGTTGATCTTTTCTGTACGGAAGTTTTCAAAGTGGAGTTTGTAATCACCACATTTGTTTTAAATTAAAGATTAAAAATATAACAATACATCGGTTTTATGTGGTGCTTTTAAATTCTCCACATTATTCATGCACGGCATACATGTGGTTATAAGCTGTAGCCACAGCTGCCCTGGGACACACTGACAGAATGTACCATCAGCCCCTCTGATCATCACCAATTATCCTTGCACACAGACTTGCTCTGAGCAATCTGGGTGTCTTGTATAAAGGTGTCTTATCTAAGTGCAGGGCGACAGTTTGGCCCTTTACAGCCGCAGCCGCCCCACTGTGGCACCTGTTGTTCCCAGAGGCTTCCCATCACAGTGCTAACCAGGCCCTGCCCTGCTTAGGTCTGATGGGATCTGGCTTTCACATGCAGACGGCTCTACATAAGTTCTGTTGTTTTTCTCAGTATTCCGTACTTAGGACTTATGTGTCACCAGTGGGATGAATCTGGAAGCAACATTTGGAGTGTGGCATTGTCCAGTAGATCATATTTTCCTCCTGGTGTCTTCCTTGGAGTACTTCAGGTATAATTGGCAAAGGCTATACTACACCTGAAGGCTGTAAACACAGCATTTCTTCTTAGCCTAAATGACTTGTAGTTTTATTTACACTGCTGTTAACTCTTCCATAAGATGTGACAGGTCAGTGTTTGCCCTGGGCTCTACAGGGATCTGCTTCTGCAAACCAGAGCAGCACTTCTTTGTCGCGTCACAATGACCTCTCACCTGGTGATATCACGTCAACAAAGGCGTGACCCAGCCTCGCCCCGGTCCGACGACTCTGATAGATATAAGAAGAATTTATATGTACATAGCTCTGGGCTTTTCTAAAACTCTTGGCCCTTAAAACAGACTTCTATGTGTGTGGTTCTCTTCATTTTCTATGAGTAAAGGATTTAGTAGTCTGGAGGAATTATTGTGAAGGAATTTTGATTTTAAACTTTGATTTTAATCTTACTGCTTTCATAACTCATAGGAGCTTGTTTGATCTTTATGACAAGCTGCATTATGTGAAAGGACTTCAATATTGTCTGATCTTATATTTTTCTATGATAAGCGGATGTTGCTAATTCTTGAGTAAACTTACTCACTGTAGGTATCAAAGTAGCAGAAACGCAGAAATCGTTTCACTGTATTTTCTTAATGTTAGAGATTGTAGTAGTGCTCTCTCTCTTATGAAGCTTCACACTTGTGAAAAAGGATTAACACGTCACATTTCTAACATGAACGCATGTGAACTGTCCCCTGCAGCTACAGATGTTTTACAGTAAATTGGTTTTGGATGCGTTCAAACCGGATACCGTTTCCACTGTTGCAACAAAGTTTAACAACAATTATTATTTCCGGGAATGAAAAATGTTTAGTCTAAATTTAGCCATATGCTAATTGTTGAAGTCAAAGTGAAGTTGATGTATCTCTACTTGGGCTGAAACAACTAATCGATTAATCGACAACTAATCGATTATTGAAATAGTCGACAACTATTTTAGTATAATCGTTTTCTGGTTCACACGGACTCAAACAGAGCAAAAATGACATGAAAATGTAGTATTTTTGATTAAAACCGACGTTGTTTTTATAATTTCATGAATATCTGTCTGTCTCATCCAATCAGAGCAGAAGTAGCACAAAGAGCCTGTTACAAACATTTACTTTAAGTTTACGCCATCAATACGTCCTCGAGTGTTGCCACTTTAGCTTTTTGTGATGAAAAAATATTTTTTTTCTACACAATTCACAGCCAAGCGATTACTCGATTAATCGTGAAAATAATCGATAGATTAATCGATTACAAAATAATCGTTAGTTGCAGCTCTAATCTCTACCATTACCCCATTAAAAGCAGACGGATGCAGCTGAGAACTCATTTATCTCATTTATCAGCAAATATTGGACTAAAATCTTGGAATCCCTTCAGATAACCCCAGCACTGATATTGGAGCCATCAAACATTCACCCATTCATAGAGACATATTTCTTTAGCCATTTCTAAAATTGTATATCATATGCCACTGATCATTAAGCTTCATTCAGTTTCCAACAGCAAAACATAAACTGAACATTCCGCTGCTTATAATAATTATTGTGACAGGCATAGCGATGGCCACCCCTGCACAGCCAATCCAGTCTGACAAAGCACTTCTTCACCCACTCACATCCTCCAGTGGTGGCCATATCCATCGGTCTCCCCCTTCCCCGATCAGCGGTCCACTCCAATCTAGATCAAACCTGCAGTTCAATGGCCTCCCTAAAAGCTTCATGCATTTCAGATCCCCACGTCACTGTAAACGACACACTCACGGATCTCCAGATAAAACCAGGACAGCGTTCCAGCGGACGTGATGGGAGCGGAAAGCCTGACCGAGCAGCGGCGTATACACAGCCTTGCATAACCACATAACCCCTTTTCTTTAGTTACATAAAGGGGAAAGACAGGCCTATTTGGGTTCAAATGGCCAAGCCGTTTGAGCCACTGCACACACCTCCACTGCATTAATAATACATGGCCTCTCTTCTGCAGGGCTCTGGCATTATAGCCTCCGGTTTCACTCAGATGTGAACCCCAATGACAAATCCTGCTTTTGTTTACGGACGTAGATCTTTTTCTCCTCCAAATTCTTTAGTGATTTTTAAAGTGGATAAAGCTAAATTCTTCAGTATTGTGTGGTACTCTGTTGCCCCAAAATGACCTTTATAGCAATAATATAAATGGACAGGATTCTCAAAAGTGAGTAATTGTGTTACAAGGTTGATTCACTTTTTGTTTTGTTTTAGTTTAGATCAGTGGTCCCCAAACTGCGGCCCGCGGGCCGGACCCGGCTCCCCTCTACATTTGCTCCAGCCCCCCTGAACAATACCAGAGAGTATTTTCATATGGGCTTGTTCACACTAAAGGGCACAAAAGTGTGACAAAAGGCAAAAAATGTGATTTTAATAATCCAAAGATATTTTATGTTTTTCATGTTTCCAAACCCCTCTCTCCATTAGAAGTTGCTAGAACATAACTGTTTTATTCATTAGACAAGTTTCCTATATCGGCCTTTAACAGACGATGATTTGACGGAATGAGCTGCGGAAGTTTGTGACGTATTTTTAGATGTCCACATTTGATTCAGAGATTCTATATTTTTTTTACATAGAGTAGAAACAAAGTGATGATTTCATATAGTCAACCAATTAAATGTGAAACCAGACCAGATATTTTTTTTCTCAAGTTTCTCTAATTGTTAGAGTAAAATGGACGGAAACCATTACGTCCGTTACACATTTTTCAAGGGTCATTTATGTTTTTAACAATTCCTTTTTATATCAAGTGATTTACTGATGTTGTGATAACCATGTAAATCTTGTGGGATTTTATCTGCTGCTTTTTCAGACTGATGACATTTTATTTTCTATGTAACCGGCATTACAGTAGAATGGTCCAATCAGAGGCTGATTTTGTCGTTTAAAATGTTGCCAAAAATATATTTGTCAATCTTTAGTCTATGATAGTAATTTTTGTTTTTGAGTTATAACCTTTTAAAGTCCAGATACTTTAGTTGACACTTTACTGTGAACACACTCATGTGTGTACTTGATAATAAAGTTGGACTTTTGCAATAAAACGTACCTGAACTTTTTTCATTATTAACTATTAGTTAGTAACTATTTCAACGCTGCATCATCACACTTTTTCTGTTACAAACTGACCCGGCCCCCATCGAGGAAGGGAAAAGTTATGTGGCCCTCACAGGAAAAAGTTTGGGGACCCCTGGTTTAGATGAATGCAAAGTGTTTTTGGTAAATGCCAAACTTCTGGCCACCCATTCGTCACCTATTGATGCTCAAACTGATAAAACGTCCTAAAGTTTTTATCGCAAAGCGTCCATTTTGCACAAGAAGATGAAAAGTTGATGATTTTTATTTTTCTTTGTTTTCAAAGTATCTGTGTTTTCGATTACCTCGAGAACCATAGAGAGGTCATGATTCATCAGGCCGCTGTTGTACTTGTTGTAAACGAATACTAACTCCCTCTAACTGGAAATCACTCACATAGTTGGGAGTAAAAATCTTGCAAAGATTTTGAAAAAATTGAAGCCTTTGAATAAAATAAGTTTGACTTTCTGAAATAACTGACAAACTCATTACACAAGTTAAATTCTCCATTGTGAGAGCAATAAAGTTTGTCTTACTTTATTTCAACCTTTTGCCACACAAACGGATACAATCAAGGCAGTTGTACAGATGCAGCACAATTCAACCACAAATACTGTTTACAAAACAAAAGGAAACCATAATATAACATATAGCATCAGTTTATGAATTGACTCTTTTTCACAATATTCTCATTTTACGCGACAGAATAGAATTGACCCAGAGTCGAGAACATGGTCTATGAAGTGGGGTCACAGCGATCTATATGAAAAAACAGGTGAAGATTGATATGAACTTGTTCAAAAGTTCATTTATTTCTTTAATTCAGCACTTTATGATATAAACTTATTACATGCAAAGTTTATTATTTTGATGATTGTTGCTTAGTCCATTTTCTTTTTAATATTCCAATTGTCTGAGATGATTTTTTGGGGGATTTTTACAATCTGTGTGTGATCAACATTATACATATAATACTCATGATAACTATTTTTAACTAATCAGTTTCAAATTGTAGGTTGAAATACAGAAATGCATGTACAGTTCAGTTCAGTTTATTTATTTGCCATTTGCAGTAAAAAACCACATTGGAATACATTAGCAAAAAGTCTCCAGTCTGCACAGACAGTAGTTAACAATATTTCTAATTCACCTGTAATTATGAGAAAAATGAGTCTGGATTGTTCAGATATATATTTTTATTTCTGACCATTTTTAGAACAGTCAAAGTGGGCCTTATTAGTAATCCCTAAATACAGTAATTGTCAGAAAGCTGAAACTGAATGTTTATAAGGAAGTGTGATGCTGTTATTGCAGTGACGAGACTGACTCAAAAGTCCCCTCATGTGCTCCTGCCTGATGCGCTCACTCTGCACAATGCTGTCCAAAGTGCACCACAGACGTAAATATGGACCAATCAATTACAATTTGAGGCGTGCGACAGCGTGGCATTAACCAGGGGTGATATCAGTCCTAGTGAGTCACGGGGTTGAGCGGTTGGATGCCACTTCCGAAAGGCAACCCAGTATCTCAAAGCATCATGGGAGAACAACCCTCACAGAGTCTTGCCTGAGAGCACTTCCATAAAATGAGCAATAAGGAAATGAACCATCACCCTTCAGTTTAACAGATGACTGTGATCCCCAAAGCCACTCCACGGGAACGCGTTTTTCAAGTCACTGTATGAACACGTTCAGAGGCTGTTGTTAGAAATGGTTTGAAATATAGGTTGAATTTTAATAAAAAAAATAAAAAAAATATATAAATAATATATCGAATCCCAGTTGGAGCAGGGCCTCTCTGAGTGTTGTTTGTTGTGTCTGTGTAGGTTTTCTGTGGGTGCTCGGGTTTCCCCATCCACTAAAAACATATGTAGACTGTGTTTACTTTGTTCAGAAATGACTGTGGTTCTCTCAGCCTCACGTCACGTCACTGGGCTGAGATTTTAAACTTATGCAACACAGACTTGAACTCCGAGTCTAGGGAGGCAGGTCTGGCCCAGGGTCAGAGAGGTCTGGGCAAAGTCTGGGCCAGGGTCTGGTCTGGTCCCAATTTTAAATGTTTATTGTAGCTGCAGTGACAGAATAATCATATAATTCTTTCCCGTTCTTCAGAGTCGTGTAACTGCAGCACTGGGGCGGAGGGCATCCTGGACCCTGAGGAGTGCGACCCTAAATCAGGCCAGTGCTCGTGTGACGTGGGCTACGTGGGTCTACAGTGCGAGGACTGTGAGGAGAGCTTCTTCACCAACGGGACCAGCGGCTGCCTGCCCTGCGCCTGCGACTCCTACGGGGCCGTGAACCACCTCTGCGACAGGTCGGGACCCCACACACACTAAAGCATGGCGACGCTGGACTCCTCCTGAAAAGAGACGCATCACACAAAATGAATAATTTGTTTTTTTATTATTTTACGTTATTGTCCCATCATCAAAAACAGACCTGGAGTTATTTTAAGAAGAAAGAGGACATTTTATTTATATTGCACATTTCATACACATTTCCTCTAGTTATAATATCAGGAAATTCTGGAACAAGATAAAGTTGTTAAGAGATATTGTTTATTTATTCTCAATTTATCTACACGCAATACACATTTCCTAAACATAGATTGACTAAAAATGTATGATAAAGCACCTTGAGTTCAATTGCTCGGTGAAAAGCGGTGTAAGCAACTTCAATTGTATTTATTTTTAAAAGAATTTTCAACAATATGATATAGTTCAAATAGCTCCTCCCCTTATAGGAGTGTGACGATATATCGATATCGTGATGTATTGTGATACTTTCTCACACGATCGATTATTGATATGCTTTTGCCAAGTATCGATTAAAAAATAAAAAATAATAATATATAGTAAAAAAAAAATTGTATCAATACTTAATATATGGCTACATTACGCATCTCCATTCCATTTATCATGAAATAAAGTGTTTTTTTTCACTTAACATTTTTCTTTTATTTATACCAATATGTGCTGTATTTGAATCCAGAGTTGAGAATTAGTTAATAACTTACACTAATAACGATTTCGTGTCTATTCAGATTGCTTTACTAAAAAATTTCTATAACAGTATATTTATGACCAATATATCGACAATCGTCATATCGTGATATGATCGTTATCGTGAGCCCTGTATCGCGTATTGTATCGTATCGTGAGGTTCCCACCCCATCCCCTTGGCATTCTTCCGACCTGTAAGATTCGCTGTAGGAGAATTGTTAAACCGATGACACGGAGCCTCAATGATTTTAATTCATCTCGACCAATCAGGAGGCCGCACTGAGGATCACGGGTGGTCTAACCAGTGCTTGTCTTCAAAAACGTTCGCCCTCTTTTCTCATTTAGAAAAATACTTGACCTCCACTTGACTTCTGCTTGGATTCGTTACAACTGCTTTAATCGACCCGAGAGAGGTGCTTTTTCGCTTCATCGGTCGCATTAGTTTGGTCTATTTGTTGTGATTTGTACAGTTAGCAGAACGCGGCTCTAAAAGGCACTCATAAGCTGTTCTGTTCCCCCCAATAACACACAGCTCTGCATTCAACTACACAATCTTCTTAACAAAGCACAACGCAATGGATTTAGGGGCTTTTGCAACAGTGGAATATTTTGATCAGATTGGGTTTAATGCCGAGGAATGTCGCAATCGTTACAGGAAAAGTCTGTCTTTTTACATCAACTAATCTTCTTCCAAAATCATGCCAAAATGCTTCTAGTTCTTGGTGACTCGGATACAATTTACTCGCTAATAACTTTTTAAAGAACCACTGTAATATTATGCATTATTTGCGTTACATTTTGGGCCTAAACATGGTAAACAAAAAATAAATATTTAAGCTTATTGACTGTATATAGACGGACGATGCTAACCTGCTAGCTCTCTGAAGCTCAATTGGGAAGTTTTTTTCTCCTACTCTATTGACCTACTCCTCGCTTGTGTTGGAGTCATTTTTTTGACTTAAAAATGTGTAAAGCTCTGTATGATCCTGGAGTTTTTTGTTTATCATAGTCTTTGTAAATCCAGATATGACCTAAGCCATCTTTTCACCTGCCCTACTTGGCCCGACTCTACTCTACTGTCTTTTTGCGTATCCATTACACACTAATATCTTGTTCTCTATCTTAGCAACCTACCCACCTACCTGGCTAGTATACCAGAGTCAAGCTTAGGTACTAAAAAATGTGCCTGATACCAGTAAAACAACGTGGGATGTAGAGTAGAGTATCGCCGAGAAGGCCGGGGCTCACGATAGCAACACTTTGGTTTAGCCCATCTTTACAAACACCCATCTAAGGAATTTGGCCCTTAACTATTCAAGATGGCCACACTTCTAATCAACATCGTCAACACAATGGGTGATGTCAGCACTTGGTCAGTCCACTCCGTCTTCAGTCTATGTTTAGGATGAGAAATACATATATAGTGGTAGAAATGAGAAATTACAATCTGCTTTTATAATTAAACTTGGCTAAAATGGCACAAAGGAAAGCACATAATTTGACCGGAAAATACTACACTGCAAAAGCCAGAAGTGCTAAGGTGCTATCACGCGGGGAAAAAAGTTTTAGGACAGTAGGGACGTTCCTGATATTTGTGCGGATAAAGACAGAAACAACCTCAGTCTGTTTTTCGATAAGGAACAAAGCTCGACATGTCACTTCACGTTCCGTCATGTTGGACCTCGTGGAGTTCTTGTTGGTCTTGGATTCTGTAAAAACCGGTCCCCAAACGACGCACGTACTGTATACAGAGCGTGACAAAGCAGCGGTGGACTCGCTGTACGCACCTTTACAGGTCTATCTTTAGCTGCAGCACGGTGCCGCTCCGTCGAGCTGATGGGAGATGTGTGCTGTGAATTAGAGCTGCTTTTATCTCTAATGTTACTGAGATCAAGACGAGGCAGGAGCACCGTGGTCAAGCAGAAACTGGACATAGAACCGTTGGATTATTATCATTGCTGTTATATGTATCTCTCAATCCCATCACATTGTCTGTTTGTTGGTGTGTTTTTGCTGATCTCGCGGAATTTTTGCATAATGTGCACTTCTCCACAACATTATAAATTGAATATATATATTATTGAAATTAGCCCCATTAGCCCAGTCGCTATTCTTCCTGGGGTCCCACTTATATGCACAGTTCAATTCATACAAAATCCTATAATCTATATAAATGGGAACAACTTATATCTGTGTTTTAAAGAAGGAAAACACACAACACATGCTCGTAAGCTTGCTTAAGAATCATAACCATGGATTCAGTTGATTAATACAACAATAACATGAGACGGTCATAGGTTCAGATTCATTTCTAGCAGCGTATTCAAGGCTCTGTATGTAAATGTCCTCTTAACGCTATTCTATTTTACTAATGGAAAGAGACATATTCTGACTATTGGATGTCTGGTTGATATATTAGTGTTTGTCATGGTCGAATAGGAGTTTTTAATGAGTAATTCTTGGATGTGAAGCTGACATAACACTTTTCACAGAGGTTAATGAAGAATAATCTAGCCTAGCACCTATTTTAAGCTCTGTTCATTACTAGGGATGTATCGGTATCTGGGGCTGATATGGGTATTTTGTAAGGATCGGATATTATCGGATTTGTTAAATATCGGGGAGTTTACGTTTACAGAGGTCACACACTGCACACTGGTTAAGTACTGGCTTTTTGTGGTCATTCAGTTATGTACCAGCTCTTTTCTTTATGTTAAACTGAATGTTGAGGGCAGCTTTTTGATAATTGTTTTTTATTTTAAGTTTGTTTTAAAGGTGAAATATTCAATACTCATGTGATTCTTACCTATGATCTAACTCAGCAGGTCTGTTAAGCAAAAGCCAAACAATATTTTTAATCACGTTATAATAAAAAGAATATATTTTAAAGTAATACTGGTTGCAAAATTTTTAATGCTTTGAAAATATTAGAACAAATTGGATCGGTATCGGATCGGTATCGGCAAAACAATATTTAAGAATATCGGAAACTGATCGGATTACAAAAAATCTGGATCGGTACATCCCTATTCATTACAACATAACTTGTGCCGGCCTATACAATGTTTATAATGTATACAAACTGCATCAGCTAAATTAGTAGAGAATGTGAAATAAATGTCCATGGCTGGCATTTAAATATAGACTTTTATAATCTTATTCTTCTGTGCACTATGACACATGTGCTGTCATTTCATTGTTGCAGATGTGTCATTTTTAAAGGAAAGTACCAACTGTACATTCATACAATTGTTCACACTATTCATGGTTTTGTTTTAATACCAGGAGACATTGTTTAGTTTTATTTATTTTTTGTTTAGTTTCCATAATGGTTTTGGTACTTTTTATTATTATTATTTCTCTAGTAATTGTCCAAGTTTGTCTCCAGATAAACAAACGGCTGTCTCCAATAACTTTTTTTAATTACGCGTATCCAATCTATTATAGTTAATTGGGCATTACATTACTTGGGCTGTAAGTTTCCCAGACTGCAGGCTGTTATTTGACAAGATAGAAACTCATCATAAACGTGGGATTATTTCAAAATGTGCAATTACTAAAGCGGGAAACTCTACTTGATCTCTTAGCTCCCCATAATAGTCCGTGGTTGATACTTTTAATTTCCTGGATTTTCTTAAACAAGATATTTCACAGCTTTTGACAGTTATACTCTTGTCGTTCCCACACACAAACTGTGTTTTGACTCAAACAAAGCATGTTTTAGTCTCATTCGCTTCGGCTCCTCTTGGTGACACGCCCACTGCTTTTAACTACTTTGTTTGACACTTTTCTTATTATGTGATAAGTGGACGATTCAGCAGTGTTGCGCAGGCATTTTTGCAGATTACTAACTTGAGCTAAACGATTGATGTGATTTTGTATGACATAATTAAGATAAGGATTTTCAATGGACTAAATACAGTACCTGCTGGACTATTAATCTCACCTGTATATAAACCACACTAGCTACAATGGATGAGAAAGTAAAAGAATTGTCCATATATAGTAGGGCTGGGCGGTATAAACGGTATAAGCGGTAGACGGTATAAATTTGGCCCACGGTAGAGATTTTTGTTATACCGGCATATTGCGATAGGTCATTATGTCATTAAATTGCGCAGGCTCTGACGCCAGCAGAAAGGACCAAAACAAACCGGCATTCAGCAGCATTAGCCTAGCACATTAGCCTAGCATTAGCCTAGCACTATTGGACACCACTGGAAACAGCGAACAACAGCACGGCATTAACACAGTGTTTCTGTCTATGTATTGTTGTCACAGCGGCCCCAGCAGAGGTAAATACACACACAGT